TCGGAAGTCCTCGGACGCCTTGAAGAGGGCTTGCAGGGCTCATGAGCAGTGCAAGAAAGACTTGAAGGCGGCCCTTGCTGAGGCGGCACGTCTTGAGAAAGAACTCTCCGACTATCCCAAGTCGGCGGCGGGGAAACACCTCCAAGCGGACACCGTGATCGACACAGTGAAGATCCTTCGGGATAAGTTCAACAAGGATGTACCCGAGGTGGAGTTCGACCCCATGGCCATGATCATGCACATCCTCAAGTTCATGGACAACGGCTAGTGATCTGGAGCCGATTGTAGGTTTGGACGTCCCCCCGCCTGATGAGGAGGGTGAAGGGGGCGACGGAGAGGAAGAGGAGCAGGAGGAAGAGAGCGCAGGCGGTGATGAAGGCGCCGGTGATGGAGAGGGGCGCTCCCCCAATCAGCAGGGGACGCCGGAGGGGACAGTTCAGAGTGAGGAGGAGTGAACCGTAGTTTAGCCATTTTACTTAACTTATCCCGAATGTAACCGTTTTCATCAATGCAACGAACCTTGTCAAGTTTTTCGATCCATCTTACTTTGCTTTCTGCATACGCCTCTCTTTGGCGCCTTATGTTAAGCATTGCTAGCCACGAATTCGAGTGGGACATTCCCAAGGCGCATAGTGTTTGGGCGCTTTACGAGACCAATCATATGGGCGCACTGTATTGGGCGCTTTATGCCTAAGACGAATGTAATTCCGAGGGCGCAAAAGTAGGGCGCTTTACCAACAACGCTATACCGATATTAAGGCGCGAAAGTAGGGCGCTTTACTACCAATGTTGTCATTCTATTAAGGCGCGAAGTAGGGCGCTTTACAATACATTGCTATGACCCTATGGCGCAAAAGGGAGGGCGCTTTACGATATTCTTTCCCGGCGCGTGGAGCGACGCGCTTGCAGTAATTATAATTCCCCTTACATCTAACCTACGGACTTTCCACTACCAGCCAAAATGCAGGCGCCTTTCCCCTTGCTACCATCGCGCTACTCGGCGGCTTCTCTCCCTTCGGTCCCATGGTACACCTTGAGATTCTGCGCGTTCCATGTTCGTTTGATGGCCTTCCCCCCAATGCGCTCCAGCTTGAACGTGGCTGGTCCTATCACCTCCCGAACACGGTACGGACCTTTCCACTTGAGAGCGAGGTTTCCCTCACATGGCTCCGGCCGGAAGTCTCGGCGTAGCACCATACTGCCCTGGCGTATCTGATGAGGGCGCATCTTGCGGTTATAGTATTTGGCCACCTGCTGCTTCATGGCCTCGAGTCGTACGGAAGCAATGTCCCGACGCTCCTCCAGCATATCGAGGTCATGCATACGCTCCTCACTGTTTGCCGGCTCCTCATAGTTTGCCATACGGTGCGTCGGGAAGCGCATCTCCACCGGGATGATCGCCTCACTACCGTAGGTTAGCGCAAAAGGCGCCTCTCCTGTTGCAACCTTGTGCGTCGTCCTATGCACCCAGAGCACTCCCGGGAGCTCTTCCACCCATCTCCTTTTGGCCTCCAACAATCGCGTATGGAGCCTATGTAAGATGCTCTTGTTAGCCGACTTAGCTTGCCCGTTGGCTTGAGGGTAAGCCACTGACGAGAAGCGGAGGATTACTCCGCTTTCGTCACAGAATTCGATGAACTGACGGCAGTCGAACTGCTTACCATGGTCAGCGATGATTGATTCGGGCAGCCCAAACCGCGAGAAGATATTCTTGGTCGTAAACTTCCTGACCTGAGCCTGGGTGATGGACGCTAAGGGCTCCGCTTCCACCCACTTTGAGAAGTAGTCGACCGCCACAATGAGGTACTTCATCTGCCCGGGCGCCTTAGGGAAGGGCCCAAGCAGATCCATCCCCAATGCGCGAACGGCCATGCGCCTACATTACCCTTCATGGGGGCCTGCGGCACGTGGATGTCGTGGGAATGGATCTGGCACTGGTGATAGCTCTCTACGTGTTCCTTGGCGTCTTTTCTGATTGAGGGCCAGTAATAACCCTGGCGCAGCAGCACTTTCTCGAGACTTCGTGCGCCGGCGTGCATGCCGCAGGCGCCTTGGTGCACCTCTGCTATTGCCTGTGATCCTTCCGCCTCCGTGAGGCACCTCAGGTAGACCCCCGAATGCGACCGTTTGTACAGCTGTCCGTCGATCATTACGCAACGAGCCGCCTTGCGTCTTACCTGCCATGCCTGCCTTGCGTCCTCGGGGACCACTCCATGGATTAGATATGCCTTAATTGGGGTCATCCACCCTTTCTCCTCACAATCCTGCTCTCCGACCACTCCCACCATTTGTTCCTCTGACGGGTGCTCTTTCGTGACAATGACGTGCCTCTCGTTCTCGAAGTCGGTAGCCGTGGCTAGTTTTGACAGAGCGTCCGCGTGGGCATTCTCCTCTCGTGGGACATGCGTGAACTCCACTTGCGCGAACCAAGCACGCATCCCCTCTATCCTTTTGTTCCGGTGCACGTTTAACGACTCCTCCTTCACCTCAAACACGCCGTTCAGCTGGTTTATCACCAAGGCTAAGTCGGAGCGGACCTGAACCCTTCGCGCCCCCAGCTCCCGCGCTGTGCTTAATCCTGCTATCACGGTTTCGTATTCCGCCGCGTTGGTCTTTAGTGAAGAGAACCGGAGCGCCAGCTCATGCATAGCGCCCGTGGGATTGATGACCACTATTCCTGCCCCTGCTCCGACACGGCTGGCCGCTCCGTCGACGTAGACCTGCCAGGTTTTGCTCTTTTCTTCCCCTTTAGTCAGCCAAAACTTGCGCCTTAATTGCCGGGCGGGGCGCGTATTTGATGTCATATTCGCTCAGCTGTACTGCCCACTTTACCATGCGCCCCGCCACGTCCATGGATCCTAGCGTGCTTCTCAAAGGCAGGTTCGTGAGCACCACCACAGGGTGCGCCTGGAAGTACGGGCGCAGTTTCTATGCTGCGGCTACTACGGCCAAGGCCGCCTTCTCTATGGGCGCATACCGCGTCTCGGGACCCGTCATCACCTTACTCACGTAGTATACAGGACGCTCTTCTCCATCTGCCCCCGCTCTCGAAACGAGTTCCGCGCTTAGGACTCTAAAGAAGGGGGCGCCTTTATCAGCTGACCGGGGTATGAATCGCCCTAGCGCCGCCAGGCGCCCATTCAAACTCTGTACCTCCTTAGGCGTCCTTGGAGGCTCAAGGCGCCTGATTGCCTCCACCTGCTTCGGATTGGCTTCGATTCCCCTCTTCGTGATCATGAAGCCTAGAAACTTGCCCGCCTCCGCGCCAAAAACGCACTTGAGGGGGTTGAGGCGAAGGGAATGAGAGCGCATGGTCTCGAATGTCTCGCGCAGGTCCTTTAAGTGATCCTCCCTTCTCTTACTCTTGACTACCAGGTCATCCACATATGCCTCTACGTTCCTCCCAATTTGCCTTTGGAACACCGTGTTCACCATGCATTGGTAGGTAGCCCCCGCGTTCTTCAACCCGAAGGACATAACTTTGTAACGGAAATTGCCAAAGGAGGTCATGAACGTGGTCTTCTCCCTATCCTCCTCGCACATGAGGATTTGGTGGTAGCCGGAAAACATATCTAAGAAGCTCAGTGCCTCATGGTAGGCAGTCGCGTCCACCAGCTGGTCGATGCGGGGCATCGGATATGTATCGGATGGGCACACTCAGTTCAAGCTTGTATAGTCGACACACATCCTCCAATCGCCCAGTGCCTTCGGGACCAGCACCACATTGGACAGCCATGTTGTATATTTGGCATCCTCCACGAATCCGGCATCGAGCAACTTCCTCACTTCCCTCCGCAGCGCCTCTTCCTTCTCCTCTGACAATGGCCGCCTTTTCTGTTGCACAGGGCGCACGCCCTTCTCCACCGACAAGCGATGTACCTCCACTTCCGGACTCACCCCGGGCATCTCGCGGGCGTTCCAAGCAAACAGGTCTGCGAACTCCTTCAGCAATTCTATTAGTGATTCGACCGCCTCTCCGCTCGTATGGGCAGAAATGCGCACACACCTCTCGGGGCGCTCGTCATCCAGGGGTACTTGAATCTCGGCGTCCGCCGCCTCCGCTCTTGGTAAGTCCTCGGGCCGCACATCTATGTTGTACATCCTCATTCTCTTGACGAGGCAGGCCTCCTGCGACGCCTCGCCCCTTAACACTCCTACCCCCTTAGGGGTGACGAACTTCAGGACCTGGTGACACGACGACGCCACCCCGTTGAATAGGGCCAAAAGTGGGCGCCCCAAAATGGCATTGTAGTTGGAGGGACAGTCCACGATGCCAAAGTCGACGGTGTGCGTGACCCTGTGCTCTTCTTCCCCCAGCGTAACAGGCAGGCGCACTCGCCCCACGACTCGCGCTGGGACCCCGGAGATCCGACCAGGACCGTATCCGCCGGCCTCACGATGCTCGGAGATAACTGCATCTTCTCGAAGGTAGACTGGAACAGTACGTCCATCGAGCTTCCCGTGTCTACCAGCATTCTCTTCACCTCGCATCCAGCCACCACTCCCCGGATCTCCAGCGCTTCCACCGATGGAACCAGACACGCCTCCTCAGGTGTTTCGTTGAAATGAATTCGCACGACTGCGCGTGCACTGGCAGTGGCCGACTTCAGCCGCCTGCTTTCCTCCAACTTCTGCCTCAGATCGATCGCACCAGAGATAGCCTCAATTGTCAACCACACCCGGGCGGGGTTGGTTTCTGGCTCGACATCAAAGGGGGGAGGCGGCAGTTTTCCGCCCTCCTCCGGCGCCTCCTTACGGACACGCCCAGATTCCTCTTCGCTCTCGCCCCTCTGAGGTGTCGCCGCCCTCTCCTCCTGCGCCATGAAGGTCCGCTGCGCCTTTTCCTCCACCTTCTTTACGAATTCGTTCAACATCCCCCTGTCCACTAGCCCCTGGATCTCCGACTTAAGTTGGTAACAGTCGGCCGTGTGATGCCCCCTCTCACGGTGGAACTCGCAGAACCTATCCAAGTTTTGCTCATTTGGGCGCCCCCGCATGGGACCCGGCCAGCGAAGGTGATATCATTTGTCTCTCGCGTATTGCAGCACGTTCCTCAGAGTATCGTTGAGTTCGGTGAAGTTTGTGGCGCTCCTGGGGGGAAAGCGTGAAGGCTCGGGCCGGCGAGCCTTCTGGGGGTAGCCCTGCGCGCCTTGCATGGCAGGAGTCGGTCGGGGCGTCCGGGCTGCTTCCGCCTCGTCAGGGCGCGTCTCTCTTTGCTCCAATCTCCTTGCGGCCAACGTCTCCTCCAACATTATGACCTTCTGCACCCGGCGATCCAAGTCTTCCGTGGACACCACGTCGCGCTTCGAAAGCGCTCGACAAAGTTCTTCGCTGTTGGTGCACTCGTCCAAGCAACACCCCAGGACCGGTGGCTTAACATCCTTGACTGCCATCGCAACTGACATCCATCGCTCGTAGAAGTCCCGGAGCGCCTCGCCTTTTCTCTGCCGGACCTTGAACAACGCGCTGATCGTTAGGCTCCGACGCTTCCGGCTGGCAAACTTTGAGAGAAACATGGCCGCGAATTGTTCAAAGCTGTCGATCCTCCCTTCTTCAATCTGGTGATACCAGTCCAGCACCACGCCGACAAAGGTCGATGGGAAGGCGCGGCAGAGCGTGGCATCCGAGCTGTTGTACAGTTGCATCTTGGTGAAGTAATTGTTCAGGTGATCCTCCGGGTCGGATGTACCGTCGTAACTGGGAAGCGCCGGTATGACCGAGTTGGCCTGCTCTGCTAGAACACTTCGCGCCAAAGGCTGCCTCACTCCCCACAGACGCCCCAGGCGCCTTGGCGCCCATGCATTGCGCTCCTCGAGGTCTGGCGCCTCACGCCGAATTTGGTGGCCCGCGTCCTCCGTACACCTTAACGCGCTTGTCATTCCGTCTTCTTCCTCGTCCATGTCCCTCTTCCTTCCGCCGCAGGGAGGCGCGACGTCCCCTCCCTTCCTCAGGACTTCCACTTCCTTCCTCAGAGCTTCAAGCGCCTTAGCCTGCTCCTCTATGATGCTGATCAAGTGTTCCTTGGTCAGCGTGTCGCCCTCCGACTGACCCATCACCTGCGCCTCATCTTCCTCCCATTGCGCCTCCTCAGAGGCATGAGGTGCTCCTTCCGAACCAGCCTCGTTTGGGGCGTGGCTCCTCTCGTCCGCTGTCTCCGATGCCTCCTCCATACTTGTGCCGCTTTGCCAAGGCTATAGTCCCCTTCCTGGCGCGCCAATTGTTTGTGCCACGTACTCCCCCCGCCTCGGATAGCTCCCTCGCTCTTAGGGCTCCCTCTGCGCCTTGGCTTCACGTCCGTCACCTGCACACCACGGCGCCCAGCGAACCCCTTGGCTGGGGTTCGTTAGCACTCCGACGCCCAAGTCAAGTCGATCTTTCTAGAGAGAGAAGTACCATGTAAGTTTAGAGAGAAGTTGGAACCTGAGTAAATGAGCTCCACCCACTTCACTATTTATACTCGGGGTAGGGCCGACCAGTGCCCCCCAAATCCGCCCCACGTCATCACCTCATTAAATGCACTGTACCTTCCTTTCCCCAGACGCCCTGCCATTCTGACACCAATCTTGACCCCGAAGGCGCATGGCCCCACCTCTTGTCCCCTCCGTACGTCCCTGGCCGTTACTTCCCCTTTTGTCGTTATGCACCCTGTTTCAGACCCGGTTCCACCACCTGGGCCATGGCCTTTAGCCCTTTTCTCGGCCCAGGCCCACACTCCGGGCCCAAGCCTACTTCTTAGTTCCTTGCTTGGGCCACTCACTATATGTCCCCCAACAAAACTCATACCTTGAAACACATAGGCATTGTGCATTGGGAAGAGCACATTATCAAATCCCATATCGCGTCCCATTTTGATTAGAAGCATGATCAACGCAACTTTAAAATCAAGTAATTATGTGATGATACATAACTCTCCTGGAATAAACATATCCCACCTAGCTTGTAACTCTATGCAAGTCCTGTATAGAGTACAAGCATGGCCAACATTTATTCAGTTGAGTTATCTCATCACATTCGGGCTAGATTGGAGGCAAATCGATTGTGTGAGTGATCAATTCTCACCTATGTTGTCATATCCTTTTCATTTCTCAAGTCTAACATACAAGGTATCAAGTGTAACCAAATTATATTGTGGCCTAACCAACTTTGAATACTTTAGGCATATACATCACACTAATGTATATTGAGCATAAGCGCCATAACTTAACGACTGCAATCTTAATTAATCACTTAGTTTATCTTTTTTGCTCTTTTAGTTGAAATAATTAGTGCATCTAGATACCTACTCATATGTCCAAGTCAAAATAACACAAGATAATTCTTAATTTTAAAGATATTTTCTTATATAGTAGATTCGACAAGAATCATCAAGACAAACTCTTCAACATAACAACGTAATTTTTTTTTCCTTCTATGACCCTGTGCAAACTTCAATCCTTGGTGAACTAATTAACTTAATCATATTCGTAAAATCAATCCTAACACAAATGATGACCTTCCTTGCTTGAACTAAACATATATAATCCAAACAGTAATCAAAATTGCAGGACGGATGGGAAGTTTCAGACCCAGAATTGATAATTAATTACTATAGAATTCTAAGGGTGGCTTTGGGTTGTCAGAAATTAAAGATCACAGTGATAATTAGATTACAGATTATGTGAGTTTAAATTGCAAAACCAATTAATTCTTCCTTTGTGTAATTTACCGATTGCCTTTACTTCAGGAGACCACATTTACTGACTCCAAACCCGTAACATTCACCTCATCAGCTTCAGTTTCCACTACCGGGGTGCAACAAGTACCTTAAAAATCCCATTAATTAGGTTCTGGTTAAAACGGATTCAATAAAACATATTTTTATCTAGAATGAAAAAGGTCAACTCCAATTCATAAAATACGAAAGCGTCGACTCGCAATTATCTCAACCTGTCAACTTCTTAGTACGAGATTTACTTACAATTGGAAATGTGAATAGGCGGGGCGAAATAGGTAACTCAATACTCGTGCATCAGACGTACACCAAATTGGGTAAATATCTATATGGGGTATGAATCGAGGCAGCTGGCTGATTCATTTTTAGATGCGATAATAATCGTGTAATAACATCTTGATTTCTATATGGAAAATAAAATGAGAGTACCTAAATAAAAAAGGAAGAGAATCACGGTATCACGAACTCGAATGATGTGAAAGCACTAAATTAAAACCACATTAGTTCATATAAGAGTTTGAAGTAGCATATATACTCGGTAAATTTCAGCATGGAATGGGATGTGTTGTACCTATGCAGAATGGGCCAGAACTTATAAGATAATGCGGGTTAATTCGAAATGATAACATCTCGATTATGAATGATTTATTTATTGTTACGAGATAGAAATGATGAATATAATAAAATTAAGTTAGATAAATTAAATACCAGGTTATCTAGCAAATATATTTCTTGATGTGATATTTTTAACATAATAGACTCCAAGTTGCATAATGTTTTGTGATCCTAATTAAATAAAAAATATTTCTTCTTAATGTCGATATAACAAAAATATAGTTGATTGAAATACAAGTAACGGTTAAAATAAGAAATCGCTTTAAAGGAGAAGATTATCGTTTGGTCTATATTGTATCACTAATAAGTCATTTTGAGAAAATAACTAAATGAGTAAAAAATGTGTGTAGATTCCTTTAGATAATTACAAACATAAAATGGCAAAAACCCTAGTGTGAGATTTGGAGCCATCAATCACCAAGAAAATAATAAAGAAGTGATTTTGATACACTCACATAAATTAAAAAGAAGTATACATAGTATATAATCAAAGACACCCTTTTTATTCCTACATCTTTAATGGGTAAAATCTCCTTCTCTACTACAATATAATGTCCATACATTCCTGTATTTATATGGATATGAATATAGATATCTATATCTATATCTAATTCCCATCCAAAAAGAGAGCAAAAATTGCCAAAAGAATTGGCAAAAATAAGTTGGAGTACTTGAAGATAACTAATGTTCTTCTTCTACACCCAAAGTTCTTATGTCACCATCCCATATTATGCAATATTTTGTTACCATTAATTTCCCTTTTGAGTATATTATATTATTACGACGGGGCTACGAAATTTGTCAGAATCCTTTCTTCTGCGACACCAGCATCATCTCTACCAAGTCGAGCTCCTTTTTCACCTCAAAGTCCAGCGCCGCCGCCGCCGCTGCATCCTCCTTCGCCGGCACTTCCGGCTCGTCGTCGAAGCTCTTCCCGTCGACCGACAACAACGGCGCACAGGGAGGCAGCCCGTCGAGCAGCGAATCGATGTTGCACCCGTCCTGGAAAATCTTGTCATCGAATCCAAAATCAGGGACCTCTTCGTTACTGAAGTCGAAATTGGGTACCAATCTATCATTTTCATACAAGTCCTCATCCAAGCTGCTTTCCTGCTGCTGCTGGTGCTGTTGATTATTATTGCCACAAGGGCCATTCTCCTGATGATTGTTGTTGTTCTTCTTCTTGGACGTTGATCTCCTGCCGTGAAGGTTACTCGAATTGTCCAAATTCAAGCTCTTGATGTAGTCCTGCAGAATCGATCCGCGCGGGTACTTGGAGCGACATTTTCGCTTCGAGTACTGCCTTCTCTTGGTCGCGTTCCAGTGGTTCTTGATCGAGTTCTCTGTTCTCCCGGGGAGCCTCTTCGCGATCTCCGCCCATTTGTTACCGATCTCCCCGTGCGATCGTATCAAAACTCTGTCCTCCTCTTCGGTCCACGTATCTTTCTGATCAATCAAAATACACAAAAGGTATAGTAGGAAGAAAGTACTGGTCAACACCACCCCTGTTCCACGGAGTGATGATGATATACTATCTCTAAGCGCGTTTTCGATTCGCGCACAGAGGAGAATGATGATTAATTTCCGTTACCTTGATATCAGGCCGGAGATGATTGTGCCATCTCTCTCGACACTGCTTCCCGATTCTACCAGGTAGCATTTGAGCAATGTGTGACCATTTTCTGATCCCAAATTGTTCCACTAGCTGAACTAACAACCTGAGTAAACAGAGCAATAAGGAAACACAACCAATTGACAAAAAAAACAGAGCATTACCTGATAAATCAATTGAATCTAATGTTGGTTTTTTTTTTTGTTATTGTTGTGTGTTATTCGTTATTACCTGTCCTCATCGACGGTCCATTGACCCTTGACAACGTTATTCTTCTTCCTGCCTTTCCATGTCTTCTTAGCAGTCGGAGGCAGTCCCAAAGCTCGATTGCTAACCCGATTCGTCAAATGGGTAGTGACAGCATTGCTTCTACTCATTCTGCTCTTGTATCCGTAGCCCGCTATCTCGTTCTGATGATGATAAGTTCCACCATTGTCGAGATTAAAGCAAGAAGACGACGAGAGTTCGTCGGGGATTGAAAACAAAGGCTTCATCTCTTGTGCTCCATCCACATTCACCATCTGATTGTTGTTATTAGTACATGATGATGATGATCCCATCATCTCAGCAATCGTCACATGGTGATTATAATTATTTCGATGAGGGATGGTGACACCATGGAAATTAGTGTCACTATTGATATGATGATCAACAAAGGGCTTGCACTCATACTCATAAAAATCCATGTTTGATGAAGAGGAACCGTAAGGGAAAGCATCAAAACCAGAGGAATCGAAATTGCAACCGTTGTGGACTACTCCAAACACCTGGTCTTGGTCTTCCTCTTCATCAAGGTTGTGGAATTCCTCAAGGAATCCTTTTGATGATGATGACGGCGGCGGCGGCAGTATTGGCGGTGGCTCATAGTGAAATTCATCATCTTGGTGGTGGTGGGAGGTGATGTAGTTTTCAGAGAAGAACATTGTTGGTGGTGGTTGTTGGGAGGAAGGGGAGACAAAATCTTGGTCCCTCAAATTGTGATTTTCATAATCCATTGTTTGAAAGGAAGAATTGAAGAGGAATGTTTTTGGTTTTTGGAAATGAAATCAGCAAGGAAACTGTAAAGGAATGGTATAAATTTTCTTATGGAAGGTTTTATTGAGAGGGGTAAAAAGAGCAAGAGGGAGGAGAGAGCTAGTAGCTAAGCTTAATGTTTATCTTTTTCATTGTGCTCGTCTTAATAGTGAATTTTCTGGATGGGGTTCGAAAAAGAAACCACATTTATTATCGTGGTCAATCTCGATCGTTGATTGTGTCTGTGATCGGATGGTTGAGGTTCTTTTTCGATTGTTTAGCACTTGCCCGAATGCGTTTTAGTGAGGTATTAGAGAGGAGGGGCATTTTTGTAAAATGTTAGTACAGTAATTACTCACATTTAAATGGGTCAATTTGGAAAATTCAATGGTCAACGAGGGAGTCAAAGATTAGTTTCCTTGTTCATCCTATGAGGGGGCAGAATCATGTCCTTCTCAGGTATCATCCGACATGTATTGACCCCTCCACGTGGCAGTTTTTCGTTGGCTAATGTTGTATTTCTACCAAAATTAATTATAATCAAATTAAGAACCTTAAATCTAGTTGGGTGTTAATTGTTCTCAATGTTTTATTTGTCGTAGGAGATATTTTATTTTTCAAAAGGAAAATTAAAAGGAAGAAAGGAATTCCAGGTGTAAATGAGTATTTAGGTGTCATAGCATTTAGAAACCGATATTTATTGCAAACTGACTATGTAGTAGTAATTAGGGGCTTGTTTTATATATTAATTTCTTAGTTTTTGCATTGATGTCAAAAGGGTTAAAGGTTTAAAACAAAAAAAAATGGTTTGAATAAACACCATAATGACAAAGGTTAGATTAAAAGACAATTAAAAGCCATGTTTAATATAATTCATTAAGTTATGAGCTCTCCTTCTAAATTTTGTGATTAATGAAGGTCAAGTAATTAACGTCTCCTCTCGATATCGTTCTTTCTTCTAGACATATGATGATGATGATAATAATAATAATTATTCTTATACTGTTGCTATTTCTTTGTTAATGGAAAGACATTGACATGGACGTTTACAAACTTTCAACATAATTTTGCTTTGTCCGTGGGAAATGAGTAGGGGTGACAAAAATATCTATAATTGTGGATATTTGTACGAATGCGACCTAATTAATGAAAAACTTGAATTTGAAGAATTATCAGTAGGTATGAATAACGCCCGAACCCGAATATCACGATAGTGAATAGACATGATTTTATCACTATCTAACCAGAATGCGTCCAATCATAAACATGCAGGTGTATTTTGTCTAAGAGTGATCATTATTTTTTTTTGATGTATTGGTGGGATCTTCATTCATCAAAAATGGGTTTCTAGCAACTTCCCTGCTAACTAGGATATAACAACGAAACAAAGATTAACATAGAAGAACAAAACCTATAAGAACCGAGACTCTAAGGCAGACTAACTGACCAAAAATCAGAGACCCTCTGCAAACCCAATACACACTCAATTCCCCCTGAATAATCTTCAACAGGACCTGGAACTCTTTTGCTTCTCCTGTATACAGTCTCCTACATCTCTCCCTCCATAAATGGCTCACCCAGGCCTGCTAGATTGCACGTCCAGATTCAGCAGCTTCAGTCGATCCACCAAGCTTCCTAATCAAGAAAGCCATCAACTCGTCCCAGTTACGCACCATAGGCATCTGCAAGTATCTGCAAAAAAGAGCAGCAAACATCTGCCTCGAGAACATACACTGAACATACAGGTGATCCCTATCATCTATCCCTATCTTACACAAACAACATGACACGTCTCCTGAAAAACCCCATTTCAACATCTTCCTTTTAGTATTTATGCTTCCCCTGATAAGCAGCCATGTGATAATTCTGTTTCTGGGAATGGTAACTCCCTTCCACAAGATTGTCCACCATGGCACTCTTTGTTGACAAGGTCTAATCAGTTTCCATATCTTCCTAATTGAATAGCGAGGCATAATAGTATTATCAATCAAGAGAGCACCACTACGAACTGATATCAGTGATTCCACTTTACTTCTCAACTTCAAGAGTTTCTTCCAGTTCCAGGAGGCTGATGTGCAGGTATAAGACCAGAGGTCTCTACCTTTCAGTTTGTAACGAATAACCCAAGCAACCCAAATAGAACCTTCTTGAAGTAGTATTAACCAAATGTGTCGAATCATACATGCCCGATTCCAACTGTACATGTCCCTGAACCCCAGTCCTCCCTCTTTCTTAGGGTAAGCCAACTTCTGCCAAGCAACATTTGCCCTCAACTTCATACCACTGCCAACTCCCCAGACAAAATGGCTGCAAATCTTCTCAACTTCTTTAATAAGAGACTTAGGGAGCAAAAAGATAGACATCCAAAACTGTGTTATACTGTATAAAACAGCTCCCACAAGCTCAATTCTTCCTGCATAGGAAATTGATTTTGCTTGCCAACTCTTAACACGAGCAAGGAGCTTATCAATAAGAGGTCTGCAGGCAGCAACACTTAACTTCCCAGAAATCAGTGGAACTCCTAGATAACGAACTGGGAATTCCCCAAGCTGGTAGCCAAATCTAGAAGCCCTCACTTTTCTCTCATCTTTATCAATTCCCCCAAAGAAGATTTCACATTTGCTAGGATTGGATTTCAGACCTGAGAGCTTCTTAAACTGAGCCAAAATTCTTTGCAACTCAAACAACCCAGAATTTGAACCATTAGAGAAGACCAACAGGTCATCAGCAAAGCACAAATGTGTCAACTGGACACCTTTACACATTGGATGATAAGGAAACAACCCCCCAGAGGCAGATTTGTCAATCAAACAGGTAAAAATCTCCATGGCAATAGAAAACAGATATGGGGACAAGGGATCCCCTTGTTGAAACCTTTTTTTGAAGGAAAATAACCCACTAGCCCCCCCATTGAAACTCACACTCAACATGGGGGTCTCCACACACATTCTGGTCCAGGTAACAAATCTCTCAGGAAATCCCATTCCCTTCAGAACTTGACTAATGAAGGTCCAATCTACTGAATCGAACGCCTTCATTAGATCAATCTTTAAAGCACAGCGGGGAGAAATGTTCTGCTGAGAATATTTACTAACTAGCTCATGAGCTAATAGTATATTTTCTCCAATAATCTTCCTTTTACAAACGCTGTTTGATTCTTACATAAGGTTATAAGTATAATATGCAACTCTATTATGCATTTTTATCAAACATGTCACTCTACTATTTTTTTATCAAACATGCCCCCTGTACTTTGAAAAAATTATCAAACCATTATGTTAAAATTTTCATCCAAAAATCGTCAACTACGGTCAAACCATGGTTTAAATGTCCTCGGCAAAATAATAGGGAAAATGTTCATTTATTTCTCTGAATTTTATTAAAGTGGAATTATTAGGGGTACAGGGCTACACAAAATAAAATAAAATAAAAAAGTTTAAGTGAAACTTTCAGTGATATTTTAGAAATTCACTTAAAAAATTTCGTTGAGACTTCAGTGTTTGGATGAAAAACCATTAGGTAAAATATACCTCTCTACTCTGAATTTTTATCATACATGTCCCCCTACTATTTTTTACATCAAACATACCCCTGTACTTTAGAAAATTATTAAACACGTTATTCTGCTAAAATTTCCATCCAAAGGCGCAACCACGGTCGAATCTGCAACCAAAAATTGCTTTTGCAAAAAAATACATCACTGTCAAACTAGCTCAATTTTACAACAAAGTCGAACCAACAAATATGTACGGTTCTAATTCGATTATGATTTGGCTGTCGTCAAGTAACGCCATATTTAAATGAATATAAAACGATAACTAAATCATTTTAAATGTCTGATTAACCATAACAAAACTCTTTCTATAATATTTGCTAGTCCAGTTACCTAAGCTAAAAATGTGAAGTTCACATCATCGTCAACCTCATGCGTCAAATGAACAGTAACTCAAAATAGGCGAAATACGTCAGTTCGGAAAGAGAAGACAGAGATGCTCACCAAAATGCGACGGAAGGGAAAAGTGGTGTGAATGTGCTCATCTGATAACAAAAAGCTACAGCGGGCACTAAAAGCAGAGGTGCTCTCGCAGTCGCAGCTGCCATGGAAATGGAAGAAACGAGGCCTGGGGGCCAAAACTCTGAGATAAAATAAATCATCGACCTCGTGCTAATGCCGAGTTGCCGACTCTAAATAAACAAAACAAAAAATGTCGACTCTGTTTCTTCACCTTTTCCTCTTTTTACTCCACATAATCCTCTTATCCCGCCTTCTTCTTCCCCGGTGGATCCAGACCAAACTCCGCCGCCGTCTCTTCGCAACTCCTCCTTCGTCCGCCACCACTTCTTCTCCGGCGGCGTCTGCTTCCGTTGAGCCCAAAACCGGCAAAAATCCGTTTCCTCTCACTCTCCTGCCCAAGTACGACGTCTTCATCAGTTTCAGAGGGGAGGATGTTCGAGACGCCTTCCTGAGCCATCTCTACTCTCATCTGAAGCGACAACAAGAAGGTCTGCGCCTACAAAGACGACAGGGATTTGGGAAGAGGAGAGCAGATCTCTGCGTCTCTGGTGGAAGCAATCGAGAGATCCACGGTTTACTTGGTGATTTTCTCCCCCAATTACGCCAACTCCAGATGGTGCTTGGAGGAGCTCGTCAAGATCCTCGACTGCAGCCGACGGTACGGGCGGAAGGTGATCCCGGTGTTTTACGGCGGGACGGATCCCTCCCAGGTCCGAAATCAAACAGGGAGCTATGCGGATGGCTTCGCTCGACGGTACCGAAATCTGCCGGCGGAGAAAGTCCAGGGCTGGAGGGCGGCGCTCCGGGAAGCGGCCAACATTTCCGGGTTCGACTCACGGATCACCAGGTTTAGCCCCTAATCCTGTGAAAACTTAGAAGAACCCTTATGAGATTTGTTTGAGCTATGAAACCCTATTGCCTCTTACTAAGAATTGTAGTTATTGAAGCCCCATTGAATCCATTTCCGAGACATTTTTAGTGAAGGTTACCTGCCAATGAAAAAGGTTCAAGTAATTGCATTTGACAGGCCTGAAACTGATCTAATCAAGGAAATCTCAAAAGCTGTGGTTGAGAGGATGCACAGTCAAATGATGCTGCCATCAAATGCTACATATGGTTTGGTAGGAGTAGAGAAAAGCATGAGAGCAATTGGGTTGTCATTGTGCATTGAGACGGAAGCTAACTGGACGATAGGACTGTGTGGAATGGGTGGCATCGGGAAGACGACTCTTGCGAAAGCTATATACGACGGATTCTCTAGTCAATTTGAAGCTTCGTGTTTTGTCAGTAATTTTGCGGACCACCTAAGTAGGTTACCACAGTTGTTTGATGGTCTGCAAAATGAATTGTTCTCGAGGTTGTTGCCAAACGAGAATGGGTATAGCATACCTGCTAGTTTCAAGCTCAACCGCCTCCGCCGGATAAAGGCTCTCATTGTCATCGACGACGTGGACAACATTAAGCAGTTGGGGGATCTATTTGATAGACGATATTGTGATTTATTTGGACCCGGGAGTAGAATTGTTTTAACTAGTAGGAACAAGCAGTTCCTTAAGAACGTGTGTCATCAAATATATGAAGTTAATCCTTTGGATGAGAATGAATCTCTTCAACTTTTCTGCTTACATGCCTTCAAGGAAGATCATCCACCACCTGGATATTTATGGGCCTCCAATCTAGCTATAACCTATGCAAGTGGCAACCCGTTAGCTCTTAAAGTTCTAGGCTCAAATTTGTATGGTCGAAACAAGGAGTTTTGGGACTGTGAATTGAAGATCTTGCGAAACAGACCCGATGAAGACATCAAGAATGTTGTCTTGAGGAGGAGTTATGATGGTTTAAACGAAGTGGAGAAAAGTGCGTACCTTGATATTGCCTGTGTCTACGACCCATGGGGTAGTACATATGATATGTTGGGGAAATTTGAGGAGAAAGTATTAGATGGATGTTATGCAGAATATGGTGGGTCTTGTAACCTCGTTACTAAGCTCGCGGATAAGTCTCTTTTAAGTATTGGTGATTCTCTTGGAATACAAATGCACAGATTGCTTCAAGATCTGGGTCGCAACATCGTCAATGAAGAGCGAAGTGTTGGAAAACGTTCTAGGTTGTGGGAAGCTAAAGATATATATAATTTGCTCATCCAGAAGAAGGCAAGTGTGAAAACAACTTATCATCCCAAGATGGGTGAGGCTCTTGACACTTATTGTTAAGCTTGTTAATCAGTTTGGTAATTGTTTGTGTTAAACAGGGGAGTGAATCTGTCGAAGTCATCGTTTGGAATTTATGTGAAATGCAGTATGAGGCTGGCGAAATATGTGTGGACTCTGATGCTTTTCGGAACTTGGAAAATCTTAGGATACTAGCAATTTACAATTATGATGCTCTGCCAGAACTGGTACTTCCCGAGGATGGGCTGGAATGTTTGCCAGAAACGTTGAGGTGCCTTTACTGGGATTTCTTCCCTTCAAGATGGTTCGGATCTAAATTCTCTCCTCAGAATCTTGTTTCACTTGATTTGCGCCATAGTAACATTGAGCAACTATGGGAAGGGGCACATAATGTAGTAAGTAAATTTGCAGTGACAGTATGGATTGTCTCTATTGTTTTTCTTCTATCTTTTCTGGGAAATGAGCAAAATACTTGATATCTTTCACGTACATTGTTGACCTTGCAGTTATTTACATTGATTTGTAGGATCTGGGAAATTTGAAGTACCTTAATTTAAGGGAATCCCAACACCTGAGCAAGTTGCCTAGTTTTTCCACGGCGAAGAAACTTGAGTGGATCGATTTGGAGTACTGTGAAAGCTTAGTTGAGCTTCCCCTGTCAATTTTCTATCTTCCCAGGCTGGAAGTCCTCCTTCTAAGGTATTGTACAAGTCTGAATCTGACTGACCTGGTGGGTCGTTGCAGAGAAGAAATTGGCTCCCAGATGTTACCAAATCTGAAAAATTTAGACATAACTGGGACAGCAACCCAAAAGATTCCCGATTTTTTCTGCCACTCCCAAATTGTGGAGCTTTATTGCGACAATTGCCCAGACATGACAGAATTTCCAGTCATCCCAAGCGTCAAAGCCTTGAGCTTGAGTGGAACCTTGATCCATGGACCGATCGAAGTTGAGTTTCTTTACGGGTTGAAGGAATTGACCTGTACAGATAACCGCCATCTACTTTGTCTCTCGAATGGCTTCTGTGACTTGAAATCGCTTGAAAGAATCGATCTAAGTGGGTGCAGCCAGCTAAAGGAGTTCCCAGATATCATGGAACCTATGGGAGCTTTGTTGAGCGTTCGTTTAACTGGTTGCAGCAATCTGTCAACTCTTCCTGACAGCATATGTAATCTGACACACTTGGGAGAGCTTGATCTGCGGAATTCAGGAATTACAGAGCTTCCGTCCTCCATCGGAGATCTGATACACTTGTGGCACTTGGGACTTGCGTGTTGTACAAGTCTCACAACCCTTCCAAACACCATCCACAAGCTGTGCAAATTGGTTTGGCTCGACTTGTCAAACTGCATTCTACTGACTCAGTTACCTGAGCTCCCTTCATCCTTGGAACATCTGAATGCACATGGGTGCAGGTCGCTTCGGACAGTGTCGTGCATAGAGAAACACAACCTCTGCACTGGTAAGTGGAGCTTTGGCAACTGTCCCGAGCTCGATCCAAACTCTTTCAGGGAGCTTGTAGCTAAGGTATCTGTCTCTCTCGCTCGCTATCTCGTATTTTTGGTTCGTTATCTCCGTACAATTCAGTCCACGTTGTTTTTCTTACTGTTTGTTGCTCCATTTTTTTCATTGGACCAGTTTACCCGTGATGTTGAAGAATGTCATTTGAGAGTTCCCCAGAAGCCAACTATTATACTTCCAGCAGAAGGTGCTATGGGGGAAGCAATGAGATCTTCGGTGTTGGTGGAGCTGCGGCAGACTTGGAGGCTGAAGGGCCTAATTTACTGGGCTCTCCTCGACTTCTCCTGCCTTGTCAATATAGCTTCCGCCGGCGCCTACCGCGGGCATACACTTCCCGGGAAGTACCACGTGGACTGCTCTATCCGCAACGGTGGCGGCAGGGAAGATATCGTCAGCAGGTGTGAGTTGGAAGCAGCGGTGGATGACCATGCCGGAGGAGATGGGAACCGCCTGCTGATAATGTGGTATGAAGATGGCTTTAACTGGAACAGCTTTGAGGGTGGCGAAGACGAAAATGCGACTATCTTTGTTGAGTTCTTCTTTCGCGCTGGCTTTCCCGTCCGTTCAAAGGGGATGGAAATGTCGAACCCGATCATGAGTTGTGGTGTACTATGGCACGTATACGACGACAGAGTGACGTATTTGAGCTAACTTCTTCACTCTTTGATTCAGCCTACTTCAATATTCTTGGGATATATTCATGCTCGTGAGGTTTCGACATGCGACAGGGGGTAATTGAACTAACTTGTGCATGATTCGTTGATATGTCGCAAAAAAGTTGTTAAGCTTGTATATCGCGAGTAGCATACTCGGTGAAAGAACTCCGACTAGTCTCTTTGTTTTGGTGATCCGGGGATTTCCTAGGCATAAGGTCTCGTCATAGCTAGAGCAATTGTTGATTTACATTTACAACAATGCAACCACGATTTCTTTTCACGCCATGCATTGAACATTTGATACAAATTACATGTATGCGCGATTTCTCGTCATGCCATATGCAATGACTAATGTAAGCAAGCAAGAGTGATAAATCACAAATCCGAACTTAACATAGATATACGACAACAGAGTGACGAATTTGAACTAACTTGTTCACTCTTTGATTCAGCCTACTTCATTCTTCTTGGGATATATTCATGCTCGTGATATTTTGACATGCGACATGGGTAATTGAACTAACTTGCTCACGATTAGTTGATATGTCACAAGAAAGTTGTTAAACTTGTATATCTTGATTAGCATACTCGGTGAAAGAACTCGAGTAATCTCTTATTTTGGTGATCCAGTGATTTATTAGGCGCAAGGTTTTGCCATACCTAGAGCAATCATCTATTTACATTTGCAACAATGCAAACATGACTTCTCGTCATGCCATGCATTGACTATTGATACAAATCACATGTATGCGTGATTTCTTGTCATGCCATGTACGATGATTGATGTAAGCAAGTAAGAGTGATAACTCACGAGTCCGACCTTAGCATAGATATATTACTAGCTAAAGAAAGTATGGATGCACATAGGATTCACCCTCGAAACAACGAGGTGTGCTTAACTCAACATAAAGAGAGAGTGTGCTGACATGGTGGTGACTGATTTATTGTGAGACTAAATTACTAGAGTTTACTCCAAAATTAAATTGCAGTTCACCTCAAAACGGTGGCGATACCCTCGTTGATGGAGCGGGAGGACGATCATTAGTGCAACTTAAATGCAAAATGAGTAAAACCAATGCAATAAAAAGAATTAATAACAAACATGAAACAAATTAATGAACTAGCTGATCAAACATGTCATTTAATTGAGTTATATATAGTATTTCACGGGGTGAGATACAGTGGCGTAGCCAGACTTTGAGTTGACTGGGGTCCTTAAAATTTTCAAAGAACTAAAGTTTGTGTATGTTATGAACTTTGAGTTGATTGTTGTCCTTAGATGAGCTAACATCAACGAGAGTATGGGGTCCTATATTTGAAAGATTATACAAAACCCTACGTATCCAAAGGATTTGGTTGCCCCATTTTTTTCCAACTGGGGTCCTAGGACTCCTCTCCCCAACAAGTGGCTCCGCCACTGGTGAGATACCGTCACTTCCCTTTTAAGGGTTGTGAGATACGCTACCCACCTTCTAGTCATTAGATTCATTATCACTCCTTTTTTTGAATGGAAGGAGATTAATCAAAGGGTATTTTTGGACGAAAAAATAATCACAAGATTTCTCTCCCCTAGTAACTCTACATATTCCTCTCCTCTCTATTCCTCTAACCCTAACAGATTCATCCTACTCTCATCGTTCTGCCGCCACCACCATCCTCTCCTCCTGTCGTCGCCACTGCCCCCTTCCCTCTCCTCATCTCCTCCGCCCACTCACACCACCGCCGCTGCCCCCTACGCAGCTCTCGGCGTCCCCTCCACCCCCTATCGTGCCCTCCGTCTCCCCCTTCCTCCGCCTCCCACCACCACCGCCACGAGGTCCCCGTTGCAAGGTCACAACCTCCCCTTTTCCTCATCCTTTTTTTCAGATTTGTAATTTTCGGATTTCATATCTGTTTTTTTTGTGGGCGTTAGTCTCTAGTGATAGTGATTTCCATCTGGTACCGTACCAGTGGTTAGTGGTACCACTATCAGTGGTAGCGTACCACTATCACTGGTAGCGCTACCACTAAACGAAAATCATACCACTAGCGCACTAACGGAGTGGTAATTTCTTGCAGGTGGCCGAACCGAGTCTGATTCAAGGATTTCGCTGGAGAAAGTTTGTCGGTCGGAAAGTAAGCCGGTCGGAGTGGAGTGGATGGTGGAAAAGGAAGAGAGAGATAGGAAGAGAGAGAAATGTATTTTTGGTAGGATTTAAATTTACAAATAAATCAATGTATTTAATATGGGTTTTAAATTTCCAAAATGTAATTAATACAAAAGAAAAGTAATTAATAATATTCTTTTTTGGGCTACTCAAATTGTCTTTGGTTGTGAAACTCACAACCCTTTGAGGGAAGTGATGGTATCCATCCCGTATTTTTCTGTAGTGGTGGTCACTATGATAACCAATGACAAAGTGAGTATGAAAAATAAATCTTTATTAATTAGGGTCGTTTGGAAGTTATGATTCTAAATAAATGATTCTTTGAATTCATGTATTCTGGAGAATCCATCGTTTTTTTTGTTCCAAAACTTTATTCAATACATGCATTTGAGGTGAGCTCTCAAATCACATATCACCCACAATCACTCATTTTAAATCTCAACAAAATGTGAGATTCTTCCTTTGCGATTGTGGGCTTTAGGGGTCGTTTGGAAGTTGCGATTGTTAAATAGATGTATTGTTGAGAATGCATGTATAATATTATACATGTATTGTCGAATTTGATGCATTGTAGAATACAACGTTTGGCATGTGTGGTTGTGTATGTCGCATCAGCTAAAAACTTAGACAAAACAATCTCATCTCAACTATCTCAACAATCACAACTAAAAGTTGAGATATAACAATCACTCAAAATGAGTGATAGTTTCTGTCACATCATAGAAACAATCCATGTATTGTTTCTACTAAAAAAACAAAAAAAAAATGATGCATTGTAAACAATACATGCATAATGACAATCTCAACAAAACAATCGCAACTTCCAAACGACCCCTTAATTTGTTCCACTTTTAGCTCATGAAGTGATTCTTTCTTTTCTTTAAAAATTTTGAATGAATACAAACAAGACATTTTTTCAATCATATAATTCTTACAATCTTTGTATTTACAAAACATGTATTCATCAAATACACATATTTGAAAAATTGCAACTTACAAACGACCCCTAAACTTTTCTAGTAAATTACATTTAAGGAAGTTACAAATACCTATTAATTACATTACTCTCTCCCAAATCCCCTTCTTTCACTCTCTATCACTTCTGCTTCTTCGACCACCTCTCTGTCTTCTTCTTCTCAATTCTTTTGTCTCCGTTTTGAGGGTAAAATACCTTGGGTACCACTTAAATTTGAGAATTGGGGCAGACATACCACTTAAGTTTGAATAGGGCGTCGGATACCACTGAACTCTATTATTTGTGCACCCGATACCACTTAAGTTTAATGTTAGGTGCAGACCGTTAAAGTTAACAGAATATTCTTGGAATATTTTGTTTTCTAAATTTCTTAATTGGTCCTTCTACTTTTCTTATTGTAAAAAATCATTTTGACTTATAAAAAACATCAATTTTTATTATTTAGTTGGTATTCTCTTTTGAAGACTTGATACCAAATTAATTTTTGAATAGAAAATTTAGAATCAACTATCATTATAAGTATTTTCAATTATCATTATATTTTCTAATAATTGAATTATTCTCTAAAGCAAATATATCCTATGAATTCTATTTAGTTGGAATCCTCTTTTGAAGACTTTGATACCAAACCAATTTTTTAATAGGAAATGTAGTATCAATTATCATTATAAGTATTTTCAATTACCATTATATGTTATAATAATCGAATAATTTGCTGAAGCAAATATATACTATGAATTATATATCGATATAAATCATCTGAGGATGTTATATTTAATTCTCGTACATCATTCTGGTGTTGTATAACTTTCTATGTTAAATATCCTCGTAATTTTCTAATATTATATTTTAGATGTTCCATATTAATTAAATTTACTAATTATAATTCTCTTTCTATAGTGGTATTTTCTTTTCTAGATTTGTTACGGAATGTTGTAGATTTTATTACTAGAATTTTGGTTACTTCCGTTCTCTTTTCGTTCTAAATTTTCTTCAACTATTGGAATATGTTTAATTCTTTCTGACTCGATTCCATTTATCCTTCTTTGGTCTTGATGTATTTATGATCGACTTGGTTCTATTTTAACTATTTTTAATAGTACTTCTAATTGGATTAGCAATTTAAATAGATCTTCTAATATTGATTTTAAATATTTATTATTATATTCTATATATTTATTCTTCTTCTTGATATTTATTTATTATTTTTACTAATTTATCTATTTTATTGTCAATTTTGATTAGTCATTTTAGTAATATTATGTTTAGAATTTTTTTTAATTTCTATATTTGATAAAAACTTGTTGAAATATAGTTTTGGATGTTTTCAAAAGTTTTGGGTACCAAAAAGTAATTAAAATTTTGGGTTGGATGAAAAACTAGACGGATACACATTTTTGCGACTTTAATGGTACCCGACGCCCTATTCAAACTTAAGTGGTATGTCTGACCCGGTTCTCAAACTTAAGTGGTACGCGAGGTATTTTACCCCGTTTTGATGAACAAATACTGTTGAAATGAACCAGTACCTGTCCAAACGTACGAATACCACTTTAAATAAATCAATACCATTACAAAAATAACACAACTGTACCCAATCATATAAAAAAACACTAACCTTTAAAACAAATCAATACTAGTTCAAACTTCAAACCAACAAATACCATAATACAAAACTCGAGTGTGAGTTTTAAAACAAGAAATCAATGTCGAATCATAAAAACACTATATATGGTCAATTATAGGCGTTAATTGCTAATTTGCTATGCATGAACGCTCTCCCGTGAAATGTTTCTTGTTTTGATCATTTGCGTAGTAGAAAACTTCAAACAAAAGCAGGAAGACGAATGAATTTGCTATCCACGAAGATGATGGCATAACTCAACATTTTCACATGGCATTGGGCGAACGTCGACAGCCGCTGCGTCACAATTTGGAGCATTTACGTTCGCCTGGCTGACCGAGGCTGCCTGCGATACCATGTACCAAACAGGAGGAGCACGCACCAACGTCTGTTTGCTACTCTACCGCCCCAATCAGAAGAGAACAGAATTGCAGGCTGGACACAATGAGGCCGCAGATCGTGCTGTTTGGCGATTCAATCACGGAGCAGTCTTTCAGATCAGGCGGCTGGGGTGCTTCCCTCGCCGACACTTACTCTCGCAAGGTAAACCCTAGCTGAGTTTTTTCCCCATTCCTGTTTCCTTGTGTTTGGGTTTCTGATTACGCCCATTGATCTAACGCTTGCAGGCTGATGTCTTCAATCGTGGCTATGGCGGGTACAACACCAGATGGGCTTTGTTTTTGCTGCATCACCTCTTCCCTCTTGTAATTTCTCCATCTTTTCTTAATGGGTGATTGGGGTTTCGGCAAATCCTGGGTGGGTGTCTGTTTCTGATTGGCTTTTCTTGTTTCGTTTTGTTTGAGATGGGGGGTAGGATTTGAGAAAGGCTCCTCCTGTTGCGGCCACTGTCTTCTTTGGGGCTAATGATGCGGCTCTGTTTGGCAGAACTAGCGAAAAGCAACATGTTCCCTTGGATGAATATAAGGAGAACCTCAGGAAGATTGTCAAGCATTTGAAGGTTGGTTTTCTTTCTTTCTTAAATTCTGGTGCTTTCAGTTTCCAAGATTGTAGATCTTCGGGAATTTGAACTGTAGTGCAAAGTAAGATTAGCTGTTGGGTATATATAATATCCTATGATAAAGTTCACAAGTTACTAGCCAAAAACCAGTTCCTTTGTTCTGTTCTCAAGACGAATTAACTAGGGATCATGCAGTGTTGCTACTTGCGAGCTTTGTGCCTTATTTTTTCTTGTTTAAGGTATAACTCTTCTGATCTGATTACCCTAACCAGATCTGAAACTGCACTATGTCGGATCTTGTCTCATTGACATTGGCGACCATTGTTAATTTAGCATGGAATAGATCGATCACTATAAACAACGAGAAACTATGTGATCTCCTAGAGTAAGGGTAGCTTCCAATAGTTCTCGAACAAAATTTTCACTTATCTTGCAGAAACAACTTTCTAGTCCTGAAATTGACCCTATCTGCATAGAGAAGCTAGTAGGGATTTGCATCACCATTGCAATTACAGTCTACTGGAACTGTTATCCTTCAAACTTAAGTGATTGGCTTCATTAGTCATCCATGATAGCAGTTGGACGTTTACACATTGGCTTTGTTTCTCTTCTGTGAAGTTGGATGGCACAAAGCAACCCTTATCTGGTACTTAGTTCTTATTCTCTCTGCTTATTTATTGGTAACCATGCAATGTGTACTAATGAATCAGTTAAACGAAGTTCGATTACATACTGCTACCAGTGAATGCAGAGAGTTTCCCCCACCCCCCCAACAGATGGAAATTTTATGTGCAGGAATCTTCACCTGCCATGCTGGTCGTGCTTATTACTCCACCACCAGTAGATGAGCCAGGGCGTAAAGCATATGCCAAGTACGTTATTTCCTCCTTCCATCCTATGTTTACAGGCAGGTTCTCATTATGATTTTCCCTTTCAGTGGATGTTAGTTCACCTCTTAGGTCCATAGAATTGTAGAGACATTGGACACGTAGGATTCTAGAAACCAAGTTAAACAGAAACCAAGATTATAAATAAAATTGTCTCCTTTTGCTCTTGAAGGCATACACTAGATATGTCTTTACATGCTAGACAATCCTCCCCTCTTGCCGTTCCATTTGATGATCTCTGAGTTTTATATTCACTCTTTGAGATCACTGCTAGTAGTTTATTTGCTAAGCGATCATGTCTCCTAGAATAGTAGGTGCTGGAGACTGTTTCCTTACTAGTCTCCTTCAGATGTCCCAACAAGTGTTTGTTTCCCTTTTTTGCATGGAGTAACCCATGAATGGCTCTGCCTATATATCCTCATATCATCTAAGAGACAGATTTGTAGGTCCTCTCTTATTTCTAGGTTAACAGTGGTGTTGTGATCTGTTCTAAATGACATGTAATCTCACATGTCCAGATCAGTATATGGTGAGAAAGCTATGGAATTCCCCGAGAGGACAAATGACATGGCTGGAGTTTATGCTTGGCAATGTGTGGATTTGGCCAAGGAACTGGGTGTGTGGTCCATTAATTTATGGTCCAAGATGCAGGAAACTGATGGCTGGCAGCAAAAATACCTGAGGTTATAATATTAGTTACACAGTTACCCTTCAACCCACCATTTTGTTTTGCAAATGGAATCAAGATGTTCCATCTTGATTGAGGGACACTAACCAACCTGAGTTTCATTCTGCAGTGATGGTCTACACCTGACACCGGAAGGAAATGCAGTGGTGTTCGAGGAAGTAGTAAACGTGTTCAGTGAAGCGTGGCTATCTCCTGCAGAAATGCCATTGGATTTCCCTCACCATTCTGAAATTGAAGGGGAAGACCCCGAGAAAGCTTTCCAATATCTGTGCTTGTAGCTTTGAGGAGGCTTGTATCTATTTTTCCTCAAGAGGATCGATCGCTTGGTTGGTTTGCTGCTGGATTTGAAGGCCCTCATTGGCATATCGTCCCATGACATACTGTCATGGTTGGAAGAAATTGGAGTCACAACTCCTGATGTGTTTAATCTTTTAGCATACAGATAGCAAAGTAAATCCGATTTGGTAAAACATGGTGAGCAGAGTTCAACTCAAGTATCTTTCTATTTTGGAAGTTCCCTACTTGATCATATCGCATTGTCCTATGTTTCAAAACCAAACTAATTCCATATTGAACCAATTGTATTGACAATAATGAGAATTGGTCTTTTCGATTATATGTTAATATACGAAATTTTATGTATCATTAGAAAATTTTGTGATTAGTGGTTGATAATTATCCATAGTAAAAAATTGTGACCAGTGTGGTTAGTTGATCATAATTCATATCAACTAACCTTTTCAGTTGGTCAAGATATCTGAATGGTGAGATTAAAAGGATATGCTGTTTTGATGTCATAAATCTAAACCTACTAAATGAGGAAGCTTCAACAAAATCGTGACAAGATTTCGATCAGGAGCCTAAACCTCTTTAATGAATGAATTGCTTGTTTGCTTGTTCCCCACTAAGCATCAAGATAAGCCACTTGCTAAAACCCATCAGATTTGAATCTCTCAAGTTGGTTAAAGTAGATTTCCCACTCTCTAAACCATGCTTGCTAGTTAGTGCCATAATCCCAGAGTAACCAACTTGCTCCATACAGAGCTGTTATGATATGCATGCATCCATTCATTCATGAATGTGTGCCCTCTGCCCACAAACTTACAACTAAGACATAACCTAACAACAACACTGAAAGACAGACACTCATGGAATGGAATTCAACTTAAAGCTTGGAACCAATTAGATAAACAAGCACACACCGAACTTAGTCGATACACATTACAGAAAGGAAAAGACCTCTCGAGCTCTTGATCAGTTAAACGGATGAACCAGGGGTGCCCTGACCAAGGCTAGATGGTCCTGGCCCTGGCCCGGGGCTTGGAGTTCTCTTCACTTCAACACCCTTCCCTCCATGCCTCGGGCTCCATTCTGACTTCAGCTCGACGACACGTGGGCTGTGTCGTCTCTGTGACAACCCCGGGCTAAATGCAGGCTTGATATCCTCCAACGATCCTGGAGTTGAACTAGTCAGCTTGGGACTCTGTGTGCGTCGGAACTCACCTCGACTCCTTGTGATCATCTCATCCAGAACTTCCCCACTGTCGATTTCAGGCGTTCTAGTTTGACCATGTTGTTCCTGGATCACATGAACTCATCATCATCATGTTAAGGCCTTTGCCATATATATTCCTATAAGTGAGCATAGAGTAGAGAGAAACAACACTGACCTCAAATGCCATGTTGTAGGAGACGGCAGGAGCTTCTTCATAGTCAGCAGCATCCAAATCCTGGAGGTGGGCTCCTTTGAAGAACTTGGGCAGTAGATACTGACGCACAGGGACTAAAAGCATGATGAGGAGTGGGAAAAGGACTCCAGCAATGGGGATCCACGTCAACCCAAAGCATACAAGTAGATAGGCTGTCTGGAACAAGGTGAACCCAGCAATTGTCTTGAACGGCACTGTTTCGATGAAGGTTGCATGACTGTCCTCCAGCACCCTGTGGCAGGTTAAATGACAGTCAGGATTGACCAGATATGGGCAGCAAAGGAGGATGATGAAACATGAACATGAGGTAACTCACTTGTATCTACGGCTGGGAGCAGTGAAGAGCAACAAGATTCTCTCCCAGAATTGGTTTCCAGGCAAGCTCTCGATGGCCATAAAAGCAAAGTATCCCCAAAGGACTGAAGTTGGGATCTTTTTAAGGAGAGGCATGGCAGCAACACATGTGCCAACCATTAGAGCTTGAAGCAAGTTGCTCAGGCGTTGTTCCTTGACCTCGACGGGCAAGAGATCATCAACATCTTTGTTAACATCAAAGACAGTCTCGTCAACTGGAGCATCAATGTAGCCAGTGCTTGAAGACAATTGGATGGTGGATTCTTTCAGCTCTTTCAATCCCTGTCAGCAGCAGCGAAGTCAAGCCAGGAGCAAAAAAAATAAGGAAAGATGATATATGTCCTACAAAGGTAAAAAGGTACCAGGCCAGATGGTTGTTGATAGACCAATGGAGTCTGCATCCCATTGTATGCCTCCTGCATGTTCTGATATAACTGACCGAGGTTTGAGTTTTTCCGGATGCTTTCCCGAGCTGTTGACACGAGCTTGTTCCTCAAAAGCTGTGAACAAGAGCAAATGAATGTCATCCTGAACGAAGAGGATGTAGGGACCATTTGATTAGTAAATTCAGTATACTGCAACCTGAGCATTACCTGCTGTTTCAGGGTAGCCAGACTCTTAGTATGCATTGGAGACTGTGGGATAACACCATTTGAAGGTGGGATGCCAAGTAGTCCACATATTATGACCTGATCAAGTAAAAATCCGACAAACATTACATTCTTCTGATCTACGAGTTGCATTGGGAGGAAGAATTCGTATATCTTAGAGGAATAAGGTTGTACCAAAACTCCCAAAAGAAGGAGGTCATAATGATAGGAAGCTGGTTTCTTCAAATTGAACTCCTCCTGTTGAGCAAGCTGAGAAGCAACACTGTGATCAAAGTAGTACAGCACTGCAATCATGGTTGCAGGAATGAAAGCTCCAACGATATACAAGGGTGGCACATGCATCATTTCCTGCCAAGAGCAAAGCAAAGTATGAAAAACTTGTATGGCATTGAGAAGCTTTGCAGAGTCGAGCTCTATGACATCAGTGCTAAAGTTCACCTTGATAACTGTCCAATTAGAATATGCACCAGGAGACCATGGATTTGGACTGAAGAGACGCCTAGGGATTCCTACTGGAACATCTCTAACTGGTATGTAAGATAGGCCAGTCCATACAACAACCAAGATTGGAACTCCATAATCTGCAATAAGTCCTCTCAACCAGCCTTCAAAGAAAGATCGGAAAGAAGTTAAACCTTTACGTTACAAAAGAGATTAGATGCATTTTGAAGCTTCTCTGACTTTCAATAAAGATAACGAATAGACAAAAAACCTCAATTAGATATCAAGAACAACACCATTATCCATAACATTGCGTTTTGTTAAAAGGCTCAATAGAATTTAGTACGTGTACCTGTTCCATAGCGCCATGACCTGGCTTTACGACTCTTTAGTGCAGTCAGAAGAAGACCAAAAGATAGGACCAAAGCAAACATTCCATTCCCAAAACGCCAAGCAGGCTGCAGTGCAGTTTCACGAGGGTTTTCTCTCTCAGGTAAGCCAAACTCTTCAACAACTCCCTGCAGGATCAAGTTCACAATTTGAATGGTGCTACAATTGGTACCAACTACTAACTTCTTTATTGTGTAGAACACTTCATTTTATCATTGGAGAAAGTCATCTGACTCAGCAAGAAATACTTACTCTTATGGCCTGCTGCATAAAGAGCATTGCAATAAGTAGACCAAATAATTCACCAGCAACCCTAGTAAATCTGTTGATTATAGAACAAGCGCCCAATACCGCCAACAAGAAAAGCAGGAGAGCAGTCCACATGCAGACCCTAAGAGCCAATGCAAGTGAAAACGGAGAACTCCATTACAGCAAGAACAATAGTCAATAAACCACCATTTTCCGCAGAAAAGTGGAAATGGATTGATTCAGTTATACCATCCTGTCCAGGCTAAGAAAAGGTTTGGCCCCAAATCCTTCCGGTCCTTAGCAAAGTTGAACATGAATGTGTACATTAAAACTGTTGGCTCAGCTACTCCAAGTATGAGCAATGGCTGTCCCCCGATGATTGAGTGAATTAAGCCACAAAGTGCTGTTGATGCCAAAGTTTGCACTGCAGTCAAAGCTCCTTCTGGTATATCAAAGCAGAGTTTTTTTTTGTTAGGGAGATGACCAATAACTGGAAAACTAGTAGCCAATATAGCAATGAGGGTATACCTGTATTTCTTTCAAGCTGCTCTCCAAAAGATATGACCGGTATCGCTGAAGCGAAGAAAATGTAAGTTGTTGGAGCGAGGATCCTGAATGAAACAAGACAATGAGCAACATTTCTAACAGTACTTCTGAACTAAAGATTTACTAGCATCCTGAAATTTCACATGAATAATGTCCCTCAAATGAATCGACCTTCTGAAAGTTCACCTTATACCAGCACGGAGACCGCCCATCCAATCTTGTTTGTAGCACAAAAGCCTTCCATTGAGGTCATTTTTTATACCACGGAATGGAACAAATGTCTCCTCCATTGAAACTCAAGGTTTGATCACAAGGAAATATGCAATGCCTTTTTGTCCCCACGATCTCTATGCCCAACAAAGATGAACCAGACTCAACCAAGACTAGGACTCGAGAGGCCAATAAAGAAACTAAATTTGCATAAAGAAGAAGATCAACATGAAGCCATGGGCGAAAGGACAACAAGAACGAAGGTCAGGGTCTTAAGAGGGAGGTAATCATAAAAACGACCCATGATTATTTGTGTGGAATCCTGTATGTGTATAGTTTAAAATTCTAGAAGATCTTACAGTTGATATGCGTATATAAAGAAATGAATGTTTAAAAGTATGTCCACTGTGAAGAACAAAAGAATCGATTAGCAGTGATCAAATCACTTTCAGTTAAACAAGGAAAAAAGCAAGAAGATTTTAGCGCACTGAAACCATGATAAGACAGAACAGTCTGAACTAACGGAAAGAACAGATGTTCTCCATTTGCTCTGTCTGTTACTAGCGGTTGACTTCAATGAGATTGAGATCCATTGAGCACCTAATTTTTTTCACTTCACCATTAGGAAAGACTTTCCGTCTATCAAAGACTGAAGAACAAAGCAGCTTTGAGAGATTAAGGATTTACATGTCAGAATTTCAAACAACTAAAAAGGCCTTTTGTTAAACTTCAAAAGTAATGAAGCTTAGGAAGACAACAGAACAGCCAAACTTAACGAACCACCATAATCAGAACCAGCATTTTGCAGACTTTCTGAACTATTTACACCAAATGGGCATGAACCAAAAAGAAGCCACAATTTGTAGAGGGGGGCTAAACCGGGAAGATTTAACGACAGCCCATGATTTGAAATCAGCAGGACAAGCGGATTCAAAGCACTATGAAGCAAGTGGGCATTAACCCAGGAGAGAAAAGAAACAAAAGAGAGCAACTTTAATCGAGATTACATTATTCAGAAGAGAACACCCTCTTTGACGCAAAAACACAAACACTTAGAAGACCAGAAGAAGCGGAGTTTACATATATGGGAGAAAAGAGCAAAGAGAGTTCGGGTACGTAAAATGACCTGAGATGGGAAGTAGAGAAACAGCAGAAGAAGAGTTGCAAAGACAGGCAGACGAAAAGGAGTGTGAGCTTATGCTAAAATGGGAAATGGGGGTAAGGCCGAATTAGGAACGATGGGGTAACGCAGGGGAAGAGAGAGAGAGGCTCTTTGCAGGGCAGAGAAGGAGTTTTGGCGTGAAGGATGAGAAGTTAGTGTTTGGTGAGCAAGCATAAATAGAGGTGTTCCTGTCACCTCTTTACGGCTTTACCCAGGGGGTCGTTCTTCTTCACTATGCATAAACAACCGAAGTGAGAGAAAGAGGGGGGCGTGAAAGCAATATATTAACGGTTTGCTTAATTCTTTTGTGATAAAAAGGAGCTCTACTATTTGAAGGTTTGTTCTTGCAAAAATATGAGTGGGAGAATGCAATAGGGTTATTCTGCTAACGGCATAAGTTGTTAGTATATACTAATTAATATCCAAAATGTATGAAAGTTTTATAAACTAAATTAATCAGCCAACGGCCGAGTAAAAGCTAGCAACGATTGTGAGATGCTCATTTCCTGAAAACCGTCGGGATAGGCGATTTTTTATTCGATTTTCTGGAATTCGGTTTCTATAAAACTTACTCCACCTCATCATATTACTGGAAACAATATTGTTTCACAAGGTAACAGGTACTTGATTTTGGTTCATAAGGCCGATTTTTGATTTGTTGTATCATTAATGTCTCTAGACTGCTAAAATTCACTATTTTTATCACGTGTTTCCCAAAAAAACTATACAACAATAAGCTATACACCCCATTACATTATCAAATTTCATACCTCACCTCCGGCCAACTGGCCGGGGCCCACGCTAGTTCTTTTGTGATAAAAAGGAGCTCTACAATTTGAAGGTTTGTTCTTGCAAGAATATGAGTGGGAGAATGCAATAGGGTTATTCTTCTAACGGCATAAGTTGTTAGTATATACTAACTAATATCCAAAATGTATGAACTAGTATCCAAGTATGCTGATTTTATCAACTAATATCCACAATCATACCAACTAGTATTCAATATGAGTACTCTTATGTGTTATCTTGATACTAATTATGTGTTGTATGAATACTATTATGTGTTGTCTAGATATTAGTTTGTGAATTTGAGATAATAGTTGATTCATGGTGGATAACTCGATATCAGTTAGCAAACCTTAAATACTAGTCTGTACTCTCTAGATACTTTAGTACTTGGATACTAGTTCATGTTTTTTTGGATATCAGTTAGTATATGCTAACAAATCTTCAAGTTAGCAGATTAACTTTTTCGGGGAGAATGTTCTTCAAGTGATAGTGCACTACTTTTTTATATTATAAGAAGATAGATATATTCAGAAATCTATGCCATTTGAATTACTCACTTCAAGATTATCGTCTTACTATTTCAAATATTGGATCAATGATTAGCTGACATAAGGTGAGATAAACTTGCATCAAAAGATAACATTTGTGACCCAAATATTTCTATGATGTGATCAGTGAAGTGAATATCGATTTGCAAGAATTCATTCAGTTACGAGTTAATGACATACTGTTATTTTGGATAATTAGCATAGAAAGTCTTTGAATTGTCTAATTTTCTTACATTTTCATTTCGCGATTAGTTACAGAAACATGAGAGGAACATAAGAAAAGTTGGTTATTTCATTCAATTTCTATCAAATTTTGCTTCTCTGGTGGGACTAAAGTCGAGATCTTCAGGTGGATTGGCATACTTATTGTGAACTTTTGTATGTGATTCCTGTTGTTCGCTACCAGTGAGGGTATCATTGATTTGTTATATACTTCTTTTTTTTTTGAAACAAAGTGGGACTCTCTTATTCCATTACCAACCCAAATGAAGGCAAAGAGGTTACAACAATGGATACAGCAGGTTAGCGATTACAATCCAATCCATTGGTAACAAACCCAAGCGGGCATTGTTAGCAACCCAATCAGCCAGAGCATTATGTCGACGAGGAGAAAAGGAAACGTCAATCCACGGAGCAGCAAGAAGGATTGGAATAATCAGTGCAATCGTCGCCCGACATTGCTAAGGCCACAAGGACGGGTGTTGTTTGAGTGCCAACGTAAGGATTTGGCAGTCACAGCGAATGCTAGTACGAACGGGATCAAGAGCTGCCATCCTAACCGCATTGAGAAGGGCCAAAGCTTCCGCTTGAATTGGAACAGAACAATAGAAGGTCTCAGCCTTGCCATCAAACACCTGACCATGAGAATTTGCAATAGCAATCCCATAAGCCGCCAATTGTGATTCCGATACGAAGGATCCATCACAATGCACAATCTTTTGGAAAGGTCCTGGCGGTGGTGAGGGGTCTGAACGGGATCCCCTAGGCTGAGTTTGCAAGGAAGTGAAGTGACCATTTGCTGAATTGTTGGTATGATTTCGGGATTCTTCCCATTTCGTCAGGTCACGTTCAACCATCGTTGCTGTAGTAGTTGGGGAAATAACCTTGTCTTCAAACACAAATCCATTCCTAGATATCCAGATATTCCAGAGGCAAAAAGCTATCTTCCTAATAGTACCCTCAGGAACAAAATCCTGCAAGTGGAAAAACCACAGTGGAAAATGGAAGTCAGATGTTGGAATAAAATGATGTAAACCATTTTCTATCCAAGTGGCTCTAGCATGAGGACAGAAAAAAAGACAATGAGAAATAGATTCTTCCTGATTGTCACAGATGGGGCAGGTGGGACTAGGAGAGAATTGTCGTGTGAAAAGCCTTGCTCGAGATGCTATGGCGTCTTTTGCACATTTCCACACAAAAAATCTGATTTTTGGTGGGAGAGACAGAGACCATAGCCATTTCCAATCCTTTTGGTTTGGTCGGTTTTGATTCCCAGGAGGATGATCCGCATTCTGATCGCGAGCCTGACGAAGAGAATGATAAGTTGACTTAACACTATAAGCTCCCGTCTATGTGAATCTCCAAGCCCAAACATCTCTTCCACACGTTGGTCCTATTGGTACTCTACCAATAGCATCAGCAACTTCAGGTGGAACACTCTCTCGAATCGCCTCCATATTCCAGACACGATCATTGTCTAAAATCCATTCGTTCACTCTAGAATTATTCGGTCCAAGGTGATTCAATGAGAACGTTGGTATTGATGGTATCCAAGGATCACTGTTGAATCTAGTTCCTTCCCCTGACATTATCACCTTGATCAATCCCAATTTCAGCATTTATTTTGTTTCACAAATCCCATTCCAAATCCATGATCCACATCTTCCTTTAGTTGCCGCGAAGAAATCTCCATTATGGAAATAAATACCTTTTAGAAGTTGAACCCACAAAGCATCAGGATTTTCCAAAATTCTCCAAACTTGTTTGCCGATGAGAGCCAAGTTAAACATGTGAAAATTGCGAAATCCCAAGCCCCCTTCTTCTTTTGGTTTCTCCAGAATCTTCGCATCACACCAATGAATCGATTTCTTTTTTATAGATCCGGACCAAAAGAAACGGCGTAAAATCGAGTCCATCTTGTTAGTGAGAGATAAAGGAAGAAGGAGCACACTCATAATGTACTCTGGAATCGCCTGAATGACTGCTTTAAGGAGGACTTCTTTTCCACCCGGGGAAAGAAGAAGACTCTTCCAAGACTCACCTTTCTTTTCCATTCGCTCGATGAGGAAGTTGAAGGTTTCATTCTTCGACTTACCCCATTCAAAGGGTACTCCCAAATATTTTTCGTGGCATATAGAAGGAGGGAAACCAAACCTAGCCGTCACAAGGGCTTTAATTCCTTCAGGAGTGTTACGGCTGAAAAAGATAGATGATTTACTTGCATTGATCTCCTGCCCTGTCACTTCTCCATAATTTTGTAAAATTTTCAGAATATGGATAGCTTCACAAACTCTTGCCTTTCCAAAGATGACAGTGTCATCTGCAAATAGGCAATGAGAAATCCTTGTACATTCTTGATTAAGCTTTATCCCCCTTATTTCACCTCGCTCAACACCTTTATCGATCAGAAAAGAGAGAGCGTTTGAGAGTAAGATGAAGAGGAATGGTGATATTGGATCCCCTTGGCGGATTCCTCTCGTAGGATGAAAATATTCAGTGGGGCTTCCATTCAAGAGTATAGAGAAGTTCACAGTCCGTATACACTCATTTATCCACCCTCGCCAAATATCACAGAACCCATAGGCTTGTAGAATTGAATCAAGGCATTCCCAATCGACTAAGTCGTATGCTTTACGCATATCCAATTTAACCATCATGTCCCAATCCCCATGTCTTCGGTTCTTAAAATTGTGTAGCATCTCATGGACAATGATGATGTTTTCCTGAATAAGCCTATCACTGGTAAAGGCAGCTTGCATCTCCGAGACCAACCCAGGTATCCACTTCTTCAAACGAGTTGACATGATTTTGGATATGACCTTGTATCTGAAGGTACAACAGCTAATCGGTCGAAATTGGCTTACCATTTGAGGAGCTTGATTCTTGGGAATAAGGGCAATATGAGTACTGTTCCAGCCTTGAGGCATGCTAGAAGAATGAAAGAAGTCTTGAACTTCCTGACAAAATTTAGTTCCTATCTTAGGCCAGAAGCGTCTAAAAAACATGCCTGCAAAGCCATCCGGCCCTGGCGATTTCGTTGGTCCAAGATCAAAGACTGCTACTTTGATCTCCTCATGAGATGGAATCTCACATAATTCCCTATTCATTTCCTCTGAAACAACTTTTGGGAAGCCTTGTAGAATATCAGTATCAATAACCCTATCAACCCGAGTAAACAGAGATTTGTAATAATTGGTGACATGAGAAGCAAGTTCCTCAGGGTGAGAAAAGATGTTCCCATTATCATCCTTAAGTTCAACAATCTTATTTCTCTGCTTTCTATGAGTCGCCGACGAGTGGAAAAAACTCGTGTTGTGGTCCCCTTCCCGTAGCCAATTTATTCCAGATTGTTGATACCAAAACAGTTCTTCATCTTTCCAAATGGCAGCAAGTTCGGTCATCAAACTTTTCTCTTCTTGAACAATATCAACTGACCTATCCATTATGAGAATTTCCTCTAATCTTGCCTGAATATCCGCAGCTCTCTTGTAGCGGTCCCAGTAAACTTCTCTGGCCCATTCTTTTAATTCCTTCTCACAATTCAACAGTCTATCATGACACATCCCTCCATTATCCCAGTTACGATTCACTATATTATGACACTCTTCTTGATTAAGCCATCTTGAGTCAAAATGGAATGGAGGATTTGATCTTACTTTAGTCCCATTCATCTCTAGTCTTAATGGCCAATGATCCGACTCGATAGGTAATTCGTGGAAGACAAGGGCGTTTCTGAACTTTGATCTCCATAATGCAGAGCATAAAGCTCTATCAAGCCTCTCCTCCACTCTTCGCTGGCCCTCACGGTTATCCTTCCAAGTAAAGGGGTAACCTTTAAAATCAAGGTCCATTAAAGCATTGTCATCAACAAAATTCTTAAAAGGGATTACAGATTCGTTCCTTGGAGGGCCTCCACCCAATTTTTCCTCCGGGAACAAAATCACATTCATATCTCCTATGACAACCCACTTATCATCGAAGCTACTGCGAAGGCTACTAATCTGATCCCAAAAGTCCCTACGCCGATTCGGATCAGAGGGAGCATGAACAAAAGTAATGTAAAAACCATCATCCCCTCAACTAAACATCAATAAAAAATTGATCACTATTCAGAATTTTGCAGGAAATACCCTCAACCCACCACAGAGCAAGGCCACCTGCTCGATCAATTGGACAAACATAGGAGTTTCCAGCAAATATCATACTCTTTCTCTTAGTTTCCATGTAAGACCTTTTCTTCTTGGTCTCGGACAGAAACACGAAAGATGGTTTAATCTTTTTTACCATCTTCCGAAGAGAAATAATTGAGCATGTTTTGTGGGTCATAATTGCATCGTATCTGGGATATGGAAGTGAGTGTGAAAGGATCATATAGTGTGAAAATTTCCTTAATCATGAGTAATATTGGGTAATATTCTTGTGGTCCTTTGATGTAAAGGCATATATAAAATATTATAAGTATATGGTGTTGCTCAATCTAGATGATCACAAATATCATTGTCACTTTCTCTAGGTAGAATTCTCTAAGATCAAGATATCACATATTCGTATTGTATCACATCAAACAAACATAAATCCTCCATAACCTGGATCATATTATGACATATGAGATGAGTAGAAACATATACAATTATACACAACATTATCACAAAGTACAATTGTTTTCCGCTTGAGAGCAATGATGTGTACCTAAAAACTGATTTGTTGACTTGTTGCTTATGACCTTGTGATAGATTAAGAGATGCATGGATCACAAAAAGGAGAGTTGTTTAAGAACTGCTCATGAAATAGTCCATATGCCAAGTTATTTTCTAGTATGACAGGTATACTTCCCCATGTAAGATTTTTTGTGAGACAAAAAATCACTAAGGGGTCGTTTGGATGGATCTTTCTTATGGAGCAATTTGACACAAATTGTCTCATTTGGCTACCAAAAAAAAGGAATGAATCAATTGTACATGGGGAATTGTAGATTGCTCCATTATGAGACAATTGAAAATACTTGGGTATGGGGGAGGTTTTCTCAATTGCCTCGTTTTATGTTTACTTTTTCCAAAGCTGCCCCTTTCCTTTATCCTTTTTTATTTTCTTTCCCCTCTCCCACTCTCCCCCTGTAGAGACCACCGAGACCTCTCTTCTCTCTCTCTCTCTCTCTCTCTCTCTCTCTCTCTCTCTTCCTCCCCCAACTAGTTTTGGGTATAAAATAGTTCCAGATGGCTAGAGCCTAGAGATCAAGGGAGCATTAATAGGAGACGAAGAGCTTCTATCTTGAGCGAGATCGGAATCTATCGTCGGAGGACGTGGAAGAAAGGTTCGGAGAAGGTTCGATCGTCGGCCACATCGTTGGTATGCTATTTCTTAGTTACAGGGCAATGACAATGACCGAATGACCAAATTAGAGAGAGAGGGATTTATTGTTGAATCCATTTCTTGCTTTCTTCCTCTGTGTTCTCGGCAAAGGGGATTTTGGTACCAAGCCATGGGCTTTTCAATTTCAACACCATAATTCGTGCTCAAGCCTGTCAATCTTTTAGTTCTGGAAATTCATGGACTTCCAGCAAGAAAGAGTGAGAGAGGAAGATGAAGAAAAAGGATAAAAGAATGAGGGTAAAAATGTATTTTCAGAAAATGTCTCAACCTCATTGTCTCGTATCAAATAATAACCCAAACAAGTCAATTATGTACAAATATCTCACACAATTGTCTCATTTTCTAAAATGGAACATTTGATCCAAATTGCCTCAATTTGGAAATGTTCCATCCAAACGACCCCTAAAGTTATTTCGACGGCTTATATCCACTGAGATTAGGAATCCTGGTTACTAGTTAGGTTTAAAAAAAAAATTGTTATCAGATTAGGAATTGTAGTTAGACTAGAATTTCAAGTGATTTTTAATGAATGGTGATCATCATATCAATGAAATTAAAATTTAGATATAAAATTATACGTGGTTAAGATCTCAAGAGTCAAAGGGTCATATAAAAACCACCTCCATTTTAAAATAGAACAAGATTTCAAGGATTGTAAATTGACTTCAAGTGATTATCATTAGGACAATTTTTCTAGTAATATACAAACTTCTAAAGTATAATTTGGCTAAGTGTCATCATAATCCAAGATCTCTCACTTACAAACCTCCAAAAGATAATGGTGCTTAATTCTTCTTCTTTTGTTTTCTGAGGACTTTCCCAATGGTAAAGATAACCTTATTTTCAATAATTTTATGATATGATGATTGACAAATATACCTAATATGCTACACCCCTCTCACCCTTCCTCTTTAACATTGGTATGGATATTCTCTCGTTCATTCTATGTGAAATAAAGAAAGAAGGGATGGTTACGGGATTCTGTATCAACGAAGAAAGAAACGTCGGAGAGGTAACTCACTTACTCTATGCGGATGATGCCATTTTATTTTGTGAAGCATCCGAAGCCGAGGTCCGTAATCTGCTGGCTGCTCTAATCTGTTTCCAAGCAATCACCGGTCTGCAAATAAACCTTGCGAAATCGAGAATATTTCCGGTGGGCGAGGTAACAAATATTGAAAGACTGGTGGAAATCTTTGGTTGTGATTGGGCTTTCTTGCCCACCACGTACTTGGGTCTGCCTCTCGGATATCAGTCTCCTCCGAATACACACTGGAACAACGTCGTGATCAAGACTCAAGCAAGATTAGAGGGCTGGAAAGGAAAATTTCTATCGTTGGGAGGAAGAGTCGTGCTTATCAATGCGGTGCTTGGAACTCTGAGTAACTACATCAGTTCCTTGTTCTTAATCCCCAAGAACGTCATCAACTCTTTAGAGAAGATAGAAAGAGACTTTCTTTGGTCCGGTACACGGGAAGGGAGAAGCTTCATCTTGTCTCTTGGGAGCTTTGCAAAACTGCAAAGAACAAGGGAGGCTTGGGCATACGAGACTTGGAGCTGAATAATCGAGCTCTTCTACTCAAATGGCATTGGAGATTTGCGACTGAAAGAGGATCGTGGTGGAGGGAAATGATAGTTGCTAAGTTCCCTAATGAGCAGTCAGAATGGTTCTCGGGAAAGGTATCGGGGAGTGTTGGGGGTAGCGTTTGGGGCAGGATCGCGAAACTGCAGCCTCTTTTTTGGGAATTAACGTGTATCGAACATGGTCAAGGGTACTGGACTTCGTTCTGGTTTGATACCTGGATCGAGGGCATCCGATTGGCGGAAGAATACCCGAGAGTCTTTGCCGCTGCCAAATCACCGAACTCCACCATTGCTGATTACCTGTCTTTGTCTGAGGGAAATTGTCAATGGGACATTCCATTGATTTATTCACTTCGGGGTGGGGCTGAAAGTGAGCGGGTGAGGTTGTTTGATTTACTTCATTCTATCCCCTTTCAAACTTTTTTTGCAGGTCCTGAAAGACCAAGATGGATCCCGTCTCCTACAAATGGATTCAGCGTGCACTCGGCGTTTGACCACTTAGCCGCTGCGAGAACGGTGGAAACTCCAGAGTTCCCCTCAAAAGTGATTTGGCAAAGCAGCGTACCGAATAAGATTTGCATCTTCCTATGGCTGGTCTACCACAAAAAAATTCTCACCATCGACAACTTGAAGAAGAAAGGTCTCCACATCCCGAACAGGTGTGTTCTGTGCAAAGGCGATGAAGAGTCGCCCAACCATCTGTTCATCACATGTGCGTTTTCAAGGCAGGTCTGGGGAGGGGTGAAGTGCTTCGTTAAAATTGAAGGAAGTGCTGTGGCGGGGCTTGACATCTCGGAGAGAATCAGACTTTGGCCGCGCAGGAATCCGGCGAATCCAGCCCAATGGTGTTCAAAAGTAGTACTACATGCATTTTGTTGGTGTGTTTGGCTCGAAAGAAACAACAGAGTTTTCAATGACCAGGAGTGCAACGTTCCCTCAATAGTGATGAAGATTGGTTACATGATTTTTTGGTGGCTAACGGCAGCAAGAAAGGTCGACAAAGAGATCGCGGAAAGGTGGATCAAAGAAATGAGGACCAGACTGTTTCCTGACAATCCGCAACAGATCGTGACTCTTGTTCCATGACCAAGCTCTGCAGATGGCAGTTTTCTCCAGGTCCCTGTTCGGATGTTGAGTTCGCCTCTCACTCTGATGTTCATATCCCTTCACTGATATATGGACGTGTGATGTAGTTCTGGTTCGTTAGTCAGGGAGGATTTATTTGCTTCTGCTTCCTTTTGATCTCCTCTGCTGCTTGACGCTCGGCTCTTGGTGACCGGGGTTGGGGATTGTTTTGTGTTTGTTTTTGTTTTGTTCCCTGTACCTTTAGGTCCGGTTGCAGCAGCGCACGGATCTGGCGGCAGTTGTAGTCCTGTTGCTGTACTGCCCTGTTTTTTGTTTCTAATTATTTAATATATATCATCATTAACAAAAAAAAAATATGCTACACCCCTCAGTTCTATTGGACCTCACTTTAATAACAAATAATAAATCTAAGTAAATAAATTGGTTAAAAGATGACAAAACAGTAAGTGGGAATCTAATAAAGGGTTATGCTGCCTGGGTAGTGAACATGATGAGATCATCCTTCCTAAATTTTTTCTTCTTGTTATTGTTTCTCTTTCAGTTGCTGTTCTTAATTTCTTTTTTGGACAGAAGAACAATAAGAGCTTATATCCTTAATCATAATTAGCATTAAGGTATTGCTCGACTTAATCCAGAAAGACAATTTGTCAATCCATGTATTCTTCTTGTTTTGGGCAAAAAAAATTATAAATGTAAAAACAATTATACAAAATTATACAGATCAATGGTTATGCATCTAATTCACGCTCTTAAATTAGGAATGCAAAAATTCCAATCGTTAGAAAAATCATTAATAGTCGCCAACACAATTATAAACTTAGATCACTCTCTCACAAAGGAATGAAAGGATCGAATATTCATGAGAGGCAAAAGGCTCCAAAATTTGGAGTCACTTTTGTAAGTTGTTGGTTGGGTGGAGGGAAAAAGAAGCTCATTTCTATCTAATCTATCTATCAATGTTGCCAGCCAATAAGCAGACGGGACAATTCAGCCCCAAAAGGGACAGACAAAAAAGATAATAAGAATAATCCTAACCAACCGATGAAGGTATAGATGTTAGGTCAAATTGTTAGGTTTTGCAGAGTTAATAATTATCGTTATATATTTTATGGAGAGCCTAAGCATGCTAGCCATGGGCAGTGGTACTTTTTCCACTTGACAACTTCAACATGCTATTTGCGTAGTAGGCTGGGGCGTAGTCAGGATTTTGTTGAGGGTGGGTGTATTTAGAAAAAATATATACGATAAAATTATTTGTTAACTTTTTTACATCATCAAGATATAATTTTGTATTTACAAAAATTTGATAGATTGAATATAAGTTAAAACTATCGAAAATATCACTATATGTGTATCATAAAAATTATTTATGATTTAGTTAGACATTTACTTCTGAATGTTGTTCTTCGTCGAGATCGCTTAGTATCAATAACTCGAGTTGGTGGGAAAGATCTAATAATGAATCTTATACGATTTAGTATTTACTAACACTTTCCTGCTAACGAAAACCAACTTATACGTGCTTAAAGTTTCTGTAAATTTGAATATCATGTGCTTAACAAATATGGTTACAAAGATTAAAACAAATAAGATATCGGTCGCCCATTATTAATTAGAAGTGCCCTAAATTTCATTCTCAATTAACTTTGTACTAATTAACTCATTTTCGTCCTTATAGGAACCACCGGCTACACTTTCCCTACCCCTTACTGAAATAAAATTATTTTTACAAATTAGCCATAATTTGGTGAAAATTTGTTGTAGATATTGAATAAATACATCTTTAATTTTAGACAGATCATATGCACCATTATATTTGTACATAGCTCGTTATAAAAATATTGAATATGACAATGCACAACTTATAAAGCATACATCAAATATTTGAAAGGTTAACCATTTTCATTTATATACGTGTTATTTTTCATACTCGATTAACTATTATACTTAATTGACCATTTTCCATCCCAAGTTAGGGTGGGTACCGGGACCCACCCTTTAACCCTCTGCCTCCGCCCCTGGTCGTAGGCTCGTAGCGCTGAGTTTGTATATTGGAACAGTCGGGGTATGTCAGTCAACTCATAAGTGCTTTCGTTTGTACATATCTGAATACGAGAATACATGTGCTTCACAAATGGGTCATCAGGATTCGACGAGAATACATGTGATTCACAAATGGGTCACCAGGATTCGAACACAAGACCTTTCGGCTACAGCAGGCTCTGATACCGTGTCAAGAACCAGTTGATCGCAATAACTCGACTTGTTGGGAGAAGGTTATTATGGATCTTATATCAATCTCTTACACGCCCCCTCAAACGAAAGCCGACTCATGAGCTTGAAGGTTGCACAGGCCCGCCATACCATGTGCTTGAAGACAACGGTTAATATTGGAGGTCGTGAGGACTTGAACACGTGACCTCAAGGACAAACCAGACTCGGATACCATGTCAAGAACCAGTTATTCCCAATAACTCGGGTTGTTGGGACTTGGAAGAGGTTCAATCGTGGATCATATACCACTCACTCAGTGGCGGACCTAGGTTAGCCCAAGGCTTGTCAATTGACAAACCCTGTTTCCATTTTTTGACCAAAATTCCTTTTGTAAAATTTTGTTTTCGCGATGGTAGTATTTGAACTCAAGGTTATTTGACAATTCTTGGTGATTTATTTCATCGTTGAATACCCTTGATGTAATTCCTGGGTCCGCCACTGCACTCACTAACATTTTTCGGTCGGACCGCCACTCTTAGGGGATATTAAGCATTGAATAGTAAAATACTTCCTTGAGTGAAGGTCAATGACAATGAGAGGGATGAATAATACCACTGATACGGTACGATTTCACAAACACTGATTTTTATCTTAATTATGGGCTTAAAATGACCTTAACCTTTTTTTTTGTTGAATCAGTTCCCCCTTTTATTACCAAATAAAAACGACAAGTGAACAGGGCCACTGCTGATACAACGAAACAGAGAATTCCATGCAGAACTACTCTGGATAATCCCTCCACTACATATACTACAATTTCACTACCCCTGTAAACTCACAGTGTTATAAAACCAAGCCTCACACAATCATCCAATAACTCGGGACACCCTCCTACAACAAAACGAATATCAGACAACCACAAACCATATACAACTTCAGCACTTCTCGGATTTTCTCCATGGTCTCTTCGACACTTCTCCTGCCAGATGAAAGTGGTCAAAGAACACCAAATCAAGACTAGCACTCGCCTCCATGGACTGTTGCCAACAGCTAGTGCAGTGGCTTCTGCAACTCAACCATCCCTAGAAATACTACCAAATTGCAAACCCACTTTACCCAATAACCACCTAGAGAAGATACAGTCAAAGAAAAGGTGCTCACGCGTCTCACTAGCCATCCCACATAAACCACACATATCATCTTTAACTCTTCCCCATCTTAGCAACTTTGCCCTCGTAACCATGGCATCTTTCATTATAATCCAAGCAATAAAACTCCATCGTGGGACATGGTTCCTTCCCCACAATAGCTTAAACCAACTGACTCTATTGTTGGCAGGCCTTAAGGAGTTCCAGACTTCACGAACATAATAGGAAATCATTTTCGTACCTATCCATGTCCCAACTCCATTCTGCAGACCCATCAAAGGTTGGAAGACAGACCTGACCTTCAAAATGCGTCTCCAAGCCCAGGAGCTAGAAGCAACAACTCTCATACTCCAGAGATCCCCCCCCTGCATCTGTACGCATACATCCAAGCAATCCAAAGTGCGCCCGAATGCATCAGAAGGAGCCAGAGCATCCTGGCAGTACATGCTCTGTTCCAAGATATGAGGTCACGCACACCCAAGCCACCCTCTTTCCGTGGACACGCTAGTCTGTCCCAAGACACTTTTGCTCTACCTGTATCGTCCCCATGCCATAAAAAATCAGAACATATCTTCTCTAGCTTCCTCAAGAACTTCTTAGAGAAACCTTAACCTATTTTAGTTGCTTAGATCTATTCAAGTTACATAACTTGAAATTGCACCCAACCTATACGATCCCTGGAGTCAAAATCAAATGTGTGAAGGTATCAACTAGTCAATCCTAAAGCTTATCGTTACATCAATCGACACAACAAGAAACCGACAACAACCTAAGAGCATGATAACAACTTCATTAAGTGCGCGTGCCATTTCTCTATTCTTTTGGGGAATTGATAAAGGTCGTACTTAAAATTACTATTGATCGTCCTAAAAAATAACAAAGTTATATTTTTAATCTTTTGGCATCTTTAGCAAACAAACATCACTTTGACTAAAAAATTGAAAAACACTCAATTTCTCATACTCTCAAATTCATCGTTGACATTCTCGAGTCGTAATCGTCGAGAATACGTCCGAATCATGAGTAGCGACTCCGACGAGGTAAAAATCCGATTTTTTTTTTGTGTTTGATTTTGAAATTTAAAGTGGACAATTCGATAAATTACGTATTAAGTTTGGACGATAGTTAGTAATATTTAGGACGAGCTTTAACCATTCAGTTCTTTTGGGATCTCCATCAAATATGCTTTGAGAACAGAGCATGCCAAAATGGAAGTCCAGTGTCGTCACTCGTCACCATACAAATTAAGATTAAGAGAAAGGTACGTACCCCAAAACGTACAGCACTGTAACAGTGAATACGAAAGATGCCATGGGGATATTGAAGTGAAAGGGCAGTGGACCTTGGAAATGTGCATAGAAATTATTGTTTGGATTTTTGGACCGATCGGCCAACACCGTTAAACATGCATGCCAGAATAGTTACCTAGCTTGTACGTAAGCTAGCCAGCTGCAGTGGAGATCGAGACTCTTGTTATGTTTTGTACCATTTTGTTTCCTTCTGCTATTAGAATCCGAGTGCTCCAGGTTGAAAGTAAGTGATACAACCACTCGATCACGACCTCGTTCGCAAAATATGTGAGAGTTGTCCTCTCATAAACTATTAAAAAAGTTCTTACTTGTCACCTGAAAATTCGTTTAACTTCTTTCTTACCCTTAATTATATAGACCGTTTAAATCTTTTTTTCTTCCTAAATCAACATAGAATTGGGTTATTGAATTCTACGTTGTCATAAACCCGTTTGGTCGAGTTGTTGGGAGAAAAAAGTTATATGGAATCTTTTGCACCACTCTCTAACACGTCGGTTTCAATAACTCGAGTTGATGGGAGAAAAAAGTTATGCGGGATCTTATACCACTCTCTAACACGTCCCCTCAAACAAAAACCCGACTCATGTGCTTGAAGACAACCGTTAATATTGGGGGTCGTGAACATTCGAACACACGCGTCCACTTGTTCAAACCAGCTCTGATACCATGTCATATATAAACCAGTTGGTTCCAATAACTCGAATTGTTGGGAGAAAGTTGAGTTGTATCTTATACTGCACTCTCTAACATACGTAGGCAACCATGAATTCATACAAAACTTGGTACCTTAACCACAACCTCATATGGGTTACGTTATTTTTTCCCATATGGGTATTGGGTGGTTTTGAGATGACATCTATATGTATTCCGATCAACATCCATCACTAACTCTTTGACAAATAAACTTGCAACCACCCAATCCAGATGACGCTTAAACAGCCGCAAGTCGGTTCTTTGTCGTCGACTACTTCAATATATATATAGACGCATGAGGTAATTCATCTTCATCTTAGTTATAAAAAAAAAAAAAAAAAAAAAAAGGTGCGCCCGCCGGCCAATATTGAATATCCAGAAAGGCAGAAATCAAATCATGCCACCTTTGCTGGTTTTCCGTCGATCGTCATTCGCCATGTAAAGGTAGCTAAAGGGCCTTTGCTCGATCGTGGTGTCAAAGGATAAACGATGATTCATTCCCATCTCTGGATTTCCTTAAATTTCGTGTTTTTTTCCCCCTTCCCCGTCAGCTTTGATGACAATGATCGATTTGCAATGAGCCAATGACAATCGATCCATCACGTACCAGCTACCCACAATATGCTAGTTGTTCGTTGCGGATAACTATATTATATCTGTTTGAACCTAACTGAGTATAGGAGTGAGGTTCACTAGAATGGGTCGAGAAGAATGAACGGCTTGGTTGAACCAGAACTTTGAGACAAATGAGAAGGAGGATAGAGCTCGAAGAGAGGGTGTGTTTAGTGAGAGAAAGTAATGATCTTAGAGATAGAGTCTGAAAAATTCGATCCCCTCACCCACCGGAGTAAATGCCATATTTATAGGCTACATGGTGGTGGGTGAGTGGTTGGATTACAAGTGGATACAATGATGTGACCACTGACACATCAGGGATTTAGGCCATACTTTTAGGACCCTGATGTGACTACCCCTGACAGAGGCAAGACTATACCTAGGACTATGATGGTGACGGCCCGTTGGGTGACGCGGCACCGCTTCTACGGATACTCGGTGAGGGCCCACGGCTATGCAATGCGCCGTCGTTGGGTGTTTACGCGCGTCTCCACGGGGGTGGTCTCTACCGGCGCGGCTCGGGCGCTCGACTTCGGAGTGACTCGCGCGCTTTGCCTTGGCGTGAGCATCCTTGGTGCGCGCGCCTCCAAGAGGGTGGCCTCTACCTGCGCGCATGATTCCGGCGCGACTCGCGCGCTTTGCCTTGGCGTGAGCATCCTTGGTGTTTCCTCAGTGTGGTGAGATCCGAGTCACATGCCCAACAATATCATTCAGATATCATCGATCGTCTTATGTTATTAGATAAAACGTTAATTCGATTGATTTAAATTTTTCACGTATGTAGTTGTTGAAGTTGAAATCGGTACGTAATTGTCCACCTCTGACTCATAAGAGTACAATCTATATGGAAAGATTTATCGATTAGAGGATAAAACAGTTTTATGTTCACTACCAAATACTTCCATCTTCTAATTAGAGGCCGGGAGGAGTCACTCGAACATACGATTAAGGAAGAGGGGAGGATAAGAGGGGGTTGAGATAGTATCTCTTCATGAAGATTGGATGTGAATAGTTGAAACAAAAATATGTTTTCTTTTTAAAGATTCGCATGACAAATCGAGTAAATTTCTTTTGTAAATCTGAAATTACAATTAAGAAGATTGATAAACATTTCCCCAAATTTTAAGAATGTCCAGGCTCACTCCTAATTAATGATTGTTAAACCGTATCGCAGGTTCTACTGAAAAAGTTAGTCCTATGGTATTTTATGATACAATTGTGGTTCAACTGTTTCATACCAAATAACCATGCCCACTTAGGCGTAGGGATGGCAATCAAACCCATGCCCACGGGTATCCGATCGCCCCCGACCCAGTCAACGCGGAGAATCCCCGCTTTGACTGGGTATGGAGCGGGTATGGGTAAAACCCGCAAAATGTTTGATGGGTACGAGGCGGGTATGGTTTTAGCCTCCCCCGCCCCATACCCATATCCATACCCGCGCGCCCCACCAAGAATATTTGTTCACATATAAAAAATACATGGATGAAATAGTAATCTATCAATGATAGTGAGGGTAAATAAAAAAAATAATTAGTAGAAATGCAATTGAGTGGTCACCCAAATCAAAACCTAATTCATTTTCCCCAACTCTCTCTTCACTCTTTCACTTTTCCCTCGTGTTAGCAAGATTATATTAGTTCATTATTGCCTAGTATATGTATTAGAGTCAGATAAATAATGATTTGGATTACATTGTAGTACTCTATTTTATGGATTAAGGGAAATTTTAGGATAAAATGCTTTGAACCATATTAAGAATTATTGTCACTTTCTCGACTTCATGATATAATATGTGCCTTTAATGTTATAATTGAACATTTACATGTAAAATTTTATGTATTATAATGTTGGATGTACGGGGCGGGTATTACCCATGGGTACCCGAAATCCACGGGTATGGGGATGGGTTTGCAAAATCTTCCCCCGCATGGGTATGGGTCGGGTATGGGTTTGGATATTTGAAAGCGGGAATGGGGATGGTTTAGGCAAACCTAGGGGTGTTCAAATGGTTACCATGGTTATTACCAAACCAAATAAGGCTAAATTTCATTAACCATGGAATAGAATATCATAACCAAACCGTCCAAACTAATACAACAACCAAATTAACCAAACTAGAGTTTAATCGGTTTGGTTAATTGGTTAACCAGATTAACCAATATAAAATCACATTATCATTAAGTGAGAAAGTTTTCGGTTAATTTATCAATTCACAATTTATATAATGAATAAAACATAACAATCAACACATAGTTATAGTTGACCCTTAACATAAATACATGCAACTAAGACAATTATCTTACGGTTAGTATAGAAGTATTCACCTAACAAAAATTTATCACAATGGTTTGGGTTAATGAATTGTTGTGTTTGTTTGAATTGACTTAGTCTTTTAGCAATTTTCATAGGCTGAAAAGGACCTTGCTTTCAAGTTTTCATCCAACATAATGTATGAGATTTATCTAAACTAGGCGTTCATATGTTGTGGTCTACACTCTACATATACAAATATACATTATATGAACAATATCAAGCTTTATATTTTAGGAGTTTGAAAGGGATGAATGTTTAACACTTGAGTGGTTATTCAAAGTATTAAGTATGTGTATATATTAGATATACGACTAATTATTTATCTGGTTAATTTGGTTTGGCTGGTTAGGAGTGTCTGAAACCAAACCAAACCACCTAAACCAAACAAGCTAAGAACTTTAACCAAACCAAACCAAACCAATTATCCAAATTAACCAAATCAAATTATCCAAATAGTACTGGTTAAAACGGTTACCATGGTAACCACACCGTTTGAACACCCCTAGGAAAACCCGCCCATTGCCATCCCTACTTTGGCAATGGGCGCGAACCAACAAGTTTATTCCGTTTGGGCTAGTATGAACTTGATCCACCTTCTCAAACGCGCGTTATTAACAAATTGGGCCCATTTTGCTCTAATGCTCGAGCCCAAAATTTAGCCAGCCCATATAAGATTCAACAGGCACATAACCTAGCCCGAGCCCAATGCAAAGTAATGGCGGTAGCCCTCTTTCAACGTGCTCCGTCCTCATCCAATAATCCCGGAAAAAAGCACAATCCTTCCTCCACTTGTCAGATATTCTCAAAGCCTCTAGGACCATCTCTTCCCTCCACGTGTCCCTCTCCGTCATCCACCGCCATACGATCCAAACAGCCGTAGCCCTTACAAACACAACCCAAAAGAAGCAAAACCTCCATCCATCCTCCTCCATATTCAAATCGGAAATTTTCCAATCTCTACCGGCGGAAAACGATGTTGAGGCTAGCGGCGAACAAGTTTTTGGGCCGTGCAGCGGCGTCGGCGTCGTCGTCTCGCCCTGTGGCTACCCGATTCTATCACGAGAACGTGATAGACCACTTCAACAACCCTCGCAACGTCGGTTCCTTCGACAAGAACGATCCCGCCGTCGGCACCGGGCTGGTCGGGGCGCCGGCCTGCGGCGACGTGATGAAGCTGCAGATTAGGGTCGATGAGAAGACGGGAGAGATCGTGGATGCTCGATTCAAGACCTTCGGCTGTGGCTCCGCAATCGCGTCGTCTTCTGTAGGTAAGGTGTTCGACGGAAGGGGTTTTCTATTAATTCGTTTAATTGGTCTTGTGCGGTGGTTGTTGATATTGATTAAGTTGATTTATGGTATCTTTTGAGGGGCAACCCCCGTGGTTCTGATTTTGTGATGTTTATTTGGATCGCTGTTTCAGCCTCTGAGTGGGTGAAGGGAAAGCAGATGGAGGAAGTTTTGACCATCAAGAATACGTAAGTGGATCGCCCTTTCGTTTTATCTTTCAGTGAATTGAATGATTTGATTTATGCTCCTTTCTGAAACGGTTGCCAATTTGCATCGTTCTGTTGATGGGTTCCTTGCTCATTGGATATGCTAGGCTGTGTGAGGTTATGGCTTTCGTTGGCAGGGTTGTGGGAAGGGAAAATCATGTTAGATTCTGGGAACGAAGTGTAGGGATTTCGAGTTTGAAGGAGGTTTTGGGTGCTTTATTTTATGAATGTTGATCATGGCTAGAAATTAGGAGATGACGAAATAACCTTTAACTCATCCTGTCGAGCGCTTGGAGAGCCTGCCCCAAATCAAACTGGGGAGCTTCATATAATCAAAATAGCTCTGTTAGGTCGTGCCATAGGTGATGAACTGTCTCATATGCTCCTCAACTTAAGGTGTCGGTGTGGCCAGATTATCACTTTCTTTTGAATTCCCTTTCATATGAATCCATTGCGCCTTTTAATATTTGCTTGTGAAATGTAATCCTTCTGGGTTTTAAGTTCCCTATCTGAACTGCTGTGATTCATATCATGTCTCCAGTCAATGTTTCTTGAGGTCATCCTATTATGTGTTTTTTTGGGGAAGAACTCTGCGTCTGTTCTCATGTTGGCACAAAGATTAGGTTTTTGTCTGATTTGGAATTCAGGTTTCAGGTCCATTGCTGTGTATGTCCTTGAATCAGCGATGTGATTGTATGGAATGCTTTGAACTTATGTGGATGCAGTAGGCCTGTATTTTTGGTTCTTGCTCAGACAGATTTTGAATGTTTAGTTGCAGGAGGCTGCTGTATTATGGTTCCTAGAGTATAAATAGCATCCTTGCTCCCTCATGCTTTAAATTACAAAGGATTGCTTGTATGTGTATGTATGGATGGTTGCATGTAATGGAAGTACCACCGCATCAAGGGCGAGGGAATCGTGTGGATTTCTCTCATCCATTACATTGCAATACTTGCATGGAAGAGGTGTAGGAGACATGGTATTGATGTGTCAAATTCTCTAACTGCAGTCAAATTGCCAAGCATCTTTCCCTGCCGCCTGTTAAGCTCCACTGCAGCATGCTAGCAGAGGATGCCATCAAGGCGGCTGTCAAGGATTACCAAGCAAAGCGTGCAAAATCGAACGGTACTGAAGCAGCTGATGCACCTCTGCAGGAAGCTGCTAAAGCTTGAAGATGTGTATAATGACCATGTGATCACCAGAAGTATTTCCTGCTAGAGCGAGAACCCTTCTCGGTCCATGGTAGGCGAAATAATAAAAGGGCTTGCGAGTGATGTAAAGAGATAGGCTGCTGCTCAGTGATGAGTTGTGGAAATGTTAGCTATGTTTTAGCTCTCTGGTGCCTTATGTCGAGGTTAACCTTCGTGTAATCGGGTGTCCTTGTTTTTGTTACTTTGCTCCCCTAGAAAGTACCCTTGATGTTATGACTGATGGGTTTTGTTTTCCTTGTATCAAGTTGATTGTGGTATAGCGCATAACTTGATAGACACACACAATCTAATGGTGTTTGAAATGTATGAATCGAGGATGCGGAGCTTGCATATTTGTCTTCAATGGAGACTTTTTTTCCCCTTTCCTGGTGGAACCCTTTCATTTGAGATTTGAGGGTCGTGACATATATGTGAAACATTAGACGTTGAATGTTAATGAAGCCTGGATACAGATCTGAAAGTTTCATGCGCGTGGAACGGAATGATTCTTCAATACGATTTAATATGATCATAAAAGTCGAGTCGAAAGATGTAAAGAGCATTTCCGACCCTGCCTTTTAAATATGATGACTGTGCCCTAATTTTTCTCCTGAAAAGTGTCGCTCACTCAATTTACATTAATAATTATTTTTCTTCCTCTCTTCTCTTTCTCCTTTTAGTCCCAACTGAACAACAACTCTATCTCAAATCACTAATTCTAATGCTCTTCGAAACTCACTAACTAAATTCTTATCACTTTCACGTCGAACTCTTTCCGTTGTTAGTGACTTTATTTTGATTATAGTGAACTAATAATTGGTATTGACATACAGTGAAACATAGGATATTCTTGGAATTGCAAGTGAAACGGTTTTCTAAGAGGGTTTTTGCCCGTCAACCACTAAACCCTAAACATTTTACTAATCCTAAGTTCCAAACCAAGTAACCAAGGTCACCGGTTTGACAACACTGAAAATATGAAACAAAACTTGAATAGCTTATAAGCTGGCCAACATGTACAAAGTAAAAAATTTGGGAGCTATACGGTAATTTCTCACAAAACTCCTATCCAGGGACTGACAAGACAATTTTGTATTTGACAACAAAAACCCAGCCAGGGCATTTCCCCGCTCCGACTTACCTGCCGTCCCCTCCCCTCAATACCCTCCCTGCAATCTCTCGCCGCCGGTCCCCCCACTCCGCCGTCTTCCTCTCTCCGGCTCGCCCTCGCCGCCACTCTCGTTCGTCGGCTTCTCTCAATCGCCATCCTCCTCTGACGCGTCTTCGCCCCCTCTACGAGAGGTAATGCAATGTCCTCCCTGCTTTCCCTCTTCGATTAATTGATTTCAAGTCGAACTACGTTTGCACTAGGGTTTTTTAGTTCTGATTGTTCATTGTACAATTCCTGCATGATTGGGATGCGCTACCGTTAGCCGATAGACAACCATCAGATATAGTGTTGAGAAAATGAAGAATGAATGATATGATCTCTTATGCCAGATGACCGAATTCAGTAGATTTTCACACAGTAGCATCATTTTTTCAGTTCCCCGACATACTTCCCTTACAGTTCCATGATGCGGGTACAAGGCTTTTACTAATTTGAGTTTTCTTACCCTCTGCTTCGTCTAGGGGAGTTCTCCGGTGAAGTAATACAACCTGTGAAGGAATCATTGATTGCCTGCTCTTAGATTCACCAGAGCCATGAAGCTAATTGTGATTGCGAGAAGAGCAGCGGTTCATTCCCGTGCAAGTCTCCGCTTTGAAGCTAATGGGTTCTTGCAGGTTAGGTGTTTCCAGCACGACTTCGTTCCTAGAGAACCTTCGGTCAAGCCCACGAAGTACAAGTACCCAGATTTCTATGATCCGTATGGTCCCCGGCCTCCTCCATCAGAGAAGATTGTTCAGCTTGCAGAGCAAATTGCAGCGTTGCCACCCGAGGAGCGACGCCAAATTGGACCTGCTCTGGGGCTCAAGCTGAGCCATCCGAAGCTCGAGACGATCTCTACCGAAGGAATGGAGTTGGGATCAGCAGCAGGAGGAGGGGCTGGTGCAGGAGCTGCGAAGGTCGAGGAGAAGAAGGAGAAGACAGCATTCGATGTGAAGCTTGAGAAGTTTGATGCAGCTGCTAAGATTAAGGTGATAAAGGAAGTCAGAGCTTTTACCAACTTGGGATTGAAAGAGGCCAAAGAGTTGGTTGAGAAGGTGCCCGTTTTGCTAAAACAAGGAGTCACCAAAGATGAAGCCAATAGCATCATAGAGAAGATTAAAGCTGCTGGTGGGTCTGCTGTCATGGAGTGATTAAGCTTTGAGCAGTTGTTTTCTTTACACTTTCGTTTGGCTTTTCCGATCTTTCTTCTGTTCTTGTTAGATTGGTATCGAATTGCCAGAAAGATGAGTTGAATAACTAGCAGATGCAAAAATGGGACACCAATGCTGTATTTTTGAAGTAGCTCCAACTGGATCGATATTAGAAAGTTTTTGTTTGATTGATTTCCACTGGGACTCGGAGGTTTTACTTTACGATTTGAGTGCGCGGTTTATTTCATACAATGAACGCCCATGATAGGAAGGATCATAGAAACACTCTGCCAAAAGTGAAAACAAAGTTCAGCAGAGGCATAAGATTATAAGATGACTACCATCATAAATGCTTATCACTTGTTCATTGCTCTAAACCATCCTCTTAGCGAGGAGAAAACAACAGAGCATAGAGTAAAACTAAGCCAGCTTCCTCTCAATCCACATTACATACTGAAAACTGCCTAGAGAGAGCTTATTGTTCCTACGGCTACCTAATGAACAGCCTAAACGAGGTTACATACAGAATTGGTTGGATCTGCATTTCTACATCATTCTCGTTTAAGAGGAGGTGGAGGAAGATTTGGGCATGGAGCTGACTTTCTTCATAAGAGAGTTTATCTCATTCTCCAACTTGCTCCTCATCTCAGGTGAAAGACCATCTCCCGATTTCTGCAGCATTGATGTCATCATCGCCAGATTTTGCCTTATGACGTCGATGGGAGGTGCAACTGCAGCTTTAGGGGCTGCTGGCATTCCCGTGGTGTTCAACTCTCCCTTGGAATGAGATGTTGGGGAAACTGCAATAGGAAGAAGCTGGGAACTCACAGGGGCTCCGCCAAAAGGATTATTACCCTTCTCTAGGCTGCTCCTGAATGACTTATCACCATCAGCAGCCTTTGGGAAGAAGACTTGTGGCGGAGCACCAGGGTTATGCAAAGGCCGTGATTCTGGCTCTTTTGGAGGTTCTCCATGAAACCATTTCCTGCTGTATTTTTCAAATGGTACGCTGGGGGCATATTTCTTTGTTGGTCTCCCTGGATTACCTCCTCTTCCTCTTCCTCTTCCTCTTCCCCTCTTCACCCCAAGATTTGCGGATGTCCCATTTTCAGCATTAAGTCCCCCATTTAAATCAGAAATTCCAGCAGCAGCAGAAATAACCTGTTCTGAAACTGGGGTCTCCTCCCTCTTTCTTTTCTTAGGAACAAGCTTACCTTCTACTTTGACAGTATCACAGCTGGTGAGCGGCGGATCCCACGTGGATGACCCAAAACTTATTAACTTACCGTTTGTGTCCGAAATGCTAGTAGGGGAACATGTCACCTTACCTTCTCCAGGAAGGTGACTTGGAGAAAACGGGCCTCTACCCTGCAAACATTCTGACAATGTTCCAGCTTCTGAAACATTTCCATTCACAACTGGCAATGTTGCTTTCTCCTGTATCTTTGTCACAGCCTGTGGACTTAAAGACAACAAATTCGGTACAACACCACCATTGCTGTTTAGGTCAGGTATGTTGGAGATTTGGTCAATCTCCTGCCTTAACATAAATGTTCCTTGCTCCTCACTTCCATTATTGTGTACAAGCCCTTTATCTGATGAGGGAAGAATGACTACGCAACAGTTAGTATCTGCTGCCATGCCATTTGTAGCAACTTCGACATTAGTAATAGCTGAATTTTCAGATTCATTCATCTTCTTCCACGCCTGCTTAGGTGGCAAAGTCTGACTTGTCTCTTCAGCAACCTTTCCAGGGGGTGTCTGAATCTCAGCAGCATTATCCCCAGTGGTGTTCTTGCAATGCATCTCATAAATGGACTCGTCATGAAACGCTGATATTCTGAACCTAGAAAAGAACCACTCTACTATGGCAAAGTTCTTGCTCTTGCTTTGATACAAACAATCTACAGAAGCACAAGATAGCTCAGACAACAAATTGGAGACCGATGCACCCAGAAACTCTGGCTTGCTTGATATACTTGTGTCTTTGATGAAATTCTCGAACCACTGCTTTTGGAATCTTTTGCTAGAAGATATAGAAGAAGCTCCACTTAGCCCAACAACATCCTCACTTGAAACACCTCTCATAACTTCCATTTCTGGAACCTTGGGTTTTTCCTTTTCATCTGGCCTATTGTTTTTATGTTCCAGGTTGACATACGGATATGATAAATACTTGCTCCTCTTCCTTTCTCTCATGTCAGAACTCTGATTATCCGCTGTTGATGGAGAACCCAAGTTTCCAGCCTCCTTCGTAGAAGGAGAGGTCGGCAAATCTTCACCGAGATCTTCCCTCCTGAAGTTTATTTCAAAGAACTGGTTACGCTTTCTTTTCCTTGATCTTGATTCCTGGCCACTTTGTCCCAAAGTTTCCTTAAGACCAGCACTTGTCCCTTGAATCTGAGTTGAGTTTTGATCTCCAACTAGAGCATTCCCATTGACTTTTGTTGTAATTGACCCAGTCTTGCCACCATTTCTCTTCTTTGGACTCTGCTCCCACAGTTCATCAAGGTGTACCTGCAAGTGTCCTCTGAAACAAGAGAAGGCTTCCACCCGAATTTTAGCAAGTGCCAACTCAAGCATAGAAGGTTTGCTAACAGCCACTGCAAGTTGTTTGACCCGAGAAAGAAATATCATTGGCTCAAACTTTGTCACTGATTCACTAAATCTGAACTCTTGTAAATGCTTGCATTCCTTGCCGCTACCACCATCTTCTTGCTTGACCATGCAAGAACTGTTGATCTCCGACTTCAAACATTTCACATACTCATCCATGGCTTTCTCTACTGCTCCAGTTAAGTTTCTACCCTTGTTTCCCTCTACCATTTTATCAAAATTGTCATGGAAATGCCTTAGGTCAGATGGTGGGCACCAAGTGACATGGCTAGCCCCAAAATACTGAACTACATGGCAGTTGATCCGCTGACCTTCTTTAGAACAAATCGTTGCATTAGAGTCGCCACAAATCTTTCCTGGCCTCCAAGACTGGTTTTTCGTTCTAACCCACACTACATCCCCTACACAGAACCGCTCAATTGGCTCTTCTTCACACTCTTTCTTTGCCAAATCCTTGGTCGAACCAACACAATTCATATCTTTGGGGTAACCAGTTTGATCAAGAGGGACAGGAAGCTCCACATACAGTGATATGTTATTGCCTGAAACATTCACATTGCTACCTGTATCCACTCCATCAATGGCCAGAGAATCATCCTCCTTCTGCAAAACTCTATCCCTCAAATGCTCCTCACTCTCAAATTCCCCATCAGCGCAATCTCTTAAAGATGAGACCTTTTCAACTTCAAGAGCATGACCACCATTAACCACTTGGGGAACAACCACGGAGGTCAGATCACCACTTTCAAATTCCTCTCCTTCACAGACACCATTTCCTACAATCAATTTTTCACCATTTCCTTCTGGCAGCGCCTCAGACTGAGACTCCACAGCACCGCATTTCTCAGGACAAGAGCCAGTAGCTTGGCCCAACAACTCCATGGTCTTAAAGTTTCCAGCTTTCAGGGTTTTCCCATCTGGGTTCTCGGCCTCTAGGGTTTTATCAGGGGTTTTAGCATTCTCCATGCAGTAACTACAGAGCTCTCACAACACAAATCTAATGTCCCACCTAACACCTGCTCCGAAACAAGGGGCGATAAGAAAAATGGAAACCAGGAAGAGATAAAGGACATTGCTTTATCATCTAATTAACATGAATAATCCAATCCAAAACACACACCGCAAAACGTACTTGACCCATTACTATTTACAAGGAAATTATACAAAGATACTAACCTGTGAGAAAGAAATTTATTGTATGGTTGTGCGATCCCAGAAAGAAGGCTTCACATTGATGCAGCAGACATGATCCAAGACCACACAGGAGTCAGTGCTCAGGTGGAACTCTTTTGAGGGTAGAAAATCCAGGTGAAGAATTAACGAGGCACAAAGAGGGAAATGGGAAGAGAAAATCAAGCTAGAAAACCACCTACACACTGAAAACAAGGGGAAGAGAGAGTGAAAAATAACTGGAGAGAGATGAGGCAAGAGATGCGGGAAGAGGGAAACAATTAACTCGGAAAAGGAAAGACAAAGAGAAAGAGATGGAAAGGAAAGGAAAGAAGAGCCAGCTCCAACTGCAAGAAGAGAGGTCTCCCTCAGTCCCTCTCCTCGGCTTCCACTTTCATGTTCAGATGCTTTGTTTGTTTGTTGATTTGTTCCCTTCCCCGTTTTTAAAGATTTTCTATTTGATCCCCCCCTTTTTTTTTTTAATAAATGTCTCTCCCTTTTTAGCATTATTATTAATATATAAAAATTACAGCTTTTTCTGCCAATGAGCTCTTCAGATAAAGAAAAATATGGAGGATTTGGAAATTGTGACGTTTGTGTGGATTGTTGTTGTAATTGTATTGTTTAGAATTTTTTTTTTCATACACAATATATTGTTTGTGTACACTGAGATTATTATACATAAGTTTTTAGTTGATGCGACATGCACAATCACATATATCAGATGTTGAGTTGACAGTTATTAAATTCATTATGTATCTAGACGATTATGATAGGATGCCAAATGAAAATATTTGATCTACATATGCATATGAGAATGTAATCAATGTGTATGAATTCATTAGAATTGTCAACATGATTCTTTTGTTACTATACTCCATCTTTCACTTACAAGAGACTCTAATCGCATAGCTCATATGCTTGCTATCTTTCCTAATGATACTTATGAAACTATCCATAACAAATTGTACTCCAAAGTTACATTGCTGATGTTATGGCTATGGATGCTACCTTTGATTGACCTTAATGAAAGTTTTGACCATCAAAAAATTATTATATCGTTCTTTACCCATTGAATATTCACAATTTTTATAGGTGATGGATTGTATTTCTTATTGAATGTATATTTCTTTACTTCGATTATATTTCCAATTGAGTGTCAAATGTCATACTGATTCGAGTTTAACATCTCAGCTTTTTATTTGAAGGATTTTATTTATTATCTAACTTAAGGTAACACAGTAACATCCAACGTAGTCAAAATCACGCTTTAAACTTAAAAAACTTACGATTTTACGTTTCTAGGTCACTAAAATGCTTCTACGCAAAATCTCCATTTTTATAACTTATGTAGTTAAAAACTCGCTTTAAAACTTACGATTTTACGCTTCTAGATCACCAAAACGTTTCTACGTAGAAACTCGTTTTTAATGGTAACATCAACACTTGGTACAAGGTCATTGCATCATTTCCTGCCGTTGATTATTGTTTGCTGTGTCTTGGACTTAGGATAGTTGAAATTGAAATTCAACAGAAACAGTATTACAAACCAGGAACCACCTGGTTATTATCTCGGCAGCTTCGGAGGAAAGAGTAAGAGTTAAACTCAAGTTCAAAAGGTAATCATAAATTCTGCAGAATGGCAATGTCGCGTGCTGGGAAAATGAAAATATATAGATAAAAGGGGCGTTCCGAGAATCGAACTCGGGACCTCTCGCACCCAAAGCGAGAATCATACCACTAGACCAAACGCCCTACTGTGATATGGAATTCATTTTTCTTCTATTGATTGTTGATAAGAGACTTGCACCTTACAAACTCCACTTGTACTACAATTTCCCAAAGCATTTGGGGATTTGCTGAAGGGCATTTCTTGAAAAGACCTGGTTATAACTTATAAGCGCTGATGGGAGAAGCTGACCTCAAACTGGTAGTATAATTATGTACATACCCAACGGGAACATGTCAAAAGTAGGGAGAAATGGGAAACCAAAAAAAAAAGGCAAGCTACTGGTTTGCTTGTTGCAGTTCCTATTCTCTCTTTATTACACACTGAGAACCAATGGTCTAGTTCTAGCACCCTAGTTTTGTTCTTGAATGACTCAGAGAATATCAATGGGATCGTGAAGGTTACAAGGTTGGCACTTTCCCACTGACGTGAGAACTCGAGAAAAAGGCTCTCAATTTGCTGGTTCGTATCTGCACACACAGTCGTATATGTTTCCTTGAATCAGTTTCTCAGCCAACCTTTGGTTCTTTACCATCGCGAGCTGCAAAATTATGAACATTCTCAGAAAGTGTGGGAGATGGAAAATAAAAAACCACCAGTTGGGTAATGCAAAATAGTACCTTCAAAGCGTCACATCTGAACCGAGCATTGAAGTTGGTGTGAAGAGATCTACCCATTCCTTCCAAGATGATCTGCAAAATGCAGTTAAATTATGTCGTGAGTGACTCTGGCTATTATGAATACAATCAAACGCACACTTTTACTTTGCACTCAGGCACCATTACCAGATCAGCCTCCATTGCAGCAGCAGCAAGCTCAGAGCTGACCTGCCTCAAGTCAATGCATGGACTTCCACAGCCATTCGCAACAACTATTAGTGGGACTGGTGACGAGTTCTCTTTGGAACCATCAGAGTTGGTGATCATTGCATCCACAAGTAGCCCTCCGGCTTCAGCAGCTCTTCTAAGAATGTCACAGTGCTGTAACAGTAGCAAACATCCTTTTTGATAGACTGACTACTGAACAGCTAAACAAAATACAAAAATAAAATAGTTAACCTTTGCTGCCTCGGCAACAATCTCTGGAACTTCCATAGCAGTTACATCATTCAGAGCAGGAAGAGAGTTTGCAACCAAGACAACCTGCAAATGATGCCATTTCCAGTTTCGTTTTGTTACATTGCAACCAAAGCTGGGGAAGGGACAGAATCGCGAAGAAGGAAAGTGCACAATTTGAGCTTAAATTTGTCAAAACTTCAGACAGTGCATGATCGAGCAATTGCAACAAATCACAAAGTGTGTACGTGTTCTTCACTAGCAACAATCATTTCCCCCATATGGCTTTGAATCATATATATATATAAAGAAGAAATTTACCTCAGTCCCACGGCGAAGGAGTTCCCTCGCCAGTGGAAGCATTCCCAGAACAATGTCGGCACCTGAATTGTCCACGAAGAGTAGAGCTCTCTTGTGTGGTGGAGGCTTCTTATCTCCAGAACCCAACATTCTCTCTTTGAAGAGATCAAAATCATCCACCTAAGAAATGAAGCCCAAAACAATACGACTTTATGGCAAGCGTTTGCAATGTAACAAACAAACAAAAACCCTTTTCTTGACTAACCCGCCACGGCCTTTGCATTTTATTGCGACTCATTCTGTAGATTTCAATTATTGTGCCTTTATGGTAGAGTTCCACGCAAGCACGAGATCCCCAGTCAAATATATTAGCAGCTAGAACTCCTTCAATTAAGGTAAGCAATCTTGTCTCCTGTAAAAAGGAGAAGGGTTGAGTAAGCTTGTTAAACAGTTCCTGGGTAACAGAAAGTTTTCAACTCGCTCCATATGACTAAGCACTGGATTAAAATGTGTACCTCTGACATACTATCAAGCTCCATTAACAGGTCAGGTAACACAGCAAGTGACGCCTCATTTTCCCTGCGACATTCAGTCGCTTTGTTAGACAAATGATACAAGACAGTTTTATTGTTGTTGTGATCCAGAAGCAAAGCTACCAAAGGGAAATATAATTAACGCGCCGTTTCTATGCCTATTTTGACCATCATTGTCGAAGTCTTCAAACATCATTGCTGCTGCTTTTGCTCTTTTTTCAGAAAGGAAAGAGCAAAAGTTTTCTACGGCGCAGGATATTCAATTCAGCTACATCTCAGTTGATCTGAACCCTATGTACAGTTAAGCAGAATGCAAGTATCTTACTGCATGTTCAAAGATATCTTTTCGCTTGTAAACAAGTTACATGGCATAAGCAAATCCTAGGTAGGAGAGAGTGAAAAGCATCACTGTCTTATTGAAATCATTATCTAAGGATAGTTCAAGATTAAATGAACAACCTCTGCTTGATGCTTCTGTAGACATCAACAAAATGGAACTCTCTCAGGCACTCTTCTCTGAGCTCCAACAGATTGGCCAATCCTAACTTTCCATATGCTGCGGGCTCCTCCATCAACCTACAAAGAGTGCCAAGAAATGTTTCTGTTTTATCAATAGAAAGAGTGCTGGGAATTGATGTACGGAAGTGAGAAAAGACATTGTTCGCAAGGGCTATTCTCTCCACTGCTCTAGAAACGATCTATCGGATAGCAGACTTCAATATCCAACAAGCTAACACCTGATGTTGTTCAATGACAGACATGGGCTCATTTTTACATGATTAACAAAAAACTTGTGCGCGAAATATGTAATGCTGGATATTACTCTAATACCAGCCTGTGTGCTACCTTACTATAAAGGTGGATGTACAACAAGCAGCGAATGCGTTAGCAGCACAAAAGGAAAACTGGAAAAGATAAAGTTGTCCAGAGATAAGGCAATGGAACTCTGATTTTGAGCCAAATTACTCAAGCCCTAGAGTGACTACACAAGCCCAATAGGTGCTATGAATATACCTCGCCAAGTGAGCCGAAAATGCACGAGCAAAAGCATCACCCCTTCTTTTAGCATCGTCGGTCCCTCCTTCACTTGCTACTGCCTAGAATATTGAACTCATAAAATCAGAAAAACAAGGGATGATATTTGTTATTGTAAAAAAGACCCTTACAATCTACAAATCAATAAACAATTCATTCTTCAGCAAGTCATATAAGAATCAAAGGCAACAACCAGGCTGGGTAGAGAGCAAGTAACAGGTTCCCATCAAGATGTATGTAATTAATCACAGTCATCATGGAACAAAGTTCATTGGCTAAATACTGTTAATTAAGTAGGGAAACTATCAAAATATGTATTAATATAGTCTAATTAGTAATCTGAGACTAAATAATATATGAAATGTGATGGGTACAGGTTGGATACCATCATGCAGTGAGAATGACAAGCAACTGTACCTCTCCTATATGTACTCGAACTTAAATGAATAATCCGCCCCTTACCTAGTCAAACTTAGCTGATAAATTGTTGACTAGAGGGGCTGCTTGGGGGAGGGAGAATTCTGGGGTTTTTTTCTTCCATCTCTTGAAAGAAGAACTTAAGCGTAAGCTTCAACAATTTAAAATTCTTGTGTTATGCATTTAAACCCATTCCATTGAAGTCATTAGACTCATGCTAGAAGCTTCAAATAAGGATTTCAACTAGACTTTCTGTAATTATGAGACTTAACTGAGGATACAGAAGAACCTAAGACTATCACCCATAGCAAACGTCATTCTGAACAGAGTTAGTTTTACCTATTGCACTTATACTATAAAAAACATAAATTTATCTTCAAGAAGACCTTATTACCTTGTCAACAAGGTCAGGCATATGGTCGGACAGGACAGTGAACCAGTACCTACATTCATGTAAGGCTAGTAAATAAAACTTCAAACCACAGACACATAAAGTTCGATAGGAAAGTTGTTTCAATAAAAGATTCATGTGTATAGGCTGTGAGAGTTCCAGAAATTACTTACTCCAACTCATTGTGATCAGAGAGGTCGATTGTGTTGGGCTCATACCTGATGGCATGGAATTCAGCAGTCAGGAAATGCATAGATATAAAGAACAAGAGATATTTCCTTTACATAAATCTATGAGAATGCCACTTAGTTTGTTTAATCGGATTCCATTTATCACCACAAAAGGTAGAAGTGATGTTAGCCAGTTAACAGTAAAAAACTCATGGGAGAAAATTTTTTGAACTATTACAGAAGTCAAGTGACATTTAGCTGCACCCAATGTAAAATTATACAACAATATTTTTAGTGTTTTGAGATTCCAAGCGAGTGTGTCGGCTTCTGCATACGTTTTCAGGTCTGCTAACAGTGGAAACACCTCCAAAGTCGGTTCAAGATGGAGAACACCAATATTAAGAGCACTTGCATCAGATCGTAGTGTAGCCCCTTTTGAGGAAGGAACCTCAAAGCCACCAAGGCCAGTAGTTCCTGAAGGAGCCATTGGCACAGGTGCAGTTATCTCAGTACCCTTTAGCACAAACTTTTCCATCCAAGAAATCTGCATTTTGGTAAACAGTAAGATCATAAACCTTATCAAATCCGAAGCCCTAAATTGACTTTCAAGGAATAACAGGGACTTGTATTTTGCTTGTGCCACAAACCTAAGCACACTTTTGTTGCCTGAGACAAGGACAAATGGGTTTTCACACCAAGTTCATCAAACATGGCATAACTTTTAAAAAATGAGAATCTAGTACTTGACAGGAAGCAACCTCAGGTTCTATCCCAAAGGAAACAAACATTCTTTCGAAGTCATCATCAAACTGAACATGTAGCACCCGGCTAGATTAGTTCCCCTTTTAATTCCTTCGGGAACACTTCTGAAATCCACATAGTTTCTGGAAGGGACATTTGCTCATAGGTATTACACCATGGGAAACAAGAAACGAAATCTAACCCAGACTTAGTGCCATGGAAGCTCGCTTTCCTCTCAGGCAAGTGAAGGCAACTTTTTCTTTTTTATCAGAGAAGCGTAAAAGTTTTACAGGGGTTGCCAACGCTTAATAGGCTATATAGCAGGCTCTGATACACAGCAAACCTGAGATGCCAACTCCATGAAGGTAGTTCATGAAGAGCTTTTCTTTGCATCAAATATACCTATTGCTTAATTGAAGATAACAGTGTTCTCCTGGGCATCTAAAGGTTCCAACTCCACTATTCTCATTTCACTACGTGCTTTCTCTTTGAAGAATGTATTCCCTAGTACGTGCCATAAGTACTTACAAAATGGAAGGCGGCACAGAATCAATATAGTGGAATTACTTTGTGCACCTTTATCTTTGGCCACTCTGGGGCCAGAAAGATACCATCATACATTAGTGGTGAGCCTCACTTATCACCACATAAATATATGCCGAATAACCGGGCACAATAAGAGAAAAGCATGTGTCTGCCAACAGGAATCATTGATACCATCTCAGAGGTACAAATTTCCACTACTAACCTCTATTCTAAAGCAGACTGGGCTAGACAAATGCTGTGCACTTTTATTTCAACATAGATGAAATGGAAACACCCTCCCCATCAAATGCCAATACAACAAGTCTAATCATCACTTTCAATTGTATTCTTTAAGGAGCATGGTCACACTTTTCACATAGTTATACAAAGAATGACATATGAGAAGGCATGGTGGTGATTTCAAGAGATGGATGCTATGTTCCTATCTGAAATTTCATGATATAACTAACAAACATGTATGAAGCACTGGACACAGACAGTTTTACCAGCATGTTAAATCAATGATATTGCTAAAGCTAACACAACAACTAGATCCAACTACATAGACTCAATGAGGTAGCACTGCATCTCTTGTTCTGTAACCCATAAGTTCACTTACCTTTTCATTCAAATCACCCAGTGGGGGCCCATGAATCTTTCCACCGGTGTACGGTGCTCCCATGGGGAATCTTTCAACCAACTGATGAACCATCAAGTCATCCAGACCATGCTTCTCGTAGCTCATAAATGCACCTAAGGCTCCTAGAAACCCTTCATGCCGCAGAAACATAGCTTGCATCTCCCCTTTAGACCTACATATTAGGCATTACATTGCTAATATCATTCTAGTTATATTCGGAAAAAGAAAATGCAAAACAAACGCTGCTTAAGGTTATAATATTAGCCTCTCTTCAACTCAAGCAAGCCCTTCACTCAAAGTGTAAAAACTTCCAAAATACTCACCAGAAATGAACAGCAAAAGAAATTGTATCCATGGTATAAGCATGACCTCTTATGAAGAAACCACCAAAAAAGATTCTCTTAATTCCAAAACGGAGGGCATTCAAATATGCAATCTGCAAAGCAGAACACAAACTCAGAGCCAGCATGACCAAGCATATCTGCTGAAGCAGTAAGAAAGAGTAGCTAGTGAGGGACAAAGTAAGAATATACTCAGGATGCAATAATCCAAAAAACAAGGAATGTCAAGTTTCAAAATGTAAACGCAATGATCAATGCAGTTACGGTGTTAAACTATACTCAACTTTAGAATCATGTATTCCAATAAACAGACATCAGCTTTGTTACCTGCCCGATATTGTACGAAATCATTCGTAAAAGGGACAAAGAAATATCTTCAGGGCTGTAATCTTCTAGTTCCTTCTGATCAGAAATGGCCTTCCCGAAACTAGACGCGATAGTTGACGCCGAGAGACCAATCTACAATTATAGGGAATGCGCATATTAGAACAATACATAAATTATGCTATTTTACTAGATCCTTAAAAAAGCTCTTGAATGTTTAACTCTGCCAACATGGTCTGAGACTACTCTTCTATATCCATATGAAAGAAACATGTAGAATAAATCCTAAGAAAACAACTTCGCTGATGATACAATCTGAGCATCATACAACAATTAAAGCAGCAAGCCCTAAAAGTAGATTGTTATTCACACTGATTACAGAAACAGGGTACAAGACCATCAATATCTAAGCAATACCTTATTATAATCCGTGCCACCATAAATGTCACCAACGAGCATGTCAATTGTCCTATTATCTCCCCGTTGACTCAGCTCCAGCAATTCGTCAAAACTGCAACAACATATATCAAAACAGATAACAGAGTGAATCACGTAGTATGACTCACGCAAGGAGAGTCAGTAACCTCTTGCACTTGGTCAAGAGTTTCCCCAGTCCCCAATATGTACCGCCACCAACGTTTGTACCACTAATACGCTCAAACTTCCCATCTCCGTCAACCTGCATGTACAAATGGTACAATCTGATCCTCTTCAATAATAAATTATAGAATCACTCAAGCCGAGAAGCTCGTTAGGAAAACAGTAGGTTACCTTGATCATGCTAACACCAGAACCAATGTTTACTAGAAGATAGGGAAACAGATCGTTGTCATCCATCTGGACAAACTCTTTCTGACCTTCCATGTGGGTGAAAGCTTCATGACGAATAGCCTACGCAAAGTTCAGATCAGACACATAAGAAACCATGTTGAAGTTTGAAAACCAAAAGTACATAAATTAGAAAATTATGACATGAATGAATTTTTCAAATATGCTGACAGACAACCAAGCAAGAATAATGACATGCTCAAAGTATATTCCGTCTCTGTAATGATTGAACTAAAATCGTTGAGAGCAGAGCTAAAAGTAAAATGCTGACTCTGGTGTTTTTTTAATTATGTTTTTGTGAAGCTGGTTCAAGTTTCTCAATCAAATGATAAGCATACTACAATATCAATAAATAGAGAAATCCCAAACCGCTTTATGGTCCCGAGGTGAACCTATAAGTGAATAGATTATAACCCTACTGTTTAAAAATTGGAATTAACAGAAGTAGTGAAATTAGTATCAAATTCCCACCTTAAGCAAAAAGTTTGCTCCTGCCACAAGGCAATCCATTTCATCTTCCTTGTCAAGACTAACCCCAAGTCTTTCCTTGAAGAGATCGGCAAACTTGTATGCCCCGCCACCTGTGGCCTGTACAAATATTCACTTGTTACTACTGAAACTTGCTAAACCATGTAAGGAAGCAAAACAATATAATGTTGGCAAACCAAAGTAAAATCATGCATAACAAGCAGTTGCTTCATCCCTTTAGAAACATGAAATATCAGACACATAAAGTGGGGAAATTCAATACTTCCAGAAGCAGGAATGAGCACAGGAAGCCGGCAATTAACTAATTGGGAAAATCAGAGTTGCCAATTGCTGTGAAATACCTGCATGAAAACTCACAGCTCCAGGCTAGGCAATACGTTTTTTATTTTTTATGAATAGCTAGGCAATACTTGACCAAGCTTAGTACTTTTCAAATCAACACAAAAAGTCGGAAATTAGTCTTCAGCTGCATACTACTTTACTGTATGTTTATACTGCTTTATAAGCTATTGTTCCATACATCAGACAGCCAAATTTTGTGATTCTTGACCATTTTTTCTTATAGCTAGTAATTAGTTTTCTTAAGAAACATATACATAAAAGCTTTAAAGTAGTCTATGGTTGTGTTCAAAACATAAGATAAACCCAAAATATCACCTTGATTACAGCATTGTTGTTGGCTGCAGCTCCAAGAAGTCCATTACATACATCTACTCCTGTTCAGAGAAGTTGCAGGAAAATGGAAGGGCTGGCATAAGAACATAAGTAACATAGGAAGGTAAGCAAAGTTGCTAGGAATCAACTGAAGAGGACAACCAAGCAGCGACCACAAATTTAAATACCACCACAATGGAGCTGTTTGGAAGAGATGAACTCCAAGCACTCATTAATCTTGGCCGTCTCGAACTTCACAAAGTGTAGCCTTCCACCAAGAACAGGGAAGCTTCTCCTACTACCATTTGAAATCCCTAGTTTTTCCTGGAGTGTTTTTGTTCTCTTGTCATTATTTGATCGATCTTCACGTCTTGAGAAATATACAAGTTTAATTAGAGATCCTGCAAATAAATCATGCACATAACTTTGTGATTCTAATTGCATTGAACATTTTATCATACTTTGCAGTAAGCTATCCAGGCTACATGAGCATGTCCAAGTAAAAGGCACGCCACGAATCACACTTTCCGGAGACTAGAACGGAATAGCTATGCTACAATGGAGAAGGAAAAGAGCAGCCTCAACAACTAGATCAGATAGCCTGACAGATTAATAATGGAGAATTCAAGACCCCTAAATGCAACAGGACAGATCATGAACAAAAGATATGGGAGGGACGCATCAATAACCACCCTAGACTAATCAGAGAAGCAGAAGTACCGAGTCACAACCCAACAAGTTTAGTGAGAGGAAAATGGCTAACCTCCAATATCAAGAGCCAAGTGAGAAATATCATCAGATTGGTTAGGCAGCAGAATTGTGGGATCCCTCTCCTCAAAATTGCCCTGGATTGCAGCCTTGCTAAGGTCAAGCTGGGGCCTTGAACCAGAACGGTGAATGGAATTCCCAGCCATGTCTCTTCCACTTTGACCTTCCTCTCTCGCTTTATCCACCACAGGGGGCCTGCTGCTACTGCCAGTCTCAGTTCCAGACCCTTCCTTGTTTACTATCATGTCGTTAGTTCCAAGAACTGGGTCCTCTTTAAAACCGGTCATTAATCAACCTAAGCCTCACCAACTATTGTTGCCTGACCAACCTACGCTTTGGGAGTCAGCAAAGAAGGGCTTGGTTGTTCACTTGTCGTTTTTAGCTTTTACCCATTAACAACACAAATGGGAACATGGGGAGACAAACGGAATCTTCAATGCGCAAATGCGTCCATCTTACCGGTTCCCAACTTCAAAATTGGGAGCCCAGATAGGAGAATGGCAATTTCGTTTTGAACTGCAATAGAGTCAGTACCTGGAACAAACAAACACAGCAGTAATTAAAGCGGCAAGCTTATAAAGCTGGAGTAAAGGAAACACATACCAGACACGGTGAAAACCCCGTTGAAGCTGAATTCAGAAGCACAAAGCGATTGAAAAGATCGATGATGAAGTGGGTAAGCAAGAGAAACAGGAAGGCGAAGGATGATTGAAGTGGAAAACGGAAGAGATATGCTTTTGGGTGGAAGCCGTAGAGAACGAATTGGTTGCAACTTACAATAGTGAGGGCGATTGGCGGGATATTCATTCAGGATTCAGCTCTGATAGTGTCAGTCAAATTGCAGGTTCACGGATTGGTTCCTCTCGAAAATTTAAGGGTTATAGGTATAATATGTCCCTATAACACGTTTTATCAAACATGCTCATTTATTATTTTTTGCATCAAACATACTTATGTATTTTGAAAAAATTATCAAACATGCCCTTACGATAAAATTTCCATTGAAAAAACCGTCAATCATGGTTGAACCGAGATTTAGACGACTCGACATCAACAAATAAGAGGGAAAATGTAAGTTTTGTCCCCCGTTTTATTTCTCTTGGTCTCTTCAAAGTGAAATTATTTGAATTATTTGGATATACAAAGAACCAAAAAAAAATGTAATGTGAAATTATTAGGGATACTTTAGACATTTGTGTCGCCCAAAATAAAGTTCAGTCTTGATTAACGATTTTTAAATGAAAATTTTAACAAAAGGGCATGCTTGATAATTTTTACAAAGTACAAGGGCATGTTTGATGTAAAAAATAGTAGAGGGGCATGTTTGATAAAACGTCATAGTAGAGGAGCATATTATACCTATAACCCAAAATTTAATAAATTTCTTAAACGTGATTTGGAAGTTTTGATTGTTTTGGAAGTTGCAATTGTTTTTCATATTGTTATTATATTTGTATTTTTTAGAATTAGCTTATAATTCGGCTCGTTGGCTGGAATATTCATATTTGATTATTTATATTATCATGTTACGTACCTTTAAGTCTATCAATCTGTTTAATTTTATTGACAATCTTTCGATCGAGATGATATATAAAGAAATAACATTTGGAGAAATATAAAAATGTATCATTGATCTCATTTTCATAATGATAATTAAGTCTCTGGTAAAGTGTATTGGTTAGTTGATTGTCAAGAAATATAGAGTATAAAAGCTCATTGAAATTCCCCCACGAACCATAGATAGTTTGAAACTAAATTTTAAACCTTGCAATCCTTCATAAAGGTTCAATGCTCTCCTTTTAGGAATAATATGTCAGTAATCAAAAAAAAATTGAGAGTTGTTGTTTTAAAGTCAGCTATATGCTAATAACTCACCTAAGCGAAGACCATCACAACTTGAGAGCAAACACCAAAACTAGAGTTACCTCCAATATACTAATAGACTCGATCAAAGTAATAAGGAACAAAACTAGACACTCCTTCTCTATCAGTTCCAGTAAGTTGAATAAAGAATCGACCGACCTACTTTAGTAAATAAATCGATGATTCCTCGTTTTAAGATAGAATTAGGTTACGATAGCTTCAAAAACCATAAACCTAAAGATCCAATAGCCACCATACTCTGTTGTAGCATAAATTTTTTATACACTTTATCTTCAATCTCAAGAGGTGTATGTTTCAACCAAAAATTCAATTTTTAATCCTCCTTCTGCACCTCCATTTATTGAACTCCATTCTATTCGCCATGGATTGATATCGGACTTAAAACCTTGTAATTGCCCATTTTAAATCCCCAAGAATAAAATCGTAGTGCCAAGAGACCGGAAGATTGATTTTCAAAGGCGGTCTTGTATTGTGAAGTGAAAGGGGCTCAAACTATTGCACGATGGAGGGAATTTCAGAGGAAGTTAGAAAGCGATAAGAAAAGGATAAAAAAAAGTACAAATTTAAATATAAATTGAAAAATGCAATGATACAACACGTAGTAATGGAATTAGTTTCTTCCATGTTGGCCAATTACCAATTTACCTTAAGCGAAAAATAAGGAGAGAGCAGTGATTTTAGAATTGAGAAACTACATGAAACTCTGCTATGAAAATTGCAGTATCAAGCACCATAAAAATATATACGGTAAACTTAGTGGGCTTGCTAATCATGATGAACAAGTCCTCTGATTTTCAGAGTGTCACTTCATGTATGTTTTGTGTTAGAAAAGATACAAAGAATTTGTTTATTGTAATTGGTTGCGATTGTTGTCTTTGTTTAAAGAGACCTATGTTCAAATCCTCATATTGACATTTTTTATATGGAATAAATAATTAATTGTAAAGACAAAAATGTCCTTCCTACTTTCACTCTCGTTGCGGGAAATTTGAAATAGAAAAAAGTAGACAAAACTCTACTATATATTATTGGAGGATATTCATTTTTTTATAGCAAATAAGGTATGTGCATTGTTTCTAATTGATACAATCATTATTTTTATCAACAATCACGGCTCATTTTCATATTCTAAAAGAAATGCAAAATATATTTGTAGTTTACACTCTTAAGTGAGTAATTTTCCAATATATCAAACTACACAATTATTAGCAAACTGGTCGTCGATTCAACTTCAAAGTTTGTTCTTACTGTAGCTCAAAGCTGGAAAAATGTTCATTCTACACTTGCAGTTGCAACGGCTATAGTCAAAACTAGTTTCATAAGCAAATAAACTTACAGATATGACTGGTGCACTTTTTTCTTCAGCATTACTTGAGATAATTCATCAATTACTTTAAAATAATTGGTCCAAAAAGGCAGGCTCAAACTTACGCTTAGGCGTGCCTAGGCGCTAGGCAAAGTCAAAATGCCTCACCTAATGGTTTCGCAGCAAGTTAGAAATTTGGAACATGGCCCCGCAGTTCGACCACACATAGGTGTAATTAGGCGGAGCTAGACAGTCAATATCAAAACCAAAACAAAAAGGCCCGAAAAATAAGTGGGTTGTCATCCAATAGGGCACAAACCGGGCCAAAGCATGTTGAGGCTTCTGAAACACTAGCTGTCCATCTGCTCCCTCTGGAAACCTCCACGACAAGGCCAAAATGCCACCTCCAATACCCCTCCCTCTTTCTATGTGTGACATTGCTCTTTTATTATGCATCTCGCCCTCACCACAAACATCATGAAGCATACACAAAAAACACATTCTAGAAACACCACAAATAACTTAAATAGACAAACCAGGGGCGGAGGCAGCTTAGGGCTTGGGGGGCCATGCCCCCCCCCCCCCCCCCCACCAATCATAATTTGATCGTAGCCTAGTGATAAAGGTTGTGTTTCCCTTAAACAAAGGGAAGTAGGTTCAATCCCTGATCGAGGCATTTTCTTTCTCATTTTTACGTTTTAGTTTTCACTCTTACCATTCAACAAATTTTAAGAGAACTTGCATTAAAGATTTATTATTTCACTCTATTTTTGCCTTCTAAAAATTAAAAGAGAGAATTTTCATATAATATCTAATGTATATTAGAGAAAATTCTGAAAAAATCTTAGTATTCAATTTTAAATTTGAATCTCGTTTCGTTTAGTATTTATTATTTGTACTGCTAGATATCTTACTTTATTTTGATTCATTCAAAATCTAGTTTTATTAGCAAATATGCATTTTGAAATGTAAAAATAACATAAATTTGCCATGGCGGCCTCTCCGTCGGTCACAGATCCGATTGGGGAGGCGGTGTCTTGGACTTCTCTGTTTGATGTTGCTCCTGCCAACAGGATGCGCTTCTGCCTTCCGAAAAAGATTCATGATGGATATCGTCTGCCTCGCGAAGTGACAAAGAGAGGTGAGGAAAGGTGGAAGGATTATCTGATCGGGCAGTTCGTGGGGGCTCTTCCTAAATTGGGGCTTCTCCAGCAGTGGGCGAATGGTCTATGGGGCGGAGATGGCCCGTTGACGGTGTCGAGATTTGGACCGCGCTTGCTTGTGTTTCAGTTTCCATCTGCAGGGACAAGTCAGTGGGTTTTCAAATCGGGGTCGTGGCACTATCATGGGAATCGGATCTTCTTCAGGAACTGAGCACCAGGGTCCAGCTGGTTGCCCCTGTGATTGAGGATTTACCGATATGGGGTCATAATTTGGGGGATACCTCTGGAGTATCATACGTTTGAAGGGCTTGAATGGGTTGCAAGCACTATTGGTCCGTCGGTCTGGATGGATCAAACTACAAGAAAGGGCCATCAATTGGAGTTTGCTAAGGTTTGTGTTAATCTTGCGGCTGATTGTGGTTTTCCAACTAAGATTAGGTTGTACCCAGATGATGATCCATTTTTTGATATTGGGATTGAATATCTGAATAAGCCTCAGGTCTGTTCTAAATGTGAGGTTTATGGTCATGACTGCAATAGAAGTGAAAATGTGACAAGAAGTGGGTGCCTAAAACCAAATCTGTTGGTGTTGAGGTAGGTCAGTCTGAAGTTGTTCCACCTGGGTTGGAAGCTATAAGTAAAGGCAAAGAGAAGGTTACTGCTGAAACGGAGGTTGAGAATGAGATCTTGGAGGTTTCAGTGGAGGAAGGGCAAACTTCTTGCTCTTTGGTTAATACTGAAGGTGATTCTAGGGACCAGGTTGTGAGATTTGTTGATGTTGTGAAGGGATCGACAGTTGGGGGTAGTTATCCTATTCCACAGCAAATAGCTTTGGAGAATGCTTCACCAAACTCAGGGAGAGACAAGCTCATTTAGCGGAACCCCCTGATACTCAGAATCCATGGATCACTGTGAGTCAGAGAAAGAAGACACCTACTACCCCTATTTCTAAGAGAGGGGGTAGGGGAGGTAAGCGTAAATGAAGTTCATATCATGGAATACTTGGGGATTTAAGGACCCGGATAAGAATAAAGTTGCGCAGCTATTAGTAAATAAACATAGTATAGATATTATTGCATTATTAGAACCAAGAGTTAAGGTTGATAAAGCTGAAGAACTAGTGAATAAGAGTTTTCCAGGATGGGAGAAGAGAATTGTGGGCAATGCTGCTGGATTGAGTAAAATTGGGCTGGTTTGGAGATCTGATGTGCAGATGAGGGTCCTTCATAGTATTAATCAGTTCATTCATGTCATGGTTTGTTCTGGTTTGCCTTTCTTTGTTATTGTGGTTTATGCCTCTAATGAGGAAGCAGAGAGAAGAGTTCTTTATAGTAATCTGGGGGTTGTTCAAGTTCAATCTGAACCTTGGGTTATATTGGGGGATTTCAATGCTATAGGGGATGTGAGTGAGGCCTCTAACTCTCCTGGAGTTAGCTCTAGTATGGTGGATTTCAGGAAATGGCAGTTTGACATTGAGATTGTAGAGCATAAGTCTTCTGGATCATGGTTCACATGGATCAATAAGCAGTCTGGAAATCCAATTGCGAGGATAATGGATAGAGCCTTTTATAAACTATAAATGGTTGGATGTTTTTGGTTCTAGCACAGTGGATATTTTGAATCTTGCAGTATCTGATCATTGTCCAGTGTTTGTTAACACTGATAGTTCTATAAAATCTCTCCCTAAACCTTTTAAGTTTTTTAAATTGTGGATGAAAAATGAGAGGTACCGGGATCTTGTGAAGGAGGCTTGGAGCTCTGAGGTTGTAGGTTCACCTATGGAGCGAGTAAGTAGGAAACTCAAAATATTAAAAGGGTTGCTCAAGCATTTTAATAGAAGTGAATATTCTTATCTTCATGAGAGGGTAAAGCTCAAGGAGCGGGAGTTGATTGTTGCTCAGGCCAGTGCTTTTCAAAAGTCCCTCAGCTGAAACATTCCAGGAAGAGGCTCGGTTAAATGCAGATGTCAAAACATTAAGGGAAGCTGAAGAATCCTTTTTAAGGCAGAAATCTAGGGAAGTTTGGTTGAAGGTGGGAGACTCAAATTCCGGGTATTTCCATAGGTCAGTAAAAATCAGAAATAAAAGAAACATGATAAGATCTTTGATAAATGATGAGGGTGTTCGAGTAACAGATACAGATAGCATGTGCAAGATTGCTTAGTTATTCTATAAAAGGTTGCTGGGGCAGAAGGACTCACAGGTTGAGGCGAGTAGTATTGAGGAAATGCAAGACCTCCTGCAATTTAAAGTTGATGAGGAGCAGCAAGCTGCTTTAATTAGGCTTGTATCGAAAGATGAAGTAAAGAACAACCTGTTTGGATTCAAAGGGGATAAAAGCCTGGGGCTTGATGGATTCCCAGCATGTTTTTTCCAAACAGCATGGCATATTGTTGGTCCTGACATTATTTCTGTTGTGCAACACTGTCTACTTAGTTGTTCTTTTCCTTCAGGTACAAATTCTACACTCTTAGCATTAATACCTAAGGTTCAGAAACCTGAGGAGATGAAGTTGTTTAGGCCCATTTCCTGTTGTAACACACTTTACAAGTGTGTGGCAAAAATTCTTGTTGCTAGGCTTAGCACAATATTGCCTTCCCTTATAAGTCATAATCAAACTGCATTCATTAAAGGGCGAGTAATTGGTGATAACATCTTATTAGCTCATGAACTGGTCCAGAAGTATAATAGAAATGATATCTCTCAAAGAAGCATTGTTAAAGTTGATATTATGAAGGCCTTTGACTCGGTGGACTGGGATTTTTTAATCACTATGTTAAAAGCAATGAATTTCCCTTATCTATTTGTGAGGTGGATTGTTATGTGTGTTACTACCCCTAAGTTGAGTGTGGGGTTTAATGGTGGTATAGTGGGGTATTTCTCAGCTAAAAAAGGCTTAAGACAAGGGGATCCACTGTCTCCTTATATGTTTGTCATATCTATGGAAATCCTATCGTGCTTAATGTCCAAGGTAGTTAGAGAGGGAAAAATGTCTTTCCATCCTATGTGCAAGAGGCTGGGTTTGACCCATTTAATTTTTGCAGATGATTTGCTTCTATTTTCTGATGGTTCAAATCATGGTATTCAATGTATTCAGAGAGTGTTGGGGGAGTTTAGGAGAATTTATGGTCTAAAGTCAAATCTTGAGAAATGTGAATTATTATGTGGTGGAATTCCTGTAGAATGGCAAAAATAGATGGCTCAGAGGGCAGGTATAAACTAGGATCTCTTCCAATCAGATATTTGGGATTGCCTCTCATTCCTGGCAAGCTTTCAATCAAGGCATGTAAACCTCTGTTAGATAAAGTAACTGGTAGAATTCATAGTTGGAAAACAAAGTTTCTTAGCTATGCAGGGAGGTTACAGTTGGTGATTTCTGTGCTTGCAAGCTTAACATAGTTCTGGATGACAGTGTTTATTTTTCCAAAAAGGGTTATAAAGGAGATTGAGAAGCTCTGTAGGGATTTCCTATGGGGAGTATGTGATGGGGGAAAAAAGGGCTGCTGCAGCCTGGCATTATTTAGCACTCCCTAAGAGGGAATGTGGATTGGGAATAAGAGACCTAGTGAGCTGGAATTTCTCTTGTGTGATTAGACACATTTGGCTAATCCTTTTGCAGGAGGGATCTCTTTGGGTGGCATGGCTTAGGGAATACAGGCTTAAGAACCAAGACTTTTGGACATTTCAATCCAAAACTGGTTCTTGGATTTGATTAAAATTGTTGAAAAGCAGAGATAGGATTGCCCAACAGGTGTCTATGGTGAATGGTGAGGTTATGTGAAATGGTAAGGTAATGAAGAAGTATAGTATCAAACTGGTTTGTGAGTCTTTCAGGCCGCAAGAAGCACCTGTTCTCTGGTGCCCCTTAATCTGGAAAGGTCCATCTCCCCCAAGGGATAAATTCCTTACTTGGTTGGTTGTCAATAATTATATCACAACCAGTGATAAGGTTGCAAACTGAGGAGGCAGAGGGCCCCTTTCTTGTGTGTTCTGTTCTTGCCCTTTAGAGACAAGAGCTCACCTGTTTAGTGAATGTTGTGTGTTTAAGGAATTGTTTGCAGGGTTATTGGCCAAAGCTTTTCCAAAATTCCAACTGATGATTGGGATGCTGAACTGCAGTGGGCTTCTGTTTAGTTCAAAGGAAAGCAGGTGAGAAACCAGGTTGCTAGGGCAGTTTGCAGGCCAATAGTCAGTACTATATGACGTGAAAGATGTCAGCTGAAGCATGGAGGTGTCAAGAAAAAACATAAGGAGATGATTGAACGCATTAAGTAGGATATTGCAGTTTTGTTCCCGGAAGAAAATTTGACTAGTTTTTGGTCTTGTTAGCTTTGTCTCTTGGTCCTAAGTTTAGGTTTCCTTTGGTTTGCAAATAGTGAGTTCAGTGCGTTTAGAACTTTGATTGTAGTGCTTAGTTTGGCAGGGTTGTTGCCAACAATTTTGACTCATTTTTTATGATATAAAGAGTAAACCAATTCATAAAAAATATATATATCACTTTTGCTCATTTTTACGAAGTAAAGAAATGCGTACAATTATTCGATTTTGGCCCCCCCGATGCAAAAATCCTGGCTTCGCTCCCGAGGCAAACCTTATAAAAACACAAGACATGTCTCATTGATATCATTATATTAAATACATGACAATTGATCAGCAACAAATATATACTTTTGATCAACAACTCAATTACCATTGCTGCACAATTGACTTATAGAAATCAAATTATGCTTTAGTCACTTAACAAGTAAAACATCCTCAACTGTTGGTTTTCTGCCACTGGTTTCACGAGCAATGGATGATACTGAACTATTATCAAGGGTGATGTGTTATGGGTAATACGATAATGGCGCAAAACTTTCAGATTAAGATATATTTACATGTAATAGTGTATAAAATATGAAAAATAGATTAGTTGGTAAGATTCTAACCCCTTCCCTTTTAATAGTTACTAGGTTATGATACCGCGCCTTGTCGCGGGGCAGAGATGGCATATGGACATGTATTACGTGCCCCGTTATGGTGTTTTGTTAGTATTATTAGGCTAAAATTAATTTTTTGTTAGCAGTTTTGTTAATAATATTGACGTGACAATATGATATTGACTGAAAGGAAATATATGGCGGTCAACATCCAATTTTTTTTTTAAATTTTGGCTAGTAAATGATATTTACTAAAACCTAAGTAGACCCATTGATTATGGGTAGCGCATGGGTAAAGTATATATGGGTTTGAAAGTTTGTAGATGATTTTGTGTAGGTATGAATATTTACATCCATAATCTCAATGTGTATGAGTTGGGTATGGATACCCATTTATTCGAGGGTGTTTTAACTACACATACAAAAATTAGACCTATTTGTAGAACTTCAAAAGTTTATGTACCAAAATGTAATACACAAAAATTTTAGGTACTAAAATATAATGTTCCATCAATATTTTGAGGACTTATATGTCAAAAAATTAGGTTATAAATCTAAAGATCTATTAAGTTTAGGTATCGAACTGTAATTTTGAGGCTTAATTCCTTTTATGGTGATGTATTTAAGATAATAATTATTTACCTTTTTATAGAAAAAGGAAAACTATTTATTTGATATGTATAGATACCTAGCCAACATTTCATGTATATATAATTGTTGAAAATTTTAGCCAGGGTGAAAAAGAAAAACTCTAGAGAGAAGCAAAAGGAATACAAATAGGAACTCGCTTAAATTTCACGCCCTCAAAACGCATAGTGGAAAATGAAGACTTTCTAATAAGTAATAATCATATATATTTATTTTTAATTGGACTCGACATTGAACTAAAAAAATTTAGTGGTTCATGGTTCAATTATTAATTCTCTAAACTATTGGTGAGTCGTGTATGGACTCATTCATACTTGATATTAAAATACATAAAAATAGTATTCTAATTAGGGTTAGACGAAGAAGGCAAAGAAAGAAATAAAGAAAGGGTTATGGAAGGCGAGTGAAAAATGAAACGAAAAGGAAGTAGATAATGGAAATGTTTTGACCAATTCTTTTAGTTGGTCGTCAATACAATAGTCAACCCTTTTCACGATAGCGATTTATTGATACTTGCTTTTAGATGTCGCATATTTTGTTACATGCAGTTAGTAGAAGTTTATTTAGTACCCCGTAAATGTACTAAATGAGTTTATAAATTCACTCTTGCAATATTTTAGAGTCGTCTTTCTTTTATCATTTATTTAATGTTTCACGTAATGAGCAAGTATAAAATAGTCGAATCTCCTACAGTTGAGTGATACCTCTTGTATTGTACAAACTAAATATGTTATGGTGGATTGATTCAAAAGGACAACATCTTGTATTGCACAAACAAATTATGTTATGGTGGATTGGATTCAAGTGTAATCTAAACATTGGACCAATATGTAAATTTAAAAACGTGTAGGTACGAAAATCTCATATAATATAGATACCAAAACATAATTGTTCAATGATTTTACATTAAAATTAATTTTGGGGTATCAAAATATAAAATGTATATTATAGTGACTAAGTTGTGATTTAATTAAATTTGGGGTATCAAAATGCAAATTGAACTTTACGTTTACATATAATATAATTTAGATGCCAAAATATAATTGTTCAATGATTTTACATTAACATTAAATTTGGAGTATCAAAATATAAAATGTACATTATAGTAACTAAGTTGTGATTTAATTAAATTTGGAGTATGAAAATGCAAATTATTATGCAACAGTAACTGATCCTTGCGTTTATATATAATAATAATAGATGGTTCAAATTCTCAGTTGTAAAATTTTTAGTCCCTATTCAGGTTTCTAGTTCTGCCACTGCAGTGAGCAATTCACATAGAAACTATCTCTTTCTGACACATAATCAAGGTCGATTTGATAAAGACCTTTAATTCTGTTGATTGGTGCATTCTTTTTATGGTCATGACCATGAGGGTGTTGGGCTTAGAAATGGCAACGGGTCGTGTTGGGCGCGGATAGTGCATATCCGTTACCCTACCTAATAGGGATGGCAACAAAATCCGAACCCATGGGTACCCACCCGATTTAACCCGGTCAACGCGGGTAAAATCCGTGTTGACGGGTTTTGGACCGGGTTTGGGTTTAAACCCGTTCACTATTCACCGGGTTGGATTGGGTTTGGGTTTAGGTAAACCCGGCCTATGGGTACCCGCCCACACCCATATTAATTTTCTCGATATATTTAATATTCTAAACAACTTGTTTTATTTATGTTTGTGGAGACATGTCTAATTTTTTCTTTCTAATTGTGTAAAATGAAGTTGATGTTATCGAGTGGAGTGTGAAGAAACTTAATTGAAAGGAAAAAATTTTCAATTAATCATGTTATTTATAGATAATTTGTGAGTTTGCTTCAATTTTCTTGAGTTTTCTAGATTGGTGTTGAACAATTTGTATAGTTAATTTGTGATTTGCTTGAATTTTCTAGAATGGTGTTTTATATATGGATAATGTGTATTGAGATATTGATATTTGACTTTAATTTTGATAGAAATTTGTTATTGTAAAATTTTTACGAAAAAAAACCCGTGTGTACCCATGAACCCGCGGATACCCAGCGGGTTGGGTTGGGTTTGAGTTTTTCAAACCCATGGGTTTGGGTTTGGCAAAACCCGACCCAACCCGACCCATTGCCATCCCTACTACCCAAAGCAGTTCGGGTTTTACCGATACTCATACCCACTAAAGACATGGGTAGAAAATTAAAACCATGCCCATACCCGTTCGGGTTTCGGATATCCACGGATATCCATGGGTAATAAATTTTAGTTATAACTCAAACCAATATGTTAACATTCACACGTATTCTCACATTACATAAGAGGAAAAGCACGACAATAATTCACTAGAATGAAGAGAATTAAGTAAAACAACCAATTGCATAAAAATGCTATATTTATATGCTAAATAAAAAATATGCTAGAGAAAATTAATGATTTTCTAGACAAAAACATTTGCATGTGTACAATCGGACGGGTTCGGGTTGGATAGTGAGAAAATCATGCCCACACATTACCCACAATATTCGGGTTCGGGTTTTACCCATATCTATTAAAAGTCCTTCAAGTTCGGGTTTACCCTACCCGAGTAGGTCGGATTCGGGCGGTATCCACGGTTACAGATATTTTTGCCATCCCTAGTTAGGCTTTCAAGAACATTTGTTCATTGGATTCAAACTGGTGTCCACAAAAATGAATATCACGAGGATTTTGTTGTAACCTTTATTGCCCTTAGTTTCATCCTCTACTATGAAGACATTTTGATATGAACCTTTCAATAAGGGGCTTGCTATTTGCCGTCAACTAAATTGCTATTTGTCGCCAACAAAAAAAAAATGGACATCTTTGGTTAAGGAGTTTCACAATCTCCAACATATCCAACTTTCAGAAAACGTATTGAATCAGAAAAAATCATCGCTAACCGGAAAAGTCGTCGGAAAATCATCGAGAAAGTCGATCCTCGACGTAAACTGCGGACACGCATCCATGAATCATCACTAAGCAGGTGCGTCAATTTTTTGTAGTTTCGAACATTTTTTCCGACGATTTCAAACAAACAGACGGTGGGCCAAAAAATTTCGGCGGCCGGAACCACGCCGGGCCGACGGAAATTTGTGGCCGGAGCCAGGCTGAGCCACAAAATGTTTTCGGTTCAGCCCGGCTCCGCCCATCGATTTCCGTCGGCCCTGCCTGGTTCCGGCCGCCGGAAATTTTCGGCCCACAGTCTGTGTTGGAATTTTTCGGAAAAAATTGATTTTAGGGATTGAATTTAGAGTTTAGGAGTTGAATTTAGCATTTAAGAGTTGAATTTAGAGTTTAGGAGTTGAATTTAGTGTTTAAGACTTGAATTTAGAGTTTAGGAGTTGAATTTAGCGTGTAAGTATTAAATTTAGAATTGAATTTAGAGTTTAGGGGTTGAATTTAGCGGTTAAGACTTGAAATTAGCGTTTAGGTTCACAGGAATATTGATATGTTATATTGTAATAGTAGGAAAAATGTCAGAGTGGTTACCGACCGATCATGATTACATACATGAATTTGAGAATGTGATCCATTATGCAAGTGTGGAGTTAGCTAAGTTAGTTGGAAAAGCAATCGCTCGGGAGTGTGGGTTCTTTATTATTAGAGGAGCATGGAAACCGAATACTACAGCACTACATCCTGTTACTGCCCTCTGTATGTTTTGCGACAGAAACAATAGGATCGTTAAGTCTTATAAACCAGACCCTACGAAGGAGACGCGTGGGAATATTAGTTCGAAGGGTATTGATTGCCAGTTTCGGATATGTATTAAGGAAGTATGGCAAGGGAATGGTCCAAACACATAGGGTCATAGTAGGAGTGACAAGTCGTGTAACCGGAGCTAATAGAGGGTTTCACAACCATGAAAAAGTGTTGTATCCAGAACATCACCAACACAACAAACAGTTTAGTGAGGTTGAAAAAGAGAGGTTAAGATTAATGAGGAAGGCGGGGGTGAGACCAAATCAGCAGAAGACGACACTCAATACTGAAGGGGGTATGCATCATGATATCAAACAGATGTACAACAGAAATTACAAGACAAGATTGGATGATATGAGTGAAATGGATGCGATACAGTTTGCGCTTCACGGAGCTGAACAACGTGGGTACCATATCTGTTTGCAAAAGGACGCTAATAATGTGCTCACTAATCTATTTTTTGCGCACCCGACGTCCATTCAGATGTTGCATGCATAGCCATACGTCATCCTCATCGACTCGACCTACAAGACGAACAGGTACGGCTGGCCATGGGTTGAGATTATTGGGGTTACTCCAGTCAAGAAGAATTTCAACATTGCATGTGTAATTATTAAGCAGGAAACAAAGGAAATATATGAGTGGTTGCTGCGATGTATTAAAGGGTTGCTCGGTGATACGGTTCCGAATGTCATTGTGACAGACAAAGAAGGTGGTATGCTTGCTTCTGTTCCTGTGGTCTTCCCTCTCCCACATACTGTCCACCTACTATGTTTATGGCACGTCAACAACTGTGTGAAGAAGATGTTTGAGCAATTACTGGGTGGAATTGCAAAAAGAGAGGTAGCACAAGCGGTATGGAAAAATATTTCGACAAAGTTGCATGGAGTTGGACTCAAGAGGGTTTTCTTCAAAAGATTAATGAGTTTGAGAGGGTCTGGACAGAAAAGAACATAAAAATGGTCGACTACGTGCGAGGTGAGTGGTTGCCTCATCAGACAATGTGGGCAAAGTGCTACACGAACCATGTGTTTCATCTTGGTAACACGAGCTCGAATAGAGTTGAGTCATCTCACTCTTCATTCAAGACTTTCCTTGTGTCTGGTAGAGGAGCGATTGACACTTGTTTTGCGAAGAACCACAACTACATGGAACATCAGTTTCTGGAAGTGGTGAATGAACTGCACAAGTCACTGAAACACAATATGAGTAGGGCAATTGGGGCTCCGTGCACGTTTTTTAGGAGGGTCGTTAGTTGTGAGGCAATCAAACTGATGTTAGATGGGGCGGCAGAGTTGAAGGACAGTTGTGCGTGTCATTTTCAGATGACACATGGGCTCAAGGTGCTTGTCAGGTTGTTCAAGCTAAGGAAGAAGGACGTCAATTCTATGCTCAAGAGTTGCATGTATTCTGGCGGACTTTGGATTATAAAAACCCCCAGGTCAACAACAAGTCAGTGATGAAATTGAGCTTCAACGACAACACTTTAGGCGTCTTACTGTTGAGGTGGATGAAAGAGGTCCTGAAGCAGCGAGACAAACAAGAGATGCCCCAATTGCTAATTTCTATTAACTAATGTACTGAATATTAACATTGATTGTTAAATCAATCATTAATTAATTAATTTTCTATTAACTAATCTAAGTAATTAAACATTCATACACTTATTACCAAAAAAAAACATTCATACACAAATTTAAATAAATATTAACACTAATTGCTCATTTCTATTAACTAATTAGGTAATTTTTTATTGACTAATTAATTAACTAACATATAAAATTAAATTAAATTGCTTGCAAAATCCGGTCGGGCCGGAAAAAATCTGTGGCCGGTGCGTCGCTGGGCCGAAATTTTTTTTGGCCGGTGCGTCGTGGGGTCGAAAATTTTTTGCGGCCGGTGCGTCGCCAACCCAAAAGATTTTTTCGACCAGGCGGGGAGCCGGTCGAAAATCTCTTTCGGCCCAGCGGCGCCCCGGCCGCAAAATTTTTTCGGCCGGCCGACGAACACGCAGCTGGAAAAATATTGGCCGGCATGTTCGACGATCGGCCGAAAAAAAATTTGTGGCCGTGACGCTGCCGGGCAAAAAAAATCTTTCGACTCGGCGGCGTCCCGGCCGTAATTTTTTTCCGGCCCGCCGTGTTTCTTGCCGGAAAATTAAACTTACTTGTTTTCCGACGATTGAGGGCGACGGGAGGTTGGACGGCGACGGAACGGTGTCGGCGACGAAGGCACTGTGCTCGACGACAGAAGTTTTTGTTGGAATGAGTCAAATGTTAATGGTATCCGAATTTATATAATGAAAAGAAGGGAAAATTCAAAATTTGAATTTTTTTTAGTTGGCGGCTAATAGACGTTGGCTCCAATAATGTTGTTTCAATCTAAATGCTATTCATTGAATATCTAAATGGCAAAAATAATAGGGGTAACTAGAATCAAGAAGAAGTGAATAAGGATCTTGTGCGTAAGTGTCATATCATAATCATATCCATGAATGCTAACTTCTGTGGAGGCAATTTTGGTAAATTGTGGCTGAAAATTTAAATATGAAAGGAAGGCGAAGCTGTTGGGTCTAATCATGACCCTTCATATGTTTTGGTGAGCTTTTTTTCCTGGTAGATCAGAGAATGCGGCGACACCTTGGCTCTGGACCAAATTTCAGAGAGCCAGAGAGATAATTGACTGCTCTGTTTACGAGGCAGAACTTAGATCGATCACTTGATCATCATCAGAGACAAAACCACTTTTAAATGTTCCTTTCTTTTCCCCTTTTTTGGGTTCGTTTTTTTCTCATCGTAACCAAGAAAGACGCCACGCCAGAATCTGCTGATCTAGCTAGCAAGCTGATGATGGATGAAATCATGAGCAAGCCAGCCCCGCAATCGAATTAGATTCTCAGTTTGAAGCTTCCCCAATGAATCTTTGTATCTGTTGCATGTCTGCAGCTAGCCAGCTAGCATGCATGAATTGTATTCTTCTTGCATGTTCGATAGATTCAAAATTTAAACCTAGCTAGGTGGAAAGAGAGTGGTCTTATCATGATTGTACCTCTCGGATTCTCTCAACAACTCCAGTTATTGGGATATCAACTAGTTCTTGACATGATATCGGAGTCTTCTGTGATGGAGAGGTCTAATCAAATCCTGATGTCGAACCTCGTCAGTCGTCATAACTTTGAACATGCTGCGACATTGATTAATACGAGATTGAATTATATTAACTTTTTATCTGAAAGTAGATTGGATTATGCACAAACCAAATCTGTTTGAAATTTTGCGCCTTCCTTGTAGAGATGGAAATGCGGCCAAATGCTGCCACTAACTGCATGCAGCAAATAAGGTAGTAGAATATGGACATTTGGAAATTGCATGCGCGCTCGCGGCCGGTGGCTTGACCAAGAATTAAAAGATTTCGTGTTGGTGAATTAAGCACTTTTTTAAACAAAGCATATTTCTCCACATGACTGTCACTATCCTCAGAATTTCAAAGCCAAGACGACAGAACGCCATATATAGAGATTTGGGGGGTGGGGGACAGGAAATCTCCATCACCAATTCACCATTCAGCTAGCTATAGCTACCTGGCCAAGATCAATGTCCCATTATCTTACGCACAAAATAGATTCCATTATCTTGACCATGTTGTGGAATGTTGAATTATGTGATTACACATATAAATACCTATTTTGTCATTGGTAAACTTTAATCAACCTTCTCAAGAAATTAATACTTTTCCCTTTTTGTCTTTTTGTCTCACGAAATGAGTGACGGGATTAGAGAAGTAGGTATATGTTATCTTTGACTTATTGAACAAATGACAACAATACGGTTCATACCTCTCTAAATAATGTTCGAATGAGGGCATTTAATGTTTTTATGGGTTTTTTAGAACAAGCTACAGTAATTGACTCTACTCCTATGGAGGTTCGGTGAAAGTTCCAAAACCTACCTATGAGTAATTTGTAAAGAAAAGATATATAAAACTTCACATGTGTGTCAAAGTGTTGGTTTTGAGAACCTTTGCTTCGTCTTTATTTCTTATATTTGTAGCCATCAAGTGTAACTGCCTTGGTAACTGATCCTCTAAATATTCTGGTGCTTGACGTAACTTGTTTCTCTAACCCCTCTTGCTTACATGCAAACCACTGGATACCTTGATAGCTTGATGACTTCGCTTGATAGGTAGCTTCTTTGTGCCAATAAAATATTTTGCTCGACCACTTTGTCTCTTGCCTGCTAGGTATGCGAGTCTTGCATGCTTGATCATGAGATACGACATGATGACTACTTAGTTGGATGTCTCATGCCTGACACCTAGATAGTTTGTCATGCTTGACAAGTGAGGAGTAACATGCTTAGGGGGTCGTCATGTCGACTATAGTCACCGCCTCATGACCCATTAACCCCAAGTAACTTGATGTTCTATTCCTTAGTGATATCCATGTTGACCCCTTGCATGACTTTATGCTTGACACTTGCGTGCACCAATCCCTTTAGGATGATGTCAAGCTTTAGGGATTGGACGATGTGGGGGTATGCAATGGGGTATGTGAGGGTTTGGAACATCGGAGGAGGTGTGTGCACTATCCCTCCTTAACATTATACTTGACACCTAGGTGTTACCAAATGTGAGGGTGTGCAGGCTGACACTTAGAGCCTCGATGGGCTTGTTGGGTAGGCACACCCATGTAACCTATCATGCTTTACTATTTGGTAGTGTATGTGTCTAACCCCTCAGATTATTTCATACTTGACACCTTGATGCTTGGGGTTGATAGATGGCTCGTTAGGGTGATATCATGCTTGCAGGATCCTAACAAGTGGATACCCACGCTAGCCCCTCTTTCACGATGTCATTCCTGATGGGTACTTGAGGGGTACGTAGGCGACGAGGCATGCTTGATGGCGTCGACCTAGTCTACACTAACCCTCCTTGGGATGGCATCATGTTTGCCCCCGTAGGATGATGTCATGTTTAGGTTGGGACGAGGTATACGCACATCGATCCCTCTCAGATGATGTCATACCTAATGGGTCAGCAACAATGCAGTATACACTAATTAAGGTACCTCGCATGACAATATGGGTATCCCAAAACTCTATCACTTAATCCCAACTTAGATCAATTTAATTAATATGGTTAAGTTGCCCTTATAAATTACAACCAGTCATCCAAATTAATCAATGTGATATTAAGTTAATGGTCTATCAAATCAATTGTACATTTTCTTGTAGATTTTTAGCTGATGAACAAGCACTACCATATATGATTATGTGTGTAGGATTGACAATTAAGCTCATGAACTTGTCTCCTCTTAGCCAATGAGATCTGGTGATCTATATATGCATATTTATATGTGTGTATACAGTATACATTATACAATGGTAAAGACTAGCTTTATTCCCTCTCCTCTCCCCATCTTTTGGCTTTATTTAGAGAGATTAAAAAAGCAACATTTGAAGGAGAGAAAAAAAAAAGTTGCATTCACATGAAAACTGCGATTAGTATTGTACTTAGATCCCTTCGTTCTCCTTTTTTAATGCTTTATTTATAGCCTAGGGTTATGGCCATTGTTTTCAGTAAATTTACACCCTTTTTCCTCTTCCTTCTTTACCACCATCATCGTCCCCTTTTTTTCTTAACCCCTTTTTCCCCATCCTCTTTTGATACTTTCCAATCACGATGGATTATAACAAAGCTTCTTGGATTCTATGGCTTGTTAATTACATGGTCATTGCTTTTATAATTGAAAAACTCAAGCTAATAATATTATTCAGGAAAATATATGCATGCAGAACAATGAGAATCCGGAAGAATTTTGGATTTATAACTTGAAGAATATGTGATGAGAAATGGGTTAACTCTAATCGTAACACACATTGCATACCTTGTAATTTTATTTTATAAAAATGACGACTAGGTACGTACCCGTGGTTGAACTATGATCATGATTACTCTAGCGCAATATAATCAAAATGTCTAATGTCAAGGTTTTTAATCATAATAATTAGGTATTGAGTGAAATTTAACCACACCTTTAGTGAACTAACAAACTAAACTAGCTTGCTTTTACAGATCAAAGAGTAATTTTTTTTACCACGCCACAATGATTGGAGAATAAGCCAGAGTTTACTCCAGCTTTTCTTCTTCTTCTTCTTCTTCTTCTTAAACAAATGATGTTATGATGATCACAATGTGATGATTGCATTGGCTCATTGAAGTTCCATAAGTTGTGTAATGATTTTGTTTTGGTCATTGCCTACATACATGGCCCTCAGTCCTGGGAAGGAGAAGTGTGCTTGACAAAAGGTGCATGGAAGAAGTGCACTTTATTCATCTGATCCTGCCGTTTTGGTCTTTTGATTTCATCTTTTTTGTATATGTGTATTATCTCAGATTAATTAACATTTGAAAGAACCTTTATTTTGAACAAAAACTATAATGCTTTTAAACTCTTAACAAACTTTGTCTTTGTTTGATTCGTCCCGAAATGTGGATGTAAGATGACTTAATATATTACATTACTATTTTGTGATAAAATTACATATCGTGAAAAACGATGAATTTAGTATTTCAGGATTCTCCTCACTTTCATTTTTAATTATTGACAATTGTGATTTATCTATCTTTTATAAGTGATTAGCGAAAATGGTAATTGATTGAGATCGATAAGTTTTCTCTATTTCCAACAGAAAGGAGTCAATATGGGCAACTGGGCTGCCCATAGAGTGGCAAGACAAGCCCTGCTGCTGTCCCCTTTAGAGATAGCGTCCTTCGATTTTGTAGGGTGGCTCCACTAATTGTCTTTTTGGGATTTTGGGTAGAGGATTTAACTTTTTTTTTATATTACTTGGAAAAAAAAAACAGAAAGGAGTCAATATGGAGCATTGGGTAATTGGCACATAAATTACAGGATTACTTTAGTATATTTCTTCTTTATTACATTTGAAACAACGTATATAATATAAAGTTGCAACCCAAATGCATGGAAATTAAAGCTAATTCTCTCTATCTCTGGTAATTGGCTTCCAATCAACATGTTACATGTTTAAGGAAAGCTGCCCCCGCCAAGGGGGAGAGCATCTCGTTTGAATTCCTCACTGCAAGCATCAAACCTCAAATCAATTTTGAACCCCCAATAAAGAAACTCAAAGAATCATCATGATTGTCATCTTGGGGTTATGGTATTATATCCATTTAATTTAACTTGTCATCGTCATCAATGGTTAGAAGTTTCTGTAAACATCAAAGTGGTATTTTTTTTTTAATAACGATGACATAAGTTTATTTTATTATTATTAGATGCTATTGAACATACTCAGAACATGTAATCTCTATATTAAAATAAGTCAATGCAGTATTTAAACTAGTTGGCTCATATTCATTTTTGTCATTGCAAATATCGAAAACATGCGACAATAAAACAATCATGAATGTATAATTAACGTTTACTCTATATTAATGTTTACATAAATGTATAATTATAAAACTAACTCAATGTTGGTATACTCGATGAAGTATTATTATTACTAAGCATCCTTATCTACAATACATATATCGTTTTTATTTTATTTTATTTTGTTCTCTACGATAAGATCGCCCAGAGGTCGTTTCCAACACTCTCACTCTTGTTTTAATCATTCTTACTCTTGATACTATGTACTCTCTCTCTCTCTCTCTCTCTCCCTCCCTCTCTCTCTCTCTCTCTCTCTCTCTCTCCACTTCCACATAAACACAACATATCTGGTTGCAAGTATGTTCGATCATTCACGTCACCCGCTTCGAATTCCTATCTTGAAGTCAACAATCACTCTCTTCATGTTGCTAAACCTAGTTCAGATTTTGGACTGATAGATCAACAGCAAAATGATGTGTCGATGACTGGTTGGATTATTGAGATCAACGTGAACTCATTGGGATTTGTGGCCCTAAATTATGATTTGAATCAAGCTCAATTAGTTTAACACATAGGATGTTTCTTTTCTAGGCTAGTAAAGAAACTACACAAGTAGTCCCCACCAAGAATGGTGTGATGATTGAAGGAAAAAGGGGGGAGGGGAAGAAATAGTGCCAGAAATAGAAGCGGGGAGGCAGTTTGTTTGTGGGAGCAGGAGGAATCGATCCTTTGCTTGTGGGAAGAGGATGCTTGGAGGAAGTGCAGTCCTGTCCTGTCCTAGTCTTTGAATTGTGGTGGCGGTGGTGGGGGATGTTGTTTGGTCCCGCAAAGTTTGAGTGCTCTTTCGATATGCCTTCTTGCCTCTTTATCGAAAACCGCCCTACTAAGTTTTTAAACCCCTCCACCACAAAGTTTGGCTAATCGAATTTCACGAGCGGTTTGATTGTTCGACTCGAGAAAATCTCGTTCAACACTTGACTCGCGTTAGTAAATAAGTTCGGTATGAGTTATGTCTTGTTCCGCTCACAAGGATTATATATGAACCCGCTCGACTCGCTGTAGCTAGTTGAACTCAGCTCATGATCAGCTGGCTCACGTTTGAGCACGTAAGTTGGTTCGTTTTGAGCTCGTAAGCTGTGACTTACAGACAGTGTGGCTAACATGACCGTTCAAATAACTGATTACGGTAAAATCATTCTATAATTTATGAGTTAACTTGTTGATAATTTATAAATATGTTAGATTATTATATATCTTGCTACAAGTTATGTTTAATATTATATAGGGGTCGTTTGGATGGATGAAAGTGATGAGTCAATGTGCTCCAATTGACTCAAAATGAGAGAGTTGGGCCAAAATCCCATTTGGCTGCAAAATGTAGGAATGAGGCAATTGGACATGAGATAATTGAAATTGCTTCATTATGGGTCAATCACAATTACTTGGGTGGGAGGGAGGTAATCTACATTACACCATTTTGTGGGTCACTTTTCCCAATCTAACCCCTTTATTTACTATTTTTTTTTCTTTCTTAATTTTTCCAAGATGGAGAAGGACAAAAGTATGAGGGCAAATATGTATTTTCATAAAATGCATCATCACAATTGTCTCATGCCAAATCACAAGCCAAACAAGACAATTATGTAAACATTTCCTCATACAATTAGCTCATTTTCTAAAATGAGACTTTTGTCCCAAATTGCCTCATTTTGAGAATGTTCCATCCAAATGACCCTATGAGTATTTTGAGTAAATATGTCTTATTTATAATTCTAAATTATGTATTATAGATTGTGTAGACACTAATTACTTTATATAACGTTGCATTATGAACAATACTAAATAATACGAATATGAGCTCGAGCCAAGCATGCGAGCTAATTGACGAGCAACAAAAGCTTGATCGAGTAGATCTCGTGAGCTTATTAACTAGTCGAGCTCCAGCTGAACTCGTTTCCCGGATCAGTTCAAAATTCGACTCGATACGACTCATTTGCGACAACCCCTATTTGGTGATTTTACCATAACAGAATTGGCTATCAAAGTATATACACTTCCACTGTTCCACAGTTCACACTTCACACTTCACACTTCACACTTGTCTCCTTCCTCCCCGAGTCCCTCTCCTTTTGAGCTGACGCCGACCTCGCGGCGATTCTATGACGTCCAAGGAGAAATCTGACGGTTCGGCGTTTTTCCCAATCTCACCAACCACGCTCACATCTCCACCGTCGATTCCAATCCAAAATCTCGTTTCCCATTCTAATTAGTAGTGGGCCCCGGATGGCATCCTCGGGACAGACATAGTGGGGGCCCACCGAATGTTGTAAAGCCCACCAAACACCTCACCGACTGTGAATATAAACCCAGTACATCCCGGACCCACCTCCGCAGTCCGTAGTCTCCCGCCCCAGTTTATATTTTTTTTGTCTGTTGAAATTTCATTTGTCCGTATTTTCTTCCGTTTTCTATCAGATTTAATTAATATTATTGGCAGAAAATTTACGTTTGAACACCGTGATTTTTACACCGTATTAACTGACAATTTAATTCTGAAAGCGTGCATGCTTTGGATACGACAAAGATCTGGATTTCCCAGCGTGCATGCTTTGAAATTCGACCAGCCAATTAGAATTGTTTGATAATTAACCGACTAATATACCAAAAAAATAAAATTACATGTTGTATTCTGTTAATTATATTATCTCAAAGAATAGCTGTACGCGACAAGCTGGCAGCTGCTGAGTGGCATGCGGCGGGATGAGGGTTTTGTGGTTTGTAGTGACTTATATAATATTTTATACTGAAGTTGTGGTTCAAAATTTTCATACCGCTAAATTTTTCTATCAAATTTCACTTTTGATAGGCGGTTTCTTCGATCGAACTGCTGGTACGGTGTTAAGAGTAGCGGTGGGCTACCTTTTCCATGCCTTCTTATTCACGTCCCCCGCCCGCCCTCTTCCTTTCCTTCACACAACACCAAACACTCTTCTTTCCCTTCTCCTCTATATCTGCCATTTCCCTCCCCCTCTGTCCTTCCTTCTTCTCCACGCTTCTCTGTCTGCTAGCTTCATCTGACTACGTTCTAGTATACTCATCCAGGATCCAACTCAGTTGCTTCTTTCATATCCAATCCCTCGATCTACTTCCTGGGTTTTCCAACTCGACCTCAAAGAATCAATTATCATGGGGCTTACTTCTCTGCAAGTTTGCATAGATTCCGCTGACTGGCTCCAGCAGGTACTTCATTCATTCATTCTACGTACGAAACATTTTGTAATATGATGGATGAATGAATCTGTAATATATTATACGTGTTACAACAAATTATATAGGTCCAGGCGGGCACGATGGAGGACGAGTCGGGAATCATAATGGACTCCTCGTCGTCCTTATCCCCATCAAGCGGCGGAGGAGGAGGAGGGGACATGATGCTGGCGGCCGCCTGCTCGAGGCCGGCCGCCATGATGGAGCGGCGGCTGAGGCCGCCGCACGACCAGTCCCTGAAATGCCCCCGGTGCGAGTCGACGCACACCAAGTTCTGCTACTACAACAACTACAGCCTCACCCAGCCCCGATACTTCTGCAAGACCTGCCGCCGCTACTGGACCAAAGGCGGCACCCTCCGCAACATCCCCGTCGGCGGCGGCTGCCGCAAGTCCAAGAAACCCTCGTCATCCGGCGGCAAGAACAAGCATTATTCAAACTCGTCATCGGCCACGTCCTCGCCTTCCTCCTCGTCGTCACACCACCTGCTGCATCACCATGACCTCATCATGAATCATCATCATCATCATAACAACCACCACTTCAACTCCTTGCTGCTCGGCGGCAGCAGCAGCAACATGGCTGGTGGCGGCACTATTGGTCTCATGATGAACAACAACAACAACAACAATGATGTGATGATGGAGCCGATTGACTTCCTGGAGAGCAAGCTGGAGGCCATCGTCGGCAGGAATGCTGCTACGGCCAACAACTGTGATTTCATGGGGAACGGTGCTGCTGCTGATATTGTTACCAATAATGATCATCAGAATCTGGGGTTGGGAGGGCTTGGTGGTAATTTCCATGGCATGATGAGCTACGGTACCGGTGAACCTTCTGACAATGATAACTACGCCACCGCGGTGGCTGCTGCTGCTGGGATGAGTAGTTTCATGGAGACTTGCCAGAGGTTGATGCTGCCTTACGACCACGACCACCACCACCACAACAACAACGTGGAGATTCGTGACGACGATGTGAAGCCGACGACGGCCAAGCTTTTATCACTTGACAGCTGGCAGCAAGACCACCACCTTCATCATCATGAGGAAACTCCTACTACTGGGTTCGGGTATCTCAACGGGGCTTGGAACAATAACGGCGGTAGTAGTAGTATCACTAGTGTTCATGCTAACAGTAGTAACGCCGTGAATCGTCACCATCTTCCTCATCATCTCGTGATGAATGGTTATAACGGCGGCGGCTCCTCCTCCACCGCCGCCGCCACCACCAATCCTCTCTTGTAATGCAAACATGCACGTTAATTAAGCACACATGCAGAATCTCGCTTACCGGCCGTTTAGTTTAACTAATTATATCTGGATCAAGTAGTAGTACTGCTTTAATTAGTTGCTTTGAGATCGGGGTGGAAAAAAAGAGAAAGGGAGGAGGGTTATGATATGATGAAATGGTCCTGTGCTGATGACGTGGAAGGTTCGATGATCAGTCAGATCCGACTGTGCTTTGGCAGGTTTCGAGGCGGCGGAGATAGTGTGTGGGAAAGCTAGCTAGCTAATTATATATAGGTGTGAATGGGGAATGTTTGTTGGAGCACCAAAACTACGACTGAATTATCTCTCTCTCTGCATGACTTTCTGTCTTTATTAATTAATTTTTCATTCGTCTTTTTGATCGTGAGTTGCATGTGTCGTTGAGGCCTGAGGGTACTGGTGGATTGTGAGAAGACGTTCGAAATTCAAAGCTATGTAGCTGTAGGGTTATTGTGTTGTAATCTCGAGGACGATCTGTAGTAGTGCTGTCGAAAATTAAGAATGGTTTGTGTTGGAATTAACGACAAATGAGGACGAATCTCTTGTCTTTCCTTCTTTTTTTGGGCTTTCGATCATTCTTTGTTGCTTTTGTACTTCTTTCAGGGCCGGATGAGGAATTGAAAAATTGGGGGAGCAGTAGTACTGTGGCCCCCTGCTGAGAAGACTGCACTTTTCCTTTACAAGTGACCAGAAACGTACTTTGATCATGGCTTTGGGCTGTAGTTATTTAATCTGTGATCTAAACAGATCATGATTGACAGTGGCAGACTCAGTAATTTTTTATAGGGTTATCCTCTTTTAAAATTAAATTAAATTTAATAAAAATACAAATACAAATTAAATAATTAATAAAAATAAAATGTAAATAAGAAAATACATTACTCATACACATCGGCGGATCCAGGATATAGTACAACACTAGGCCGCATTTGAATGGAATATTGGATGCCATAAACAAAAAATATATATAATAAATATAATTTATTAATTTTCATTCATTACAATGCTAATTTGGAAAAGAAAACCAGCGGTCGACGAACTGGCGGAGGAATCCATTTCGGATCCGGTCGTCTCTTATTCTTGTTCTTGCTTTAGTCGATAGAGATTTTTTTTTATTTCAATGAAACTTTATACTTAGTCTTTTACGTTATAGACTTTTGAATTTTATTGTTTTTTTTTCAAATAAAAATAATCCGTGCTAGATTTTCTACGCTAAATTTAGTGTAGTCGTTTGGATATGTTCAATTGTTCATCTAGACCATTTTCCTAGTTACACAAAATCCTATTATCAAATAACACTAAGCCGATTTTTAAATAGCACTGGGCCAAATATCTAAAATCGAAAAACTTATAAGCACTATACTAGCTCTGAATCCGGAGGAGGGCTGGGCCGTGGCCCGGGTTGGCCCAGCCCTAGATCTGCCGCTGCTCATACAGGTTAAGTCCATTATGTGTTTTCATATTCTGAAATAATTGTAGAATACACTTTGTCTCTACAATGTTAAAAAAATTGTCTCTATATACCCTACTAGACAATCATTCACGAACTTATCACATATTCAATTTGTAAACTTGTTCTTGATGACTTATGTAACCCAAAGCTGAAAGACTCTTTCAACACTTGTCATACAACTATAAAATCAATACAAATTAAGGGTAGGTTGAAATTAATTTAATTGCTAGGTTTTGAAAATAATTAGAGATAGGGAATGCAGTGTTCAAAATCGAACAACAAATGAGTTGTAGTTTAATGCAAATTAAGTGTATTAATAATAATAGTGCTCTACATTTTAATTACCCAACCTACCACTTATATTCCCATACAAAAATTTAAAAAAAAAAGACAGTAAAATAATCATTTTTTTCAAATTTCAGGGTGTCCCTCACTAATCACTATCAATTATATTCTTTTTATCCATACATAAATTACCACCGTGGGTTGAATAATCGTTTTCCCAAATTTTAGGGGTGTCCCGGGACACCCCTAAAGCCCCGTGCGTCCGCCCCTGATGATTGATATGAATTCATAATTTCATGAATTCCTCAGAATAGGCTAAACACTTTCACAAAATATAAGTAGTTAATTGGTTCGCACTTCGCAACGGTTGACTTAAAAAAATATATACGTTAATTAGAAGTGAATAGCACTTTTCATTTAAATGAATGTTGGTGTTATTAGAGAACAAAATAAATTTTTCAATAATCGTGAACCTTTGCGATACAAATATAATTTTAGATTAAATAATTTTCTCAAACTTCTGGACAAACATTACAAAATCTATAATAACAAAATCAAACATTGTTGGTCGTCAAATCCCTATTAATCGAAGCTAATGATACTTAACATACAGTTAGGTGCTAAGTCTTTGTGCACGTGTTAACTTCTATATGTAATATTAATGACCTTTAAACTTGGAGAACGAACATACAATAACTGATTTGGTGAGAACAAAACTTACTAACGATAAATGAAGTAGAATGTGAAGTTCTCTTTACAAATCAAACCAATATGTTAACATTCACACGTTTTCTCACATTACATAAGAGGAAAAATACGACAATAATTCACTAGAATGAAGAAAATCAATGAAAACAACACAATTTCATGAAACTGTTATATTTATATGCTAATTATAAAAAAGTTAGAGAAAATAATGATTATTTTTATAAAAAAATACATATGCATGTTTATAATCGGGCGGGTTCGGGCTAGATAGTGAGTCTACCCGATTAGGTCAGATTCGGGGGGATATCCACAATTATGAATATTCTTGCCAACCCTACCTACGAGGTGGTCTAAATAGTGGTCAGACTAATTTGGCTACTTTAATTCATTAATGAGGAATGTTACTTGGATAGTGGTTGGTTAGGGGTAATTGAAATTTACTAGACATAGTAAATATTATTAAGGAATGAGAACACATAGTTATTTCGTATAACCATGTCCATTTGCACATTAGCTCTATCCATACATTACTTAATGAGTAGTGATTTAAGTTGATTAGTAATTAATCATTTATTCTTAACTTATATTATGGTCGTCATTTATACCATTTAACATTTTAAAGATATTAATTACATTAAAATAAAACTAAATAAACATGTATATGAATCATCATGACCAAGATTTGAACTTATGACCTATGAGGTCAAACTATTATCATTTCAAGTGTTCAACCAACTGGATAAAGCAATTTTGATGTTACTAATCACAACAAAACATGTATATCAATCAGCATAGCTAAGATTTAATCATGCAAACTATGAGCTCAAACTGTAAACATTTCAGTTGTTTAACCAAAAGAATAAAATCTCTTTGATGCAATTAATCACAACAAATAATACTTATGTTATAAAAAATGTACAACACATAATATTTTATTTTTATTTAATGGTTGACTTCTGTACATTACACAACAAAACTATCACGGATAAAAAATTTGTATTCTATTTTTTAGCCGTGATATAAATCATTAACAGCTAAAAATAAAATATATTTAATTTTTAGTTTATAATATGTTTCATAATTGTTTATAATTTTTTAAAACTAATTAAAAAAATCCAAAAAGGATCAATTTAGTTGGTACAGTACACAATTCTAAACTTTTACATAATTTGACATGTGATTTCCTTTGAAAATTGAAAATTTGAAAAGAAAAGAATGATCTTCTATTGTATTCTAGAACATGAAGAATTTATCATTTTGTTTGTACGAACTACTATAAATATGTGAACCAATACAATTATGTTGCAATTTGTTAGGAAATAGATACTATAAATATCCGAACCAATACGCTTTTATTGAGATGTACTAGACAAATAACAAATTTTTTGTGTGCTTACTAGAATATTAAGAGATAATAGCATGAAGTAAAACTGATTTGCTAAGTAAAAACACAGTGATAACTCATAATAACTTATTCACATGTTACTATAATTTAATATTAATGAAATATATCGACATAGTTCAGTTATATGCTAAATGATACACGACAATTTCAAGTATTTAAGAATATCACCAATGCTCACAAAAAATTTGTATCTTTTTCAAAACTGAATTATGGTTATATGGCTTAAATATGTCCGTGACCAATGTACATATATATACATATATATGGTGCCTTCTACGGTACCCCGGGTAAAATTCGGGGTACAGCATACGTTGAGTATGAAAATGCTATCTAGACCTCAAATTAGTAGGATTTTTGGGCATGGTACTATACCCTAACCCTTAATAAGTGAACCCTAGGTCCTAATTATCCAAATCATAAACTATAAATTCTAAGATGGTGCATTGATTTTTGTGCCTATATTTGGACGAATCATAACCGTCGATTATTGTTTCTAATTAAATTGATCTTGGGGTATAAGATTTAGAGAATTAAGGCCTAGATTTTGATCTTTAAGTGTTAGATTATAGTATCATGTTCGAAAGATCGGTCAATTCAAGGTCTAGATAGTGTTTTCATACTCAAGGTATGCGGTACCCCGGATTTCACCCAGGGTACCGTAGAACTCGCCATATATATATATATATATATATATATATATATATATATATGATTGAATTTGACATTTCTTGCATATTAAACTAATATCATTGTCTTTTCTTTTACGCTATTCGTATTTCTTTCCATTTTCATTTTTTGTACGTCATTAAATATTCTTCCATGAACAATTCTTCGTCAAATCTGTTACCTTAAGAGTATAGCTCGAAAGGATGGTGCACTATTATATTGTAATTTACTCGAAAAGCATATGGAGAACCAAAAACTAATCGACCTAGGGTTTCATCGCAATAGGTACCCGCTTTTGCAGATATGACGCTTAAGGCAGGTTTTGCTCGAATTCGTGAGCACATGACATGAATTCGTAGACGATATAAGCTTTCTTGGTCGAGTGAAGAACAAAATGGGATTGGTTCAGAACCAACTACGAGAAGGTGTTCAAGATGAGCGAAGCTATATATTATCTGTGATGAGGTCAGAGGCTTTGTTCTGGCTACCGATTTCTTTTTTTATCCATAAATGTTTTAGGTGATTAATTAAAGTGTAATTTCTTTTTGAAGATCATATTCACCAACATAGGGAAACATCGCACCTTCTCATGGTAAATCATTATAGAACACCATAGAAAACCTTCACATAACCATCATCATCGACATGCACATTTCGTATATTACATCATAAGAAGTCATCACTTCACCACATCATAAGTAATCTTTATACAAAGACTCAATCACATGCATGATTATGTTAATTCAGTGCTTTTTACTTCTTAATTTTCCAAATAATACACTCCCCGAGTAGTACAGTAGATGTCATGTATACCATCGTGGATCGTAACTAGACTGGTGTCCTGTAAATCTACTACTGGATCATATACCCTTACTCATGTCCTGTATACCCGCACAAGACATACTCGGACCGGTGTCCTATAAAACCAACACGAGATCATACCCTGACCGATGTCCGGAAAATCCATCTACTGTACTGATTGCACAACTGGGCGCCTTTTCGTTTGTATTAAGTTATCACACAATTCCAGTTAGTTACAGTCACACATTTAATATTGGATGATAATGTGAAGCGAAGACAAAGTGTCTCTATAATTAACATTTGATTTTGATATCATTTATAGAATGTTGAAGGCAATATAGAAGCATAGCAAAATAGGTTGGTTGTACTCAAGGTTGTCAAACCACGGGTCAACCCAGACCCGGACGAGCTAGTGGGTCATGGGTCAATGGGTCACCCGTTTTAACCCGGTTTAGCCCAGAAATATGGAAAATGTAATTATATTATACTTATCCTGAATCCAACATAAAAAATGCAACACTACTTCAACTCCAACACACTTAAATAACATAAAAAATTCCAAATTACTAACAATGCAACTTCTTCCTAACATCTTAAACATCAAACAATGGGAATCAAACTTATCTAAAACATCTAAATTCTAAAACAAAACATCACATATATCTTTCGTTACATTTATTGGAACCAAGTCCCAAAACCTTACCAAATGACTATGACTCAGGGAACTAAAGGTAATGGAGAGGCTCGGGTCGCAATAATGGAAAAGAAAAGACAATGAGAAGATGGTCTCCGTCGGCGAAGGAATTGGTGACCGACAATGAGAAGGGTGGAGGCACAGGCGGAGGCTGAGCAGAGGCGAAGGCCGAGCAGAGGCGGCCGAGCTGAAGGGAGGGGAGACGGAACGATGGTGGCCGACCTGCGAAGATGATTCTCTCCGCCGGCGACCCGGAGCGCGCCTCCGAAGAACCCTGGCGTGGCGATATCGATCGGCTGTGGGAGAAGGAGACGATTGCGCTGCTGGAAATGGAATGCGATGTATGTTTGTAGGGTTTTGGTTTCCAGACGACCAGACCCCTGCTTCTCCTTCTCGCTTTGTCTAGCAGGCCAACACCAAGCAGAACGGCGCCGCTTCCCTCCTCGTTTGCTCTCCGCGCAATCCACAGAAATGGCGACGCAACGGCCAAAACGAGGCTCAGGAAGAGCAACCCGCTGACCCGCTCTAACGGGCTAAACGGTCAGGCCAACCCGGGTTTGACCGAGTTTGACTATTTCCGGGCTGAAATGAAAATGGGTTGGTATGACCCGTTTTTTTGGCCGGGTCCGGGCTAATCTAGGTCGACCCGCGGGTTGACAACCTTAACCTTAATATAATGGTGGCAAAGACTAGCGTAAACTCGAGGTGTAATATACACCTTCTTTTACGCCTATTAGTTGTACTTTAATATATTTTCACAAATAAGAATATTAGTTATTATTTTTGCATTAAATGAATCGTACAATCTGAATTAGAGAATTAGAAACTGAGGTTCCCCATTAGAGCCTTTGGTATAGTATCATGTCTCAAACTCCTTTAATTCATGGTCTAAATAGCAAAACTTGATAGGAGTATGGTAAGGTGAAAGACGCTCGCTTAAACCATGTACAACTTATGAAGTTAAAAATTGTAGGTCAATCAAAGATCAGATGGTCATGAATACTATTTTCCAAGGGGTGATGAAATTACAACGTTGTTTGACATTATTGTTGAGCATGATTAAAATCTGGATTAAATGTAGCGCCCTCATATTAGATGAAACACATATAATAGATAACAATAATAAATAAATATGAAAAGTAGGAACCCGATACCATTGAAAAAATGACAAACAATAAAAGAAAAGGTACAAACAAATGACACTCGCCGTCCATCGGGCGGGCACAAAACTAGTTGAAAGTCAGTGACCGACCTCAAGGATTGCAATATCTAAATACCATTAGTAGCTAGGGGTGGTAGTTTAGTATTAGTATTTGGAACACACAAAACCAAACATTGTTGGTCGTCAAATCCCTATTAATCGAAGCTAATGATACTTAACATACAGTTAGGTGATAAGTATTTGTGCACGTGTAAACTTCTATATGTAATATTAATGACCTTGAAACTTGGACAACGAACATACAATAACTGATTTGGTGAGAACAAAACATACTAATGAATAATGAAGTAGAATATGAAGTTCTCTTGCGAGGTAGTCTAAATAGTGGTGAGACTAATTTAGCTACTTTAATTCATTAATAATGAATGTTACTTGGGCAGTGGTTGGTTAGGGGTAATAGAAAATTACTATGCATAGTATATATGATTAAGGAAGGAGAACACATAGTTAATGTAATCGTGCCCATATTAATTTTATCTACACTTAACGAGTAGTGATTTAAGTTTATTAGTAATTAACCATTACTTGGAAAGTTAGTGACCAACCTCAAGGATTGTAATATCTAAATTACTATTAGTAGCTAGGGGTGGTAGAAGTATTAGTATTTGGAATATACAAAATACCAAAATGGATTTGTAATTATTTGATATTGTCGATTATTGAGTTAATTTTTTGAATTTGGGATAGAGATTGTTTTTTAGTAGTATCTGATATCCGAGATACTCAATGAGCCTCAACCCCTCGCAAATAAATAAAAGTCATGGTTCCCCCTTAAACCAAAATTTATAATTAATTATGTGATTGTAATAAATGACTAATTCTTATTGATTTGTATTTATAGTCATTATGAAATATCTTAGAAGAATTACAATGAAACTAATTGAGATTAGATAATTATGTGTGATTTAATAATATTGAAGTATAGTTTTAGTCCATTCTACATATGATTGTAATAAATGGCTAATTCTTATTGACTTGTGTTTATGCCGACAATGAAATATTTTAGAAGAATGAATTGTTAAGTTGTATTGATGAATGATTATACGAACTTGGAGTGGTTTTGTACAAAGCCAAAATCTCATCCTTCTTCCTTTGAAACTAAGCTCTAGTTCAAGGACTCGATTCATAAAGATCCATACTCATTACCTTCATCTCATGCTTGTCATTTTCCCTCAAATCTCTTGCACGTTCACGTTCCTCTCTTGCTATTGCTAATCTTGCATGCATGTTTGAATTTCCACCAAATTGGCCAATATTTTAATCCCAACTTTATGTGGAAGAATATAGCGTTCTTCTTCTTCTTCTTCTAACCTTATAGAAAATTGAAACAAAAGGAGATGTGTTTGCTTGAAATTGACACTATCACTTTATCCAGATGGCATGCCGGATGGAGATCCACCCATAAGTGGGATGGGAGCCACATATGCATTAAATTGTTGCATAAATTTGGACAACAGTGGAGTATACTCCAACAATGCATAAGCTTGAACTTTTTCCCGGTGTCCGCTACAAAATTTTTTGCCGTTCAATCAACCTAGACAATTAATTGGATTGTACAAATATGTACAAACGACATATGATAATAGAAACAATTAACACACAACAAAAAATTGTAAGAACTTCATTGACCACATCACTTAGGTTCTCCCCGCTCATTGGTGTAACATTTTCTCTTCTCGATGCCGCATTCCACGCCCCACATTGATGTTGGATGGTCTTCCCCCAAACAGCCAAGCCTGTGTCGACAAGTGAAATCTTAAATCCTTTAGCAACAAACACGACTCCAACTCACTTCCAAAACTTGGATGTGGATTGATAGTGACTGGCGGAATCATCATTTGAAAATTGAATCCAAACCTTGCATAACTTTATCTCCATCTTCCTTACAATTTGGAGAGCGATTATTTTGAGTCACGATCAAGAGTTTGTGAAAAAGAGTAGTTCTTTTGTTTGATGATAAGAAGAGAAATGTGTTTATGAAGTGAAGGAGAGAAAATTGGGGAGGTTGATGCAACTATAAGTGAAGAATTGGTCTCTATCTATAGAGAATTTTGAATAGAATAGTTGTTGGAGTCAAAAGAGCCGTTGGACTGAAACCTGGAGACTGAAGGATAAGTTATCCTTATTTTTTTTATTATCAGCTGAGGAATCCGACGACAAGAAGCACGAGGCCCTTAGCTATATATATAATTTATCTCAAAACAATATTTTTTACAAACTACATTCATACTGAAATAAAATATAATATTACAAATAAAGTAAAGGATAATTATATTTAAATAAAATATAATATTACAAACAAAATGATAATTCATCGTATTTAAATGCATATTTTTTGTTAATTAAATGAAGCAAAACCAAGTCATTTTGTTTGTGCTTGAGAATTGGTCATATTGGTCAGACCGTTATTTTTCGATTTTATGTTGTCATAAAAGATATCGTCAATTTTGACTATCACTCAATGTTGTCACGCCAGTGGCATGCCAGACTGTTGAATCAAGTTCCACCGGCATTGGTCATGAAACCGGCGTGAACACCACTAATCAATTTGCGACCTTTAAGCAAAATGACGTCATTTAAGTGAACATAATCAATAAAAACTTAATTTATCATTTACTTTATGAGTTTAGAAGTTAAATGTTGATGTTATTTGTTGGATTCAAGTATTAACGTTTAGATATTGATGTTAAATGTTGTATTTGTTATCTTATTTGAAATATCGTAATTGTCTCTCAAATATTTTTTTTAAAGTAAAATGGTTTATATATGATTAAATTCATTTGATAATAATTATTTGTTACATTTTTATATATTTATATATTTTGGTAAACTAATATGAACCGAAACAAAGTGATTGTACCATTGGTCGAACCATTTCACTCGCTAACTGGTACAATCCTCCTCCAATAATATATAGTAGAGTTTTGTCTACTTTTCTCTATTTCAAATTTCATGCAACGAGAGTGAAAGTAGGAAGGACAGTTTTGTCTTTATAATTAATTATTTATTTCATATAAAAAATGTCAATATTAGGATTTGAACCCGACTCTTTTCAAATAAAGACTACAATCGCAACCAATTACACTAAACAAAATTTTTGTATATTTTTTAACACAAAACATACACGGAGTGACACTTTGAAAATCAGAGGACTTTTTCATCATGATTAGCAAGCCCACTAAGTGTACCTTATGTATTTTTATGGTGATTGATACTTCAATTTTCATAGCAGAGTTTCATGTAGTTTCTCAATTCTAAAATCACTGCTTTCTCCTTAATTTTCACTGAAGGTAAATTGGTAATTGGCCAACATGGAAGCAATTAATTCTATTACTACGGGTTGTGTCCTTGCATTTTCAATTTATACTTTTTTATCTTTGTTTTTATCTCTTTATAACGACCTCTGAAATTCCCTCCACGGTGCAATAGTTTGCACCCCTTCACTTCACAGTACAAGGCCGCCTTTGAAAATCAATCTTCCGGTCTCTTGGCACTATGATTTTATTCTTGCGAATTTAAACTGGGCAAGTAAAAGATTTCAACTCCGATATCAATCAATGGCGAATATAATGGAGTTCAATAAATTGAGGTGCCGAAGGAGGATTAAAAATTGAATTTTTGGTTGAAACATACGCCTTGAGATTGAAGATATAGTGGATAAAATTTTTATTGTACAACGGACAGTGGTGGCTATTGGATCTTTAGGTTTATGGTTTTTGAAGCTATGACGACCTAATTATATATTAAAACGAGGAATCATCGATTGATTTAATGAAGTAGGTCGGTCGATTCTTTATTCAACCTACTAGAACTGATAGAGAAGGAATGTCTAATTTTGTTCCTTATTACTTTGATCGAGTCTATTAGTATATTGAAGGTAACCCTAATTTAGCGTTTGCTCTCAAGTTGTGATGGCCCCCTCTTAGCTGAGTTGTTAGCATATAGTTGACTTGAATCAACAACTCTCTGTTTTTTTATTAGTGGAATATTGTTCCTAAAATGAAATCATTGAACCTTTATGTAGGATTGTAAGGTTTAAGATTTAGTTTCAAACTATCTATGGTTCGTGAGGGAATTTCAGTGAGATTTTATACTCTATCTTTCTTGATAATCAACTAACCAATAGCATTTTACCGGGGACTTAATTATCATTATGAAAATGAGATCGATGATACATTTTATATTTCTTCAAATGTTCGATCTTTATATCCTTTCTATATGTATCTTCTCGATCGAAGGATTGCCAATAAAATTAAACGGGTTGATAGATTTAAACGTAACATAAAAATAGAAATAATCAAATATGAATATTCTAACCAACGTGTCGGGTTATAAGCTAGTGGTATAAAGTATAAACCAGTTGAAAACCTTTCTACCACCTCAACTTCTTACCGGGAAATTTCAGCCGGTTTGTATCTGGTACCAATTGAACCGGTTGTAGCACCGTTTGACAATTGACAATTGACAGTTTGACACCCATGGCCATGGACTCAAGTCCTACTGCTACTAACTAGCCCACTAAACCCAGACGACCAAAACCTCAACTTTGTGCTCCCTGCCCTGCCCCGGCCCCATCTCCTTCCCCTCCGTCATCCCCTTCCTCTCCCGCCCGATTTGCGCTCTCCGCGTTAGCTCTTCTGACGTCTCTGAAGCAGTCGCCGCGTTCTTGGCGGCAGCGATGGTCACTTCAAGAGACGTTCAGGAGATCGTCTCCAAGCTCTCCTCCGATAAAGCCAAAGCGCGGGAAGTAAGCAGAAGCCCACTCTTTCTCCACTGCTTCTTTCGGATTCTACATTTTGCTTATGCTTCGTGTTTGGTTCTCTTTCTTTAGCAAGTGAATGCCTAGGTTTAGCAGCGATGATAACTGGTCGATAACGTCCCTTTAGTTCCCTTGAACACCGCCGGAATTTTCAGTTGGGATGATTGTCACTTTGTTTCTCTTCATTGCCGGGGGGATTGTTTGTTTGATTGATAATAATTGGAGGAAATGATTGCATTTGTAGATAGCAATAGTTGGCGATCAAAATTAAGTTGCCATTAACAAGTCATGACTCAGTCATATACAGTTTGTTTTATACTCCAGCTTAGTTTTACTGCGTTGAATTAGGACTGAGCATTTTTGAAATACCTTCTGGTCACTGGGCAAGAGCAGGCATGAATTGGAGCTTTGAGTACTCTGTTGTTCATTTTCATTTCTGCAATTTCTATGATATCATTTCCCAGAATTTTGATGCTCAAATTCTTTTTTTCCGGGTGTAGGATGGGTTAAAATTGTTAAATACATGGCTGGAAGGTGAAAGATCGGTAAGATTCTGCAGTTACCTTTCGCAGAACTCCATGAAGCTTAATCCTGATAAAATTCCTCATGGTAAGATACACAAATCCTTCGTACTAGTAGAATGTGGGCTGCAGTAGTTGGTTGTTTCATTGGCTGATTGTCCATGTTGAAGGATTGAACTGTAAATGGTTCCTGCAGCTGAAACATGGCCGTATCTTATTACATTGCTTATCCAGTGCGTGTCGTCAGAAATATCATCCAGCAAAAAGCGGTTGCCGAAGTCAGCTTTTGCAAAAACACTGCGTGTTGTGGTTCAGCGAGCTGAAGATGTTAAATTCTCAGGTTTGCATTCCTAGTGTTATGGTTTCTCTATTAATTCTACCCGAAGAGATTGAATGTATCGCCATAGGAACTAACATTATATGCTGCTGTTTATCAGCATATCAGTTTAGTTTGTTTGCGTTATCCAAATTGTTTACCAATCTATTTTGGATTCACATTCTGCTGCTTCCAGGCAAGATGCCAGTTCTGTTACCTGTTGTAAAACCCCTCTTTAATCACCTGTGGGATGTCCTGAGCAGCGTCCCAAGCTTTCAGTCGGAATATGGCATTATTCTTCGTCTTCTTTTGAGTATTGGAGACTATCGTTTTCACTTGAGGAAAAAAGTCTATACTAGTAAGTCCTATATTTGGAGTTCATTTTATTCTTATGTCACTTCCCAGTGGCTTCAATTTTTTAATAACATACCCAACTCTAAATTTCTCAGATCTGATCCATTTCTACCTTGAGAGCGTGGAAACAACTTTAAGTGAACAAAATGATAGTCACTGTGTTCCAAGAGAGGAGGTCTTCCGCTGCGTTCTGACTTTGCATTCCCTTCTGGAAAATCCTCCGGCTGATTTGGGAGAAGATGTTAGAGTGGAAATTGCAAAGGGGTTTGTTCAGATATTTTCCTGTGTAAGGTATATAAATAGTTTCATGAAATACGCTTCCCTCCTCTCTTTCTTATTCACTTTTTTGATTGTCTTGTCTGATGAAGGCATTTCACCTTGTTGCAACTTGAGCAGGGAGGAGAGTAAGATTTCACGTAAGCTTATGGAGTGTGTCAATGTTTACCTGTTAAATGGTGGCCCTAATTTGAGCCATGAATGCTTAGAGATCCATGATGCTGTCCGAAACTTTGTATTTCGTTGTTGGCTTACTACACGGGACCGCGGCCTCAAGGTTCTTGGCTGCCGTTACAGTTTTGCTGCTATAGTGCCCTACTTATGGATCCTTTTTTCTTCTTATCCATCTATAATTATATGCTTAATTGTTTCTTTTTAAACATTTATTTGCATTTGTGATTGCAGGATGCTCTAATGTTGTATGCTAGGTTGCAGCTAAACCTTACTAGGGGTAATATTGAAGGAAGTTCTTTGGTAGAAGAACTGCTGGATGTGATATGCAAAGAATTAGATCAAGGTAGTCTACCGAATGTCGGTGTTCCATGGTGAGTGAAGTGATTGCTTCTTTCTTTCTGTCTTTATTTATCTATTGAAAAAGCGAAGTGAATTTGCTGTCATGCACGCTTTTCAAGTAATCATGATCTTCTTATAATTTTCATCTATACGAGCTTAGGGCAGAGACAATGAAGGATGACAAATGTGGAGCGCTAAGTGTTTCACAGTATTGCTTGGTGGAACTTTCATCCTTGGTCTTATATCGGGTACTCATTAAGGATTTACTTTGTTCATTTACTTCTTTGATTAACACTCCACCTTGTACTCAACCCATGGTGTCATGGGACTTGGCCTTGGACAGCTCTTTTGTGCTATTGCAAGTTTGTACTATTATGGTGATTTAAGCTTTTATAAGAGCAATACGTTTAGACGAGATGGATGAACATAGATGGAAATACCTAAATTTAAATATTATTGTTTGACCTAACAAATGTCTGCGGTATCAATCTTAGGCTTGTGCAAGTCCGATGAAAGTTCCTTCATCTGAAAAGCGTGTAAAGAGGGAGCACATATCTGTAATAGTAAAGGAAGCCCTCGCAAAGGGCAAATGGTTATGGTAAGTATCAGCCCACTGATGCCATAAAGGAGTTATTATGATTTGTTGCTATTATCCTTTTGCCTGTTTACCTATTGTGTACTTCTGACAATGTTGGAACCTGGACCTTGTGTAATTATCCCACTTGAATGTGTCCATATTTAAGTACTAGCAGGAATAGGCGTGCTATGTTACAAATGTTGCTCTTGGGGCTTGTACGAGGAGTTCTCGAAAATGTCTGCTTAGCTTACAGTTTCTTGCGAATGAGGTGTTGGGTTTCTGCTGATATGATGTGAAGGCAACGACCAGAGCAGATCTTTTATTGACATGCTATGTACTGTTTTACTTCTTTTAAAGCTAATGATGAAGTAGGTTCAGGATCCACCTGCATGCATTGATTGTCTATAATTGTTTAAATCTGGTAACTTGGTTGGGTGTCGCACTTAAGAAATCTCTACAACTGTGTCTTTTAACTTTGTTATCATGAGTGGTCTCTTAATGGAACTTGGTGTCTCTTTTCTTTATTCTTCAATATGGTAAATTCTGGTAAGTCATCCAACTTTAGTCCTGATGTTTGCCTGTTTTTGCCAAATTTCAGGCATGCTGTTTTTTGCCATCTCAGTCGTAACTACTGCACTCGAATGAGTGAAGATCTTTTCATTCTTTGGTTTGAAGGAATCTCCTTGAACTTTGATAGGTAATATTTTTATGTACTTGTGTAGTTAGCTGACTGATCCTATTTTTCTTTTGTTCTAGATTTCTTGTACATTTTGTCTGCTGTATGTTGTTCTTGATTAAAAGTGACTAAAATGGTGTGAAGACTTTTCATTTGTCATTGGCCTGGCCAGACATTGGGTTATCATTGAGAATGTTATGAATATCCACCTATTTCTAATATGCAGGCTTTTTTTCTTCTTCTCAAAATAAGTTTCCCGTCATCAGTATTGTACCAGAGAACTTTTTATGCCTTTCATTGGTGGAATATCTTTTATGTTGTAGAATTCTGAGTGATGCAAATATGGGGCATGCCTATGATGGTTTGCTGTGGACTTTAAGGTACGCTGCTCTAGTTTCCTTTAGCATGCACACCAATGCTATTTTTATAAGGCATGATTACTGCTTCAGGCTTCATCCAGATGTGTTTCTGGCGCTTTTTAAAAATCATGATATGCATTCTGAAAGAGTTGTATTATTCATGGTTGGGTTTGCTCCCTTTTGTACTTGAAGGAGTTTGCAAGACCTGTCTAGTGTTTTGCTGCATACTACGCAACCGGAGATCTCCTCAAGATCTTCCTTCATCTCAGAAAAGGTAGTCTTCCTCACCACTCACCCCTCCTTACAAAGCCAAAAGAAGGGTGAAAAAACACGAGACAATTGTTGCCATGACTGCTGCTGCTGTACTATTATGATGTCTGTACCACGTGACTGCTTGATAAAATAAGTTGGAACTTCATCTAAGTTGTCTCCTTGAGCTCCATAGATACAAGTCCATGTCAGTTTTACCCTTTATAATAATTACCCTCGTTGGAGTGATTCAGGTCAACCTCTTTGGGTGCTTGGTCTGATGTGCGACATTTCTAGCTTATAGGTTAGGATGTATCTTTAGATTTGGTTACTCGACACACCCATTACTAGATATAAGCTGTAAGCATGTTCATAGGCGACAAAATGGTAAGATGCCTTTTCTTTTTCTGTTGATTCTCAAAAGCACAATTCTTGAAATGTACAAACACAGTATTATGTTTCGTTCCATTTGCTTATCCTTACGTTTGTAAATCTTGGTTGAAATGAGCAATTAAGTAGTTATCTCCTCACAAGTTGATGTTTGGAGCCATCTTGCAATCACTTACTGGGTGCCAATTCTTTAGGTGGACAATGGTTGGCAAATAATATGGAACCTCGTGATGCAGGGGTTGCCAGTATTCAGTACTCAAACTTCTGTTGTAAGTGCAATACAGTGTCTATTTCGTACCATATTCTCATTTGCGTGCTTTAGTGTCGATGTAGGATTTTGCTGGCTATGATAATTGACTTTTTGGTCATAGTCGATTAACAAGAAATGATTGTTCATAGGTGTCCGAATTACTTATCCTCACAAAGGTGCATTTTTATTTATTTATTGTATCATATAACTGCCGCAGTAATTTGGTTTTGTGAATTTGTCGAACTGTGGATTACAACATTTAGGTTAGATCGAATCATTTATTAATGTTAACTTGACTGGGGTTGTATATTATGTTGTTTGGAATGGGTGCCTAAGTGATAGCTATCACATATATACTGCGAATTATCTGTTACATCACCGTGCTCCATTAGGTGAACAGTTTCTTTATTTAATCTGTTACAGCTGTGTACATTTACCTAGTACACAGCATCAGCTTTGTGCTTCTAGTAAGCAGATGTTTATAGTGTAATGTTTGTTTTGTCTTTAAAGTAGTACTTCCAGTGACCAATGTAGTCATACTAGCTGAATCAAGTAAAGAGTGATACTCTTTTGACAGCTACCTATAAATGTTGTGAAATATAAGCAAATTATGTCCTGAAATAAGCATTTATCAATGCTCTATATCTTTGATTTTGTATCGAATTAAATTATACGTTGGAGAGCAAACCAGAAAATGTCAAGATGTTATGGGTGGTCTCGAGATTTGGACTACCATGTCGATGAATTGCATGTTTATTTCCTTTTCACTCTCCTTCAGGTTGATGCTGCTTTAATTCTACTGGGAAACATCATATCAAGGGTGAGTGGTGGAATCTGCACTGTAACTCTGTAAGACTCGTTGGGTTTATAGACTGTTGACACCTTCTAAATGGTTGTAAACTTGGAACCTTTTGTCTGTTTTGTTATCTAGGAAATTACAAGCATGTGTCTCGTACATCAAGATGTATGGGACCTGAAGTTGTTTAAGCGGACACCATCCATGTAAGTATATCCTCACATTAGTGTTTGATAGTTGGTGGACTAGGGACTCCGTGATAGGAATCACATTACGAGGGAACTTGAGAAAATAGGGTTCGATCTGTTCCATTGCAGCTTCATGTTGGTTTATGCAATTAGGAGAGAATTTGTTCGTGTTTTTGAAGTTAGGTTGTGGCTATAATGTTTCAGAACCATTTTGGATTTCCTTTCTCCTGTCTGCGGCACATGATTTCCTGTTAAGGGGTTTCTTTCCCTTTCCCCTGTAGAAGTATGCTGAACATGTTTTTAAGTTGTTCGTTATGGCGTTTGTGTTTATATCATCCTGTTGGACATTACTTGGGAGTCATGTTGCTCCCAAGTTTGGGAATCTTTGAAGGTAAATTGGTCAGACTTCAGGGTGCTGTTAGCTGGAACCAGTTCCTGTTTGGAGTTGTCGGCAGTAGAGACAGGCTTGGTGTTTCTGATTCATTGTGGTAGCTTTGGCCTACATTCTACTCGCTACAAACCTTGTATTTGTTCTATAATTCTTGGTTATCAAATCTTCATCCCGTAGTATTCTTTGTTTGATTTTTGTCGTAGTTTCCTTCCTCCTCCCTTCTATTGAGGATTGCAAGAGCTTAGCTATGTTCTTGAGAAAGTTAACTTTTCTGAGTATTTGTGAACATGTTATATGGACTCCTCTCATCCTAGATGTTTATTTCCTATCTTAATCCAGGGCCTTTTTGTATTTTGCTGCTTGCTATTTTTCACACAAAGGTTGGCAGGTAAGTAGTCCTTCCTGATATTTTCTCTGCAGATGAATTTTTAAAGTTACCTATCATCTGATTATGTTTTTGTTCAGGGGAACCTAATGGATACCATACATCTGAGGAGGAATCTCTTAAGAGCTGTTCTCGGCAATCTGAAGTTTAAGGTCTTATTGACTCCAATGGTTTCGATTCTTATCTCGTATTATTGTTATTCATTCCTGTGTGTTCTTCTCTGTTTTCCTCTTTCGATTAAGAATATAATACTTGTGCTATATCGTTTGAGCACTGACGAGCAAGGACATGCAAGATGCTTCTAAGAATCTTAAATTAGATTGTCTATAACATCCTGGTTAAGGTTCTCAGGGATGCCGTAGTCTTCTAGATCATATCTGTCTGTTTTCCAGTTGCTTTTAGTGGTCCAGAATGCTTGTTTTCCGGTTCACAATAGCTATTTTCCTATTCCAGAACACATTGATACCTGGGTGTTCCTAGATCATTTGATTCTTAGTTTCCTGCTGCAGCACATCCTACATGCAGCATGGAAGAAACTTGCTTGAACTTGTGGGAGCTCTTTGATGTTGTAATGCAAGTTCCCACTTTTTGCGCTTTTCTTTTCTTCCACGTCTAACTTGTACAATGGCTGTTTTTGGATTCAGAAAAACATGTCTCCTGTAAATAGGGTTCTATTACTTTTCCCTGGCAGAAGGAGGCTTCTGTTTGCCTAAAAGGCTCTAGTTGTTTTCTGAGCTTTGTACTCTTTAATTATTGCTTTTTAATAGTTAGGATTTTAGGACTGCGGTTTGTGTAATATGCTCTAGAAGTACTGTATAGTCGTGCCTCTTTATTCATGACTTGGAAATTCGTAATACCTTTTTTTATTATCTGTATTTGCTTTATCTCTGCTTTAAGGAAAACATGATTCTTCCTTATTATTAGAGAATTGTGTTTGTGTATAGGAATCTTCTACTCTGAATGAGCACGCAGTCCTCTTAATACCGTCAGCTGCTTATGCTCTTTGTGCTGGCTATGCTTCGTTCATGCCCTATTACCGGGCGCTTTTCCCATTAAATTCTTCTATGAAGGATTTAGAGGTATCAGATGGTTGGGCTAAGGTATGTGCTGATACTAAAAATTTACGAGGTTAGTTTTGTTGAATTCATTCTTAATTGCTGCTTAATCATCCTTACAGCTAGATGGGCAAGAATTTAGAAGACCGCGTGAGTTCTTTGAATGCTTTGTTGAAGTTCTTTCCGAGATTTATGATTCCAAAACCAAGGTCATTTACACTTTGCTTCTGTGACTACTATATTTGGCTCAGTGCATGAAAATTTGACAAATTGATTCAACTGGTTTGCCCCCCAGGTTTCCTTGCCGGAGCTGCACCATGGTGTGCGTCTTCCCTACAAATTGAGGGATTCACTATTGGACGAGACGGAAGCACATATTCTTAGGGCTATGACAGATAAGGAGGCTAAAAGGATGCCTCTTACTGATGTGTTCTTCATATGTGCTGTAGTATGCAATTTGGTACATGGATCATTAGTAGCTAGGTACCTTCCTATCACTTCAATCGAACATGTGCTTTCATCACATTTTCTGTGGCTCATTATTGATCTAATTACATGATCTGGTCCACCGGAAGTGATCAGCGCACTTATTTCAAGCGCTAATAAGATTGTAGTTTGTGTATCATGGTTTCTCATGTTCTCCATCATTCCACCATATTTGAATTCTTTCAAGCTTGTGTGGAAATCTTATGTCGAATCTACCTTGTTCATCTTGTTTTTTTTCCAGGGGAGAAGTCTCCTCTTTCATTTCTGAATCAGGACATTTTGTGGCAGAATTGCTGAATCATGGCGCTAGTGCAATTGAAGATGGTGCTGACTTTCAGTCTCTTGGATGCTTTGACATTGGTGCGGAGAAGGTTGCAAAGAGCACTCTTCTGGATGCACTTACAAGCTTTGTTTGCTGTCCCATCTTTGCCAAAGGACGTGGTGGTTGTCTAGATTCTACAGTCTATAATATGATAGTTCAGTCAGTGGAGAAAGTCCTACGCAGCCTGGCTAAATTGTATGAGCGATACTCTGATTGTGGCACAAGTCCTGGTGGTCAGTTGATACCACCTGATATTTGTGTATCTGACAACGACTTACAAATGCCTAAATCACTCACTGGTGATAAAAGTAGGATTATGGACATGGAGTTAGATGTCAGCGGGGATATGAAAGATGTGGATATGTCAACAGTAAGTGGGACAGTTGGTTCTACACCATCCTTTTCTATTGTCAACTGGAAGTCGAGCATGATATCTCTTATGGCGAATTTTTCCCCGGTTTTGCAAGATTTGACATGGGATATATTGTTTGAAATTTTGGCAAGAGAATCTGATCCAAAGGTAAAGTTAAATAAGTTGTTTTTTTACACTTGCTTGATTGGTCTTCTTGTTCTTCTTCTCCTAATAACCCTGATTTCGTTTCCTGCATGCTTTGTTCAGGTGGGTGAGAAGATCCTTTACCATCTTTGTCAGAACCCAGATTGGTCTTCTCCTGCAAAAATTACAGGCTTGGTAAACTTTTGATTGAACTTGTGAATAGTTTGAGCTGTAAAAGGTTTTTGATTTTTTTTTTATGTCAGTTGTAAATATTGTGTCAGGTAACATTTCTATATGATTTCTTTTACTTTCCACTTGTATATGCAGGTCAAAATAATGAATGACTTGCTTGACAAACGGGTGAATCTCAGGCTTGATTGCAAGTTTATATTGGTTGCTGCTCATCAATTGTTAAGTAAGATATCTTCGTCAGATGCTGGTCAAAATGACGATCCAACTCTGATAAGAGAATCCGAATCGGTAACCTCCATTTATGTACTAGTTTTTATTTTGGTGATGGATATTTAATAGTCTGCTTTTTATATATCTATAAGGCTCTATTCTCAATTTATACATCTGCACACCAAATCATAAGCAGCAATGGTTCATCATTTTGAATGATCAATGGCCACATATATTGTTGGCGTCTCTCATCTCTCTTGCTGAAATTTTTTCTGACGCATGATTGATCTCTGAGTTCTGCTATCTGATCTTTTCCCCCCTTATTGTTCCATCAACTGAGACCATGACTATTTGTTTTTGCCAAAGTTTTTTCCTTTGCGTCATCTTGCTTTGCATGCGAATCTAATTACCCATTGTGATTTAGTTGCTTTAAATATACTTCAGGCTGACATGTATTGGCATGCCGTGTATTACCATTCTAGAAGAATATTGTTATGCTCATGTACTCTGTTTGGACCTCATAGTTTGTTTTTGGTCTCTTAGGGGTCTCCATTTCTAAATTGATGTATTGTGATCAATAGATGTATTATATTATACATGTACTGATGAATTTGCTGCATTGTAGATTACCATGTTTAGTATTTTTGAGTGTGTTTTCAATATTTAAAAATGAAAGTCACCTTAACTGAAATGTCACTTGTACCCTTCATTTCAATGCAAAGGTTCTTTTAAAGGTTAAAGTTGAACAAAAGAGAGACAACAATCTCAACTGAACAATCCCAATAATCTCAGTTAAAAGTTGAGATTGTAAAATTATTCATTTTGAATGATTGTTTCGTCACATCAAGCAAACAATACATGTATTGCGTGTGCATAAAAATTATGTATTCTAAAGAATGCAAGTATTGTAACAAGCTCATTAAAACAATTCTAGAAACCAAACTAACCCTTAGTTCTCCCTTGTACTGTTTGTGATGCTTTTTTCTTTCATTCTTTTCTGGAAGCAAATAGCATCAAAATAGCTTTCTTGTTTGATTAGCTGTTGAATGGATTTTGAACTGGCATATTATCTTGATCACGATGTTGTATTATTGTATACTTTTAGTCAAGCCTCTTTTATTGCTTGATATTAATTGGTTGTTAATATGTAGAGTTTGGTGCATTTGGGAGATCTGGTGAACAAAGTTGCAGAATTCGGTGTTATTGATTGGGTGGGGCGTGCAAAGCTAGTTGATTGCATTTGTGATTTTGTGTTGTTGGACCCTCTAATTGGTCAGGTAAGTACTGTTCCCTGGGGATCTTAAGGGGTCGTTTGGAAGTTGTGATTTCAAATGATGTATTGATCTAATTCATGTATTTGTGAGATTAAGTCGTTTTTTTTGGTTTATATAGAACTAGAATACATGCATTTACTTTTTCAAGGCCCCACCACAATCACTCAATATTGAGTGATTTACAATCTCTACTTTTTGTTGAGATTCTTCACAATCACTCAATACTAACTTTTTTACCTTTGGAACAGAAACACAATCTAAACCTCCAAACAAGAGATTTACCTAATACATCAATTGATTCAATCCATCAAATTATAATACACTAATTGTCCCAATACATCAATTTGAAGAATCACAACTTCCAAACAACCCCTAAGCAACGTATAAAATGTCATGTGTCTTGCTTTTTCTTTGGCCTTCTTTTTGACTTTTCCCTTCATGATGTTGCAGACAATGATTGAGAGGTTGTTGTTGTTGGTCCGAGATCCTGATTACAGAGTCCGGTATTCTTTGGGCCAAAGGGTTGGCGTTCTATTCCAAACATGGGATGGTCATGAAGAACTTTTTGAGGACATCTGGTAGGTTTCTAATAGTTCACCAGCTTCTTAGCCTGGTTAACCAGTTTCTTACTGTACAATTTTTGTTCTTGCCTTTTTCCCCTTGCTACAAAAATGTTCCTGCAATCTCCGAGCTTTGGAATTTTAATGGTTATATTTCATAATTAGAAGAATAAATTTATTACTTTTAGAAAGAAATGGAAGGATAAAATTGATATCTTCTACGCTGTCTCAGGTTGGTCAACAAATCTTAATATGCTGTTAGCTTGAGTGTTTCACTGAAAGAGTAGATTCCCCACAAAACTAAATGGTAGAAACTGCCAGCAATGTCTAACATGTTGGTAATTTGTTGTATTTAGTTTTGTTTGCCAGATTCATCTCAATCTCAGTGAAGGAATCAGTTGACATCTTTTTGGAAAACTAACAATTAACTCCATGATGGTTTTATAGTTCAAACTTCGGTGTTGTTATAGTGCTCCCGTTGAAAGGAAAACTCGTCAAAGCAAAGCAGGTCATGTCTACTGGTCCACAGTCTCTCCCAGCTCTGGAAACTGTAATTATTACTCTTATGCATCTTGCTTTACATAGCGAGAAAGTAGAGTCAAAGGTAACTGTACCTACTAATTTGGTTCTGTTATCTATATAGAGTTCTGTTTCATATTTTGAACTTAAGCTGCTGGGGAATAAACACAACAATTTTGCTCTTTTATCGTTTTCTTATTTATGGCATGCAGGCAGTTTTCATGTTATGTGCTATTTCTGCCTTCGAGCCTTGTCACAGGTAACATGATTCCTTTTGTGTTGTACTTGGTTATGTGGAAGCACTGTGTGTTGTGACCAATACATATTTTACTTCAGGGAGTTGGTCATTGAGGTGCTCAATAACCTGTCAAAGCATCTACAGTATACAACTAGATTCAAGGTTCACATTATGTCCCTATTTCATTTGTTTCCTTGTCAGCATAATTAGTAGTTTGCGAACGAGTATAAAGATCTGTCGTATTTCCTGGATCTTCAGAGTGCTGGTTATGTTTCAACAGTTAATGGATGTTTATCCTTTGTTCTATGATCATCATTTCTCCACTCCTCACCATCCCCTTTTGCAGTATTTGGAGGAACTGATGGGTGCAATTCTCTTCAGCTGGGTTGCTTGTGATGTTAATTTAGTTTCACTCCTTGAGGTATCATGACGGTTATTTGCGATCTTTCATATTTCAATTGTTTCTCGTCACTGCATGATCTGGTTGATAAGTCCTGTTTGCTGGACTATTGTTTTACAGAGATTTTTACGTTTGTTGAACTTCTACTTCTTTTGTATGACTGCCAGGGACATGTTCGGTTAAACATGGGTTGTTCTTGCTAGACTCATATTCGAGCTTTCTATTATCTGATTCTATGATGGTGATACTATTATTTTTGCAGATAAGGCAACTTTTTGTATCAGATGTGGAGCCTAGTTATTTTATACAATACTCTTGCAATTGGCTGCTTCCAGCTTTACTATTGGAGAAGGACATGACCAATCTTAACTGGCTAGCTAAAGTATGAGCCTTGTATTTGATATTTTATTTTGTTATCTGTTCTAATTGTCGGTTTTGTTGAAGGCATGCGCGTTCCTGATTGCAGGTCTCAGGTCAACCATTGGCAGCTCTAGTTAAGAGTCACTTTGTGCCAATATTTTCAGTTAGTATGGCATTGCATTGCAGTAAGATGCCTGGATGGGAAAGGGGAACTTTTGTGCTTGAGAAGTCTATTTTGCAACTTGCTGAGTTATCTGAGAATGAACGAGACAAGCTCATAAAGAAACACATGGTATGGACTGTCTACCTAAAGTTTCTGGAAAAAATTTATCCTATGAGTTCTTGTGTGCTATTGTGTTACACAATGGTGTGATCAGGTGTTCATTTCAAACTACTTTCATAATGATTCATGTCTATGTACTGAGCATCATTAATGCTTGATGTTAGTGTGCGGCTGTTTTAGGTCCTTGTCTGCTCCTTGGCTTGTTTATTTCACTCCTGTGTTTAAGATATGATTCCTGACAGATTAGAGTCATAACTATTGGCTTATATGTTTCTTTTGTGCTATTGCGTTACACAAGGGTGCGATCAGGTGTTCATTTTAAACTACTTTCATAATGATTCATGTCTATGTACTGAGCATCATTGATGCTTGATGTTAGTGTTTGGCTTTTTTAGGTCCTTGTCTGCTCCTTGGCTTGTTTATTTCACTCCTGTGTTTAAGATATGATTTCTGACAGATTAGAGTCATAACTAGTGGCTTAGATGTTTTTTCTTCTTCATTCTGCTCTTATTTTGCTTTAGCTACCTTTTTATTCTTCTCTTATTATGTTTTATTTATTTTTACAATAAACTTGTTGCTTAATAGCAGAAGCTTTCACTGATCAGACTGTCTTATTGTAAGCTTGCTTCCGGATAGGAATTCATGGTCTATGTTGAATTTCTCTGATGCGAAGTATATCCAGCAGAGCCAAATGCAATGATAGATATTTATATGTCCTCTGGTCATCATAAACTGAACCATCATTGTTAAGTTCTTTTTGGAAAGTATTAGCTGCATTTTGTGTTTTAGCAATTGATTAAACTGTCGGGAGATCTAACAATATGTCTATCAGCATGTTTTGACGTGCGTTCAAAATTGAATCTGTCTGTCCTATGGTTAATTTTTCAAGATATACCAGAGTCATGAGGTGAATCCAGGAAATATTGCTGATTATCGAAACTTGTACTTGATATGACTTCTTCTGGGAAATGCAGTATACTTAAAATGGATGTTTACTTTTTCTAGTTTTGTGTATTGATGAACTGGCTCCATTGTTCTCTCTCTAATTTGTGTCTTTGTTACTTGCTTTCTAGGTATCTATTGTTGGCCATATGCTGTCCCTTGTTTCTTGTGCATCAGAGCCTACAGTTCCTTTCTTTTCCAAAGAGACAATAGCACAGGCAATTCGGACTGTAGTGGATGGTTTTCTGGAAATGTACATTCTTCATCTGAGTCATATTTTTATCCATGTTCGTCTTTGAATCTCCTTAACGGATGTGTATGTCTTGCCTGATGCAGTGATGATCAGCCTGCTAGTGGTGCTGTTCTTGATAAGATCAACATTTTTCGTCCTGATAGAGTTTTCATGGTGACTGGCATTTTGGAAAGATTAATTTTCTTCTCAAGTTACCCCAGAACATTTTTTTCTCCATCTGACATCTTGCTGTTATGTTTTGCCAGTTCATATTGGAAATACATTACAAAATAGAAGCAGCTGTCCATCCGAGGCATAGGTGTCACAGGTTGGCTGGACTTGAAGTGCTCATTGATGTTCTTGGTCATCGAGTTGCTATCTCAGGCACAGCCAAGTAAGTCTGCTTTGTTTGGTGCCTGGACTTGTGTATCATACTGAACTGATTGCATATTATATTCTTTATGGTATTTATTTGTTAGTTTCCTGACGCTTTAAGCATTTCATGCAGTAGCACTGCCTGTGTTGTCTCACTATACTTTTTCCTCCATCTCTATTGTTTGGAACCTGTGTACATTCGCAGAGAAGACAAATTCTTTGTGTTTTTTTCTATTTTGGTTGCTACTTTCTTGATCATCTAACTAGCTGGTTGCCTGGTTTTAGTAGTATCTCTTTTCAGTATCAGGTTGCCAATACATGGTCTCTTACTTTCTATTTCGAATTCGCAGCTACATTCTCAATTTGATTGGACAGATTATTGGTCTCAAAGCTCTAGAAAATCAAAGTTGCCGTATAATGACTTCTGTACTGAAGACTTTTGATGAAAACCCGTCTAAAGACGTTTTTAATGCTCTAGGCGATCAACTTCAGGTGATGCTCTTTGACAGGGCATCTCATGTTTAGATTGCTAGACTATTGTCTTCTAATATTTGTGTTGTTTTCATTGTAGTTTTTGGTATCAAAATTGGTGGAATGCTGCAGGCATTCTGTCACAGTTGAAGGTCCTTCTGGCCCCACATTATCTCCCGTTCTTCCTTTGCTCCGTCAACTGGTTGTCAGCTCTGACCTGTCTCTTCATGATTATATTAGGGTATGTATCCCTTTGATTTCTACAGTAAAAGCTGAACACCAAATTGGTGCTTAGTATTTACTTCTGGGCCTTCTTTTATGGTAAAAAAGGCTTTTCTACTTTTTACTTTGTGCTTAGTTATTCTGTTAGTCTATTATAGGAGTTGGAGCCATTCCCTGAGATGGATTTCTTCAATGAGATGCGAGGGTTCCATAAAGTGTTATGCCAGACATACTCTCCCAGAGATCACCTATTGAAAGTATGGTATATCAAAGTATTTACTGCGGTCTCTTATCCATGCCTGTGTTGTTAGTATGCCCATATGGTGTTGCAAATGCACTTCTAAAATACGACATATGAAAAATGTGCTGTACAGAATAGATAATCGGTATTTGGTCTGTCTCACTCGTTAATTCCTGTAGTATTTGTATTTTCAGTTTGCTAGCCGATATTGTTACTTGCCTCCAAGATTACTATTGTCAAGGTACTTCCCTAAAAGATCAAACATTTTCTTTGCTAGTTTAGTTCTAATTGTTGATGTTCACCTGTGTTACTTGGCACAAGTATGCTTGCATTTTTAGAGGCTGAAGCCGCTTTCTACTGAAGAATCAGTCAAACTGTTAATTTATATGCCGTCTTTAAGAAACTATAGTTGACAGTCTTCCAAAATTGTGAACATATATGATGTCTCTAGATGTTAATCCATGTTTCAATTTATGTTCTAGTGTCCAAGCACTGCACAAGAAAGTACTCCTAGGGGAAAATTATCAGGTGAAAGGAAGTGACAAAGATGTGATAGAGGATGCACATTGGAATCATGATCCAGAAATCCGTTGTGCAATCTGGACCCTAGTTCGTATATGTGGTTTGGATGATGCCGGCAGCATCAGACCTTTGGTCTCTGACTTTGTGTCTCGGGTATAATTACTGGTGTATTTATTCACCTTTCTTTTGTTTTTTCCTTCTCCAAGTGTAGTCCACCTGAAATAACAATGATGCACTGAATTGTGACTATAGCTTGGGGTTGGGGAGCCACACAATGTTGTTTTCCGTCCTGCTAGAGAGTTCAATCATAGGAGAGTGCAGCAAAGCACTTCAGACACTGGTACTGAAATAAGTTTTGGAATATCCGAAGACCTTCTGGTAGAACTTCTTAGGCTCTTGAAGAAGTATCTGATGGATGATTCTGTTCGAATAGTTGATATGGCATCACAAGCTCTTCAGGTAAGATAGAATTAATTCACCTCTAGGTGAGATTTCCACCTAAGTGTGTTGCTTCTTTGCCTGCATGTTTGCTTTCATGTGTGGCACACAGACCTCTCAGAAAAGCTTGCAGGGGAATGTATTTTCTTTTGAAGCTGATGCTAGTTGACTAAAAATGTTTATGCTTGGATGGTATGTTTTGACTGAATGCCTTGGATTAGCTATAAAAATGATTCTTGGTCAAACTTTGTACCCCACAAAATTTGGTGTGGAATATGTCAACGATGGTATAAAGTAGCAGGTTGACTTGTATATTTCTTGGTACATGTCTGCATTATGATATGCCTGCTGAATTGACTGTGTAATGCTCTCAGTGAGCGCTCTTTGTAATTTAGTAACGAGCTGAATATGTTTTTGAGGTGGTTTATGGCTGCTCTCATGTGAATGAAATGTATACAATATTTCAAGTGGCTCATGTATCCCCCTCTCAAAACAGGGAATTCTTTCTACTGAAAAGGGTCACAGAGCTGTACATTCATTTGATTCTTATGAGAGGTCTCTCATTGAGGTATACCTCTTCCTTCCCTATAAACAGTCTTTCCTTTTCTGGTGGCAGGTGGTAATTGTGTTTTATGGGGAATTTCCTTTTTAGCATTGGAGATTGAAAACCTAGGTTGGTAGGTTGTCTTTTCATTTTATTGACCATGTTTGTCGATATTTTGCTACTGGGTGGAGACTTTTGATGTTAGGAACTACTCTTAGGTTAGAGAATCTGGAAGACTGTAGGGATCAGCTATCAGCCGACATTTAAATGTCATGTATAGGCGGGAAACAGAAGGACTGTGCTCAGTTAACGATAAAATCATGACAGCTAAATTCCTCACGAGTCTGAGGACTCTCTAGCAATATAAGTCAGCACTCCACTTTTGAGCCTTGCGCGAGTCTGTGTCCGACTGTACTATTTCTTCTTATGTTCTATATATGCGTACATCGATCAGCATATACGTTAACATATCAAAAAATTTCTTGTAGATCCACTCTAAGGGTGTAGACACCAAAGTGGTGGAGAAATTCTTGACGGATTTGGATAAGAAATTTAAAGGTAAACTTCTATCAAGTTCCTGACGTGGATATCAGATCTTATTAGGATTAATTAAGTTCTCACTGTAGTTCTCTTCAATCTCAGTTGAAGCAGTTCCACTTCAGGATTCTACTTTATGGAACACAAGCCGTAAAACCTTTGAGGCATGGATTTGCCCAGTGGTGTACTCAATGCTTGGGTTCTGCAATGACACCATCTTAAGGTTTTGTTTGAATGTTCATATCATTGTTAGCAAACACTTCCCTGACATATATACTATGTGTGATACTTACAGACATTTTTGAAACATATAAGCTCCTATTTCCAAAACATTGTTAAATACTCTGTTTTATTTTGTCATGTTCTTATTTCCCTTAATTTACGTGTACAATATTTCACAATGGTTCTGATGACTCAATTAAGCACTTCCAAGATACATTTGTTTGTTTCTGGAACCTTTTTTCAGCCAGTATGTTTATTTGCTGACTGTCCTTCTCGTACGTTGCGTTGTTCAGATTATGCCAGGGAATTGTCTTGCACAAAGCCGAGGTTGCTGAGCTCCTGTTTCCAATTGCGATTGTAGATATAGCTGGAAGAAAAGATCTAGATGTTGATCTTCAGAAGTTGATAACTCAGCAGGTAAATTCTTTGGGAAGCTTTAGCTCTGCACATTGCATGCAAAATCTGTGTAACTGCGTAATATGCTGGCATGGTTTATAACTTCTGTTTTCCTTCCTTATTGTTGTCTCGTTTGGTTCTAGTTAATACTATAAACTGTGCTTCTGGGATATGTAGCAGTTATTATGTGCTCAGTGCTTTGGTTATTTCTCTCGAGCCTTGAATATCATGGCTGTTTTTGTTAATGCTGCTGCTTCTCACTCTACATAGCCGTCTGCATGATCTTGCTGAAGTATTTAGTCCCTGTTGGGTTAACTTGCAGGTCCAACGGCATATATTTACAGAATCAAATATGCTGGTAAAATCAATCCAAGTCTTGTTGAATGCCCTTAATGAACTTCGCTTGTGTCATGTACTGGAAAGGTCTTCACTCGAACAATCAAAACGAGAAGCTTCCAAGGCAAGTACATGAATAGACTTGCATCTGGAATGATTTTATTAGAATATTAGCAAAAGAATAAGAGCAGGATATACTTGAAATATCTAATGAATTTCATGTGTTCGATCTATGTTGGCCTTGTATTAACATGCATCCTCTGTTTACCTTTTCCTGTGCTTTTCAGTATTCTAGGCCTTCTAGTCATGGTTCCAAATCACGTTCTGCATCTGGAAAGACTAGGGAATCCCTTGGTAGTTCAAGTGTACCCACCACATCAACATTTCTATGGGATAAGGTATGTGGATTCACATTCTTTTTATTTTTGGCTTCTCTCGTTCAATTCTGTTACAACCCTGACGAATGCATGGACTGCAACTTGAAATGCGGACAGCTTCCTTTTCCGTTATGTTCTTAAACTATCAGAATCTGTGTTGGAAGTGCTTGAGCGCTAGGAATGACAATGGGTCCAGGACGAGGCAGGTGCCTCAACGCCCATAGATTACCGCCCATGTTAGATGCTGGCTAGGTCAGGTAGTTAGGCTCGGGGCACTGGTCAAGACAGGTCTTGCCATTTGTGTATGCGTCTTAAAAGATCAAACATATCAGTTTTTTCATAAGAAAACCTGAAGCAACACTTTCTAAATAAAAATTGAGACCATGACGTGATTAATGGAGACTCTTTCTTAATACTATCTACACTAGACTAAAGTATGATTTAACAGATGTTAAAATAAGAGTAATTTGGAATCAATATATAGAAATTAGACAGAGCTGGTGGATAACAGCGCGACCAGGGTGCCAGGAGTACCCATGTCCCGTCCCGCCCCCAAAAAGATCAAGACAGGTTAGGTGGACAGGTCTGTTCGAATTGGGCATCCGTATTGAGCACGGTTTCTTGTCATCTAATAAGATAATAGGCTACCAATACATGATTTAGGCTTAAATTTGCTTGACCTCAGGAGTTCCTCTAAGCTGCCTAAGCTATTGCCTATTTGTCTTGCTCATCCGTATCATTACTTGTCTCATGAGTTAGGACCTGTTTTTGTTCCACGAATTTAGTTTCTATTTTATTAATGGTTGAAATTGAATATATCCAAGATATGTGCAAAAAAGGAAAAAAATCATTTAAGAACAAGTACAACTCAGGCTCTCGAGAATCCGAAAGATTTAAATCAGACGATGGACATGAAATGGTTGGCGAGCATACACAACTCGGAGTTCAGAAGAATGGAGTTAAAAACTTTATGATGTAGTATTCCAGGTTAACCATTTGTCAGTTCGATTCACTGTGTGTTTTTTATTTTACTTTTTGCAGGTTTACTGGTTGAGCGTTGATTATCTTCTTGTTGCAAAGGCAGCAGTGGTGAGTCTTATATAATACATTAATTCTTTCTTTTGTTCTTTATCTTCTTCCTCATTCTTTTTATATGCTTTGTGCAAATACTGAAGAAGTGTCACTTTATCTTGTCTCGTTTGAAGCTTTCTGGTTCGTATTTCACTTCGATAATGTATGTTGAACATTGGTGTAAAGAGCATTATGGAGGCCTTACCTTAGGAGCTGCAGATTTTTCTCATGTTGAGGTGGTAAGTCGTGAACACGGTCTATTTTCCCCCCTTGAATATAGGGAGATCAGTAGCTTTGAAGATCTTTATTTATTGTATCATTTTTCAATATGTTGAAGCTGACTAATCCTTGACTGCATGCGTGGCGATATATTTTGAATATGCATCTGCAGTTTATTAGTAGTGTTACTGTTTTCTAATAGTATTATTACTTTCTATGTAGCGAATTTATAGGATAATCATGGGTCTGAATTTAGACAAACTTTCTTGCATTGTTGGTTTCTTTTAGTTGATATTCAAGCTGGAATTTTCGTCCTCATTTATGCTTCAGTATCCTGTGTGTCTTTGGTGGCATTTAGAAGAAATGATTATTTTGACCTCTCTTTGTTTGTCCTAACAGTTGTCAGATCACATCGAAGTACTTATATCAGCTCTCACTCAAATAAATGAACCAGACAGTCTCTACGGAACCATCCAGTCCCACAAGGTATATTGTCTTTGTTCTCGCAGTTGCTGGTTTGAGGAACTATTCAGGATTACCATACCTTATGTTGATCTTTTAGGTGGAAATTTTTAGCCACATTGTGTATTTAGATTGCAGTTCAAGGTTCATATAAATATAAATTAAATAAAAAACACTGCAGCTGGCAATAACAAATTTCATATATATGTTCTAATGTTTGAATGCTGCCTCCACAAAAATGAAGCCGGACTGGAAAGATTGCGGAAGCAGACCAAGGAGATACATAATATGGTTGAAAGTCCATGTCTTCTGCCGTTCCACCGATCTATGTACCTATGAATGCCTGATAATCTGTCATGCGATGTAACCAAGTTAATTGCCACTACCGAAAAGGAGAAGTTGGTAAAAAAATTTGGAAGTTCTTGGGCTGCAGCCGTAGTAATGGAAATAGTATGCAACAATTGCTGGTTCCAGTTTTCACATTTTTGTTAATAGGTTTGCTTTAAAGTAGAATGCTCGATGGATTTAGTAAATTGGTAGGCAGAGACCTGGAGCTAACTGCTTTCAAGCTTGTATGATGTTTCAGTTTCTGAGAGTTGTTCTAGGAAGTTTTTCAACTTGACATCTCACTGTATCATTCTTTTTTGTTATGGCCTTGATATGGTAGTTGGCCTCTCAAGTTGTTACCTTTGAGCATGAGGGGAACTGGAGCAAGGCCCTTGAATATTATGACCTGCAAGTGCGTTCGAATGCCATTCTTCAAGCAGATGTAAGTTCCAGTATAGCCTTGATGATGAATACCCAATCGGCCGGCCATTCTGCCCTTCCTGCAACTCATGATGAGATGAGCCAGAGGAAGCCTTATAAAGGGTTGATTAGATCACTGCAGCAAATGGGCTGTACACATGTCTTAGACATTTACTGCCAGGGTTTGACTTCTCGAAAGGACCAGCTGCAGCATGATTTGGAATTCACTGAATTGCAGGTTGAAATTTATTTGATGCACATCGTTAGAGTATTCAGTCAACTCTGCTCTTCTGAACTTGGCTGTGTTATGTTTATTTGTCCAAAGTATGAAGCTGCTTGGAGGGCTGGAAATTGGGACTTCTCTTTCCTGTCGCTTGCACCAAATTCAGCTTCTTATCAGCTTGTCAAAAATGATAACTTCCATCAAAATTTGCACAGGTACATTTTTCTTAATATTTTTGCTATTATCGTGCTATTCAACACTGCTTGTAACTGTTTTGAGTTGCTTCCTTGTTAACTATTTCAGTTATTCCAACTCTGATCAGCAGTAAATGGACTTCTTGTAAAGTATACTTAAGAATGATTTGCCTACCCTTATGTGTTTTAAGCCAGCTTGATGAAGATTGGTTAACTGGGAAAAATATTGCATGTGGTTCATGTTTTAGTCTTGTCAAAACAAGAGTAATTGAAGTTCCAATAGTGAGAGAGTTAATTAGAGTCAATTAATAAAAAAAAATTAGAGTCAATTAATACTCTTTGCCATGCAGTTTGATCTTTGTATTCATGTCCCCCCCCAATGGGGTGTGCATGCTTAAATAAGTTGTGAATGAAATATGTTTACTCGTTAATCTATCAAATTTAGTTAGGTACTGCCTGCTTGAACAAATTGTGAAACAAGATCCGAAATGTATTTTGCATATTATGTTCTTCATGTTTTCATAAGGGATAAGCTTCTGCGTTTCTTTGCGTTGGACGATGAACTTTTTTTTCTTGTTCACTCTCTCATGTTGGAGTATCTAGCTGCTTGAGGGCATTCCAAGAAGGAGATTTTGGTGAATTTCGAAAAAAATTGGAAGTATCAAAGCAGGTTAGTTTGATTAAGTTCCCTCCCACCAACCCCCCCCCCCTCTTCTTCTCCTGTGGCCCAATGTCAGGCACCACCTTCTCATGGCCTCTTATCTTGTTCCTAGGAGCTTTTATGTTTGGTGTATTGTGCCAGTGAAGAGAGCACTCGGTACATCTTCTCGACCATCATTAAACTTCAGGTACCTTAAATTACCAACCTACATTACTTCTCAGCAACGTTGTATATTTAAGTAGATAGGCAACACCAGATTTACTTGGGTGATGCTTATAATGCTTCATAGTGGATTTCTGATTTTTATTTGCTTGTTGATTGTTATTGTTGGATGATTCTAATAAGTATGAGTAATCTTTTTTTGTATCTGTATCAGAATGTTTTCATATTTGGATGTCAATTTTGTCTTTTGGTGCTTCTCATTGATGGCTAGTAATCACACCCTATTCTATGCCAGTGTAGCTGTTTTTTCTTTTATGAATAATGCAGTGTGGCTGTTAGAACAACAATACGTGTAGTCAGCTACATCAATTGATTTTGGGCATTTGAGCTCAGTTCTAAGCTGTAGTATTAAAGCTGATGGTTTCTGTGGAAAGGAATATATAAACTTGCGTGGTTCTTGCTTAACTGTGGGGTTCATGCAGATAATATGGATTCTGTTACCATGTTTAGCCTCTAGCTCTGACTGCACCTTTTTTTGTATAGCATTCAAGTGCCCATTTCACTCTCATAACTTCATTGAGAAAGGTTCATTGTCACTCGAAGTTTTTGTTGTGTCAATATAGGTCATTTCCTTAATTCTTCTGATTAGCTGCATGTAGTATGTAGGGTTGTCAGGCTGTGAGTTGCGAAGTTTATTTTTGTTTGTTACCTGTACTGCTTTTCTTCATCCATTATTGGTTGATTGCTTGTGCAGATTCTGTATCATCTAGGCATGGGATGGGATATACGTTGGATGTCATATAGTGAAAGGGCTGAAACCTACCCGGTACAAAGGTGTCTGGAACCTGTAATCCCTACCATGGAACAGGTATGGATGTAGTGATCAGCATTACCTTGAAATTACTTAACTTTTGGATGTTCAAGCTGAACCGTAACTTACATTCAGCATATGGAATCGTTGCACTATTATAGAAGAACATAGTTCCACTTTATAACGCTATCATTGTCTTGCAGGCTGATTTTGATGTGTATAGATTATCTGTAGATGTAGTTCTTGCTGACTTATGTTAGTTGGCAAAACCTGGCTTGCAATTATTACTGGGTCGTTGTTTTACTAGAAAGTGGCAACCTATCTAATTAGTTCATAATGCAAGGATTCCTAGAACTGACGTGGTTACAAATCTAAAGCTTACAATCCTCTCCTCATTTTTCTCATTTTTTGGTATCCTGTATTATGCATAGTTCCAATCCTCTCTCATTTTTCTCAGACACGTCTCAGGGTTTTATAGTATTTTGCGCAGAGACTAATTGTTCTGCCTTTCCATGAAGGCTTTTATTCAGTTATCCCGTAGTTGTGTGAGTACCTTTGTGTCAGTAATAGGGATTCAATTCAAATAGAGGTTATCGTGGTTGGCTGATTTCAGATACATTTATACTTGTAGCTATCTCAGTTGAATAAAGACTGGAGCTCTACTTTGGAACAGACACAACTGCATATGAATCTAATTGAACCATTCATAGCATTCAGGCGAATTCTGCTTCAGGTCCTGAAATGTAAAGAAAGCTCAATGCAGCATCTATTGCATTCTGCTTCAACTCTTCGCAAGGTAATGTAATAATGGCAACTTTAGTGTTTTTTCGATCACAGATTTCAGTCCACTAACTGATGTTCTTTGTTGACAGGGCTCCAGGTTTTCTCAGGCAGCTGCTGCATTGCATGATCTAAAATCTTTTTGGGACAAAACTGGAGAACCATCTTCGTCTCTCTATTGGCTTGGGAGGGTATACCTCTTTCTTCTCCTTAACACATTTTAGAACATCCATGCTGTTTTTTTGACAACTATACCGCAGGCACAAGCATTTTCCTCTTTAAGCCTGCATTTGTTAAAGTAGTGGGAATATGATAAATGCACTTGGTAATCATGGTAAAGCTAATTTTGCTTGTGGAGTTTCGTGTATCAGGATGAGTTGCATATGGCCCGTATTTGTCGGATTTAATTTCCCTTGAAAGGTTTCTGATATACCTGATTGATTCTTGGGCTTCTGTATAGTGTACAAAGTCTGCATGAACATCGCTCTAATTGTACCCTTGTGTGTACAGTTTCTACTTCATTTATTGATGGCAATCTCTAATAAAAATCTAGTTCGTAACCTTCATACATATCACAGTTTTCAATATATTAATCTTCTAGGCGCTTGTGTTTTTGTTGTGTTGAAATTAAACACCTGAAACCCCTACCTGTTATATACGTTAAGAACCCGAGTTATAATATGGATTTGATTCCTGAATGTTCAACTTGTTCTTGCTTAGTTGTGCCAAATAAATTGAAAAGATACTGCTGTAATATTAAGTGTTCGCTGGCTTGTTTAATAAAACAATGTTAAAGATTTTGCTATGGTCTAATATGTTGCAGCTTGAAGAAGCAAAGTTGCTTCGTGCCCAGGGTCGGCATGAAATGGCTATAAGCCTTGCAAAGTATGTCTCAGAAAATTATCATTCAGACGAAGAAGCCTCCAACGTGTATCGCTTGGTAGGGAAGTGGCTGGCAGAAACTAGATCTAGCAGGTAAGCCCAAATATGAGCTTGAGAATGTTCAGTTCTCCCTTCTTTCTCCTTTTATCATACTTGCTAATGTTTCTCTTTTCAAAATGTCCGCCCGAAAATACAGTTCAAGAACTATTTTGGAGAAATATTTGAAGCCTGCAGTTTCACTAGCTGAGGATCAGACCTTCACTAACAAGAATTCTGTTGGAAAGCGAAGCCAGGCTCATTTTCATCTTGCCCACTATGCTGATGCACTATTTAGATCTTATGAGGAAAGGCTAACTTCTAGTGAATGGCAAGCTGCGATGAGATTGCGGAAACACAAGGTATAGACAGTATATCTTCCACACATATATAGTGGAGGGAAGTGGGCGTGATGAAAACTCATACGAACCCTTTCAGCTAATCTGAATTAAGCATTATTACGCAGACTTGTGAGTTGGAGGCCCTTGTGAGACGGCTAAAATGTTCTGCAAAGGTGAGAATCCTTGATCTAATTCTGTTCTTCCAAAAATTTTATTGAAAATACTCATACTGTCTTTGACACCTGTTTTCCGGTTATCTTTTGTATCATTAGGGAGAAAAGGTAGATTATCAATTGAAAATACAGGAGTTGCAGAAGCAACTTTCAATGGACAAAGAAGAAGCTGAAAAACTTCAGGTATCACTTGTTGTTGATCGCCTCGAGTAGCGGGATGTGAGTCATGTGACTGCTTCTTTCTTCTGCATCTTTAATTGATAGGATGACAACTTCCAATAATTTCCTTTTCCAATAGCTACTAATTTATGTAAATATAATGTCTGGTGTGCTATTTATTCTATGCACAATAATGCATGTTTTGTATGCTAACATAATTTCACGACACTTGCCCTACTGATTCTGTGCAAGGTCGTTTCAACAAAGTAGTTTAATAACTTCTTTCCAATTCGCTCAGGATGACAGAGACAATTTTCTCAGCTTAGCATTGGAAGGATATCAACGTTGTTTGGTCATAGGTGATAAATATGATGTTCGAGTGGTATGTACTATTAAAACACATCATCTGTTAAATATTTAATAGTACTTATGGATTATTAAATATATAGCTGTGAAAATGTTTGTTTAGGCTTGCTCTATGTTTACCAACACAAATTTCATTGGTCTCTGCATATTTGTTTCCAGGTGTTTCGTCTCATCTCCCTATGGTTCAGTCTGTCTTCTCGAGAAAAAGTAATCAGCAATATGCGACAGACAATTCACGAGGTAAAAATCAGACACGTGGTTCAGATACCTAATTTCACTTTATAGTCTAGAGCGATCACAGTATGCATTTTTATCTACTGTTTAACATGAAGACGAACTTTGCAGGTCCAATCCTATAAATTCATTCCGCTGGTCTATCAAATTGCTTCAAGAATGGGCAGCTCAAAGGACAGTATAGGGCCTCATGGCTTTCAGGTTGCTGAGAGTAATGTTTTTCTAGAAGGTGCTAAGAGATTTCTAGGGTAGTGGTCTGTTTATTATTTACTATTTTTTAAGTTTTCTTCTTCTATCTGTGATGGTGCAGTCTGCTCTGGTTTCTCTAGTGAAGAAAATGGCCATAGACCATCCGTATCACACGATTTTCCAGGTATTTAGCCTGACAAGTTGTCTGATGGCTTCCGAGCTGGTGTTTGAACTGCGCCTAAATACAGATTAAGACACTTCAGTGCTTGTTCCTTAACTTCCCTTTCTTGTTTTATTTGTAGCTTCTAGCTTTGGCAAATGGGGACCGCATCAAGGATAAACAGCGGAATAGAAATTCTTTTGTGGTTGATGTGGATAAAATACTTGCGGCAAAGAATCTTCTCGAGGAGTTACTATCATATCATGGTGGAATTATTAGACAGGTAAATTGTGTAATTGATTTTATTTTTAGTTGTTCACTGTTCAGTGTCCATTGTAGTTCCTTAATGATGACTATCATGGTTGCATTGTGTAGATGAAACAAATGGTAGACATCTATATCAAACTTGCTGAGCTCGAAACAAGGAGAGAGGTATCCTCATGTTCCACAATAATGCGTCTTTTTCCAACTGGAAAGTCGAGGCAGAATCTGTTCTTCAAATATACGAAGGTCAAAATCTAGTGAAGTAGCAACAACATCCTAATTGCTAGATGTTTTGCTTGTTCTTTCAGGATACCAATAAAAGACTACCCCTTCCAAGAGATATTCGCAGTGTTCGTCAACTTGAACTTGTAAGTGGTCTCTCATTTTTTGTGGTAGAAATATTGGTCCAACAATTTCTTGCCTCAGAACTATAGCATTTGGGTTCTTCAGGTGCCTGTGGTGACAGCTAATATTCCAGTTGAACACAATTGCCAATACCCCGAAGGTTCATTTCCATACTTCAAAGGACTAGCAGATTCAGTAATGTATGTGATGCTCAGAAAATTGCAAGTTCACAAATTCTGTCGTTTCTCTCTTCCCTTTTGTTTTTAGTCTTTTTCCTGTGTGTAACCTACCAAGGCATAATTACTTATTGCATTTTCAAATTTTCAGGATAATGAATGGCATCAATGCTCCAAAAGTTGTTGAGTGTGTAGGTTCTGATGGTAAAAGGTATAAACAGCTTGCCAAATCTGGAAATGACGACCTAAGACAAGATGCGGTAAGCATACACAGTAGTTTCATTTGACTTCTACTATGTACTTTTTGAAGGTGATCATATTTCTTCCCTGCTGTACTCGGATCCTAGTACAATACTGAGCATGCTAAAATACAGCCCTCTGCTTCTTGCAATAACTGCTACTATTATTGCTCAAATATTTATATCATTTCAAGACTATTCCGCCATTTAGGTGCTTGGATGTTGGGATGCCATATTGCCGTCCAATTCTTGAAGCATATGTGCATGCCGGTGACTTGGTCTCTTATGATTGATTATTTCAGGTAATGGAACAATTTTTTGGTCTGGTGAATACTTTCTTACAAAATAATAGGGACACATGGAAAAGAAGATTGGGTGTTCGCACGTATAAGGTATCATGTCTAGAAATGTGTCCTTTTTTTGGGGTTCTTCTGTCAGAATAATGCATGTGACCATCTATGTTGCTATCCTTTTCCCCAAATGTGCTTTGTTCGTTGGGTAATATTGTTTCACGAAGACAATCATTTCTACCTCCATCTTCCCAAAACTAGGTTGTTCCTTTCACTCCAAGTGCGGGGGTGCTTGAATGGGTTAATGGCACACTGCCTGTTGGAGAATATCTTATAGGAAGGTTAGTTGGTGCATTGCATTGTTATTGCCCTGGTAAACCACCAGTTTTTCTTATAATGCTAGCTTATGTGTTGTCTTCAGCACAAGAAATGGTGGTGCCCATGGTCGTTATGGATTTGGGGACTGGTCATTTCTCAAATGCCGAGAGCACATGGCAAATGTAAGTCACTTGTCCCATTATGATTAGAAGGTTCGAAAAGTCAGAGGCCACATGCTGAACAGTAACTGTACTTCTGAAGGTGTCTGTAGGATGCTCCTTTTTTCATTTGGTACTGCTAAGCTTTGAATGGATTTGGATTTACTAGTCCTTTAATTTTGAAGTATAAGCATATAGATCGGAATAGTATTGTTTGGTTAGGTTGTAAAGTTATTCAACTGCTGATTTCTTAGATAACCATGAAGGATTAGTCCTTTCATTTCCATGGTGGAGCTCTTGTGAAAGACCATTTAGCATTTTCGTTTCAGAACATGTGTCGTTACAACTGGAGAAAGAAAAATGGGATCTTTACTCATTTGTAAGGCAATATCTATTTTCGTAGCATTATTCCATTAGAGCTCTCATGAATTCATAGCAACCTTTTGACAGGAAAAGGATAAACGTAATGGATTCCAGGAAGTTTGTGAGAACTTCAGGTTCGCTTATCTTCCATTATGTGAATTTCAGTTTATCAATTGCACTCTCCACCTGAAATTTGGCGCATCCCTTATGCAGGCCTGTTATGCATCACTTCTTTTTGGAGAGGTTTCTGCAGCCAGCTGACTGGTTTGACAAGAGACTTGCTTACACTAGGAGTGTTGCTACAAGTTCAATGGTTAGCTTTTGTAATTTCCTTAACATGGAACCCGGCACATATTTTCTGTCTTAGTGAACTGAACCAGTTTATGTAAATTCAGCCGAGAGACTCTGCTATGTGTTTTCACAATGAAATTGCCCCACATACTTTACTGAACAGTATTTTTCTGTGGTGATGCAATATTAAGTATCAATTCAATTGCTGATGGTTAGTTAATTTTTCAGGTCGGTTACATTGTTGGCCTGGGTGACCGGCATTCTATGAATATCTTGATTGATCAGGCTACAGCAGAAGTAGTACACATAGATCTTGGAGTTGCTTTTGAACAAGGGCTAATGCTGAAAACACCTGAACGGGTTTGCCCTTATTTATCCCTTGTGTTTGTCTCTCTTATTGCTGGCTTATATTGATTTGTTTTGGCATAGATATCCTTGAACTCGAGCTGTTGACCGAAATTGTACTCTGGCAGGTTCCATTCAGGCTTACAAGAGATGTGATCGATGGCATGGGTGTTACGGGAGTTGAAGGTGTTTTCAGAAGATGTTGTGAAGAAACTCTGTCAGTGATGCGGACGAACAAAGAAGCATTACTGACCATTATCGAAGTATATTATTTTTTAAGTAAAGTGAAAATTTTGACTGCAACCTCTTGTAAAACTCTCCAAAAAACGTTGAGATTTTGTTCTTGTTGTAGGTGTTTATCCATGACCCTTTGTATAAGTGGGCTTTGTCTCCTCTGAAAGCTTTGCAGCGCCAGAAAGTAAGTGTGTCTGAAACTGGACTTTGAAGGTGTATTCAACTGGGTAGAGCTAACCTTCTCTTACTCATTGTGTATAGGAAACTGATGAAGATCTTGAGACTAGCTTGGAAGACTCGGAAGAAGAAAGTGAGGGGAACAAGGATGCGACTCGGGCGCTGTTGAGGGTGAAGCAAAAGCTAGATGGGTACGAAGAAGGGGAATTGAGAAGTGTGAATGGACAGGTACAATAAGCTCACTTTTAGGACTCTGCGGATGGAGAATGCGCCATTTTCCCCTGCGTAGATGCTCAGTTTTAGTTTTGGGGCTGTTTTCAGGTTCAGCAACTAATTCAAGACGCGATTGATCCAGAGCGCCTGTGCCAAATGTTTCCAGGCTGGGGAGCTTGGTTGTAAATACAGGAAACTAACAGAAAAAGAACTCCCTCGTTGTACATAGCTGAAATTTTGCACTTGTAGCATGTTTTGATGGAAAATCTCGAGCCACACCAACTAGCCATCGAACTGCTACGACTGGGGAGTTCTTTTGTTCTCAAATACACAGGGTGAGTGTATAGTAAAGGCTATTTTGGGTTGGCATTTTCATTTCTTCTCTTCTCATGGTTATCCTCCTCATTTGAGTAGGCATTTTTTTTCCCTTTCGTTGGCTCTTTCTGAGTGACTATGCTATGTTTCATTGCGGCCATGGTGATTGTTCCTAGTTCACAGGTTGTTAGAGTGGTTTGATGCTCAACTTACAATGTGTTTGCTATGGTTCAAGCCCTTTGGAAAGCCTTGCTCCTACTCTGCTTGCACTTCCCCTGGTGCTTGCTCCCACATTCCCACATTTTGGTCTGGTATCTTTCTCGATCTTCGATGAACGGTTGGTGCTCCTTCAGAAGCCGTCATTGTGTTTTCTTATGCAAGAGATATTGCGTACTTTGAGGATTGGAAAAATTGACCAAATTGATGTAATCGTCATGGTGGTGTTGAAATCTCCTATGACAACCTCAATTTCGAGAGTTGTACTGCAGCCAAACTGCCAAATTCTGGTAGGTTAGGTGGCCTACTGGCTACTGATTGAGCTTGCTTGGAACATCAGCGATTGCAATTGTCCCTATTCCAGCGCAAGGAAGCAGGATAGTTGCTATAAACAAATCAATGTGTGGAACATGGGCATTATGGCTGCTAATGCTATGCTCCCTACAACATGGAGATGGGAGCTGACTTTAGAGCCTGAAGGTGGATGGGAAGTTTCGATTACATTGGGATATTTGATAGCAGCTCATTTCTCCGCATATTCAATACCGTCGCGACTCGCGAGTTTCCAGCGGTTCAACAGTTTGGCTCTTGTTACGAGTCTGGAGAAAGAGACGCCACTACTAGTCCTTCTCGATCAATGTGGGGAGGTGTTGCACAAGTTTGTTGAAGAAAATACGCATAAAGTTGACTGCAAGTATTATGTAGCATATAAAAAATTTAGGGCAAATACAATATAATATCCATAACTATTATGGATCGGGGATTTATATCCTCAACCATCAATATACAAATTAATATTCAATCGTTAATTGTTCGTTAATACCCCGTTAGTAGGTCTTTCTGCAATGCTGACCTAGCAAAAAAAACTAAGGTGGAATTGAGAACGTGGCATCCCCGTGGAATTGATTAAGTAAATAATAACATAAAGGGAATTGATTAAGTAAATAATAACATAAAACGTAAAAAATAAAACAAATATTACCCCTCCCCTCCTCTCACATCCATTCACCCAATTCTTATCTTCAACCCCTTCTCTCATCTGTCCATCTCCCCCTTCGTCTGCAAAGACACGAAGTCGCCTACGAGGATCCACTCACCGTCCTGCAGGCGTGGCGGCGAGAATGCCATTGCCTGAGTCCCCCCTACCAAAAACCCCAATCCCTCTTCTTTCACCCATCGAAAGTAACGAAACAAACCCCCCATCGTCAATCCAAATCCCCAATCTTAGATCCAGGTCTGGAGAGCTCATCGTCGACAAGAAGCCACCACTGCCTCGGAGTACGCACCGGGGACTCCCCGGTATGCGACTCGGAGCTGCGCTCTGTGCACCGGAGCTGGAGCGAGGTCGGTGATAGTCAACGCCTTCTGCAGTCGACGGCAGTCGCAGTACCGTAGGTCGGGACCAAATCCAGGTCAATAGTCTTGTGACCGTCGACCGAATCTATGAAATCGAGTCCATTTTCTCTTCCAGATCTTGGCTGGTCCTGAGTGGCGACTTTGCTGGAGAGGATGACGCATGAGCTCTGCCAGTCGGATCTGCTGCGGACGACGCCAGCGGGGCAGTTGACGGAGTCGTAGGAGCGGTGGATGCAGTGGACGACGAGTGGTGCTGCCACGGCGGAGGGACGGCTAGTCCCGATTAATGAGGAGTTGAGAGACGACAGAGGCTGGGTAGGACGGGGGAAGCTAGGTGACGGTGGAGTAAGATAGGGGAAGAAAAAGAGGGAGATAGGGGAGGGCGGAGGAAGCCAGGGGACGGTGGAGGAAGATAGGGGAAGAAGAAGAAGAGGGAGACAGGGGAGGGCGGAGGAAGATAAGGGGAAAAAGAGGGGAGAGTGGTTGAGTTTGTTTTTCAACTTTAATTTTTAAATTTTTTTTAATTTAAAAATAAAAATTATATATTTAATTATTTGCTGATGTGGACGCCAATATGGATGCTGACATGGCAGTCTCCGTTACAAATTTAACGGTGGTAACAGACTGTTAGCCATATCTTGACCCGCAACTATATTTATGGATATTAATTTGTATATTGATAGTTGAAAATATAAATCCCCGATCCATAATAGTTATGGATATTATATTGTATTTGCCAAAAAATTTAGGCTAGATATGACAAACCATGCCACAAAACTTATAAAATGGGTTAATACTTGAGTCACAATTGAAGAACAAGTTGCCATCTTCCTCAAGACTATAGGTCACGCTAATGACTTTCGCGATATTGCCGAAAGGTTTCAACATTCAACAGCCACCATCTCAAAGTACTTTGACAAAGTATTGAAAGTTGTGGTCAAGCTTGCAAACAAGATTATTGTTCCACCAAATTTTGATAACGTCCCTGACAAAGTTGTTGGTTCTAGACATTATCCATATTTCAAGGTAAATAAATACTTACTCCATAGTTGTACAATATTTACACATGTTTGTTGATCATGTCCACTTTTGTGATTACATAAGATTGCATTGGAGCTATAGATGGAGTGCATATTGATGCATCTGTTCCTACTACTGAACAAATTCCATATCGAGGACGCAAGGCGACAACAACTAAAAATGTGGTGTGTGTATGCTCCTTCGATATGCTTTTTACTTTTGTGGTGGCTGGATGGGAAGGCACGGCAAATGATGCTAGAATTCTCAGTGAAACAGTTTCAAATCCAGATAACAAGTTCCCGATGCCACCACGAGGTACTTATTATTGTTTGTACATAAATAAATCTCATGTAATTATATACTAATTGACTTGCTATATACAATGTAGGTAAGTATTATGTTGTTGACTCCGAATTTGCGAACATGCATGGGTTCCTAGCACCATATCGAACAAAGGAGCCTACTCATTTTCAAGAAATAAATCGAGGTGGTGGACCTAAAACTCGTAAACAACTATTCAACTATTATCACTCATCCCTACGCAATGTCATCGAACGTTGCTTTGGAGTTTTGAAGGCCAGGTTCCCAATTCTGAAACATATGCCTTCTTTTTCACTAAAGAAACAAGCACAAATTGTTATTGCTACATGTGCTCTACATAACTTCATTAGGATTCACTCTTGTGAAGATGTCCTATTTGAAGAATATCAGAATTATTATATGGAGGAGGGAGTTAATGGAGTGCAAGGAGTTCTGGAAAGAGAGGAGTATCATATGAGTTCAAGCCGAACACGACAAATGGAAATTCGACGTTGCGGAATAGCGGACAAGTAGTGGGATGACTTCCAAGCTGGACTCCTTTGACATTTGTGATTGTACTTCTACTTATTTGATACTGGATTATGTACTAGTGTCAGGAAATTTGGCAAATTCTCATTTCCAGGTATAGTAACCAACTAAACAGGTTTTCATTTTCAGTTTACAATTTCCGGTTTCACAAAAATCCTAGCTAAACAGGTTTTCAGTATCAGGTTTTCAGGAATCGTTTTTCAGAAAATGGCAATTTCCATTTCTCCATATTTCGTTTTCCGTTGCCAAAATCACAGAAAACGGAATGAGAAGTGAACAGGCCCTAAGATTATCATTCTCTTGCATTCCAAACCCGACCTACTTCAAACTTTATGCATAATACTTCAAACCTATTCCTTCAGCTCTTCAAGTATAATTCTGCAGCCACGTCAGAAGGATGTGATCCCTCCTTTTATTGATTGCAGATGGTTTCCTCCGGTTGAACATGAACTTCTCCATTTTTCCTTCCTAACACTCTGTCCAGTTCATCATAATCACGCCGCATGTCGTACCACATTTATGCCTTACCACTTATGGGACTTCCCATTGTTCTTCTCGACAAATATTGATGTATGCAACGCTTACTTGGCGATCCTATATGTAGCTCCTTGGTGTTTTTCTCTTAAGGTCATAGAGGTAGACATTGTCCAAATATTTTTGAAACTTTCGATCCTTCAAATTCACAACCTAGGTCCTATAGTGATTCGTATGGAGATTTGGAAAGAACCATCGCAAATTAAAAAAAAACAATAGTGAGTGCATACCAGAACTCTGTTCTTGTTAACGGGGAAGCTGCTGGTTTTTTCAATATCAGGAAGGGCCTTCGCCAAGGGGATCCCATGTCTCCCTTTCTCTTTCTGCTGGTGATGGATGTCCTCTCTGTCATGTTGGAAACTTTGAGATCAGAGGGTTTGATCTCTGGGTTCTTTATGAATGAAGCATCTGAAGAGGGAGAGGTGACTCACCTTATGTATGCCGACGACACCATCATATTTTGTGATGCGAATGAGGACCAGGTTCTGAACCTCCTATCAACTCTTGTGTGCTTTCAATTTGTGGCCGGATTACGAATTAATGTGGAGAAGAGTCTGATGTTCCCTGTTGGCAATGTTGGAAATCCGGATGTCTTTGCGAGAATTTTTGGGTGCGGTTGGAATTTTCTGCCTACTATCTATCTTGGTTCCCCCTCGGAGCTAGTCCAAATTCCTCAGCGATTTGGAACAAGGTGCTATCCAGATTTCAGTCGAGACTAGAAGGTTGGAGGGGGAAATTTCTATTGCTAGGTGGCCGGATTGTCCTTTGTAAAAGCAGCCTTACAAGTCAGCCTTTATATTTATTGTCCCTGTTAAAAGCCCCTAAAACCATGATTCAGAAGATGGAGAGATTGGAATGCAGGTTCATTTGGGCAGGTGTCCAAGATAAAAGCAAATATCATCTTGTACGATGGGATGTGTGCAAATCGACCAAGGAAAGAGGCGGTTTGGGTATCCTTGATCTCAGCTGTATGAACTCTGTCTTGCTGTCTAAATGGTTTTGGAAATATGCCTTGGAACCATCTTCTTGGTGGCGTAATCTTATCGATGTCAAGTATCCTCGATCTTCTTCCGAATGGAGGGCTGGGAATGGCGAAGGTCCGATTGGTTGCTCAATTTGGAGATGCATTATGAAGGAAGAAAATATGTTTTGGAAGTTTGCTTCTGTTAGCCCGGGTGGTGGGGCTTGGGTGTCTCTTTGGAATGACTGCTGGATCTCGAGGAAGATGCTGAAAGATTCCTATCCTAGGGTTGTGGCTACATCCTCAAACCGTGATGCTTGGGTGTCTGATCACATATCCTTTGATAATGAGCGTGTGGTGTGGGATTTTCCTTTAATGTACTCTCTAAGGGGTGGGGCTGATCGTGAGAGGAATGATCTCTTGAACTTTTTATTTCTTTTACCCCATGATTTGATTAATGCAGGTCCGGCCAAGCTGATTTGGAACTCCAGTGATGGTTTTTCGGTGAATTCCATGTATCGTACCTTGATTCATGATAGAATGGAGGGCCTCGACAATTTTCCGTTCAAGGTGGTGTGGCAACAGCACGTTCCGTCTAAGGTGAATGCGTTTCTGTGGTTGATCATGCACAGACGCATTTTGACTCATGAAAATTTGAAGAGAAGAGGCTGGTTCCTTGCGAGCAGATGTGTCCTTTGCGAAGAGGCTGAAGAAAGCACCAACCATCTCCTCTGTCAATGCCAGTACAGCAACAGTATCTGGTGCCTCCTCCAGCAGTTGATTGGTTTCCTGGGACCTTTCCCCGACTGCTTTGCTTCTATTATCCGCTGCTGGTCTCCTCGCAGTCAGCTCCCCTGGATGAGTTCCTTGGCGGCGTGTATCCTGCACGCCTTTGCCTGGGAGCTTTGGAAGGAAAGGAACAACAGAAGCTTCCTTGATAAAATGTGTGGGTGGCAGGTGGTTTTTCATAAGATTTGCAGGACTTTACTAAGCTGGGTGAGAGTGACGGGCACTCTAAGTGACTCGCAGAGCGCCGAGTGGTTGTCTCTGATGCATATTCTGTGCCCTCTGCAGAACCGGAGTGACTCTCGTATGGACGCGGCCTCTTCTTCTCCTTCCTCGGCAACATTGTGATTCCTCCCGGTCTATAGTTTGTTGTTCCTTTGTTTCCTTCTGTTTACCGCTGTTGGGGCGGCCTGGCCCCTTCGCAGGTTTTTTTTTCTTGTTCTTTGCCGGATTTTTTCTCTTGATCCGTCTGTATTAAACTTTCTTGTTTGTGGTCTTTTTAATGCATCAATCGCCATTATAAAAAAAAAAAAGAAATGAAACCATGCATACCAGTTATTATAGGATACATACCAGAAATGAGAAGGAAACACTTACTAAGTCACATTTCTTGAAGTTGACGTTGTGTGGAATCCATTTGTTGTTTGAAATTAAATCGAATTCATTAAAGTTATCAAAAGAAGGAAAATAAATTTGTTAGTGCATTTGTAGGTGTCTTTAGAATCTTAGTGTAACTCACAGTATGTACAATGCTAGCTTATTGAAGAAGTCAAAGTCATGCGATCACTTGCACTCAAAGTTTTTAGATTTTCTATTTTTCTTCTTAAAAATAAAAAGGAATTCACACGATTCTTTTGCTTCATTATATCATTTAAACCACCATATGAAACATAGGAAGATCATGATATAACTTCTAGCTAATATCATAATGGTTGCATAAAATATCATTGTAAAAGCCGAAAAGGAATTGAAGTTTGAGAGCTATCAAGTAATGCATCCATAACATGGAAGAAGGGTTGTGGATATATAAGAATAATTACCAAGATTTCACCACTAATTATCATCGGCGCATTCATATTCTCACGTTCACGGAAAATAAACGTGGCAATGATTAGAGGTCTGAAATCTTTGTAGTACAGATAGATTAGTTTCGGCTCTTAAGCAAAGCTCAACAATAATTAGGCGAATGATTGTTTATTGGTGAATAAGTCTGTTTAGTGGGAAAGCCAAAGAGAGAGATGGGAGAAGAACACAAGTAGTTGAAAATATTGTGAAGTTAGCATTTTTAATTGGTGGAAGTCAACTAATCAAGGTTTGGTTGGATTTGTAATGTCAAGTATAGTTAAGCTTTGCCTAAGAGACTTAATTAACTAATATATGCATTAGGAAGATTTTATCTCTAATCATTGCCATGTTTTTATCAATTATCTCTATTCATTGCCATGTTTACAGGAATTCTCTGATACAGACTACTCCAGTTGTGTTGATACTCATCTATCCACTAAAGATTGGTTTGCATTTCTGGGAGAGGAGTATATTTTGTGGCGATGCAACAAATATGATTGTGTTTCTAAATCTTCAACTAAGACTGAATATCGCGCTATGTCCAATGTTACGTCTGAGTTTGAGTGAATTCCCCAGGTACTTAAAAATTCAGCGCTGGTTTGTGATATTTCTATGCAGTTGTATGTTGACATACAAGTGCTATTCGGATTTTAACTAATGTCGTGCTTCATGACCATACTGAGCATATCAAGATACAATCCACTACAACTGAGACTTATTTCAGGATGATATTGTTCGTATTATGTATATTGCTTCCGAGCATCGTATCGTCGACCTTTTGACCAAGAGCTTTTCAGCTAGTCGTCCCTTTTACCTTACTAGCAAATTGACAACGGGAAATCCTCATCAATTTGGGGAGCTTGTTGAATTGAAACCAATTAGGCTTTGTTTTGATTACCAATCGTTTGGCTTGGCTCCATTCCTTCGCCAATACTCCCAAATTAAATAATGATTCATTTTAAATGAATATTTTTGTGTAAACATGGTAACGAATCTCACAAAACAATCCAAAAACCACCTTTAGGCCCGTTTAGTATTGCTGCTTGTTTTTGTTTTCTGTTATGTTTTTAAAAATTGGAGAAACCAAAAAAAAAAAAAAAAACATGTTTAGTTGGATTTCTATTTTTTGTTATGAATCAGGTTTGCACAACAGAATTCAAATTAGAGAAACAACAATTTGTTGCTTTGGATCTGATTCTTGTACATGTTTTACATGGATTTCCTACTGGTTGAGGGTCTGTTTTTATTAAACCAACCCTCAATTCGAACCCCACCTACACAAAAAATTTCATCTTTTTTTTTAACTCCCAAACCCACCCTTTATCCTCTCATTTTCTCCCAAACCCTATACGCCCAACAGCTCCCTCCCTCTCCTCTTCGTCCTTTTCACCCAGCCGCCTCCCTTTCCCCTGTCTCCCTCGTCGCAACCTCCGACCCTCCCCACTTACCGGCCGCCGCCGCCTGCATGATTTTTGTCAGTTTTCATGATTTCTATAGTAGTAACTAAACGCGCTTTTATTTTTTGTTGTCAGCTTTTATGATTTTTCAGATTTATCAACTAAATAGGTCTGTGTTTTCTGTTTTTTTTTTTCCTATTGTGGTTGTACATCTGTTTACAACCACAACAGCCAGGCAAATCAACGGGGCTTGGCTAATGGATGGAGCCAATCCAGTCATGACACGTGTTTGGCCCGGAGCAGCTGCAACTGATTACGTGTGATCGTGGTCACGCCCGCTTCACATCACCGGCCACATTTTCCAGATTCCGCCGCCGATTCAATTGGTGCCTCGCCTGTAGCCGTCACTGGACATATCCTTTTTGCCGTGACTGAGAGACTGACCCCATTTGTTTCTCACTTTCTCTCTACATTAATATCATCTATGTGAGCGATTTCACCGTTATTGAAAGAGTGAAAGACATATATATATATACATATATATATATATGGTGCCTTCTACGGTACCCCGGGTGAAATCCGGGGTACCACATACCTTGAGTATGAAAACACTATCTAGACCTCGAATTAGCAGGATTTTTGGGCATGATACTATACCCTAACCCTTAATGAGTGAACCCTAGGTCTTAATTATCTAAATCATAAACTATAAACCCTAAGATGGTGCATTGATTTTTTTGCCTATATTTGGACGAATCATAACCGTCGATTATAATTTTTAATTAAATTGATCTTGGGGTATAAGATTTGGAGAATTAAGACCTAGATTTTGATCTTTAAGGGTTAGAGTGTTGTATCATGTTCGAAAGATCAGTCAATTCAAGTTCTGGATAGCGTTTTCTTACTCAAGGTATGCGGTACCTCGGATTTCACCATGGGTACCGTAGAACTCCCCATATATATATATATATATTTTGACAATATTTTGAGAACAATTTTTTTCTCTTTTACACAGGGTCGTATGGGTTGAAGTAAGTGTGGTAGGGGACCGTTGCATGGATTTCGAAGTGGATCGTAAGGTATGATACGTGCAGAAAAATTGAAATGTGGAAAGATAAACGACACACAATTTACGTGATATTCCCGAAAATCGGGCTAATCCACGGAGAGCAGAGCTCTCATGTCGAAGTTTCACTATATGATAGGGAAGATGATCGCAATCCCTCTGTTAGGATTACAATATAAACCCAAAACAAAATAAAACGGACAACAAGGTCCAATAATACAAGCATATGACTTTTTTTTAGTTCCAAAATATACGAAATATATAACATTTTATATAGCGAAGTTTATCCATTTTTCATACACAAAATAAATAAATAAATAATCTAAGTCAAAAGAATGATATATGATCCATAAAAAAAATAATGGGAGAGCGAATTATGAACGATTGACATTAATTTGAAATGAATAGTAGTGCATGGGATCGATGCAGTCAAAATCGCGATTCTACATAGAAGCATTTTGGATACCTAGAAACGTAAAAATGTAAACTTTTAGACTTTAAAGCATAGATTTTGATTACTTTTATCAGAGAAAAGTGCAATTCTAAATTTGATAACCTAAAAAGTGCCAACATCTTATATAAAATTCTATTATATAATCTAATGATGACGTTCAAATCTTTAAGCATAAACCTTAATTAAATACAAGGACATCCAATCCCTGTGGTAAACGTGTTCAATTCGAACCAATTACCATATAATTATCCGGTTAGAACTTAATTTCGATTGTTACGTTGCACCCTCTACCAGGGCCGGCCAAGTACCGACTCGCCCTCCGGCACATGGCCTCTGAATATTAGGAGCCTCTACTCAGATTCGTTAGTTACCGATCGAATATTGCAGGTTGTTTTTTTAGTGTATGATTGATAGATTATGAATATGATGACGAATTTAATAGATAATTTTAGCTATAATAACAATTTAAAAGGATCTCATGGAGAATACGAAAATCAGAGAGATAATAGATAATTTTAATTTAAACAATAAAGAAAGATATTACATTTTGAATAATGGTATTATAATCATTTTAGTTTTATTATAGTTAAAAGTTAATTTGGATAATGTTTCAATTTTAGAATAGGGCCTACACGATCCATTAGATAGACCCGCACCCACCTCTCGATCAATTTATATTATTTTCATTTCTCCATTCAATTTTTGTTCTATATCCATCTTCTGTTCCCTCCATATTTACTTTTCTCCCTTCATGCTAGGAGTGAGAATTTAGTCTTGGTTTCTTGGTCAAACAAGAAGTGAGATTGTTTATTCATTTTGAAATCATTTTCTGAACTTATGTACTTTATAATTATTTAATAAATTTATTGAGAATGAAATTAGGGACCACATGTTAAATTTTCGAACAGGGTCTCCAAATATCATGGGATGGGCTCTGCCCTCTACGTTATGCATATAATTACAATTATGTAACCTACGTAACTAATTAATCTCCCTCAATAATATTGTTGTTAATTAGTCGGTCCCTCCCAACCAACCGTTACAGCGACGGAGCGTGAAAGGGAACGGCGGTCGATCTCCACCGGCCGTCACCGCCCTTCAGGGAGAAAAAGACTGGGCTGGGCTGATTCACTGGTTGTGAATGATTGCATGCTGGAGCTTTATTAATTTGTGTTGCTTTTAAACATTTATTTGCTTCAATTAATTACGATGGCTATAGATATCGGATCGAGTACATTCAAATCCAAGATCGAACCCTCCCTCGTCGGCAATCTATAGCGTCCATCCATTGATTAAAGGTTTCACATACTAGCTAGCTAGTTCTCTTATTAGATTTAGTTTCGATTGTCCGCGCCGAGTAGGGCTGGAAATGAGTCGAACTGCTTACGAGACGTGGTCTGATGTTCTCGAGTCTGGAAAATTTTTACGTTTAATATGCAGCAGCTCGTTTACTAGCAAGTCGAGTTTGAGCTTAAGCCTTGTGAGCCAGCTCGATCCCGATGGCTTGTAGAGTTCAACTCGTGAGCTAGTTTGACAGTATGCATGACTAGCAAGCCACCTCAATAGGAAACTTAATGAGTGAATCGGTTAACAGCTCATGATCATTGCGTTGTTGATGATTTATAGGTTTGTTAGATTGTATATCGTCTCACCATATATGATGCTTAAATGATGCTTAAGAATTTGAGCACGTGATCAGATACATCTCATTTATAATTTATAAAAGAAATTACGAACCATAAATTGCTCATATATACTAATTATCATTAAATAACATGATCGAACTAAATGATATGGTACCTTAGCTCGAGGTGCTCTATCGCGAGCTAATCGATGAGGTGCGAGTTCAAGTAAAGCTTGTGAGAGATCGAGTCAAACACAAATCAATATGTTAACAAATAAGCCGAGAATCGAGCTCGCCTCATTTATTAACGAGTTAAAATTAAATAAAAAACTCAGCTTATCTGGCCGGATTTGCACTTTGCAGTCCTACCAGGAGCAACATACATTCAGGATGATTGATTTTTTTTATGAATATGTGTGCACTTTTTTTTTTTAGTTATAAAAACAATGTGTGCAATTTTGTTTTATAACTGAAAGGTCGATTTTAATGATTTTTATTTTTATTTTTTTAATCTCTTCCCGTTCCGAACCGTAATCTTCTTTTCTTCGCTTCGACCACGTCCGCCATATTTAAACAAGATTTGCGAAAATTGGATCTTGGCAATCTAGAAGAGAAAGCGATTCCATAAGAAACACAAAACTTCCAGAAGAGAAAGTGACCGCCAATCCAATCCAATCATCCCAAAGACCGAAAGCATATATATGCATGGCATTTATGTGACTCTGCAAGTACACAGACTGACCTTTCCATTCTTCTTCCAATATTTACTTCCTCCTATATATATATAAATATTACCGTAAGTGCTTTTCTGGAGGGAAAACGAAAGAAAATATATATTATTAATTAATTTATCGTCGCACAAAAGCCAAATACATGTGATTATGTGAAGCCTGAAATAGCAATGGGTTTGGGTCGGGTTTTGTCAAATCCAAACCCAAATTTATGGGTTTATTCGTAAAAAAAATCCGGAGTAAAATTTAATGGGTTTGGAAAACTCAAACCCTACTCAATCCGCTGGGTAGGGCTGCAAATGAGCCGAGTTGAGCCGAGTTTTACCCCAGCTTGAGTTTGACTCGTTAACAAATGAGCTGAGCTCGAGCCCGAGCCATTTATTAACGAGTCGAGTCGAGTCGAGTTCGAGCTAGGCTTGTTTACTAAATTCTTAGATCGTATTTAATACATTCATTTTGTATGTCGGGTATGGTACATGTGATTGATGTAGCGATAAAAAAATAATCAAATGTTCAACATTAATTAATCTTATATTATAATTTTTAAGTGTCATATTATTTAGTTAATAAATTTTAACTAGTTCAAATCATATTATTTCATAGTATCGAAACAATTTTGTACATAATTTCTTTATAGAATTAAAAATAAGGCATATTTTCTTACATGTTCAACATGTTAAACTTCACATGAAGTGAGATATATAATTTAACAATCCTATGAATTATGAAAGTCCAAATTAGATTGATTAGTCCATAAGTCAGTGATCAAGTTGACCCTCAAACCACAATGTTGAGACATCTCATGAGCTCTAAATGAGCCAACTCACGAGTTGAACTCAACAAGCCACCGAGTCGAGCTGAACATAGCTAGGCTCAAGCTTGGCTCGTCAGTAAACGAATCGAGTTTCGAACGAGTTTTTCCCGATTCGAACCTCGAGTTGCTCGCGAGTAGCTTGGCTCATTTGCAGCCCTACCGCTGGGTACCTGTAGGTTCATGGATATCCATGGACTTTTGTGGTATAAAATTTACTATAACAAGTTCCTAGCAAAATAAAAGTCAAACATCAATTACTCCATACAAATTATCCATACATAAAACACCCTTCTATAAAATTCAAATAAATCACAAATTATCCCTACAAACTGTAAATGAGATTGAGGAAAATTTAGAATTAAGGTAGAGTTTGGAGAGAGTAGGCGACGGAATAAGTGTTGGCGGACATCCATAAATCGGGGGTATCGCTAAACCCAAACCCGGCCCGAAACCCGTCAATACGGTTTTACCCGCGTTGATCGAGTTGGGTCGGATTAGGATACCTGTGAGTTCGGGTTTTGTTGTCATCCCTACCTACCTGCCTGATCAATGATCATACGTACGTACTCTTCCTGCCAGTACTGAGCTGCCACCTGTCCATATATAAATACGTATCTACTCTACCCTGCCAACGAATTTTCCCGCTTCCAGGCCCAAACAAATAGGAAGGACGAAGACCGACCCGACTGACTAAATGAGGGATCACTTATTAGCTTCTTGCAGGAAAAGTCGGAGCTGACCAAGAAAATTCTGCAATGCGCGCTTAGGTTTTGCCGCGTGCCTAAGCCTAACTCATCAAGTTTACTAGTAATCATCGCAGCGGTGAAGAAAGCTTCTTGAGTATGGATATACATATACATTAATATCATATATATATATATATATATATATATATATATATATATGGTGGCGTCTTCAGTGCACTCACTTTTTTGGGTGCATTCAGTGCACTCGCTTCATAATCGTTATTTTAAACATGCGATTTATGTCAAAATGATGTCAATCATCACTTATGATGTGATGAACAATAACGCACATGAATTTGCACAAAAACCACTAAAGATTTACTTTAATTTGAAGGATTTATAGTTTAGAGATTTGGGGTTAGGGTTAGGGTTTATAATTTGGGATTTAGGGATATAACTCAAAATTGGAGGTCTATAGCTTAGGGTAATCCGCTAATTAGTTGTTATCATATGTTATATCATCATATTACACTAATTCTACAAATTAAAATTCAAAATCCGACACCTTAAGACTAGTTTTTGAGTTGGGTGCATTGAACGCACTCATTTTTGTGGGTGCACCGAAGTAGTCACCTATATATATATATATATATAATCACCTGACGTATACTATACGCCTGACGTACACCAGCCATCATCATATATATATATATATATGTTTGTTTCGAGAAGTTGGCGCTAACCGAAGCTTCTTCTTCTTCCAAGGTTTGATTACAGAGATATAATTATTATTAATTAGCCCTGTAATTTCGTGGCGACATAATTTTTTTTCTTCGTACGAGTGAAAATTCCATCCCAAACAAGAATGATATTTGCCTGAATCAGGGGCATAGCTACACTATGTCTCCGGCGAATATGTATATTCGCAATGTCATCAATTCAACTATCAAAACTAACATATGATTTTGTTGTTGTTGTTGTGACAAACGTAAAATTTTGTTATAAACCGAGTGACCTTTGGTGTAATTTAGCTGGACAAGCTATTTGGCGGCTGTCAACCGCGGTGATGCATTCGTCGTTTTCGTCTGCCGCGATAAATGCATTTACTGTGGTTGACTACCACATGATGCCCAAACATGTGTATTTTGGAAAATTTTCATAAAATGTGTGTATTTTGGGATTGTTTTTTTAAAAAAATGTGTATTTTGAGATTTTTCTCTAAATCGGGATACGTAAAGCCTGAAATTGTAAATGGCGGTCTTGGATGCCGAAGGCAGTGAGGGGAGAGGGAACTGCTTGTTGGAAGAACTGTTTTATTTTATACTTTCTATAAATTCAATGCAAAATATAGATTGCAACATTCAGCTAATTAAATAACCGACGTAAAGAAATTAAACCACCATCCACTTTCTTAATGCGTTTCGTTCGAATGATTTATGGTGAGAATATGAAAGTACAAGTAGACAAGAAATACCCCCAATTATGCTAGAAGCCTTTAACCCAACAAAATATCAACAAATTGTAAAGGCTGTCGGCAAATTAGGCAAAGCATTGATTTTTTTTTTTACAAAAGATAATCATATATAGATTGAACCAAACAGATCATTACATCCTGGAATTCAACTAGATCTGAAAATCAAAAGATCGACATGGAGAAGAGAACAAAGACAGGGCTTGCCTAGCTACCAAATGAGCTACCATATTGTTTCGTCGACCTACAAATCGTACAGTAAAACCCATGTTTGAAGCTAAAGAGTTGACTATCTCCTCCAAGATTGCCTCTACTCGATTATCCCGAACATCCTTCCGGTGGATCTTCTCAATTATCACCTGGGCATCATCTTCAAACCTCATACCCGTGAATCCATTTGCCAAGCACCAAACGATCGCCTCCCGGAGGACCAGGGCTTCAACCATCATTGGATCCACAAGGCTCAGAAATTGAATCCCCTTTGCTAGGATGACCGCTCTATCAAAATTGAGGATAACCATCCCCTACCGCATGCGACCCAATTCGCACAGCCCCATCCCACATATAGATTTTCATGTCAGCTCCCCCTGGTGTTAAAATATGGGCAGGGGGACGAGCTATCTGATGAACCCGATCCCTTGGTAGATTAATCCACACCTGAAGTTGTTGGTGGAATTGATTTACAGACGTAAATAACCACAAGGTTATGTTTTCGATTTCAAACTAGCAATAGAATGCATGACTTGCAAATGCAAACTTTCCTCACCACACACCAGGAGGAGAGATGAGTTTTGCTCCCACAAATCATAGATGGTATAAAATGAATGGGTGGATTATATCATAGATTTAAGTGACATCTAAATATTGAACCAATATGTAAAGTTTGAAATGTTTATGTACTAAAATGGCATAATAAAAAATTGTAGGTACCAAAAAATGTAATTTTATAATGATGTTTTTCATTAAAAAAAAGTAAGTTTTAGGTACCAAATTGTAAAATACATAATATATATATTTACCAAAATGTGATTTGCAACAATCCATTAATCCAATTAGATTTGGATCAAATGTATTGAACTTAAGTGGGTTCGATTAGTTTGATATTTAAGTGGATGAATTAAAATGGATTCGTGGATTGTATACAAAATTGCCGCCTCTACCTACAAATAAGGAGATGGAAGTGAAGTGCAAGTGAGTAGTATTAATGTAGGTATAATATGTATATTTAAATGCATATGCAATTTTTGTAAGTGGATTATGAAATTAGCAATTTAACATAAGTAGGATTGCAAAATTTGTTTAGGTATCATACCCCCAAGAAGTGCTGAAGATGGAAATTTTTTTCTCGAAATATGGTCCTAATAACAACTTGAGCTAATTCAAATATAGGGAGCTTCACATTATAATCCTACTAGTCGATGATGGCGATTTCTACACTGACTTGTGTGACCCGACCTGTTTGAGGCGAGTATTACCCTGACACACAATAGTGTTGGATGAGACATGGATATTGCTTCCGACCTGCCCGCTCCGCCCCACTCCGTCTTATACCTATATGAATATTACTCAACCTGACCCGTACTTAGTCCAACGCGAATATGATATTGAGTTCTCACTCCACTCCATTGATCACTACCACTAATTAACTAAACTAACCCCAAAAAAACTCGCCTAAACAATTTTACCCACTAACCCCGCTCCTGCCTCCATTAGCAACAATAGAAAGGAAAACGCGTTGGAAATGGGATTGAAAGGAAAGGAAGGAGAAGGATGTCTCCCCACTCACCACTTTTCCCCTTCTTTATCTCCCTTTCCTGTTTTCCCACTTTTCTCTATTTTCGCTTTTATTTATATATTTATTTTCCTTCCTTCCACATCCTTCATTTTCACATCTCATTCACTTCTTTCTCTGCCGCTTCACCTCCTTCCCTTTCCCCCACCATATATACAGAGAGCAGAACGCCCAGAACCCATCTTTTCCGCCAGCCGCTCCCAAAAATCTCAACTAACCACCATTTCTCTCAATCTGTCTCCTTTCTCACCTGGAAACACAGATACCCAATTCTATTTTTCCACCCTGTAACCTCAATAATTCGAATTCTGCAGCTTTTTTTCTACAGACGGGGAATCCAGATGCATCAACCCACCTCGGCCGTCGGCTTCTCCCCGATTTCGCCCAGCTTCAATTCGTACTCCACCTCCTCCGACGAAACCCTCGCCGAGATCGCCGTCCGCGTCGTCCAGGAGCTCTCCCTTGGCGACGGCGACGACTCTGCCCTCGATTTTTACTCATGGGAGGAGCCAGAGCCCCACCACGACGAAGCTGAAACGACGCCGCGTCATGGACAGAGCAGCAGCGACGAGGAGGAGGAGGAGGAAGAGGAAGAAGGGGAGTTTGAATTCGCGGTCGTGGGCAGGGAGGCGGTTGCTTCCCCAATTTCGGCCGACGAGATCTTCTACAACGGCCAGATCAGGCCGCTCTACCCGCTATTCAACACCGATTTGCTCCTGAACCATCCAGATTTCCATCCCTTCGACTCCAATTTCGACTCCAAAACCCCGCCGCCGCCGCCGCCAGCGAAGCCTGTCTGCGGGCGGCGCCCGCAGCTGAAGAAGCTGTTCAAACAAGAGGAGGGTGGCGACGGTAGCGATACGGATTCGTCGGAGGAATTGGAGGGCCTGCCAGAGGGGACGTACTGCGTGTGGAACCCTAAAAAGGGGGGCGCCGGCGGCGGCGGCGGAGGTCGCAAAGAGGAGGAGGAGTCGGCGCCGGAGATTCGCAAGAAGAGCAAGTCCACCGGGAACGATTCCAGGAGGTGGAAGTTCAGGGACCTGCTTTACCGGAGCCACAGCGACGGTAAGGACTCGTTCGTGTTCCTGGCTCCCAAGAAGGCGGCGGCGGCGGCCGGCGGTGGAGATAAGATTAAGGGCGGAGTGAAGGAATTGAAAGAGGGAGGAGAGAAACAGAAACGGTATGTGAAGAAAGAAGGAGAGCAACGGCGGCGGCCGTACCGGCAGGACGCGGCGGGGCTCTTCTCCAACATCAGCGGCGTGAGCCGGAATCTTCACCCGTTTTGAGCGCTCCATCTATCCGCTTTTCTTAATTATTTTCCCTTTATTTTTTTTTTCTGTTGTCTCTTTCTTTTTCAAATCTTATCAATTAGGGGTACGAGAAAGAGAAAAAAACGTATATTATGTGTTTATTCATTGGCGTGTTGGAAAGTAAATATGTAATGGGACTTTTTTTTCCTCCCCCCATTCCCTTGTTTGTGTAAATAGTAAATACTAGATGAAATGCTTAAAAATAAAAATACATGTCTATTGTTTAATCTATTACCACTTGAATGAGGTTATTAAAAAACTAGAGATTATAGGTTAGTTAGTTGATTCACTTTAGAAAAAATATGTGTTCGAATTGACACCTACACTTTCGACGAGTTAAATTCTCATATATATAGAGAGGCAAACTCAAATGGTCTTATATCAAAACGTTGTACTTTTCCTCCCCCAACCAAACGAGGCATTTCGAAGAGCTTCGTTGGCCTAATTTTTTTAAATTTCAATTGAGGAAAGAGGCATGTGAATGACACGTGGTTGGGAGGAACTAGGCGAACATAAGGATGACATCATTTTAGGACATTTTAATACATTTATTTATTATTTTATCTTTACTTGCTAGACCTCTAGCAATCACACTTAACTCCTCCTAAGCAGTGACTAGGCAGAGTTAGGCGACGCCTAGGCGTTTGAATGCCTAATGGTCTGTCTAGGGTCCAGGTGGGGCATTTTGTTGTTGTCTAGCTAGCACCTAGGTGTGCCTAGACGTACGCGGAATTACACATTCTTCAACTCTGTTTTTCTTCATTCCGACTGTCAATAATTATATGATTGTAAAGCATACGGAACAATATAATCACTTTTTTCTTTTGCTTTGTATGCATCATAATCGTCACAACATTGATCACAATATTGTGGATGCATAAATAGATGATGTTCAAATCACCTCATCCATAATAATCAAACGGTCGTTTGGATGATGGATGTGTGAATGAGACAATTTGATCCAACTACCTCTCATTTGCCTCATTTCACAATTACCTGACAAAAACATATCATTTCACAATGCTTATCCCATCCCCTATCAATTTGAAATGATGCAAAACGAGGCAATCCAAATTATATAGTTCCAATTGTTACATTCACATTTTATGTTGCCAAACGAAGGTATTTGATTGAATTGTTTCATTTTTAAAACAATTGGGTCCAATTGTATCATCCAATCAACCCCAAATTCATTTATTCTGAGCACTAACTAATTTAATTATTTGTTTATATCACTCAGTGGGCAATCAATTTTATAGTGGTTGCTGATTCCTTAGCATAAAAGAGGTAATTAAGAGTGGATCAACAATCTTACGTTTGCATTGTGCAATAAAGATAAAAAAAAAAAAAAAAAAGTTTGTCCTTTTATCTTCCGAAAGAAAATAGTTAAATGAAGTTTCTTCCTTGTGGTGATTTGTGAATTGTGATTCATGGAAACAATGATTTATGTGACGACAAATTGATTGGTAAAGAACTTGAGAGAAGCCTTTTCCTTTACGCCTGTCGTCATTTGGGATTTTGTATTCTTTTGCTACACATTCAAGTTGGTGAATTTATTTGGGCTTCTCCTTGAAAGCTTATCATTAAATTCCACTCGATCCACCAGAATTGGAGGATCAAAATCAATAAAGAAAAATGAAATACTTGATGTTCAAGCAATCACCTACCATCATCTTCTTCGAGCTTACAAATGTTCACACCTTGTTTAAAATACGGCTAGTTCGAGTTGACGATTACATCAGATAGAATTGATGAAAAAAACACAAAACTTGTGTTGTTTTAAAAAAAAATATATACACACCAAGATCTGAACCGTTACGAGAATGTGATATCTAAATCCTAGCTGAGTAAGGTATCCTAATTGACCGGCGTAGGACTACGTTTTCCTTGCTGGGTTTTGGAATCCTAATCCGATTAGGAGTCTGAAAAATCATATGAACTACAAATCTTGTTCCAATAAGATTGGATGGTTTGAACTTTGACGTTGTCCACCATATTGGAAGGTGGTGAAGAAGCAACAAACGAGTTTCAAAGTATGCGCTTCCAATGTAGGAAAAAACAAGACGAGGTGATTAATTATTAATGAGTTAAGCAACAAGAAGCCGGGAGCATATAATCTAATTCTAAACTTGTCCGATAATCAGCTAGCGGATTAGACTTGTTTATTAGTGTTTAATTTAAATAATGATAAGCGTGTTGGCATGGAAAAATAAAATAAAATTAATTGGATGGCTTGTGAGTTTGAAAGTGCAGACATTCAAGCTTATATCAAATATAGATTTTTAATTAGTAGGCACTAGAAGGCCAAAATATGCCCTAATTATATAACTACAAAAACTACCTTTTCGATCCGGGTGTATTATAGTTCACATATATAACAATAGTTTGTCGACTCTTCTTGTACCAAAATTTGGTTGGCGTATTCATATTGCAAAGCCTTTTGTTTTGGAATAATAGTCTCTCTGGTCTTTCAATTCGCCGCTCAACAAGTGGTGGGCGGTGGGTTCACCTGTAGAATCCTTGGAGATTGTTGTTAATATGAATCACAACGACTTTTATTAATTCATGCTAGTTTCGACGATTGTTGATGTGACTTGAATCGGACTATCAGCCGCTACGATTGGTAATCGGGGTCTCGCTACTTCTCATACTCCTCTGTAATCTCCTCGATATAGTGAAACTGACTCTCTCTCGCCCGTGGACGTAGCTAACACACATCGTGTTAGTGAACCACGTAAATCGTGTGTCTGTGTTTTTCGATTCGCGCTTTCGTATTCTTGCTTTATCGATTCCGGCATTTCCCGATCCGTAACAGCGCGTTTATAACATCAACGATTGTAGAATCCTAGTATAAGCCATTGTGATTTTGGCTTACCAATGTTCCATTGGACGTTACTTGTCGAACATATACGAGAAGTCGATCTTGCTCTAGATAAATTCTCCATAAATGCCATGGTCTAGTCTTTGGAATGTCGTTTCTTTTCATACCGTAGTTTCGGGTTTTAATTTATGATTTGTAGATGGCGAATTATATTAAGGTCTCAACTCTGGAGATTATTGCTAATTGGTTGTACGTACGATTATCGTTTTTATGTACCTTGAAGATTGTTCATGTTACAATCTTAGGCTAGCAAGTTCAGCTCCTCTAACTGCATTTAACCTTATTTGATTAATTTAGGGAGTCGTTTGGATGAGTTATTCGTATGAGTTATTTGCACCCAAATAACTCATTTTGAGTTATTTTGGTGCAATAACCCGTTTGTCTAGAAAAGTTGGTGATGATTTATTTGTCCTTGAGTTAATTTGAAATAACTCATTAATGAGTTTATTGTCAATACCTCTTAGGGGTAGTTATTGTGAAATAACTCACAAATACCACATTCTCATTTTGTGAGGAATTCCACTTTTATATTAACTCGTTATACAACAACTCATCCAAACGACCTTTAGATGTTTGGATGAGTAATTCATATGAGTTATTTGCACCCAAATAACTCAAAATGAGTTATTTGGGTGCAAATAACCCGTTTGTCTACTAAATTTGGTGATGAGTTATTTGTACTTGAGTTAATTTGAAATAACTCATTAATGAGTTATTGTCAATACCTCGATAGTTATTGTGAAACAACTCACAAATACCACATTCTCATTTTGTGAGAAATTCCACTTTTATATTAACTCGTTATACAACACCTCATCCAAACGACCGTATTTAGTAAGTTATTTGTAAGGCAATGGTATCATACGCATACTCACATATGTCATTCTTGTTGGCATCACAATCATTAAAGTACTTGTTGTCATCACGATCATCAAAGTACCAATAGTCAATTTAATCGCAGAGTATGACCCAACCGATTAATTTTCATTTGAGCAGAGGCATATTTAACGAAATGATATAACAAGTCGCGACTATGCATACTCGAGCTTCCCCAACCACTCGAACTAAATATTTTTCAACCTGGACGCAGCGGCAGATCTAGGAGGGGTCGCCCCCGGGCTACGGTCCAACCCTCCTCTGGATCTATAGCTAGTATATCTTTGTAAATTTTTGATTTCGGTATTTGTTTTGGTGTTTATCGGGTTACAGCCCAATCCTCTCCGCCTCTTTTTCTAATTGTCGCCCAATGCTTTACTCTATCCTGAATCCGCCGTTGCTTGGACGCAGTTTCCTTCCCGACAAGCAGAGTCCAATAATTTTCTCCACCACCAACAATCCAAAAGTTAGAAAAGCCTCGTTGGTAGAATAGAATTGATCAAGGCGACGAACTTACTTAGTAATGCCCATTATGATCACCCAATTGACAAGACAAAAAACCCACAAACACCCATCAAGTAGGGTGGCTATACGGTCCATTCCGATTAAATTGGCCTAAATTGATTCGGTCCAGTCCGGTTTTTTCGAAAATATAAGGACCAAAGATTGGATTGGATACAGTCCGGTTTTGATTCGGTCCGGTCTTTACCCGATCCGGTCCCAATTCGGTCTTGATTTTATATTGAGCTTGTGGGGATTTGAGTGGCTTAAGGCCTGAAAGGTTAAGGAATTGGTTAAGTTTTGTACTAAGTGCAAAAGTTTGTGACCGTTTATGCTAATTACCCTTAAGTTATGGATGTTGAGCTCTCTTATCCGGTCTTTATCCAGTTTTTTATCCGGTCTCAAACGGTTTTTTACCTCAAATCTAAGCCCAAAGATTGGATTGGATTGTTTACTATCCGGTCCCGGTCCAGTCTCGGTCCGGGTTATACGGTCCGATTTCGGATAAAACCAAATAACCCGGACCAAATAGCCAGCCCTACCATCAAGAAATCACCTGCGGCTACGAATCGAGTTATGTTTTTGACCAGTGAATGTGGGTATATATCTGGATTCGTGGTTGGATGTCGTCTATTCATCGGGATATTAGGTAGCTAGAAAGTGTGTTGCTCCAAATGGCAGACAATTTGCTTGTTGTACATTTCCAGCCCCGCAGTCGCGGCACCATTATTGTAGCTAGCAACCACATACCACTGAAAATTCCACACCCACTGTTCTAAAAATAGAAAGGCTTTCCTTGCAGGTTAATCTGTCCCACTTACTTCCAATCAGGGAGAGGAGCTATGGTGATTTTGAGCGTCTGGCGAAGACTCTAAAATTTGGAGAGAAATTATTGAGTTCTCGACGCTAGTTTGAGTTTAGAATTAGGGTGGATTCATGGTTGTTTAGGAAGCTATTTGAATTTGGAGGAAAAAGAAAAATGTGACAGTCTTTGAGATTCGAACTTGTGAATTGAAATTATTAGAGATAATGTTATATATTACACTACGAAAATATTGTTGTTATATTTAAAACATAAATGTAATGATAATCTAAAACAAAGTCTGATTAAACCCAGTTTCCAATATATATATATATATTCAAATCCTAAAAACTAAATTCAAAATCTTCCACGCTTCTGATATTGACAAAGCTTTCATTACTATCAAGTTGAATTTGTTTTACTTGGTTATTGATATGCTAATGCAAAGAGTTGAACTACATGGCAATTTCATGAGGTGAATACATGACTTGTCTTAGCTCGGTTAATGAGTTGGTTGCTTTTGACAAGGAGAAGCTAATAAGGTTTGTTGAGCATTTATATTATGTTATATAGTATTGGTGCTTTAATGTACAGCATAAAGTTGTACCATAACATGAAATGTATAAGTTTAGATTGTACCATAAAAGAATTTATACCATTATGTTATGGTACAACTTTACAACTTGAAGTTGTACCATCACATAAAGGTACAAGTTCAAGTTGTACCATAAAAGAGTTTGTACAAACAGTATAGGTATAATCTAAAGTTGTACCATAACGTTAAATGTACAATTTCAAGTTGTAGCATAAAAACAAAAACCTATATCACCAATACTATATAGCATTGTAAAATTCCTCAAGGCTTACTTGATTTGATCGTAATGAGTTTGGTCACATTTCTGGCTCATTTCTTCTGCGACACTTTGAAAATTATTGCTAGTTTGTCAAATATTATGATTTATTCCTTGGATTAAAAGGAATTGATGAATTAGGTTAGATTGTGGTGAATACAAAACCGAATCTATCATATTTAGTGATATGTTTGCTTCTCAAACTTGTGTTGAGTTTTGCCATTTATGTTGCCACAGCGAGTGTTGAAAATATTCATTAGTTTTGGACTACACAAAAAACAAGCTTCAAAATTGAATAGACAATTGCAAAAGAGAGAACACTCCTAGCTAAATAAAAGTTTGAATAGTGCCCCTACTTTAACTAGCCGCAATGGGAAGCTGTCGACCTCTAGAAAGGAATTTGTTCGATATCTCAAAGTTGTTTGATACAAATGTAAACAATTGAAGTGTGGGAATTTCGGAAATTGCATGCAAATGAAAAATTGTAGCTAGGGTTTTGCATCGATACAATATACATGCATGGTATGTGGCTGTGGGGCTATCTAGCCTCCTCTTACAAGTTTGGACACAATACAATAGCTAGATGAAGAAAAAGAGGCTTAGAAAAGCTAATTAATTAGCTATCAATCATCATCTAAAGATGATTTAGCTAGAAAGAAAATCAGCCATCTTTGGATTGGAAAGATTGATTGCCTGGTTAGTTCCTGGAGGTTTCCAATTATTCGGTCCTTTCGCTTTCCCGCTGCCACTTTTTTCTGCAGAGAAGATTATTTAATTATTATGATTATCTGCTGGAATGCAATGTGCTTTATTTGGTGGTTAACTATGTATTGTGAGAATGCTCTATCTCTAGACTATATAGATATTGGTTACGGTTAGTAAGATATCTCTATCTAGACTCTAAATTTAATAAAATTTATAGAAAGGTGTTACTGAAAGTATTTGAATTTGGGACCTTCAAGTTCAAGACTGTTGGCTATTTTCGGCCATGTGACATTTTTGTATCTTGTTGTTTTCTCGTTAATTCAAGTGATTTTTGGGCAAACAAAAAAAAAAGGTTAAAGACTATTGGTAGTATCCCTAGAACGAGCCATTATTGGCCAAAGTTTGGAGTATATTACTATACGCTAACTCCTAATATATAAACCTCATTCTCCAAATTTGGAGTATGTTACTATCGACGATTCTAATTCATCGAAGTGCAACGAAATACATCTAACAATCATATTAATTTAAGTATGGTATACAAAACATGAGGATTATTGGATATTAAAATCGCAAAGTGTTAATAATATGATTAGAAGCCGGCGTAAATGTAGATGATCATCCGTCAAATCAATCTTTCATTTTGTCCTCATCGAGTGAGACAAATTTTGCGAGGTTAACTTATTATATAATAATATTGTAAATAGAAGGGACTGTACTTAGTGAAGTCACATTCAGGTCATGATGGTGTCATCTGATGTCGAGGAGAGGAATAATCTAGTCTTGATGAGATTGAGATGATAATTTAACAAAGGAGGATTTCATTTATGAAACATTTTCCATGAAGCTAACTGGGAAGTGAAGTGACAGAACGCAATCATGATTCTCTGTCTGTCTATTCCATGGTTGTCAAACCATGATGGAGCTAAACGGTACAGTTTAGCGAGTCTTTAGTTGTTGGTAGGGCTGCGAATGACCCGAGCTGCTCGCGAGCGGCTCGACACTCGATTTGAGAAAAGCTCGTTCGAAACTCGGCTCGTTTGCTAATGAGCCGAGCTTGAGCTTAGCCTTCTGCAGCTCGCGCAGCTCACGAGCTAGCTCGACTCGGTGGCTTGTTCAGCTCAACTCGTGAGTTGGCTCGTTTAGTGCTCATAAGATGTCTCAACTCTCAACATTATGGTTAGAGAGCCAAATCGATTACCGATTTATGAGCGAATTGATCTATACGAGTTTGATTTTGATAATTTATAGGATCGTTAAATTATATATCTCACCCTCATGAAGTTTAACACGTAGATTATGCGAGCAAATATGTCTTATTTAATTTTAAAAATAAATTATTTGTCATAAATTTTTTCGATACTATGAAATAATATAATTTCACTAGTTAAAATTTATTAACTAAATTGTTTGATACCACGAAGTATAGAATGAGATTACTTAATATTGAAAATTAACTTTTATTATTATTATTTTAATCTTGATATTAATCACATGTATCATGTATGAGATACAAAATGAATATATAAAATACGAGTCAAAATTTTATTAAGCAAGCTAGCTCGAACTCGGCTCATTTGAAACGCTAGTTGTTGGTTAGCTTACAAATTTTTATTGTTTAGGTAGTCGATTTGTGCAATAAAGATTTAAAAAAAAGTTTGTCTTTTTTTTATTATTATCTTTCTGTAAGAAAATAGTTAATTGAAGTTTCTTCCTTATGGAGATTTGTCATTCATGGAAACAATGATTTATGTGACGACAAATTGATTGGTAAAAGAACTTGAGAGAAGCCTTTTCCTTTTTCTTTACGCCTGTCGTCATTAGGGATTTTGTATTTATTTGGGCTTCTCCATGAAAGCTTAAGCTTATCATTACACTACACTCGATCCACCAGAATTGGAGAACCAAAATTAATAAAGAAAAAAGAATACTTGATGTTCAAGCAATCACCTACCATCATCTTCTTCGAACTTACAAATGTTCAAGACCTTGTTTAAAACAAGGCTATGCTAGTTGGAATTGACGATTACATCAAAGATAGTTGACGATAAGACAAAAAATTTGGGTGTTTTTAAGAAATATACACGTAAGGATTTGAATCATCGTATTGTTAGGTTATCGTTATCACTGCAAGATGTCCAACACACCCTTCAGTTGTACTACATGTTGTTCCCAATTCTTACGGTAAACCAATATGTCGTCAAACACACTCTTCAATGCGACAAGCTCTTTCTTCCACTATGAGTTCACCTTGTTCAGCTCTGCCATACACCTCAAATCATCTTGGAATGCAGCCTCCATCGAGAACTATTCATAGTTCAGTGGGGCTATGACAAAGAAAGGATAAAATTAGGGGGTTTGAGAAGAAGAAATAGAGAAAAATTGTGCGAAAAGGCGTGAAGTCGAAGGATAGAGATATAATAGAGTTGGAAATGGGAGATTAAAGATGTTTATTGATTCTTTTCATAATCCGGAAAAAAAAAAACTTGGGTCCTTCAACAAATAGGGAACCCCAATGCCATTTCAAATCATTGTCCTAATAGGATTATGAATCGTTACAAATGTGAGTTCTGAATCGTAGCTAGGTAAGGTATATATCCTTATTGATCGGCCTAGATCGAACTACTTTTTTTCCTCGTTGGACTTGGAATCCTAATCTCGTTAGGAGTCATTATCCCAAACAAGATGAGGAATTCTAGTTAGCTGAAAAATCCTACGAGCTCTCTACAAATCTTGTTCCAATACGATTTGAACTCTTATGGCAAGTTACCAAGTCGGAAAGCGATACTATTCAATATTAATTGTTGTTGATATGTAGATTGGATGGTTTGACGTTGTCCACCATATTGGAAGGCAAAGAAGCAACCAGGCGAGTTTCAAAGTATGCGCTTCCAATGTAAGAAAAAACAAGACGAGGCGATTAATTATTAATTAATGAGTTTAAGCAACAAGAAGCCGGAACCCATAACTCTTATCAGACGACAGGGATTAATCCAATAGATAATTAGCTAGCGGATTAGACTTGTTTAAATAATGATCAGCGTGTTACATGGAAAAATACAATTAATTGGATGGCTTGTGAGTTTGAAAGTGCAGACATTTAAGCTATCAAATATAGATTTAATTAATTAGTAGGTGCTAGAAGGCCAGAATATGCCCTAAATATATAACTACAAAAACTACCTTTTTTCTGAGGTGTATTTTAATGCCTATATAATAATAGTTTTGTCGACTCTTCTTGTACCAAAATTTGGTTGGCGTATTCATATGGCAAAGCCTTTTGTTTTGGAATAGTCTCTGGTCTTTCAATTCGCCGCTCAACAGGTGGTGGGCGGTGGGTTCACCTGTGGAATCCTTGGACTTAAATTTATGTATGTTTCCACAATCACATTGTTCTTTGTAATGTAGATGGATTCATGGATTAGGCGTACACCAAGAACTCTTTTAAAGGGAGAAAGAGATAATTAGGAACACAAAAAATAATATATATATATAATTAGGAACACAAAAAATAATATATATATATATATATATATGAAGGTGACTACTTCGGTGTACTCACTTTTTTGGATGCACTCAGTGCATCCAACTCTAAAAGCGTCCATAAGACATCAAATTTTGAACTTTAATTAGTACTCTCAATATAATATGATGATATGACATAGAATCATAACAATCCATTACCCTAACCCCTTAACCTTCAATTTTGAATCCCAACTCAAAATCCCAAATTGTAAACCTAAACCCTAACCCTAAATTCATAAATCCTAAATCCTTCGAATTAAAGTAAAATTTGAATGAATTTTTTTCAAATTCATGTGCTTCTTGTTCATAATATCATAATCAACAATTGATACCGTTTTGACATGAATCGCATGGTCAGAATGACGATTATGAGGCGGGTGCATTGAGTGCACCCGAAAAAGTGGGTGCACCGAATACGCCACCATGAATTTTACTTTAAAAGTGGGTGCACATGAATTTGAAAAAAATTCATTCAAAGTTTACTTTAATTCGAAGGATTTAGGAATTTAGGGTTAGGGTTTAGGTTTACAATTTGGGATTTTGGGTTGAGATTCAAAATTAAAGATTAAGGGATTAGGGTAATAAATTGATTTGTTATGATTCTATGTCATATCATCATATTATATTGAGAGTACTCATTAAACACAGGTAGAATCTTTGTCGAAGCAACTGTGATTTTGGCTTACCAATGTCCTGTGTTGGGCGTTATTTGACGAACATACGAGATGTCTATCACACTGTAGCGTTAAATGATCCATATATAAATGTCTTCATGATCTACTCTTTAGAATGTCATTTCTTTCTGTACCGTCGTTCCATATAGTAATTTAATTATGGATGACGATATATATTAAGGTCTCAGCTCCGGAGATCATTGTTTATTGATTGTCCGATTATCTTTTTTATAAACTTCATAAAATTGTTCTTGTTTCAATCATAGGCGAGTTGATGTCCTCTAACTGCAGATGTCTGATTAATTGAAATGTAAATCTACAAGATGCATAAAAGGGTAAATATGGGTTAAAATTATCTCACTTCAAATTTCGTGATCCGAAAGTGATTCTAGTAAGGTCATTTTTGTCATTGCACTCACTTCATCTTTATATATTAAAAATGTTATCATTGAAGTTTAGTGATGATGTTTCTATATTGGCCAAATGCACCTGTATAGCCAAAACTTTGACGGTTTTGCCAAATATAGCCACTTTTGGCGAAATACCAGAAATAGCCACTTCCGTCCAATTGTTTGACAGTGTAAGTTAACGGGCTGACTGGACAAACGGACCAACCGACGTGGCTTTTATCGCCGAACAAGTGAATTCCACGTGGAAAAAAAAGTCGCAACGGTAAATGAGAAGTTTTACTCCTCAGTCACTTTCTATCGTCACCATTTTTCCCTTCCCTTTCCCCGAGTCGATATTCCAGAGAAATCCCTCTTCTCCGACGAACGAAGCACGACGCTCCCCCTTCTCCAGATCGGCGGCGGTAGTCGTCGACGACGACGAGAGCCTTTCCGAACCACGAACAACCCACGAGAAGCAAAACCCCCTTCCTCCTTTCCCGAACCCTAAAATCTTCCCGAGCTTCCTTCCCGAACCCAAAAATCTTCCCGAGCCTCCTTCCATGGAATCGGCCATGCCGCGCGGTTTTTCATAGATCCTCTCCACGTTCTGGCATCGCGATTCGCTGTTGGTGAGGGGGAATCGAGAAGACAGGCAAAAATTTCCCGAACCCTAAAAACCCTAATCTTGAAGATTGTTGATTTTCGAACAAGGGCGATTTCTGGGCTTCTTTCTTTCGGTCGACTGGTAAGTGTCGAGACAACTTCACTGAGCTCAGATGAGATGAATTTCAACTGCATTGTTGTAAATTTTGGTTTGCTTCTTCCTTTTATAGTGCGTACCTGGTATTAAAGACAGAAAGCGACACAAAGGGGTTTCCTCGGGACCACTGGAATTCTACACTTCTCGAGTTTGCCCTTGAATTCGAAGGTAAGCAACTGGAAAGCTACTGGGCAGAATCGTCATTGCCTTTGGAAAACCCTAGGATAGAATAATGTTTGTTGGTGATGATTCCTTTGTGCTTTACTGATTTAAAATGCATTAACATTGTGATTATAATAGTAATTGTGATTAAAATAGTATTTGAATGTGTTTTCCTTGTAACAGATGGTGAGTTCAATGGAAGAGAATGACCCAAATGAGGTAGTGAATTCTGCTGATTACCTATCAGCAGACGAAGGAACAGTTGCTGCTTCTGTGGCTCGACCAATGATCCATGTTTACGACTCCGATGATGCTGACACATCCGACGATGAGTACCATGAGGCAAGGAACAACCTTCGGGCATATGGAGAAATGCGGAAGAGAAAGGTGAGAATGAGGGCTGATGGTCATGGGGAGGAGGTGGAGCAGTTGGACGAGTTTGAAGAGGTGGAATCTGATGAGGAAGAGGTTGAAGAAGCTGGGGTTGACAACCTTGATGTGAATGAAGAGGAAATAGAAGATTCTGAAACTGAGGAAGTGTCACCAACTGAGCAAGCACGTAAGCAGACAAGTAATCATTCGAGCTACAGACTTTCCGAGGAGTCTGACCACGTGCGAGGTAACATATCTGATGAGGCTAGTGCTGATGTGTTCGACAACGCACCACACTACGATCCTCATTGTGAGGGTAAGTTCGAGTTTGTGGCTCGCATGAGATTCAAGGATCCTGACCAGTTTAAGACTGCGGTGGTGAAGCATTCTGTAGCAAATGGGGCAGGTTTGAGGTGGACAAGGGTTAACCCTACGAGGAGGGAAGTGAAGTGTAAGAACGAGAGCTGTAAATGGAAGGTGTATGCAAGCTGGTTTAGGAAGAACCAGACTTTTATGGTAAGAAAGGTAGGGCTGCCACATTCATGTTCAAGACAGCTTCGGGTGAATCAAGTTACGGCGAAGTGGATTGCGATGGACATGCTAGAGAGGTTCAGGATCAATCCTGAATGGGCCCCAGAGCAGATCATGGCTGAAGTGAAACTGAAGCACAATATCGAAGTTAAAAGAAGGACATGTTACAGGGCGAAAGTGGTAGCCATTCGACTCCTTAGTGGCTCTTTGAAAGATGAGTACACGAGGCTACGGTCATACTTGGGTGAGCTGAAGAAACGAGACAGGTTAGGCCGGTTCGAGCTAGAGGTTGAACCGCATCCCACACAAGAAAAGGTCTACTTTCAAAGGATGTTTGTAATGTTCTCAAACATCCGAGACGGTTTTCTTCTCGCTTGCCGGCCAATTATCGGTTTAGACGGTTGTTTCTTGAAGGGGGAGGTAAAGGGCATGATTCTTGCAGCGGTTGGGAAGGATGGAAATAATCAGATGTTCCCAATCGCCTGGGCAGTCGTGGAGGGAGAGAATGCAAACTCTTGGAGGTGGTTTGTCAACATTCTCTCTCAAGAGCTGGCTTTAACAGATGGTAGGGGCTGGACAATCATATCGGACCAACAAAAGGTTAGACTCATAACAACTTGCTCCCTTTTTTGTTTACTTACTTCATAATTTGTTTAACTTGCTACAGCTCCATAACTGTTTTCTTTGTACTTGTAGGGTCTGATTGAAGCTACCCATGAGTTGTTACCCGATGCAGAACATCGCAAGTGTGCCCGCCATGTTTATGCGAATTGGAAGGCAAAGAACAAAACTGACCGGGTTCGTGAGCTGTTCTGGAAGGCAGTTTATGCTTGCAATGAGAATGATTGGAAGAAGGCCACCAAGGAAATGGAGACAATTGAAGGTACCGAACTTGGATCCACACCCTTTACTGATTTCATGGCTGCCGAACCCCGTTCCTTTTGCCGAGCATTCATGTCGACAATGTCACAGTGTGATAGTGTTGAAAGCAATATCTGTGAGACGTTTAATGGGACAATTGTGAAGTATAGAGGCTTGAGAATAATCGACATGCTAGAGGGTATTAGGTGTTACATGATGGATAGGTTCGTAATTAAGTATAACATGTTGATGGACAGCCCGGATATGCTGTGCCCTAGAATTAGGAAGAGGGTTGAGAAAGTAAAGGAATTGGCTAGGTTGTGCATTGCTAGGCAGACATTGGCGGATAAGTGTGAAGTGAAGATGGGTGAGAATGGCTACATAGTGGACCTAAATGATAGGAGCTGTACATGTGGATACTGGCAATTGAGTGGGCTGCCTTGTTGCCATGCTGTCTCGACAATTTCACATATGAGGAAGGAGGTGGACGATTATGTACATCCTTGTTACAAGGCCTACCATGTCGAGTTAGGCTACAAGATTGGCATCCCTTGCTTAGATGGTAGGCAGGCTTGGCCAGATGCTATTGGTCTTCCAGTTCATCCTCCGAAGCAAAGACCCATGCCGGGAAGGCCTAAGAAGAAGCGACGAAGGGCTGCTCACGAGTTGGAAACGAGACCTCAGCGTAATGGAGTTGGCGAGGAGGTAACTAGAAGGGGGAGTATCATACATTGCAAGAAATGTGGTGCTGAGGGGCATAACTCGAGGGGCTGTAAAGCTACAGCAGCTGAGATTCAGGTATGCATCAGTTTCATTGGAAAATGTAATATTTTACAATTAATTTATTTCTTACTAACATTGGGCCATTCTACTTTTCAGGCTAACACTCGGAATGAAGCAAGAAGTGCTCGAACAGCACCAAGAAGGGCTACTCGTGGAGGAAACAATACTGCTGGCCCTACTGTTCCAGCTGGAAACAGTGCTGCTGCCCCAACTGTCCCCGACACAAGGAGGAAGCGAGTTCTTCATTGCTCTAAGTGTCAATCAGCGACCCATAATGCGAGAACCTGCCCCCTCAACCGAGGAAATGGAATACAGGTAATAAAAAAATAACGAATGTTAGGATAATTTGAATGTTAGATAATTTGAATGTTGTGTGGAATAATGTGTGGTCATTTTAATTCTAGGATGTTGTGTTGAATGTGGGAGATCGAAGGACGATTGAGCGTGAGATGCGAATTGCCACAAGAGGGATAGGGGTGTATGTAAGTGAGGCAACTGGGAACCAATACGTGAGGGTAAGATTGAGTTATGCTCTTTCGTTGGAATGATGGTTGGTACCCCATTGTTGTGAGATTTTGCTAACTTCATAATCTGTTTCAGTTGAATGGATCACGGGGTCGTCCTGCTGGAGGTACTCAGCCAACTGAGATGGATGCTCAAGGAAGCCAGCCGCCTCCGACACAACCTTAGATGCCAAAGTCACCATGAGTCACATTTTTGGAAACAATGCGTGTTATGGATGCACTCGGTGGAACTTTTTTTGTTATGTGACTCATGGTCTATGTCCACCTTGTCCACCTTTCGGATTAGTTTTAGTAGCTGGATGTTAGGATGACAAACTTTGGATGTAATGGAATTTATGAATGTTAGTAGATGGATGTTAGGATGGAAAACAATGGATGTAAGTTATGGTATCTCCTTTGGTTGTTAAGTCCTGCCTTGTTAAACAGATGCATCAGGTTATGAATGTTAAGGTTTGCCAATTCAATACATAACACTAACACTAAACAGTCATGCCAAATTCATAACACTATCTTGCCAATTCAATTCATAAACACTGCATAGCTTGCGAGAAACACATTACTTGTCATAACAATACATAACACTAACTTAGAACAAATCTTCCTAAATCATACTGCTGCGATTGGCCAACACTACGGCAAGTAACGCTACATTCAAAAAAATAACAACGGCGAACATATGTCGAATGACACGAACATCATTGTTAACCTTCCTCAGCTCTTGGACGACAATTTTTCTCTCCTTCTTCCTTCTCTCTGCCTTAGCCTCAGCCAACCGTAAATTCTCTTGTAGATTAAGAATTGTACTGTCTATGCCAGAGTTCGAGGCATCGCCTTCATCCACCGCCCCATCCACCCACCTAAAAAAATTGCAGTTCTTTTTTGGTACCTGCATCAACAGAGTGTATGGTCACAACTCTCAAACATACACAACTGGAAAATGAAGATTCTGCCAACCTCCTTTACCATCCAAAACTTGCATCCGTAGAATCTCCTTCCTGAGTTGGACTCAGTACCGGCTCTATTAGTCACAGCAGGAAGATTGTGGTAGCAACAGACTACCCCAATGCTGTTCTCGCTTCTGGAAGATGATCCACCCCGGTGAGACATGACGTAGGAGAAGGGGTCTTCGCCGATCTCCGGCGGTCGTGGATGGCGAGAAACAGTGAAGACGAGGAAGGGGTCGTCGCGGGGGCCGTCGTTAGCGAAAGGAAAGGGAGGCGGCGGGGTGGTCTTCGTTCGAGGCTGGGTCGACGCGAAAGGAAAGGGAGGCGGCGGGGTGGTCTTCGTTCGATGCTGGGTCGACGTTCGAGTGCGAGTGCGGCGGAAAGGGGGAAGTCGTCGACTCGAGTGCGGCGGAGCGGGGGAAGTCGTCCACGAGTGCGGCGGAGCGGGGAAAGTCGTCCACGAGTGCTGCTGCTGCTTCAATCGGCGGAAAGGAGGTTCGTCGAGAAGAGCAGAAACCCTAAATGGGTTTGAATTGGGGAAATGAAACAAATAACACATTTTTTTTTTACCCATTAAGGATGACGTGGCATCCCACATGTCAATAGATGCTGAGGTGGGAAGGAAACACAAGGTGAGGTGGCAGCCACATCATCTGTCCGTTAAATAGACTAACGGTGTCATTGACGCCGTCAAACTATTTAACGGAAATGGCTATATTTGTCATCGGACTTTCAAAATCCTGGCTATTTCTGGTATTTCGCCAAAAGTGGCTATATTTGTCACAACCGTCAAAGTTTTGGCTATGCAAGTGAATTTGGCCTTCTATATTTATAGTTTATCTTAAGTTATTTATATTTTATAGAAAGACATTAGTTCTGAAATCGAAACTCAAGTAACATTGATTCAAACATTAATATTAAATTGTATGTGTATTTTAGTTTAGTTTAGACAAAATACAGAAGTGTAACCAAAACATGGATCTTTGTAACGAGTATAGCATTCCCCCCCCCCCCCCCCCAAATCTACACATAATATAATAATAAAATTGAAAAATGAGTCTCCTTTTAAATTTCGTGGCCTGAGAGTGATTCTACGAACCTCTTTTTTGTCATAGCGCCAAATTTATCTTTATGTTATGTGTAGATTTGTCATAAAAAAATTACTATATATGTCACGAAGATCCATGTTTTGGCTACACACATGTAGTTTATCTAAACTGTACCACACATACAAATTAATATTAAATGTTTGAATCAATGTTACTTGAATTTCGATTTTACAATTAATCACTTTCTACAAGATATAATAATTTGGTTTATCTTCCTGAATAGTAAACATACACTTAGCGATGATTTGAAGAGCAGAGGAATTTTCCATCACGGTTAGCTAGCCTATTAAGTCTTCTGAAAATCAAATTTAATACATGATTTATAATTTTTTTATAATCTATAAAATGACAGGTAATCTTAAAATTGCAACACAAATTTCAATGCTTGAAATATTGCATATCGAATTGCAGTATTGAATATGCAAAATATATGTAGAATTCTTTAAATTAATATAAATTTTTAGAACTACTACGAAACAATAATATTTTGTATAAACGATATGTGACTGGTTCTCTAAAATTTTAGCCTGGTTAATTTCTAAACATTAACCTCTTGCTAATTTGGCATGAATGGACCCGACAATAATGAGACGATATTGGGTTTAATGTGATGTTCATTTAGCCATTTTTGGATGTGTTGATCAATTTAAGAGCATTAACATATAAATGAGTTATAATTAACCTCATTATACAATTTTTACTCTTTATAATGATTAATTTAATTTTAATATGTGATGTTTGAAATATTTTATGTATGATTTAGAGATACTTATTATTTGTGGCATCGGTGGTAATTGGTTCAAATGTAGTATTTTATCAGGTAGTCAAAATCAAATACTGGGTGCATTTATGACTTTTTTTTATCTTGGTGTTGCGAATAGGTAAAAACTTAATTATTAGAATGCATATAACTATACTCAGACACATGGTCGAGCTAGCATGACACAGTTAGAGCATACCATGAAGACAATGTATATGGATCAGTCCTATACAAGCATGAATGCTTCATGGATCGCACCATATTTAAACTTTAAGAGTTCGCGCACAAGTGCGAACACCACACAGTCTATATTGGTGAACTCATATTTTATGGAGAAATGTGTCATTTGAGAGGAATAAGCGGACATCTGTTCTCCAGGTTTCAGGTCCTCTGATTCATACTATCGACTGTGAATGGAGCAGAAGCATTTCGAACGCAAAATTCGAGAAGTAATTGGGATGTTTCTAGGTTTCTATCGATTCTAGGCTGTGGGAAGAAAGAGGAAGGGAAAGGGGGAGAGTGGTGAGATACAAAGCTCAGAGAGATAAAGAGAGATGGAAGAACAAACGGAAAAACAAAGAGGATTATCGAGGACCTACTAGGCAAGTGTAGATATCACCGTCTCATCTAGCCTAATCCACACCTCTATTGTTATGACCTCGAGGATCTAATCCCTTGAGAATGAGTAACTTACCGCTGGAAGGGTAATATATACCTGCTGGCATCTCAAAGCAAACCCATCGTTCGCCGAATGGAGAAGGAGCTCGCCGGCTAGAGCTTCGCCGATTGGAGAAGGAGCTCGCTGGATCGATCTTCTCTCCCTCCACTAGAGGAAGAAGAGGCAGATTGTGGCAGCTTCGTTCGATGGGGAGGTCGAGTTTGGGGGAGGTTGGGAGATGAAAGATGGGAGCTGGGGTTAGCAAAACGACACCGTTGGTCTAAGTGAACAAAGGGGGGGGGGGGGAAGTGGCCGAGGGATTCGAACGCTAGGCTCATTAGAGGGAATGTGGGCGTAACCTATTGGGCAACGGGGGAAAATCCGTCCCTCATTTTCCAGCAAACGATCTTTTATTGTTTCCGCCCAACTGCCTCTTTTATTCCCCATTGTTTTTCCAACGATGAAATTGCAAGTGAGCACATTTGTTACCATTTGTTTTTTTTTTGTCACACCAGAAAACAGAAAACAAAATGGCAAGTGAACGGGGCATAAGAGAGAGCGAGAGGACACATTTAAAAGAGGGGGGAAAATGAGGTAGTGTGAAATAATTGTTCTTCTGCTTTGCTTAGTGGGTATTCTTGGCCTTGTTGAGTTTTGATTTATTTTAGGAGATGACATTATATTTGATAGATTTTTTCCATTTCAATTAAGGGGTCGTTTGAAAGTTGCGATTGTTTTGTTGAGATTGTTACTATACATGTATTGTTTAGAATGCATCATTTTTTTATTTTTAGTAGAAACAATACATGGATTACATCTGTGATGTGAGAGAATCTATTACTCAAAATGAGTGATTGTTATATCTCAACTTTTAGTTGTGATTTTTGAAATAGTTGAGTTGAGATTGTTTTGTCTTAACTTGTAGTTGTGATTGTTGAGATAGTTGAGTTGAGATTGTTTTGTCTCAGCTGTTAGCTTATGTGACGTACACAATGCATCTGATCCGACAATACGTATATAATATTATACATGCATTCACAACAAAGCATCTATTTTACAATTTCAACTTCCAAACGACCCCTTAAAATCCTAAATCAATATTATCATTTGGATGACTTTTTTTCTTAATACGATTATGATAATTTCTAAGATTTAAGAAAATAAAAAATAAAAATTAACACCGACGGCAAGGTAGTTCCGATCGCTGACTCAACGGGAACCACCACACAGTTCACCCTCCTACTAACCTATCTCGACACCACCTGGTTCAGATTATTGTCGGTCAAATAAATCTAACTCTACAAACCCACCCTGACATCCCAAGCTCTCTCCATTCCTTCTAATCCCTACTTCTCCCCAAATTGAAGCAGTCTCTCCCCCAAACGCTTGCCCAATTCCTCCCCCTGGCGGGCCAACTCCAGTGGTCGCCACCGTCTTCAACCCCAATCGTTACCTACACTCCAGGAGATGCCGTCTTTGTCAAGGTCGTCGACAACTAAAAGGAGAGGTGTCGTCGAGTAGGAATAGAAGTTCTTCACCAGCTGCCTGCTGCCTCCTTCTTATTGGTGGCTACCGGCGTCCGGGCCGCCGCTGTCGCTCTTCACCAGCATTTCGTGAATCAATCTGATGAGTAGATTTTCGTATTGGGCTTTAGGGGTAGAGGGTAGTGTTGGTAGGGGTGGTATTCGGTCGGTAACCGGTAAACCGGTTACCGACTTTACCGGTTTTCGGTATACCGAGTGTCGGTAATTGAGAATCGATTACGGATACTGGTTTGTAACCGGTAAACGGTTACAAACCGGCTTTACCGACTTACCGTAAAGAGTAGTTGCTCACGGTTTTTCGGTTCGGTTTACCGTAAAATTACCGAACCGAATTTCTGGGCAATGGAGTGATGTTGTAATATTTTGATTTATCTCAGTTTTTTCTTCATTTTTGTAATTAATAAATTATTATTAACTCTTATTTATAATATTTGTGAGGCCTATACTTACTTACTTCCATTCATGTATGTAATATTTGTGAATAATGAAGTATATGTTATTAGTTAATGCCTTAACTGGTCCGGTATCGCTATTACCGAATTACCGTCGGTATTTACCGATACTGGGACCGGTAAACCGAGCTTCCCCATTTGACCCTCGGCTACCGATACCGCCGGTTACCGGTTCGGTAAAACGGTAAACCGTTTACCGACTTACCGTTTGTCACCACTAGTGTTGGGTTTCTTGTGGGTAGCAAGGAGAGGTGTTGTCGAGTAGGAATAGAAGTTCGGGTAGTATTAGGTTTACGTATTAGGTTTATTTCTTATATAAATATGTCAGTTCTACATTAGTTCGTATCAATCAAATAAATCAAAGGTTTATAGACACAAACGTCTTTCTCTCGCTTGTGAGTTACAAGCAAAACTCTTGAATTGTGGGTTACGATTCATCACAATCGATGCTTCATTACTTTGTGGTAGCAAGATCCCTAATTAGCAAATCCAAAAACCTAGTCTCGCCCCGCCGGAGATGATGTTGCAGCGGCAGAAGAACTATGCGGAGACCGCAAAATGAGACTCCCATTTTGGGGCAAAGAAGTGGAAAATACCCACCATATAATAATTATTTTTTAATTTTTTATTTACATGTCATTAATTTAACGGTCCAGTCAGCAATTTTGTTTGCCACGTCATAAAAAAACTAACGGAGTTAACGGAGTCTGACGGAGACTAACGGCCGGTGACCAACGGTGAAACTAATCGTAAAGTTAGTGGCGAATATGAAAGAAAAGTAATTCGGGTGGTAAACGTGAAAAATTTATGTAATTTGAGTGACCAAACATATAATTTAACCAATATTTTCTCCACCAGGGGCCGACTACCGTGACAACCCCTAAGGGGGTTATCAATTTCGCTTCCCCCCCGTTGTCGTCCGTCCTTCTAGTCCTCCATCCAACGGGTGAAGATGGGCAGGGGCAAAAAAGAGAGGTTCCACATTGGATTGAGATCCCCCTAGTTCACTGACATAAGCCTGTTTTTTGAAAAGGCAAAGAAATCGGGGGAGAGAAATTAGCCACCCTCCCCACCGAACCTTTCGTCTCGCCGCCTTCTCTCATAAATCCTTTCCTCCATCTTCTCCCAAAAAATCCCCTTCCACCGTCTCTGATTGGTGCGCCCCCAAAAACCTTTTTCCTCCATCTTCTCCCAAAGACTCCCTTCCACCATCTCCGATCGTTTTTTGACGGCTGGTGTTGAGTGCGAAGACTTTGTTGTTTGGGGCAGATGTAGTTCAGGCCCGATTCGTCTCCGTTGATTGCTTTTCCGGCCTGATTCATCGGCACTTTTGCTCCTCCCCACTTCGTCTTTTGATATTAAATTCTAGTTAGCTAACCTAGTTTTTATCTCTTTCTTGTTAAGTGCGTAGGCGAACCTCCTTCCGCCGTCGTTCCTTTCTGCGCCCGTGAAGACAATCGACGGTGAGGTTTCTTTACATTACTGGTTTTTCCGGCTGCTATGTTGGAATAAGCCACATGCAGGCCTGTGTTTTTGGTTTGACGTGATTGTTTGGTGTTGATATGATCCACTGGTAGTCTTAAGAATCGTACCACTGGTAGTGGTAGTTGCGGTACTGGTACCAACAACTTTGATTGGTACCAATAACATTTTGCTTGATAGTAGTAGTATTTTACCAGTACCCTTCTACATTGCTAGAAGTAGTTAAGAATCGTAACAGTGGTGTGGTAGTTGTGGTACTGGTACCCACAACTTTGACTGATACCAGTAACATTCTTGATTGTTAGTAGTATTATTTTATCAGTAATATTTTACATTGCTAGTAGTACTTAAGAATCGTACCAGTGGTAGTTGTGGGACTGGTACCCATAGCTTTGTTTGGTACCAGTAACATTGTTTATTGTTAGTGGTAGTGGTAGTTTTGTATCAGTAACATTCGACATTGCTGGTTATGTTTCTCAGCAGGTAGCAGTCCGCTTTGGGGACTCTGGTGATCTGGTGTTGGGCCTAGTAGCAAACGGCCACGCAATGAGGTACCAAAATGTCTCATCAAGAAGAAGAAGCAACAGACTGTACAGCCAAATCCAATCTCCTTGGAGAAGAAGTGCAGTCCGACTTCAATCATTGAGATTGGGGAGGCTTGCATTTCAAATGAGAGGAAGGCGCTTATCACGAAGCTCGGGCTAGGTTGAGTGCTCGATTTGAAGATGAAATGGTTTGACATCACATTGCCGTGTTGGATTACCAGACTATTCGATGAGGAGACAAAGTCGATAACTATGGAGGATGAGGGCAGCTTACCTTCACTATGGACGATGTTGACAACAATGGAGGATGGGGGGCAACTAACTTTTACTAGTTTTTTGGGGGTTTGTTGTCTTTAATTTGATATTGGACAAAGTAATGTTTCTTACGTTGACACAATTGGTTTCATGTTTGATTGTGAAAATCCAGTATTTTCTCCCTAGTGATTTTTAACTACATACTTTGTGCACTTCTGGTTTTAGAGATAAATCTTCATTGGTACCTTTTTAGTTGTACTGCTACCAAAGCAATGTCACTGGTACCAATTAAAAGTTACTGGTACCAAAATAATGATACTCGTACCAAATCAATGTTACTGGTATCAAAATCATGACACTGGTAGCATTAGTAAGACCGACACCAAAACAGTGCTACTGGTAGCATTAGTAAGATCGATTCCCAACCATTGTACTAGTATCCATTTCTAATTCACAATAGTAAGTCGTTATCGGAATTAATTCTACTAGTTCAACCAGTGAATGTTTATTTGCATTATGAGCTCTAAGTAACATTAATTTGGTCAATAGTACCATGATTTTGGTACTGGTAACATTGGTTTGGTACAAGTAACATTTTATTGGTACCAAAATCATGCTACTAGTAACCATTACTCAGTCTAATACCAAAACAGATAAATTAACAAATCAAACAATGGCGGCAGTGATTCCACGTTGAACTATCGGATGAGACGATGGATGACAACAAACCTGTATTTAAAGAACATATGCATTAGCAAATCGAACAATTTAACCTCCCACCAGTATCCCTGTACCACTAGGGAAGTACCACTAACTACTACTAAATGACTACCACTAAGGGAGTACCACTAGATGACTACGTTACTACCACTAAAAATGTACCAATAGATGACTACCATTAGGAGCCTACCACTACAATAATACTACCACTAGCTAACTTGAATCATAACTACTAGTACATTTTCACAAAACAATATTTGTACCAATAGTAAAATGGTACAACTGCAACAGAAGTCGTAACGCCACAGGTAAACCCTACCGCCATTGTTGCCGTCCACGCCGTCGTCGACATCAACCCCGTTCTCTGTGTTTTTGTACCGTTCAGGATGATCTTCGTTCACCGTCTCCTCCACGTCAAGAACTTCGTCAACGTCCACCATGCACACATCATCGCCATTCTACGTTGGGTTCGTTTGCTCAGCTACACAGTCGTATATATCCTCGTCGTTGATTGTCAGTGGGACGTTCAGTTCGAATCCAAATATTCACGTAGGTTCGGCTCCCCCACTCACTGTCGTCGTCGTTGCTCATGTAGTCGTATGGCTATGGCGGCCGTCGTGTCGTTGGTATTTTCCGTAGCTAGATGAAGGGTCTGGTTTGCTGAGGGAGAAGCCATAATTGGGAGGGAAAGAGTCCCAGTCCACACCGTCTCTTCCGCTCCCAAATCACGTCCCCCAATCACGTTCCCAGATTCTCTCCATGTATTTACGTTTCAATTTAAATTATTAGAATTAGGTGCTTACTAAAAAGCCCTTCCTGTAATCCTGACTGTTGGATGAAGAAGGGAAACGGACGGCAACGAGGAGGGAAGCCAGATTGACAACCCCTTAAGAGTTGTCACGCTATCCGCTCCCCTCCACCACCAACAATCCGAAAGTTAGAAAATCCTCATTGGTAGAATTGATCAAGACGACGAACTTACTTAGTAATGCCCAATATGATCACCCAATTGACAAAACAAAAACCCATAATTAAACACCCATCAAGAAATCACCTGCGGCTAAGAATCGAGTTGTATTTTTGACCAGTGAATGTGGGTATATATCTGGATTCGTCGTTGGATGTCGTCTATTCATCGGGATATTAGGTAGCTGTGAAACTGCTGCTTGCTGGGTCCCTGTTGTGCCCTAGAAATTAAACCCACCAAAATGTGTTGCTCCAAATGGCAGACAATTTGCTGCTTGTACATTTTCCCAGCCCCCATTCGCGGCACCCATTATCGTGGCTAGCTACCACATAGCACTGAAAATTCCACACCCAGTACTGTTCCAAAAATAGAAAGGCTCTCTTTGCAGGTTAATCTGTCCACTTACTCCCACTCAGGGCGGAGCTAAGGTGATCTAGAGTGTCGGGCGACATCTCTGAAATTTGGGAAAAAATAAAAAAATTGAGTCTCTAGTAGTACTCTGAATTTAGAGTAGGAGCAGATCTATCGTCGTTTAAAAGTGCTCGAGATACCCTAAAATTTGGGAGAAATTATCGATCTTATGGAAGTAGTTTGAATTTGGGGAGGGGAAGATAAAATGTGACAGTTTTTGTGATTCGAACTCATAATTTGTAATTATTAGAGAGAATGTTAGTCATTATACTACCAAATAAATATTGTTATATTTAAAACAAAAATGTAATTATAATCTAAAACAAAGTATAATTAAATCCAATTTTTCCAAAAAAAAAATAATATAATATATTCAAACCCTAAAAACTAAATTCACAATCACCCAGGATTCTGATATTGACAAAGCTTGCATCACTATCAAGTTGAATTGTTTTACTTGGTTTTTGGTATGCTAATGCAAGAGCTGAACTACATACCCCTTATATGGGGAATTCTAAGTTGTTGACGAGTATGACTTGTATTAATATGAATAATGAGTTTGCAGTTTTTGACAAGAAGAAGCTCATACGCCTTCCTCGATTTTATGCTAACGAGTATGGTCACATTTCTGACTCATCTCTTTCACAACACTTTGAAAATTATTGTCATTTTGTCAAAATGATGAGTTGCTCCTTGAATTAAAAGGAATCGATGAATTAGTTTAGATTGTGGTGAACAAAAAACTAAATTTATCAGATTTATTGATATTTTTGCTTATCAGATTTAGTTGCGCGAGTTTGAAAAGTGTTTTTCAGTTTTGAAATCTCTCTCCCTAGAATAAATGGGAAGCTCTCGACCTATAGAAAGGAATCTGTTCCATAGCTCAAAGTTGTTTGTTACAAAATATAAACAACTGAAATGTGGGAGTTCATAATTGCATGCAAATGAACAATTGTAGCTAGGGTTTTGCATCGATACAATATACATGCATGGTATGTGGCTATGGGGCTATCTAGCCTCCTCGTACAAGTTTGGATACAATAAAATAGCTAGATGAAGAAAAAGAGGCTTAGAAAAGCTAATTAATTAGGTATCAATCATCATCTAAAGATGATTTAGCTAGAAAGAAAAGCTGGCATCTTTGGATTAGAGAGATTGATTGCCTAGTTAGTTCCTGGAGGTTTCCTCTATATTCGGTTCTTTCGCTTTCCCGCTGCCATTCCTGCAGAGAAGATTATTTAATTATGCTTATCTGCTGGAATGCAATGTGATTTATTTGGTGGTTAACTAAATATTGCTCAGACTATTATATTTGTGGACTATACTATATTTATATTCTCGGTAAGAAATTTCTATATATCTAGATTCTCAATTGAACAAAGTTTGGAGTATGTTTTTTATTGGGCCAGGCCCACTCACGAGCTGCAAAGGCTGCTGCCGAGGCTAATGTGGTCACCAAGTCACAAACTATTCTCATAGGAGACTTAGTAGTTTCATGTACTAAGTGGAATTCCTCTTTGACTGCCCTAGCAGATTGTAACAAAGGGCATAAATCACTTGTAAGGCCGCCGGCCATGCTTGAATAACAAGAATAAGAAAAAAACTGGAGAGTTGATCTCTCCCGTGGACTAGTCTTGATACTCGGGGAAACCACGTAAAATCTGTGTCTTGTCGTTTCTGCTTAGCGATCTCAACAAATTCTATATGGTATTAGAGCATGGTTCATCTCTTTAGTCATGGTCGGAGAAGAAACGAGCCCAACCATGCCGTTCTCATCCAGCACTAGTGGCGGTGGCAAGGGCACGAATGGTGGCGATGTTGACGTCACGAGCCCTCTCTTCATTCACCAATCAGATAGCACAAATCATCTGCATGTCAGCAGCTTGCTAACCCCGTCGAACTACGGCGAGTGTGTTTTGGAGATGACTGATGCCCTAGTTACCAAGAACAAGCTTGGTTTTGTCGATGAGACTCTCCCTCGACCGGAAGGAAATTCACCGCAATCTCTCGCATGGATCCGTTGCGACGCCCTGGTGAAGGGATGGTTGCGGACAACCATGGACCCGGAGCTCCGTAGCAGTGTGATGCATGCCAAAACATCACAAGAAATATGGGAAGACCTTCGCGATAGGCTCAGCAAAGGTAACTTAACTCGTGCTTACGAGTTACGCCGTCATGTTAGTCTCTTGCAGCAAGAGAAACAATCTGTCTCTGCGTTTTACACAAACTTGCGGCGGGTTTGGGAGGAAACACAGTCCATATTGCCGCCACCGATATGTTCGTGTGGCCGCCGTAGCCGTGATCAAAACGAAAGCTTGCGCTTACTTGATTTTCTCCTTGGCCTCGACGAGTCGTTTGCCACGGTTCGCAGTCAAATACGTGCGATGTCCACGCCTCCCACTTTACCTGAGGCCTTCCGCATAGTTTTCAACGATGAGCAGCAATGAACGTTGACGCAACAGCGAAAGCCGGTTACTGAAGCAGCTGCTTTTGCTTCGCAGCAACAGGAGGCTGCACAAGCTGGGACGAGAAATCGTGGTGGACGAGATCGAGGCGAAAGAGAAAAGATGGTCTGCTCCCATTGTCTCAAAACAGGCCATCTCAAAGAGACCTGTTATGAAATTATAAGCTATTCGCCACGTGATAGGCCTGGTGAAAGACAAAGTGAACGCCACCGACCACGGGAGGCGCGCGATAATGGAAAAGGAAAGGGACAGGTTCGTGAACCTAAGGTTGCCCAAACTGAAATTGGCACGAGACCCCTTTCAAGCTTCACTGCGCAGCAACTTGAACAATTAAGACAATTCTTGGGTGGAATGGCACCAGGGGCAGCCGACCCTTCCAGTCATATGGAGGGTACGTACTCTTTCTCCAATCAATCCGAGTGGCTAACTGACTCGGGTTGCAACGAACATATAGCCATGGATAGTTCTCTTTTTGCTACATATGATCATGATGTTCCTAGGCAGCCTGTTCGAATCCCGAATGGGGCCAGTATTCCCGTTCAGCGCATAGGTTCTGTCAAGCTCCCTAATGGATTTGTTCTGGGTCGAGTTTTACATGTTCCAGAGTTTCGCTGCAACTTATTGTCTGTCAGCCGCTTGTGTCGGGAGCACAATGTGGCGTTGATATTTCTTGGTGATTTCTGCGTTATACAGGACTTACACTCCAAGAACGTGATTGGGAAGGGGGAGATTCGTGATGGCTTATATTTTCTGAAGCTATTTGGATGTCGTAGCACACAGGTTCATGCCGTCAATAGTCAAAGAGTTCAGAGCACACTCTGGCATGCTCGTTTGGGCCATCCTTCCACATCTGTCTTACACAAGCTTAGTTCAAATCTTGAATTTTCAGTCGAGTCGGATCTTGAAGTTTGTCATTCTTGTTCTAGAGCCAAACAAGTTCGGACACCTTTTTCTCTTAGTGGCATTCGAACCAGTTATTGTTTTGAGATGTTGCACATGGATATTTGGGGTGGTTATCCCACTCCTTCTTATAGTGGGGCGCATTATTTTCTGACTATTGTCGACGACTACGGTCGTGGTATTTGGATTTATCTGCTTCGTTTTAAGTCAGAGGTTGGCCGATATGTGCAACTTTTATGTAATCTTGTGCGAACTCAGTTTGGGAAACAGGTTAAGAAGATTCAGACAGATAATGGGCCTGAATTCTTGACGACGATCTTACAAGCCTTCTATGAACAGGAAGGAATTTTGCTGCAGACTTCTTGTACTGATACACCACAGCAGAATGGTTTGGTAGAACGAAAACATCGTCATATCTTGGAGACAGCACGCGCCTTGAGATTTCAAGCCTCCCTACCAATTCGGTTTTGGGGCGAATGTGTTCTTACTGCGGCTTATCTACTTAATCGGTTACCTACTCGTGCTACTAGACGCACACCTTATGAGATTGGGTTTGGGAAATCCGCTTCGTATGCTCACCTCCGCGTTTTTGGATGCCTTGTTTACTGTAAGGATACTCATGCTCGAGTTGGAAAATTTGATGAACGCGGGCGTGCATGTGTCTTCATGGGATATGCTGCTAGTCAGAAGGGCTATCGGGCATATGATCTCACTACTCGTCGCATGATTGTTAGTCGCGATGTAGTCTTTCATGAATCTGTTTTCCCTTTTCAGGAGGGTAGCTCGAAGCAATTTCATTGGGTCCCGGGGTCTGTTTTTGAGCGGCCTAATTACTCAGTCGAAGATGAGCTGGTACTCACACCCCCTGCTACCAACGCCGGGGTTCCCGATCTTGCACCCGAGGCCACAGCGCCCTTGGGGAGTTCTGGACCAAGGGAAGTTTCCACTCCACGCGCCCCATCACCCGCGGGCCTTGGATCCGGCCCGTCACCTGTCACTGGGCCAAGTCCCGGCCAATTTGGCTCGGCCAGTAGTCCGGCCCACTCGGACGCGGCCCACTCCCCGGCGGACGAGGCCACTCCTCGGCTGGTTCTCCCTCTTTGACCGAACCAAGCCCTCCAACTGTCTCGCCTCCTCCTGTTGTTGTCCGACGGAGTGACCGCATTCCTGTGCGGCCCAAGCACTTGGACCTTTATTATACGGGAAGTGACATTAATTCTGTTCGCTACTCCTTATCAGCTCATGTTTCCTATGATAATTTTACTCCTGAATATCGTGCTTTTGTGGCTGCAGTTGGTCAGTACACCGAACCGCGAAATTTTTTCGAGGCCGTAGGGCCATGTCTGCCGAGGTCCATACACTTGAACAAAATGGTACTTGGACTCTTGTTGTTTTGCCTCCCGGAAAACGGGTCATTGGTTGCAAGTGGGTTTATAAGATAAAATTTCGGCCTGATGAAACGATCGAGCGTTACAAAGCGCGGTTGGTTGCCAAAGGATATACACAGGTTGAAGGGGTTGATTTTCATGACACTTTTGCACCTGTTGCTAAATTGGTCACTGTTCGGTGTCTATTAGCTGTTGCTGTCAGCAAAGGTTGGTTTATTCATCAATTGGATGTGAACAACGCCTTTCTCCATGGTGATTTGGATGAGGAAGTATATATGCGGATCCCTCGAGGATTTTTGCAGCTCCGGGGGAGACTCACGTTTGTAAGTTGAACAAGTCCCTTTATGGTCTGCGTCAGGCTTCTCGCAGCTGGTATCATAAGTTCACAGCGGCCCTCTGCGAGCTCCAGTTTCGCCCTTCTCCCGCAGACCACTCTTTGTTTGTTTTTCGCCGGGGGAGTACCCATGTCGTGGCTCTCATTTACGTTGATGATATGATCCTCGCAGGTACTGGCCTTGAGTTTATCAATCGAGTCAAGGCCTTTCTCCATCAGCGGTTCAGTATCAAGGATTTCGGCTCTTTGCGCTACTTTCTCGGTATTGAAGTAGCTCGTGCTCCTGAAGGTATGGTTCTCAGTCAAAGGAAGTATGTTCTTGACATCCTGGCTGACGCATGCGTCCTTGGTTGCCGACCCAGTGCCTTCCCAGTGGAGCAAAATCATCATCTCACACGTCCCGCACCAGCAGACTACCCTGACCATGCTGCTTATCGTCGGCTGGTGGGACGTCTTCTCTACTTAACTGTGACGCGGCCTGATATCACACATGGGGTCAATATCCTCAGCCAGTTCGTTCATGCACCCACTCAGGCCTACATGGATGCGGCACAAAGGATTTTACGTTATTTGAAGAATGCCCCAGGACATGGTCTTTTCTTCCCCACTGCTAGCTCCCTCGAGCTCATTGGTTATTGTGATGCTGAATCCACCCGTCGATCCACTATTGGTTATGTTGTTACTCTCGGTGGTGCCCCCATTTCTTGGCGTACGAAGAAGCAGCGTGTCGTTGCTCGCTCCTCTGCCGAAACTGAATATCATGCCATGGCAAGCACGGTCAGTGAGATCATTTGGCTGCAGTGGTTGTTGCAGGAACTTGGAGCTCCTCAACAGGGCCCGACACCACTGTACTGTGACAATCAGGCTGCTCTCCACATTGCAGCGAATCCTGTCTTCCATGAACGCACTAAGCACGTCGAAATGGATTGCTACTTTGTACGAGAGCGAGTCCAGTCTGGTGACATTAATCCTTTGAAGATCGGTTCTCATTTTCAGTTAGCCGACTAAAGGCCTGGGTGCTGAGTGGTTTCATTTTCTCCTTTCCAAACTGCGCGTTCGTAACCTTCACGTCCCAGCTTGCGGGGGAGTATTGGGCCAGGCCCACTCACGAGCTGCCAAGGCTGCTGCCGAGGCTAACGTGGTCACCAAGTCACAAACTATTCTCATAGGAGACTTAGTAGTTCCGTGTACTAAGTGGAATTCCTCTTTGGCTGCCCTAGCAGATTGTAACAAAGGGCATAAATCACTTGTAAGGCCGCCGGCCATGCTTGAATAACAAGAATAAGAAAAAACTGGAGAGTTGATCTCTCCCGTGGACTAGTTCCGATACTCGGGGAAACCACGTAAAATCTGTGTCTTGTCGTTTCTGCTTAGCGATCTCAACAAATTCTATATTTTTATTTATTTATAAGGGCGAGATGGTTTGATTTTTATAGTTAGGTGTTACTGAAGATATTTGAATTTAGAGACCTTTAAATTCAAGACTAATGGTATTATGACTAGAACAAGTCCTTGTTCACCAAAGTTTGGAGCACATTACTATACACTAACTTCTAGAAGTTTGGGGTATGCTACTATCAACGATTTTACTTTACTGAAATACAACAAAATACATCTAACAATCATATCACTTGGAATATGATATAAAAATAGGATTATTGGATATTAAAATCGCAAAGTGTTAATATATGATTGGAAGCCGGTGTTAATGTAGATGATCGTCCGTCAATCTTTGATTTTGTCCTCGTCGAGTGAGACAGATTCTGTGAGGGTAACATTTTATATATAATATTGTAAAATGGAAGGGACAGTATTTAGTGAAGTCACATTCAGGTCATTATGGTGTCATACTGCCATCTGATACCGAGGAGAGCCTGGGGGTCTTGAAAGAGTTCAAGATGGTAATTTGACAAACGAGGAATATTTTGGGGGGTACAGTGATCGTGGTGGAGGATTTTCATTCAGATTTTGTTTCTGAAACATTATTCATGAAGCTAAATGGGAAGTGATTGTAATTTGATACTAGTCACGGCCCCGGCTAGTTGATCTGATTCAGTCGCTAACTGCATAAACAACATTATCAAATTGTATGTTAGATATGCGATTTTTGATAGTATAAGAAAATCTAAATTATTCAAATATTCGAAACATTCAAATTTATTGGTATAAGTGAATCCAAATTAATAAAGTATTTCAACAATTCAAAACGATCAATATGTTAGATATGTCGAAAAATACTATTGGTATAGTGTTTTTCGACATTGAAACTGACTCATCGATTAAAATCTTTTTAAGGAAAGAAAACCATAACCGACTCCTAAAGACATGTTAAAATCACCCTTTAATTTACTCCAAGTTATTAGAGATTACTCCACATTTTCTTTTTGACTTGTTTGCACTTCCACCATCATGGGTAGTATCATCATCTGCACCAATATTTTGTCTTTATCTCCATTAGTGATATATTTATCTCCTTTGTCAATTTCCTCTTCTTTCTTCTCTTACATTTCAATATTCTCTTTCTTGTTTTTTTTCTGCATTTTAATGAGCATAAAAATTTGATGAAAACTATTTACAAATACCAATAATCTTTTTGCTGGAGTAGAATTTACCTCATCCAAGTTTTATATCAAAGATTTGTTCTTTCTCCTCATCACTGGTACTTGTATCTTTGTCATGAACAATATTTTTTTCTTCTCAAGATCATCGTCATCTCTAGCACTGGATTTAGTGCATCCACCATTAGTAGTCTCATTATTGTTATCTTGTATTAGTATTATGAATTAAGATCATCAACATTCAAAGGCACAACATATGGTGTGATTATATAGAACCGTAGGTGTTTAAAATATATTGGAGTTAAAATTGTAGCCGGATACAATTGCTTGCATGTTAGTATGAACGGAGAAAATTTTCCAGAAATACTACCAAAAAAAAATTCAAAAAATACCACCCTTTCTCATAAATAAATTCCGTGAAAGGAAGCAAAGTTCTGTGAAAGGAAGCGATAGTTCCGTGAAAGGAAGCAAAGTTCCGCTAGAGTTTTATGTTATAAACGACCTGCATTTGCCTATAGATTAAAGAATAAAACTATAAGTGTCACTTGTGCATGTTAGAAATTGAAGGCATATATTTGTGCATATGATATAAAAATTAAAGACGTATACAGTTGATAATACAACCAGGTATAAAATTGCATGCATGCTAGTGGGTAATAAATGAAAGTTCATCTGGAATTTTAAGTTATAGAATTAAATGAATTTGTCGAAGTTAAACAGTAAAACTATGAAGTGCATGTTATAAATATTGAAGAGCTATCTACTTGCTTACATAACTAAGTATAATTTACACATGGTATACTGTCGATAGCAATTTATTTATAGGACGATAAACGCAATTAACTGCATGAAAAAAAATCAACATGTTAAAAGTATACATGGTAAGCAGGTTGGTTAAATAATAATTAGAGGGTGAATGGTCCGAATATACTCCAAACCGAATAGAGAATATCATAAATTTGTAATTAATATTGATCATTATTTTCATGCAAGTATAATTTACCTCGACTTAGTCAAAAATACTATATGCGTTGTACTCTTCCGATCCTTCGCTATCCTATAAATCATGTACTCACTTGTTGATTAACGATGTATTATGTGAGCTTGATATCGAACTACAATATAAAGTGTCAAAACAGAATGTACGATTTTATTTACTTCTTCTCATGATTTTTTCCAAAATATGTGGAGTAGGTTTTGATTGGTGAGATGAGTCTATGGTAAGCAGCTTCCCGAATATTTTCGAGGTTTTCCTGTACGATATGGTTTGGGGGTCATTCCCTCAACTTGTAGGAGATGAGCAGGTGGTAAAAATACTCCAAAAAATCAGCATTCCAAAAAAAATCTATCTCCCACTCGATCCATAACTACAAAGTTAGCCTCAGTGGTTTTGTCCACAACTCGAAGTTGGATCCTGAATAAGTATAATGTTAGCAATGACATAAAAAAAGGTACAAACTTATACTTTTGTGGACAGATTTCACATCCATCATAACACCACCATTCTTTAACTTTGATAACTTTGTTTTTAACATAGAAGATATTTTCCTACACATTTTATAAAATGTTAACATTTGATAGTTAATGGGTCATTAAATCGAAATTGATACTACCACTTCTTCATCATTCATTTTTAATTGATTTAGCGTTTACAGTGTTTTGTCGAAATTAGTTGTTGAGGTGCGTTCGTGCTTTTCACTTCTTTACAAAAAATGATAAGTAATCCCTTTTTCTATTTGAAACTTCAACTTATAACGTGAAACGAAATCCGGTGATTAAATTCTCTTGAATTTCACCTTGGCACAAAATTACTGAATTTTGGAATTCTTGGATTCTTCACCAGTAAAATCGCTCTAGATGAGGAGAAGGTTTTCTCGCTTTCAAATTTAACGATCATTTAATTGAATGTCATATTTTTTTTTGCAAATGGTTTGATTACTAATGACAAAATAATAAAGATGTTTACTTACCCTTCTATGGAATGACATAAAATGATGTAATGACCAAGATGAGAGGGAGAGATGGAGGTTTCCCGCATTTGAAAGGATAACATTTAATTGGGTAACTATCCTACCAAGAGAGTTACCTTGACAACAAATCCCCTACATCCAAATGGTACATTAGATTTGCGATTAGAGTTAACGTAATGTATATTATTTTAAACTGAAAAAAAAGAATTACATACTCGGGAAGTTTTAGTTGGAACCTCCTTGCTGGTAATTTTTCCAGTGAGTGTTAGATGTCAATAAACCCAAATATTGAATAAACTGGCAAACAACATACATGGAATGAAAATTTTAAAAGTCAATTAATTTTTTTGGCGGTATACACATTAGATTAAAGTAATTTGAATTGAGAATAGTAATCGAACCCGAAAGAAAGTTTCTTTGGTTGCACTTCTTGTCACTCTCATCTTGATAGATGAAATAAAATTTGTAAGATGGTATAGCTAGAATATCATCGCATGCTTCAACTTATGTATTTGATTCAAACTTGATGATCAATTTGTTTAAAATTGTCATGTAATCTCCCATTGTCGTATTGGCTATAGAGTCTTGATAGTGTAAACTCTCTGGTCACAAAATAGGAGACCAAAGTCCTTGATTTTTCCTTTAGGAATTTGCACCCCAAATATCATTATCATGAAGAAAAAAGTAGGAATATTAATAAATTTTCAAAATTTAATCATGGAGTTGAATTCGCGTGGTTGTTGTTAGTTTACAGTTTGAGTCAATAACTATCATATCGAGGCAAATAATAATTTTCATCTTGGGATTGATTGGCAGCCTCTTCCTCGATACCTGACATTGAAGAATCCAACTTCTCTTTTAAGTTGTGAGATCGAATATCAGCCTGAATTGTATATTGACTAACCTCTAATTAAAACAATAGTGAAACAATATTTTTGTTTCACAATGGATATCATAGTAACTCACAAAATAGGTAATAAGCTCAATTTTGATGCATGAGTGTGTGATTAAAGAAACATAGATTAGCTCATTCTAAAATAAGAAACTTGACATATATAACCATGGATATTATATTGGTAGTGAAATATGGAAAGTAAATATAGAAGTCAAGATGGAAGAATTGTAGAACTTAAATATAATTTAATCCTTCCACAATCATGAATATACGTGAACTAAAAAGATATATTTCTACCACCAATACATAATAACATGTTAGTATAGAGGCAAGTGCAATTGGGTAGTGAGTAGGAAAAAGAAGCTAAATCTAGCAAAATATCAACAGTGTTTGAATAAGGACTTGCAGAGTGAGTAGGAAAAACAAACTAAATTTAGTAACATATCAACCGTGTTTGAATAAGGACTTGCAGGTGAAAGTAAAAGAGCAACGAAAGAAAGAATACATGCAATAATTCATAAGCTAACAGATAAGCAACTGGGAAGGGCTGGAAGTGTTGGGTGGGAGTAGCATGATGTCTCTAATCCGTGAATTATATAGTAGTCGGGCGAGAGTTAGTAATCATAGTAGTTGTGTACGATTATGTACCGCTTCTCTGCACTATTGTGGTTACCTAATTGCAAAGTTATGGTAGGAGAAGCAAGAATGCAATTGTAAGGTGAAATCCATTTTATGCTTTATTTTTCACGGTTTGACATAAAATCAGATGAACCACCACGGTTTATGTGATTCGCTGGTTCGCTATTTTAATCATACAAAATTAAGTAAAAACGTACTTTAACGTAAACTAAAACCATCTAACTTCAATAATGTAATTTTATTTATGCTTCCTTTTTTTCATTTACCAGTCTCCTTGTCGGATTTATTTGGTTCATTACGGATTGTCACTCTTATTATTGACTTGAATTTAATAAAAAAAATTATGATGTCTTTTGTGAGATAGTTTGAATACTTTGTATTAGTGTATTATATATGTATTTTACATTATAGCGCATAAACGGTTCTATCACCGATTTGATTGTTTGATGTTTGATTTAATTGTGTATCTATAACGCATTATTCTATGAAGCACAGTAAAAGACGAAAGATGGTTGGTATGAAGTATTGGTTAAAACTATAAAAAAAGTTCAAATCGAAAAAAGAGTGACACGACCAGCACGGTCAATTTATGATCACTAAAAAAATGCTGTTATTTTGGTAAAATTAACTAACAAAAAAAGAAAGAATTTTTTGGATTAAAGTATTAATATTTAGATGTTGATGTTACCTGTTATATTCCAGCACTCCCGTTTGAATGTTGAAGTTAAATGTTGCACGAGTGTTTTTTCCCTCTATTTTCCTAGTTCTTGTTATTATACTTGAGAATTTTTCCTCCATGTTTTGCACGAGTGTTGCACCATTATTTGTTTTTATATATTTTGAGAATAGTTTGTGAAAGATACTGGCACGGTATAAGTATTTGATTTTGCATATTTGATTAGTAGTTTTGAAGAAAACAAATTTGGTATTTGATATTTGGTATATACTGATAGTCTGATACTGAACAAAATATTAGAGATTGAGATTGAGATGTCGAATTTATTTTAGGATTGGGATTAAAATTAAGATTAAGATTGAATTTAAGACACTAGTTAGTATATAAAAATATTTCTATCTTCTCTTCTCTCTCTAAATACTATAAAGCGTTTTCTCCCAAAACTCTTCACCGCATCTTGCGGAATTTCCTTTTATTTTTTCTTTTTCCGCATTTGCAAACAGCAGCGGCCAATTTTTATATATTTTATTATTTTCTTTCACATCCTTTATTTTATTTGGTAAGTACGTGCTTTATTTTTTAAAAGACACGTGTTTGTCCAATTTGCAAGTTCTCGAGAATTTTCTCGTTGTATTTTGTTTGGCTGGTTAAAATTAATAATTGTGAAATTGTATTGGAGGTTATACAAAAATAAGTCAGTAATTTTCTTAAACAAAATGTCGGTAATAAGATATTTTGTATAAAAATTATGGTTTGACTGTGATTCAATTGTTGTTTTATGCCGTTTAGAATCACCTATTATTTAGAGTCTGATATTCAATATTTTCGCTCCAACCGTGTAGTGCGGTGGGTTTCTAAAACATTGGTGAAAATACACTTGGTACTATTTTTTCAAGAATTCTTAGTTGAACCTTAGCTCAAATATCGCACTTTATAAATTGATCTATATTGTGTGGAAGATGATTTTTCAGTGTGTTTAGTTCATGAATCTTCGCATACATATAGAGGTGGCAAATGGATTGATTCATGGATTGGTGGATCCATGGATCAAGTAGATTGGTGGATTCATGGATTGGATCAAGTGGATTGGTAGATTATCCATGAATCCAAATGACATCCTCAACCAATGACCAATATGTAAAATGTGAAAAGTTTAGGTACTAAAATGTCATAATGAAAATTTTTAGGTAACAAAACGTAATTTTCCAATGATATTTTTCGTATAAAAATTTAATTTTTGGTACCAAACTGTAAAATATAAAAAAGTATAGGTACCAAACCGTAATTTGCCATTTGGAGCCATGGATCAATCCATGAATCCACCAATCCAATTGGATTTGGATCAAATGGATTGGATTTAAATGGATTGGATTAGGTGGATATTTTTAATGGGTTGGTGTATTGGATTGGTGGATTGGATTGAAAATTGCCACCTCTACATACATACAATGCATCGAGACTTTATATTATCACAATTTCAACATGAGAATTTTTTTGGTAAAACTTCATTGTGGGAATGAGTCAAACTTAGATAATAGACAAACTATCATGAGATTGATGCCCAATATTGAAATTTTTTAACAATAGTATGTTATAAATTTTGCCAAAAATTAATTTGTTTTATTGAAAGTTTAATGTCTTCACTTTGAAACGTGTATTTCATACGTCAATGACTAAACATTATTCAAAAATTATTGAGTGTATAATTGATAAATTGCCTGATACATACAAGTTAATCTCTCATAAAACATAAAATTATTTATTACATAAACTTATAGTTGGCTACATGAAACATCACAAGTATATTTTGAAAAATGTACACAAAATAGTTGAAGTATGATGATAATTAATGTGAACGGCTATTTGTCGCCAACCAAATTCCTATTTGCCACCAACTAAAAAAAGGAAAAAATTTGAATTCAAAATTTGAATTTTCCCTTCCAAGCATTCTATAAATTCGGATACCAATTAACATTTGACTCATTCCAACAAAAACTTCTGTTGACGAGCCTAGTGCCTCCGTCGCCAGCCAACCTCCTGTCGCCCTCAATCGTCGGAAAACAAGTAAGTTTACTTTTTCCGGCAAGTTTTCCAGTTTCCCGGCGAAAAACACAGCGGGCCGAAAAAAAATTACGGCCGGAACGCTGCCGAGCCGAAAGTATTTTCCGGCCAGGCCAGGTTCCGGCTGCCGGAAAATTTCGGCCCACCTTCTGTTCGTTGCAAATCGTCGGAAAAATTGTTCAAACTACAAAAAAATGACGCACATGCTTAGTGATGATTCATGGATGCATGTCCGCAGTTTACGTCGAGGATGGGCTTTCCCGATGATTTTCCGGCGAGCGTCGATTTTTTATGATTCAATACGTTTTCTGAAAGTTGGATATGTTGTAGATTGTGAAACTCCTTAACCAAAGATGTACATATATACTTTTTTTTTGCGGCAAATAGCAATTTGTTTGGCAGCAAATATCAAGCCCCTAATTAAGCAGTATAGATGGATAGTGGTTTTTTTTTTTTTTTTGGCTCAAAGTGGATAATTTTTTATTATAAAAAATAATTAAATGGGACCCAACCGGCCAACGGCGGGGTTCCAAACTTGTTTGATATCGATAGCAATACAATCTAGTCCCTAGACGGCAAGACTGCAACTTTTGAGACAGAAGTGAAGACTTAAGAGTGGGCCTAGTCCCTCAATCCTTGAGTGAGTTGGCCTTGTTTACAGATCCAGCCAGCCTTTGCAAGTTATGTGACTCGGTCCAATCCGGCCCAATCAATTAAGTAAAGAAAGTAACCAAGTAAAATAGAGAGCTGTTTAGTTTAATTCCTCCGTCTTCTCTTCTTCTTGGTTCTCAAAAGTCAAATCCCTACAACATCTCGTCAGACTGTCAGAGTAATCTCTACAAAGCGTTTCCTCCTTCCAAAACTACTTTTCTACTCTTCTGTACGGATGGATACAACAAGAGCTGGAAATGGGAAGAAATCCTCTGAATCTATCGTAAGTATTGAAAGATGTTTTTCCAGTTTTGAAATTCTACCTCCCTAGAAATGCTAAGCACTCGGCCTACAAGAAGGAATTTGCTCGATATCTCAAAGTTGTTTGATACAAATGCAAGGTTGTCAACCAGCGGGTCGACCCGCGGGTCAACCCGGATTGACCCGGACCCGCCCCAAAAAACGGGCCAATGCAACCCTTTGAACAGTCAGCCCGGATCTGGTCAAACCCGGGAAAACCCGGTCAAACCCGGCTAACCCGGGCGGTTCGCCCGTCCAGAGCGGGTCACTTGGTTCGTCTCCTTACGCTGCGTTTTAGACTGGCGCGGCGACGTTTTGGCCGGGAGAAGGCGGAGGGCAGGGTCTGAAATAAAAAACCCTACCATTCCTTCATCGCACGACCTCTCCTCTCCAACCCGCGGCGTAGCCCTGCCCCACACCCCACAGGCGCCGCTCGATCGCCATCGCCGGGCCGTGTTCCTCTTCGTCGGCGGCAACTAGCTCCCGCTCCGTTCCCACAGCCGCTCGAGCTCTGTCCTCCGACCAATCTGAGTTTGAGCGCCGCCATCTGCCTTCGACCACTCGAAACCTCGAGTTTGGCCGCCATCAAGTTTCCTCTGCCTCAGGTCGGGTCGGTCTCGTCGCCATCTCCAGCTCGAGCTTGGCCGCCATCAAGTTTCCTCTGCCTCAGCTCGACCTCCTCCCTCTGTTTGATATTCGAACTCTGATTGGTAAGGGTTTGGTTTTTTTTTTCATGAATGTAAGGGTTTGGTTGATTTTATTAATTGATGAATGTTTGGAACCTTTTGGCAGGTGGTAACGCGAATTAGATATGTGGAGAAGTTAAATTAATGAATTGTTATTTGTTAGTTAGGGATTGTTGATGTGGAAGAAGAATTTTAGATTGGTTTTTTTTCTTTCGTATAACTATAGTTTAATACAATTTTGTGATATTCAGGTTTTGAGAATGGCATCCGGCAATGAATCATCGCAACCGTATGTTGGATTCATGATATAAATAGAATATATTGACTCTTTTCATATTTCCGGGCTAAACCGGGCTAAAACGGGTGACCCATTGACCCATGACCCACTAGCTCGTCCGGGTCCGGGTCGACCCGCGGTTTGACAACCTTGTACAAATGTAAACAATTGGAATGTGGGAATTCGTAATTGCATGCAAATGAACAATTTGTTGGGTTTTGCATCTATCCTCTTAAAGTTTGGATACAATACAATAGCTAGAAGAAGAAGAAGAAGAAAAAGGCTTGGAAAAGCTAATTAGGTGTCAATCATCATCTAATGATGATTTAGCTAGAGAGAAAATCAGGCATCTTTGGATTCGAGAGATTGATTGCGTAGTTAGTTCCTGGAGGTTTCCATTCCGTTCTTTCTTTCGCTTTCCCGCTGCCACTTTTTTTCTGCAGAGAATATTATTTAATTATGATTATATGCTGGAATGCAATGTGCTTTATTTGGTGGTTAACGGTATATTGTGAGAATGCTCTATTTCTGGACTATACATATACTTGTACTACTCCTAGTACGATATCTCTATCTAGACTCTAAATCTAACAAAGTTTATATTGAGGAGTTATTAAAAAAATTCGAACTTAAGATCTTCAAGTTCAAGACTAGTGGTATTAACACTAGAACAAGCCCTTGTTCGCCAAAGTTTTGAGTATGTTACTATGCACTAACTTCTAACAATAAACCTCATGCCCTGAATTTGGAGTATATTACTATCGACGATTTTAATTCGTCGAAGTACAAAGAAATACAACCAACAATCAAGTTACTTTTGATGTATGATATACAAAACACTGAGGATAATTGGATATTAAAATCGAAATGTAGATGATCATCTGTCAATCTTTGATTTTGTCCTCATCAAGTGAGACAATTTCGGTGAGGGTAACATATATAAAATATTGTAAATGGAAGGGACTGTACTAAGTGAAGTCACATTCTGGTCATGATGGTGTCATCTGATATTGAGATGGTAATTTGACAAAGGAAGAATATTGGGGATACAGTGATCATGGTGGAGGATTTCAGGCAGATTTTGTATCTCAAAAATTGTCCATGAAACTAAATGGGAAGTGACTATAATTTGATATTGTGTATCCACAACGCATTATTCTATGGTTGTCAAATTACTGGTATGTCGGTCAAAAATAGTAGAATTTGATTGTAATGAACAAAAATCGGCTTGAAGACTATTGGTAGGAAGTGGTCTATAAAAGAGGTCAAATCGAAAAGGAGTGTCATGACCGACATGGTCAATTTCGGTCACTAAACAAAATGACAGTTGTTTTGGTGGATTAATTAACAAAAACAAAGATTTTTTTGGATTAAAGTATGAACATTTAGATGTTGATGTTACCTATTGGATTCAAGTACAAACTTTTGGATGTTCACGTTGAATGTTGCACTAGTGTTTTTTCCTCATTTTTCTAGTTTCTGGTTGCCCCCTCCCTTTTGTACGAGTGTTGCACCATTGTTTGTTTTCATATATTTTGAGAATGGTTTATGAAGCTGTTGGCAGAGTAGAAGTATTTACTTTTGTATATTTGATTTGTAAGTTTGAAGAGAATTAATTTAGTAATTGATATATAATACTGAACAAAATATTAGGAATTGAGAGTGAAATAGTGAATTTATTTTATGATTGAGATTCAAATTGAATTTAGCACACTATTTAGTATTTGGAATTTACTATTTGATATCGAAATAGCCATATTGTACCGATTTTTAACCCTAAATTAGGGATGGCAATAGGTCGGGTCGGGGGCGGATAGTGCATATCCGTTACCCTACCCAATGTAGTTCGGGTTTTACCCTATGGTAGAAAATCAAAACCATGCCCATACCCGTTCGGGTTTCGGGTATCCACGGTTATCCATGGGTAATAATTTCTCCTTATAATTCAAACCAATATGTTAACATTCACACGTATACTCACATTACGTAAGAGGAAAAGTACGACAATAATTCACTAGAATGACGAAAATTAATTAAACAACATAATTTCATGAAAATATTATATTTATATGCTAAATATAAAAAATTCTAGGGAAAAATAATGATCATTTCTAGAAAAAAAATACATATGGATGTGTATAATCGGGTGAGTTCGGGTTGGATAGTGAGATAACCATGCCCACCGATTACCCGCAATATTCACGAAAAATGCTTCGGGTTCGGATTTTATCCTACCCGATTAGGTCGGATTCGGGTGGATATCCACGGTTACGGATATTTTTGCCATCCCTACCCTAATGCAATGTTTTTTTTTTATAAAATAAATGCAATGGTTTCACTTGGCTAGTACAATCCTAGTCCCTAGACTACGACTTTGGAGACAGATGTTAATAGTGGGCCTAATCCCCCAATCCTTGATTGAGTTGGCCTTGTTTACAGATCCAGCCCTTGCTCTCCGGCCCGGCCCAATCAATTAAGTTACAGAAAGGAACGAAGAGAAATCTGTTTCGTTTGGTTCCTGCATTCTTTAACTTCGTCTTCTCTTTCTCTTCTTCTTTCCCCTCTGGCTCGAAGCTTTTTGTTCTCCAATGCAATCCCTAAAACGTCCTGTCAGAGTAGACTGTACAGTAATATGATATCTATCAAGCGTTTCCTCCTTCCAACGCTTGGGTCTGATTCGGCTGTACGGATGGATGCAACAAGAGCTGGAAATGGTAAGAAATCCTCTGGGCTACAAGGAAAGGAACTGAGAGAAGATATGAAACTGAAGGGAAAGGGATACAGAGGAATGCCCAATGGTCGGTCACCTTCTGCCTCCCTCTTGCTTTCCCCCAAGGCAACCTTCCACCCATTTTTGTTCTCAGGGCGGCATTTATCATTGCCATCTACCCACCACTCGCTCGTCTTCATCAACACCACCACAAAAGCGCTTCATTAATTCAACAGCCATTTTTGGAGGTGAAAAAAAATGGCCGGAGGAGCTCACAGCAAGAGGCGCACGGCCACAAGGCCACGATTTTCCCAGCTCATCATGCCTGGAATGGTCCGGGACCGGCAGCTGGTAAGTTTCTTTCACAGTTCGAAGCAAAATGAGTTTTGCCCGCTTTCTGTTTGACGAATTGTCTCAACGAATTACCTCTTTCAACGCACAAAACAAGGCGGTTCCGAAGTTGTTCGCCAAGGAGTACGGTGATGGTCTCTCGAACAGGGTAGTTTTCGAGCTCCCCAATGGCGCAGAATGGCCCATCCGGCTCTCTGGAAGCGGCGACAAGCTTTGGTTCAGCCAGGGCTGGCGACAATTTGCTGACTTTCACTGTGTTAACTCGACGGGTTACTTCCTGATGTTTGAATATCTTGGTCGTAGTAGTTTCCGTGTGTTTGTATTTGATCCCAGTGCCTCCGAGATCAGCTACCCTCCGTCCGAAGCTGATGTTAGTAGTGAATCTGGAGGGCAAGAAGAAGATCTTCCTAGTGAGAGTAGCCAGGGTGATGTTGAAGGTTATGATGATTTGATCTTTTTCTCGCTTTCAGAATGTTGGATCCTTTGCAGGGGTGTTTGATCTAATACATTGTAGGTTTTCCCCACTCAGGTTGCACAGCTGGGAAGTTTAAGAGGGTGATTGGGAGGCCAAAACCTTTTCTAGGAAGCGGGTCGTCAGCGGGTGGAAATGGTGGGGTATGGAGAAGAACCCTTTCTGCAGGGCTTCCCGAAAAAGGAGTTTCAAGGACAAATATGCACTCTTCTAAGCTAAGAACAAAGAGTGGCAGGCAGCCCACCATCTTTGGTAGTTCATCAGAAACTGCTGTTCCGTTTACTGCAGGAAATCCTTCCTTCGAAGTGACTGTTGCACCTGGTCATCTGCCAGTCTCTCGCAATTGCAAAGTGGTGGGTTGGTTGTTAAAGGACTGTTTGTTTTCATAATCTATATTTTGTGGAGAGAAAAAGCATCAGCCTGTGAACCATATTTTCTTGTGCAGAGAATGCCAACTGGGTTTGCAAGCAATGTCGAGGAAGATATCTGTGAAGTAGAGTTGTGGGTTCAAGGCAGTCACTGGCCGGTGACCTTGAATAGAGAAGTACAGAAAGGGAATGATTACATATCCCTGGGTGGTGGATGGAGAGCATTTGCAGCAGAGAATTCTTTGGATGAGGGAGACGTTTGTGTTTTCAAGCTTATTGCGACCAAGGAAGATGGTTTCAGAAAGTCGATGAAGTTCAAGGTCAATATTTTCAGAGGAGAATAGGGTAGTGTTTTCTTGGAATTTCATATCTCTCTCTGCTGTGATAGGTTTGTTTTGAATTATGCATTTGACGAAATGGTTATCGGTCCAAACAGATGGATTGTTGTTGAATTGGATTGAGATGGATTGTTAAATGCATTGTTCCGCATTTGCCGCTAGGTAGTGTATGAAAATCCCAATATCGTATTTGTCTCTATTGTTTGTTTACTACCCATCTCCACATTCCTCAGCCCTCTTATGGTGGTGAAGAAGAGAGTCCATGAAAGTGACAGAGTGACGAGCAAATGCCATGCGGTTTCTATGTTATTTTTTTTTTTACAAGTGCGAGCTCCATATTTCTAGTTTATAAAAGCAGTGGGATCATCATCAACCGCAGCAGCATCACACAAGAACTGGAGTTGAAGTAGGAGACTGTTGCAGACTAGCAGCATAATCTCTTGCCCACAAGTCATAATGTATGATCTCATCCAGAGATGGTGATGCCACCAACTCCTCCCGATGCTTCGCGCATGTCAACTCCACAACCTTGAAGATATCCAGATAGCTAATTCTGGAAGAAGCAGCAAAAAAAACCAAAACAAAAGAGAATGAGTCGCAGTTTGCAGAACATTTGTTAACTTTGAGTTCATGAAGCATATCTGTAGTTGAGGCATACTTCTCATCAATGAACAACTCTACAGCTTTCTCATTAGCAGCACTCAGGACGCCTGTCATGGTACCACCAGCTCGTCCAGCTGCATAACAAAGATCCATGGATGGATACTTCACATAGTCTGGAGCTTTGAATGTCATTGTACCAATCCTGCATTATCACCAATGAAGGAATATGTTGCAGTTATGAACACCAGCAGCAAACTTTTAACCAAATTTTTTGTGTGGAAAGTTACTTACTTGCAGAGGTCGAGACGTTCCCAAGTTACTTCGGAGCAGTAAACCCTTTCAGGCCAGGACAGAGTGTAGAGAAGTGGGATGCGCATATCAGGCCACCCTAGTTGAGCAATAACAGATGAATCCTGCAATCAAATGATCAAGAAATAGCGGTGAGAAGGAGAAATCAGCAAGAAGCAAGACAGACACAAGCAGTTTGAGAAGCAAGTAAGACCTGTGTTTCAATAAGGGAATGTATAATCGATTGTGGATGAATCACGATCTCAATGTTATCGTAATCAGCTCCGAACAAGTAATGGCCTTCGATCACCTCAAGTCCCTGTGAGAAAATCCCAAAAACAAAGTTAGATCAGAAGAACACGATGCTCGTTTACAGAATAAGAAAAGGGGAGCACCTTATTGAAGAGGGTAGCAGAATCAACAGTGATCTTCTTCCCCAGACTATAGTTAGGATGCTTCAACGCATCAGCAACTTTGACATCCTTCAATTTCTCAACAGGCAGATCTCTGCCCAAGAAAGAAAGGCCAGAAAGTGAGATCAAGGAGAGTCATCTCCATTGCAAAGTGCAGTAGCTTAATAAAGTTACAATTTTTTCCACACACCTGAAAGCACCACCAGAAGCTGTCAGAATAATGCGCCGCAGTGCACCTTCTGGCAGGCCTTGAATACACTGGAGCAGAACAATCGGGTTTTCGTTACATGATTCGTTGCGAAAAATGGGAAATTGATCCATACAAAAAACCAAATCTTCTCTATACCTGAAAGATGGCAGAATGCTCAGAATCAGCAGGCAGGATTTTGACGTTGTGCTTGTGAGCAAGTGGGACGATGAAAGGGCCTCCAGCAATTAAGGTCTCCTTGTTGGCCAAGGCTATCTCTTTCCCTGCTTCTATGGCTGCCACTGTAGGCTGTGTGAAGAAGTTTGAACAACATCAGGGCTTTTTGCTTGAATGAAAATGGCCATTGTAATAATCTAAGGTCAAATGGTTTTAGAGAAAGAAGTAAGCAATGAAATGGAAATATACCTGGAGACCAGCACATCCTACTATCCCTGTGACCACGGTAGCAGCATCTGGGTGGCGAGCAACCTGAGAAATGAATCTCAAGGGTAGTGTCATCTTTCTTCGATCCGTTATTAAAGATACACCGAAGTTTAAATAGGTAAGATATACACGAGTTGAAAAAAAAATTCCATATATGATAAGTGATCTGGTATGACTTTCTTTTCTTGTAAGGTATGAATCGTCGGCGACTATAAGTCTCTTGCATTGATTCACGGTGCTTAGTTAATTGAGTTTTGATAATTTTAATTCTACGGATAACTTATTACGTTAATGTTGCAAATTAGACAAAAATTTTAGTTGGAATTTTCTAGAGGTGCCCATTTTGTTACCAAGTTTCAAAGTTACCAATTATAGTAATAAATGTTTTCACCCAAATAGTTTAAAAAGGAATTGAATAGAGAATTTTTACCTCGACGGCTCCTTGCTCTCCACAGATGATCTCAGGTTTTTCTTCAAGATCAGCCAAAGCCTCCTTCAACTCGCCAAATAATGACTCATCTCTAATAGAAACCAATTGGGGTTTGAATCTTCTCACCTATACAAATTCCATGTCAGAGATATTTATTTATCTCATAAATTTTTTGTATATAACCGAATTGACTTGGATTTAAATTCTATCATGTGAAAATTCCAATAATTTCTCTGTCTGAATAGACAAAATATGATTCTAAAACAGATGGAAGGAATTCTCGAATCTATTAACATCAAATTTCTTCATCTCAATTAATTCTCTGAAAATGATATAAGTTTCGTTATTTCTGTCGACTAAAATGAAAACAAAAACTATCCATTTTCAATATTCCTTCTCTGAAACTACTTCAATTCCATTTCTTTCGTCATCCTCTTCCAAATGAAATTCGACATTTTCACAATCCAACTATTTCAAAATAACGAACTTCAAACAGTCCGTAAAAAATAAACTCATAGGAAGATAATCTGCAAAGAGAAAGGGATTGGATAACCTGATCAGCAAGGAGTGTGACATTTGAACCCGCCGCCAGCCCAACGACTTTGAATTTATCTGCATGTTCTGCTACTATACCCAATGTCTAAAACAAAGAAAAAATTTATTAAGATTCTACAAAGTCAATGATTATTAAATACAAATGGAGCCCAAGGTTTTCAAATTAACCTGGGTTCCAATCGAACCGGTGGAACCAAGAATCGAGATCGGTTTGGGACCATCCCAAGTCTTACGGTCTGGTTCTGGTATAGCCGTTCCAGGCCAAGCCGATGAAGGAGAAGGTTGCGACTGTTGAACCGAACATTGGATCTTTCTCCCACCACTCTCCTTTTTCTTCAAATTGAACCCACCTGGAAATTTTATACACAAGAACCAACCAATAACAAAGAGTTGAGTTGACCAAGTTAGAGGTAACGAGTCTCGCACTAATCCACCAATCCAATTTACCTCTGGTCTAAATGGACTAAACTCTGGGGGTTATATTTTAGATCATAAACATTTTTATATTGAATTTAGTATAAATGATCAATGGTTTACAAAAGGTTGTTAAAAAATTGTAGATTAATTAGTATGTGCAATTTTTTTAACATTTTAGTAGATAAAACTTCCATAGTCTTACAAAAAAGTCCATAATTATATCTAACTTCAACTTGACTAGATAACGGAAAATTACACTATGTTACCAATCTTCGTATTAAGAATTTTAACACTTTACCCGTTGACTCTTATATCCGATATACAATTAAGATGTGACATAAGGGTTTAACATTTTTTGGTCACATGATGTGATAAAAAAAAATTCTACTAGTAAAAAATGGAAGAAAAGAACCTGGAAGCTTGGATATGGTGTGGGATTGGAAAGCTTTGGTGGAATCCAAGAAGGAAATGGACTTCACATCAGGAGACAGCAAATTGAGAGCCATATTTGTAGTCCACAAAACCAGCTTTTGAAGCTCAGAGCTAATTATGAACAAAATCTTGGAGTAGTGTTAGAGAATAAGAATCTGGCTGGTAATGTCGATCAAGTGACGATTTCGACCCAAATATATAGAGACGAGAGGCAGAGTCGTGAAGATTGTGTTATTCTGCCACAAAAATATAATAGACAGACAGAGACAGAAGTTAATTATTGTGGCAAGGAGGATGCATAATAATATTTGTGGAAAGAGTTTTATTTTGACGATGATAAAAGAGAAGAGAAGAAAATTATTTGTGATAAGAAGATAGATCGATGATCAGAAGCCGCCATGAAAGGATCTCTCCTGGTTTCAGTTGTTTTGGAGGGCTTTTCACAGTGTTGTCTTCATTTTGTTGGATGATAGTGAAAATTGGGCACTCTCAAAACAAGTTACCAAACTTCAACATCACACGTTTTCTAAGTTATTATAAGTTGAAATTTTTTATAAGGTATGTAAAATATAATATTTATTACGTAAAAATTAAGTAATACTTGTAATGAATCTTACATAATAATTATAGAATGGTGCGTACTAAATCATCACAAATACCCTACTGAGTTGGAGTAGACGTGTGCTTGGCCATGACAAGTGAAGGTGTGGATTCATTGCACGAGTCGTATTCTTTTACCGGATGATCATATTTAGAGGGACTTTTATTCCGAGAAGAAGCGACAAATGTGCAGATTAGGTTGCTAAAGAAACTGCAAGACGAGCTCTCCCCACTCAGTGGATTCATATTATCGATTTGATCTCACCTTTACTGTAGCAGGCTGAGCTTGTACCACAACTGTGTATGAATCAAAATTAATCAAGTTGTAAAAAAAAACGTTGTGTCTTTGCACTTTACGTAAAACTCGGTGTTAATGCTCATTAAGTAAAAAGAACATCTATTACGAAAGTTTTAGGTGTAACACTATTCTAGAACTATTACGTAGAATACAAATTCATTGCGTCGGCATTCCATAACGACAATTGTTTCTTACGTAGCAGTTAAATTGAAGGTATTATGTAAAGTCTTTCATAATACAAGGTTAATATTCCCTACGTAAGCGATTCACAATGACATTTTATAATAGTTAAGTAAAATAATTACCCAATATCAAAATTATTGACTCTAAAATATTAGGTTGGGTGGTGAACATAGTTCCTGATTTTCTCCTTTCTGTTTAGTGCAATTTTCTGCCTCTGGCAAAAACAGAACAAAAGAAAAACAAACTTGGGTACCACAAATATACAAAGTGCAGATGCTTCTTCTGGTTCCTTCCCTTTCCCATTCTCCTCCTTCTTCCATCCATAATTATTTGGGGTTTTTTTTTTCTCTCTTTTATTGTTTCTAGACATTTCTATGATAGCATCACTACCACCAATTATTGCGTTAAATATATATTTTGTTTTTCTACAAAAATAAGAAACTAGAATCACAAGTTTCCTAATAATATTGTAATGTGGTTATATGGGATCGGATAGGATACTAATATCTTTATGAACTAGTATTACCTTAATATAATTATCAGGGGTATTATGATAATTACTGTACATGGTACTTACTCCACTCCCTGTAAAAAAAATCCCACCTCCAATTTTCTCTCTCTATGTAAAAAAACCCAGCCTGTAACTTGTAAAAAAAATAGTTTACCATTATAAAAAATTGATTTCACCATTAAATCTCTTCATTACTTGTCATTCTCAATAAAAAAAAATCGATGTTTCTTGTATGTTTTAAGAAATATGTCGTGGGCTGAGGTTAATTTCAGGTATGTTTTATGAGATTTATAGTCTATTTTTCATGAAACTTGTGATCAGTTTTATCAGTTTTCTAGCATGCTCCAGAGAATTTGCGGTTTGTTTTAAGAAACTTACGATAAGCTTTATAAGGTATCTAGTATATTCGCAGGAATTTGTGGTTTAGTTTGGTAAAAATTTTATGATATGTCTGAACAATCTTGTAGTTAGTACTTTATGAATTTTGTAGTAAAAATTTATCAACGAAAAATTAAGAAATTAAGAATTCCTCGCCATTTTCCCGTCCTTTTATACGCATCTCTTCTTCTTCTTCTTTGTTAATCCGTGGATATCCATCGTACTTATTTTAAGCCTGCTGATATAGTGTTATAAGCTTGGCAGCTTATCAATAAATTAATAATTTTGGAACGATTTTAGAGATTCTTCGACGACCAGTGATTCCCCATGCTTATCCAATTAAGTAACCAACACTCATATTTTAGCCCACTCATAACAGCCCAAGTGTCCCTAATTGCCTTTCACTTTCTTTCCCACTTATTAATTAATTAATTTATTTATTTGGCCATTTATTGATTGGTGCTCACGTTTCCTGAAGAAGAAATGTCAGCCAACCAACTGGGCTCTCTGCCCGTAATTGTCTTTACAAGGATTATTATCATTATACGTGTCCCACAAGTTATCTTCGTTGGGTTAAGATTCCGCAGCTGACATTTGTGGTCTGTAAACTTCTCGAATTATGGTTTAGGATACAGAACGACAACTAATCAGCTGCGTTGCATTTTTGTGTCGTTTAACTATTCGATATATGATAATTTTAACATGATATTTAGACTCGGTTAATTATATGACTGTTGGTAATCAATGAAGAGTTCAGTCAGGCATTGACATGCCATCTTATTGATTAAAAAGAAATATCATGTTCTTCATGTAGTAAAAACGGTAAAAATATAATCAACCAAAAATAATATAATAACACAATCAGGCAATCGACATGTCATCTTATTAGTATTTTTTAGCTTTTTATGGTGATAATAATATTAAGTGGAATCTAATCCGCAGATAGTTAAAATTCTAACTCCAGTGCTCCTGGCCTGTGATTTAGATGATGTTAGGGTATAAAAATCCTATATGCTGACTCCGCAATAATTATGTTGAGCCACGTTAAATGTAGCAAAATATGAATTCACTGTCGTTTGAACGAACGATTATATTAACAATCAGCAAAGGACACAAATCACAAGACATGCCCATAATTCAAAATATTATTGTCATTTAGAATAATTCGTGTCATAAATAACACTTTACTGATAGTTAGTGTTTGTGTGTTTTTTAGTGATATTTCTCCCTCTAAACTTATCTGTTCAACCTCCTCCATCCTGGACATGCATGCTAAAATGTGTATATTCAACACCATCATGGGTTCAACCAAATATTGATTACTGCAGCAGCATTCCTGCATAAGTTTCAACCACGCACTGCTGCCAGGCCGGAGGGAGAAGGTTAGAGGGTGGGTCCTGGATCGGGAGGAAAAACGATAAATTAAATATGAAAAATAATACATATAAGTGGTTGAACTTTTAAATATTTGATGTATGATTTATAAGTTGTTTATTGGCATATTCAAAAAATTTATAATGATTTATAAGTTATGCCGAATTTTAGGCCAGGAAGAAATTTTACCCGCTTCTGTAATTTACGAATTGGATCGGGTGTGGATTTATAAGTTATGATCCGCCTAAAATTAAATATGTACTTATTCAATATCAACAATACATATTCACCAAATCATAGCCAATCTTTTAAAAATAATTTTATTCCAATAAGGGGTATGGAGAGTATAACTGGTGAATCCTAATGACGACATTGGGTAGATTAGTATGATGTATAGTTAATTGAGAATAAAATTTAGGGAACTTCTTATTGAGAATGGTTGAGCAAGAGATCGTGTGTTTGAATTTTGACAACCCCATTTGCTAAGCATATGATATTCGAATTTGCGAAAAAATTTAAGCACATATAAGTTGGTTTTCATTATCAGAGTAGTGTTAGTAAATACTAAATAGTATAAGATCCATTATTAGATATTTTCCAACAACTCGAATTATTGATACTAAACGGTCTTGACAAAGAACACCTTTCAGAAGCAAATGTGTAACTAAATCATGAATAATTGTTTAATACATAGAGAGTGATATTCTTGACAGTTTCGAAATATAATTAATTTAGCAAAAAAATTTAAAATACTAAATTATATCATGAATGATTTAAAAAAACTAACAAAACTATTTTATCGTGTGTATGTTTTTTCCGAATGGACCCACCCTCGGCAAAATCATGACTACGCCCCTGCTGGCTGCAACATCATTGTTGTACAGGTTCTCCACTCTCAGTTGTATTACCATGTGAAGTTAGCTTGTAGTAGGCTTCTTTTCATGCTTTGATCCAAGTATATGTAATGCCTCGATTCAATTTCTTTGCACTTTGTTACCCAGTCGGCGATATCATGCTTTCGATTCTGTAACAGATGACTCTAGTGCTGCTTAATAACTTTTCCTTCGAAAATTCTCAAGTTGCCACTGCATCTATGCCAACAACGCCATCAAGCTTCACAAATCTGTCAGTGAGGACCATACTTTTCTGATTTGAAAGGTATGAAGTAAATGGTTAACATCTTCCTCATCTTCTAGGCACAACGCACATCTAGGGAATGAGACCATCCTCTACTTTTTAGAGTGTCATGAGTGAGAATCTTCTTCTGAAAAGCCACCCATAATAATGTAGCAACTGCAGAAAGTGCAGGAAAAAATATGTAGAAGTAGAGGGTTTTTTCGTGTTAAAAAAAAAAAATTCTCAAAATACACACGGTTTATAAAAATTTCTCTATCTACACATGTTTGGGCATCATTGTGGTCGTCGGACGCGGTGAACATGTTCACAGCGTTCGACGGCCTCGGTGATGCCCAAATATCCCAAAAGTAGAAGGTTCACTAGTGAGGCTAAGAAGATTGGATTAAACGTACTGAACCACTTGATTCTAATGGAAACATCCCGGATAGGGAGATTTTTCCAAAAATGTCACCATTAAAAATTACGAAAATACCATCGAACCCGTAAAAATTCCATAAATACCACCATTCTTGGAAAACCATATGGGGAAGGGGCGGTTCAAAGGAGAACCGCATGCGGAAGGTGCGGTTTCCATTAGGGCAGCCGATAAACCGCGCCTCCACACGGTGGTCGCCGGAACCGTTGGATAAGGGCGCAATCTGACGGGAGACCGCCTGCCAGCTCACTGATCAGCATCTGGACGTGATAACCGCTCTTTAAAGGCGCATTTTGTGTGTTGGGAAAAGGAAACCGTTGGGTTTGTTTAGTGTTATTGGCAATCAAAAATTCGATCATGACATCTACTTCCTCCTAAGTGGTTATGATGAATTCCTCATGCCACAACGACCTGCCTTGTCTGTTTGGATATCGATACACTATACGATCAACTCTTCTCGTGCCATCCATGCAAGTAACCTCGTTACACATTTGACGGAGCTCTTCAATTTTCGGTCTCGTAGTGACCTTCACTTTATGAAAATTATCACTGACGTAACGTTCCCTCTTTTCGATCTCTTCCGTATAACTTTTCCACTGTAACCCAAGCGTGAACATTTGGAATATCATCTGCAATAAAATCGTAACTAAATTAATACCATAAAAATCACAAATCACAATAAAAAGTAATACAAAATAAACTTACGAAGTAACGTTAATCGCAAAAACTCAAAAACAGCAGGGCGCACAACATAAATTTGAAGAAGAATAAGAAAAGGGGTGAAGAGCTGAGGTTTCCGGGGCTGCCTTTTATAGGCAAAATGACCACTGAAAACCCCTAGGTGAGGGTGCGGTTTTCATCTGCCATGCAGCCCCACGCCTGCAACCCCCCTGCATGCTGACATGTCGGCTGTCAGGGAGATGGGTACTACATACAAACCGCGGCCCCACCAGGCGGTTTCCATTGCCAACAAAGAACCACAGCCTTAAAGAGCGGTCTTTGTCTTAGGAAGCCATGGAACCGCCCCTGAATGACGCGTTTTTGTTGAAAATACAAACCGTTTGTGTAACAAGCGGTTCATCAACAAACGGCTTTCCTATGTGGCGGTTTTCAGAGAATGATGATATTTATGGAATTTTTCAGGGTTGGATGATATTTTTATAATTTTTTTAATGATGATATTTCTAGAAAAAATCCCCGAATAGGAGTACAAGAATATTTATCTCCTCATAAGTCATGATGACTACAGTTTCATGTGCTGAAACACAGTTCATCATTGCATCACACTATATATTGAGTTGAACTAAGTAGCACAATTGTAAATTGTAGAAGATGCATCGTCTAACACCAATTCCTCTCATGGGAAAGCTTAATAAGTTGAGAGAAACAAATGCACATCAAGGCAGAAAGGCAAAACTATACAAAAGTATAAAACCAAGATTGAAAGAAAACAAGAAACACCATGATTTCCCCTGCAACTCAACTCCCTGTTTCAACTGCAAGTACTCCACCGAACAATTCAAAACTACAGCACACAGAAAAGCACTCAAACTTCGGTTAATTTAATGGTCTAAATCGCGAAACTCACTAGGGGTATGAAATGGTTAGCGTTTTCTAAATGCTAACCTGAACCATATATATGTGTATAGAGTAAAAGGCTGATAATGTGTGTTTGTAATGTATTGTGGATCAGTGTGCAGTGTATATACTAAATCTGGGCCTGAGCTAGCTCATAGGAAGGCCCCCTGAGCGCACATGAGTAATGGGCTTTTCACTCTAACAGGATCCGTGCCGTACAAATGGCATATGGCATGTTGATTCTCAATTGTAAATTTTTCTTTACATTTGCGAGCTCCAAATCTTTTCCCCCCCTTTCCATTTGATAATCAGAAATCAGAATGTTACATTCAAGCTTCCCCATTGTTTCAGAGGATGCATGTTATGCCAAAAACAAAATACAGAAACGGTAATGCATCCCAAGCCCTTCTTCTACTCTACATAACACAGCTGCCTACCCTCCCTTCCACAGTGCACCGTTGCCAAGCTTCTGGCAAGGAAAAAAGGAAAGAAACACCTTCACGATCCGCCAATGGCACCCTCAGGAAATCAACCAGCAAAAGCATCACACAAGAACTGGAGTCAACCCAGAAGACTGTTGCAGACTAGCAGCATAATCCCTTGCCCACAAGTCGTAATGTATGATCTCCTCCAGTGATGGTGATGTCACTAACTCCTCCTGATGCTTGGCGCACGTCAACTCCACAACCTTGAAGATATCCAGATACCTAATCCTGGGAAAAAGGCCAATATTTGTTAGTTCTGGGTTCATGAGGCAGTTGTTTGATACTGTAAGGGTGAAGAACAGAAAAGGAAAGCAGGCGTACTTCTCATCAATGAACAACTCTACAGCTTTCTCATTGGCAGCACTCAGGACACCTGTCATGGTACCTCCAGCTCGTCCAGCTGAATAAGCAAGATTCATGGATGGGTACTTCACGTTGTCGGGAGCTTTGAATGTCAGTGAACCCAGCCTGCATTATTCCCAGGTTAGCCGCCGAAAATCTTAGTTTTAAACCAAAATTCTGAAGATGCTAAGCCAGAGGTTGTTTACTCACTTGCAAAGATCAAGGCGAGGCCAAGTTACTTCGGAACAGTAGATTCTCTCAGGCCAGGACATTGTGTAGAGAATTGGAATGCGCATATCAGGCCACCCTAGTTGTGCAAGCACAGAAGAATCCTGTAATGAAATAATCGAGAGAGAAGGGTAAGAATGAGTATGCAGTAAGAGAGGTAGAAGAGTTTATGTTTAGGAAGCAAAGCAAGACCTGAGTTTCAATCATCGAATGTATAATCGACTGTGGGTGGATGACGATGTCGATATCATCATACTCAGCTCCGAATAGATAATGGGCTTCAATCACCTCAAGTCCCTGCGAAAGCCGAGAACAAACAGCATGAGATGGAACATCCATATTCTAAATGATGAACACGAAGCTTATTCATCGGGAAAAAGGAATGCAAGGGTACCTTATTGAAGAGGGTAGCAGAGTCCACAGTGATCTTCTTTCCCATACTCCAGTTTGGGTGCTTCAAGGCATCAGCAACCTGAACATCCTTCAATTTCTCAACAGGGAGATCCCTGCCAACGATCCATTGAAAAAGATCAGCAAGGACAAAGCTTGATAACAAATTCGTTCATGGGCAAACACAATAGGGTTCAGAATTCTAGTCTTAAGCAGGTTTGAAAGAGAATTAAGTTTCCCAGAGAATGATCAAACTCAAATAAAGGAACATATCGTACCAGGAAAGAGTAACTAAAGAAAACTTCATGAAGTTTCTTAAGAATCAAGAAATTTTCATGATTTCCACAACTTATTAATCAGTATCTAATTACAATTTCACACCTGAAAGCACCACCAGAAGCAGTGAGAATAATCCGTCGGAGTGCCCCTTCCGGCAGGCCCTGAATACACTGCAGTAGAAAGCATCTCTTTCTTCAGTTACACATGAAAGAACTAAGATAACAAACCAAAGCCAAAGTTGACGACACATGGGTAGAGGAATCAGATTCAAAATGAAAGTTGATCCATACATAACCAGATAATCTTATGTACCTGAAATATCGCAGAATGCTCAGAATCAGCAGGTAGAATTTTGACATTGTGCTTGTGAGCAAGGGGAAGGACAAAAGGGCCTCCAGCAATTAAGGTCTCCTTGTTGGCCAAGGCTATGTCTTTCCCAGCTTCAATTGCAGCCACTGTAGGCTGAAAATTGAAAACAAAAAGAGCAGGTTGAGTGGTTGAGAAATGAATGCTGGAAAAAAAAAAAACATTTTAATAGGTGAAACAAACAACATTAAAAGAAACATGGTACAGAACACATGTTCAAAAGGCTTGTTGTTCATTTATTTAACCAGTCCTATATCTTAAGAGACAGTCATAAAAATCCAGGTCAAATGGATTAGAGACAACTAGTTAATCAATTGAAATACCTTGAGACCAGCACATCCCACTATTCCTGTCACAACACTAACAGCATCTGGGTGGCGAGCAACCTGAAAAAGTGAATCGCAGGAGACAATTAGGAGTGATCAAAGCTTTCAGCCAAACAGACAGCAAGAAACTGAATTGAACAGAGAAACTTACCTCGATAATACCTTGCTCCCCAGGGATGATCTCAGGTTTTACATCAAGACCAGCCAAAGCCTCCTTTAACTCTTCAACCAATGACTCGTCTCTCACAGAAACCAATTGGGGCTTGAATTGTTTTATCTATATAAACAAACATATGTAGGACCAAGACATTTAGCCCGAAATCAGTATAACCATTTAAGGAAAACTACATGAATCAATTCTTGACAATATGATAAACTGACAGGGAACTAGATGGATTACCTGTTCGGCCAGGAGTGTGACATTTGAACCAGCTGCCAGGGCCACAACTCTAAATTTATCAGGGTTTTCTGCCACTATATCCAATGTCTGCAAAAGGAAAAAAATTAAAGAACAAATTAGCTTGGTGGTATGAGATAACCCTTCACTTATTCAACAAACTCAACAATTAGCATAACTCAAAGGTTCTCAAGTCCTGTCTACGTAGCACCCTCTAAACTCATCCTACCTTGATCAGCGTTTCCAATAATGATCATAAATTTCTCAGAAAGGAAGGACAAACTAATTCAAGGAAATGGGATTACCTGGGTGCCAATGGAGCCAGTGGAACCAACGATGGAGATCGGTTTGGGACCATCCCAAGTCTTGCGGCCTGGCTCAGGAAGAGCCGTTCCAGGCCAAGCTGGAGGAGGCTGGGACTGGTGAACTGAACATTGGATTCCTCTCCCACCATTCTCCTTTCTCTTCAAACTGAACCCACCTGAAAAAAATTCACACAATAACCAAAACTAGAATCAATACATGGATTTCAAACCATGCAAAAAAAGCTGCAGGAACTGGTACAATACAAACAACTTCCTTCCAGAAAGACACTCAAAATCTCAAAAGGCAGCCCCAAAAAAGGACACCCAGAAAGAAGAAAGAAAGAAAGGAACAAACAAACCTGGGAGCTTGGATAAGGCGTGGGTGTGGAACGATTTGGTGGAATCCAAGAAAGAAACGGACTTTACATCAGGAGGAGACAACAAATTGAGAGCCATAGTCGACGAATTGAAGAGCGACCCTTTTGATAACCCTGAATTCCCAGCTCAGAAACCCCGGCAGAAGAAGCGATTTTTTGCAGGAAAAGAAGGGGAGTTTGAGCGGGGGAACAAACTATCTCAGAGCTAAGAACAGAGCTTGGGAAGTGGTAATGGAAGGAAATTTAAATATAATGTGAGCGATTGTGTGGCTGCCGGGGGATGGTGTGGGTCGGGTAGAATAATATTTGTTGTAATACTGAAATTAAAATCATTTTCAAGGCATTCGGCTGCTTTGCTTAGTCAGTTAACAGAGTGTGAGGGCGGAAGGAAAGTGGTGATGAGGGAGAAAGAGAGGCGGAAATTGGGAATTGCCCGTCTCGTCTGGCCGTCTTTGTGTACCATTTCCATCGTTGCATGAGGACAAGTGTTGGGCTGGGAGGGATACGGACAAAACGGTATCGTTGAGAGCTGTTATCTTTTAGATGATTAGTATCGGCGAATCTTTCTTACAGAAGAAGGCGTTTTAATATTCATAATAATTTTTCGCAAAAAAAAAAAAAAAATATTCATAATAATTTACTTCATAATTTAAGGGAAAACATTAAATATTGATAAGAGGTTGTATTGTGAAATTGTACTCGAAAAGCTAAAACTAAAATTGCGATTCAATTGTTTTGTATCGCTAAAAAACACCTATTGATAGGTATTTTAGGATCAGACCGTCGCTATGGTATGGTTCCAAAAATACGGCTTATTACATGCTTTATTGTTTCACAATAATACTCATTTGGATCCTATATATAACAGCTTCCCGTCATAAAATAATTAAAGACAAATATCACAACAACATCGATAATTTATGGAGAGTAGCATAAAAAAGATTATATTTATCAAATATCACTAACCCAAATTTAAGGATAAAATTTTGGAAATAATAAAGTAGCGATTAATGTTAAGACATTATAGATCATCATGTGTGTCATTTGATTATGTTCGATTTGTACTGACTTTTCGAACCATGTTTTACTATATAACAATGAACAATATGATGTTCTTACACACCCCTTTTTGCATATCCATACAAGACTCCGGTAGGCGGGTCAAGATCCTACGAGGTACCCACTATTCGGAGTATCCTCCCAAAAGAAAAGAAAAAAAATTTCATACGACAAGAAGTTAGGCAAGAAGTACAACTTGTGGGTCGAATCGGGTGAAACCCAACAACTTGCCTAACTTCTCGTTTCTTCATCTGGCTTATGCTCTTCATGTAGCACTCATATTGATATTCTCTACCCATCTATGTCGGTTTCGGGTACATGTACTCTTTTGTTGAAGAACGTTCGAGTTTTTTTCAGTAAATATGGCATAGATTACTCTAGCGTCGAGTGTTCCGCCGTGCCAGAAGTTTTATAAGCCAATCCTAAAGAAGAACCATCTTATCGCATCCGATTATAAATATGTTCATAATGAAAGTAGATTGAATAAAAAAGTAAATTTTAGTGATTAAATTGAAAACTTGGTCACTCTCGAGGATTCCTTCATTAGCTTTCTTGTAATCAAATGCTCCCAAATTAAGGATTTCTAATTTGTTTGATTTTGATATTCCAATTTACTTAGTCGTTGTAGGTGGTGGTTGGCTCATGGCTGGCTGGTGGAGTTTTTGTGGAGTGGCATCTTCCTCCTCTTTGTGTGGGTACTTTGATCATCCCAATGAACTATGAGAAATGAGGAATCAATAAATTGAATAAAAATGAAGCTCTAACCGGCAGTTAATCCCACATTTTGAGTAGTTCCAAACACAAGTAGTTGATTAAACTTAATCATCTGTTTTTTTATATCTAATATCTAGGTACTCATAATCGTTTGTGTAAATTCACATACATAATTTTTTTATATATAAGTGTGATATAAGTTTATTTTTTGGGATTAAGGTACTACTTAAAAAACTTGAACCTGGGACCTCCATGTTCTAGGCTAGTGGTATTACCACTAAACCAAGCCCTTGTTCGTCACATACATAACTTTTTATAGTTTGTGAGATCGTATCAACGTTTGTACCAAATAAATTAGCGAATTGAATCATTCAATCATACAACCATTGTTTAAGCAATATGCCAATAGCATCGTTTAAATGAAATGAAGTGTGTGACTTTGTTAAACTTCAGAGAGAAGTGACTTGGAGTCTAGCAAGTTAATCTCTATCATTGATCAGTAATAGTGCTGGAATCATGGTTAGATGAAAAATATGATCTCACTTATACCAAACAGCGGACCGGCTTGTAAAAATCTTATCAGTGTTGGAGCAGGATTCCGACCATATTAAGGTTTCATTGTGAAAAAAAAGATACAAGAACCATTTAAGTAGTAGTAAATATCAATAGAAACCTCTATAAATACCCTTTTCCACTATTGTTGATTTATGTTGTTCTTCAAAACATATCGAGCTACACATCATGACGGCCAACTGTACAAGCAACGATTCTCTGACTATCTCGGCTACAGTTTGCTCAAGCTATATATCCACAAATGCAAACTAAAAAAGTGGCGGATACCTTGCCAGTCCACGCACTGCCTTTAGGATTTCTTTTTTAGTTATGTGTCGCGCGAATTCGATAAGCATGTTTAGAAGAGAGCGCTCTACTCGTACTGGATCTCGTGGTGAATATTATTTCAGACCAAACATGATAGATTTATTTGGATATATCTGAACAATCCAAAATTTTACTTTCGATTTGTGAATAAGCATATAACAATAGGTAAACCGATTTAAGCTCTTCCAATTCTTGGTTTCCTCCTCCTCCTCTATCTTGTCAACCTAAAACATAAAGTACTATAGTTTTTGGTAGAATTATTAGCTCACATTGAAGTTTGAACAGCATTATATCCTATTATTTCCACTCAGAAACAAGAGTCAAGAATGGCCAACTGCAGACGCCAGTCAAAATGAAATCATGTGCATATTATTCATGTGGGTGTGCGCATTTTAAACCATCCCTCAATGCCTGAGTTTCATGATATAATGCAATTATGCAAATGGTGATAAAATATTAGGAAAGATACGAAAATCGTTATTCTCAAAACATATTAATGGCATCTACGTAGAGAGTAAGCCAGCCAGGCGACAAATGGCGACGGCAAGAACGAGAATGGATACGAACAAAAGAAATAATATGCATATACTAAGATTATGATTAAGATCCACAAATAATCAAGTATAATAATAATAAGATTAAGGAGATAAGAAGGGAGGCAGCGGCAGCCGGCGGGCCAACCAGCCAGCAGCGGTCAGAAGTGGTATGCTGCTAATTAGTCATCAGTCCAAAAAAGGGTGTGATTTTCGATTAGGTGATATGATTAATTAATTTTTAATCCACAGTCAAAGTTAAAGTGATCGAGAGGGTTAGGTGGGAGCGATCGAGGAGTATCTTTGGCTGCTGCAAATTTGAAGATCCTTCCTCTGCTCAAACTTGGACTGTTATTCATTCTTTCTGCCCTGTCTCATCGTTTTCTTGGGTCATTTATTCAAGGCTAAGGTCTAAGCGTTGTTGTTGGAGTAACTACCAGTCTCTTAGGTTCAATTATTCAACATCTCCTAATAATTTGCAAGTCATTAATTAGGAGTAATTGTCGATATGAAAATATTTTGTTGGTTGAGAGGTCTTGTGTTTGAATTCCGACGATTCTCATTTGTTAAAGCACATGATATTCGGTCATGTGCAAACTTCATTTCCTTATGAGTGACTTTCGTTTGCACCTGATTATGAATAATGCATGGCAGATAGACAAACGGATTAGACTATAGGATAAGACATTTTTTTAATATTATCTTTAAATTTCGACGATCTATTTTAGTCTATGTTAATTCATATTTATGCTATACTACTGTTGTATACTGATTTGATTTTTTTTTTTTCCATAGTAGTATTCAAATCAAGTGAATTGCATGGACGTAGGTACAATATTATTTATCTGATTTCAATTGCACAAATGAAGAACTTCAACATATGCAATTGATTTTACGATTTCTTTAGTTTGACTTCAACTTCTAAAAATCGTTCTTTCTTAATTTTGTATTTCAATTTGCTTAACCAAATTGATCATTGTAGCTAGTGTCCATCCCACTACTCACAGCCCAGCTGACTATTATTAGTGACATTTTCCCACCTTCCAAATTAAAGAAATTTCATTTGGCTGGCCTTCTTGGTGGAAACATGTATCAACATCCATCATACCAAAAGAACATGAAACTGACACCCACAATTACGTACCAAAGTAGAGTTATTTAAATCCATACTCAGAGCAGAAGCTCCCTTTAGCAAGTGCTGACAAACATATTTCTTATTCGTTCCCCTAGAGCTAAAAAAAGACACCTACTGTTGTTCTACAACTCCAGCTCAGGGTGTATACAAATAGATTTCCAGTGCAGCTTCTTCCACATCAGTTCACTCATTTCCTCTTTCAATAGCTCTGTACGGGTTCTTCCTCAATCTCGCTCAACTTCAATCCTCCGTTCGTTTCTTGTCCTCCGCTGTGCGCCGTCGTCTCCTCTACTTCCCCTCCAGACTCGGATATCTTGGTTATCCTCTGCAACTCGTCCGTGACCTCAGCAACAGCAGCAGTTGATGATGATCCCCCTCCGCTCGTTTCTTGATTGGTAACAGGCTCTGCGGCCTCTTTCTTGGATTTTGGTCGCCGAATGGCTTCTGCTGCTTCAGGCATTACAACTGGCGGAGGCTGAGGAGGCACCCATGTCCGCTGAATTGGTGGCTGCTCGTTGGTCTGTGCAACGGTGTTGGACCCTGGCTTGGGTTCGACGTAGTCAAGCTCAGTGATTCTCGGGTTCTTCTTCTGCCACCAAGGCACGGTATTCTGGGCGTCCACCTGATAGCTCACTCCGTTGTTCTGTGCACCGAAATCTGAACCTCTGTCCCCATTCAGTGAAGAACCAAATCCTCCTCCTCTTGAGGTGGTTGTGGCTTGATAACCACCATCCCAAGGCTGCTCAGAATAAGCAATTGGTAAACGTTTAAGTTAGAAAAGGCTAGATTTCCTGACGACGGAATCTTACTCAAACATTTAAGTTAGAAAATGCGAGATTTCCTGACTACTGAATCTTACATCGTGATGTTATGGCATCAAGTTTTCAATAGCACATACATACCTTAGACCTGGGAGCCGAGCGAGGATTTGAAATTTGCTGGCTAGCATAGGGGGGTTGATCATTCATATCCTGTAAGAGTACAAAACAAGCAAATACCGTAAACATGCAATACAGCAAACTACCTGAAATGGTAAACTATATGCAGTATACTCTGATGTTTGGAGGTTCTCTCCCCTTTGAACCGAACCATTGTCATTATCTGCAACATAACAACGCAACTTTTTTTTTGCCAGCTCAACTCTTTGTTACATGAACACATCAAATTTTTTTTTTTTCAATTGCTTTTGGAAGGTGAAAATCAACATGTTGCTGACTGGAGCATCAATGGGGAAGGAGATGTATCACAGATATCATTGCAAACACAAAATCAACAGAAGGTTAGGGCATCATCAAGCTTTGAGTTCAAAGGCAATGGTTTCCACCTAAATCAGAAAAAGCCAATCACGTACGGTAGTTACTCATCAATTTTCGTCAAAGTTAAGGTGATAGAATTCAATCATAAAACAAGTGGATTAAATAGTGGACTGGCCCAGTGCTAAGCAGTAAGTCAGAGCAATGGAAGTGAAGTACAGTACCTAGAGATTTGCAGTTAACATACTAGATACTTAGATAGCAATGGCATTATAGTACTTTATATTCTATACTATGGTTCATCTTGTCCCAAAGTAACAACTAACAGTTTCAAAGTTGTATTTCTTACCTCCATGTATGAATTGAGATAAGGTGGGGCAGATTGATCTGCAGAAGTTGGTGGTGAGGAAGACCTTGCTGTTCATAAAATATAGAAAATACAACACGCAAATTACCAAGTGAAGAGGGGAAATGGAACAAAAATGAACCATTAGTTTGCAAGTATAAGAACCTGAGCGTGAATCAATCTCTGGTTTGTTTCCCATTGGATATGTTGGCTGGCAAGAAAATACAAAGACAAGAAAATGTTACAGCTTGAACCCGAGTTATAGCCCAAATGTTTTTCATGCCAGGACAATTATGAATCAAATATTATAGCCTGGATACCTTAAGGTTTGCAATTGAACCATTGTACCCTCCATGTTCGACCCGATGAGTTCTTTCAATTTTGTCACTTCTCCCTAATGACCATAATTATAAAGAGTATATATAAGAGAAGGAATGGAAGAAGAAAAAAACTCGTTGAAATGAGTATTCTGACTATTAAGGCTCCAGTGCTCCAATCAATTAAAGTTGGAATGAGATAAACTAGTGAAGGAACAATTGACAATTGAGATGTCAATATTTGCATAAACAATCGCCTGATTACAAACTGATGCAAACCAGGTCATGCAAAGGTAAGACTGAGTGCAGACAGACTAATCATGCAGGAGCCCATGCCCTGCCTAATACTTAGTCAAGGCACACTATTTAACTATGGCCTGAAACATAAAATGCACAAGAATGTGAATGAGCTACCCATGCTCTGAGAAATCTCGCAAGAGTTTCAGAGGGGGAAATCTGTTTATTGCTGGAGGGAAAAGAGTTGAACCAGCATCTGCTACCTTTTACAATCCACTTATTATTTGTCCCACCAAGGCCTAGCTCAAGGAATTAGAAGGATGATTCTTTAGATAAAGGTATGAGCTTCAACCAATTCTCCACAGCAACTGAAGCAAATTAACTATCTAGCTTGTAACGCAATATGATGCAAATAAATTGAAACATCAAGCTCAAAGCTTAGCAACCTCGTCACTAAATAAAATTCCATCTTAACTAATGTCATTGGATCTATAAAATCCTTGTGATGTGTGACTCTAGGAACTCCTGAGGACCACCTAAGAAAAAGCATACAGCAAAAGCTAACGAATTTACTTTCTTAAAGAAGCAAACATATTATCACCTTCCAGTTGTTGTATGGCATTGCCCATTGACCTAATTTCAGTCACTTGCATTTGTAACAACTCCATGAACTTCTCCATGTTTACTTTCTCTGAAAATGCCAGAAGACTAGTTTAACAATAAGAAGATAAAATAGCTTATCAATAGGAGTCCAGAAGCATTATTATAAGGAAATAAACTCACACTACGGATATTTCCTACCTTCACGTCTTGAGATCATCATTTCCTGGCTTGCTTTTGCCACATCAGTCGCAGCAGCTGCAGCTGATTTTGCCGCTGCTGCAGCTTCTTCAGCCAAAGATGGTTTTATATTTGTTATGTCCCCATCACCATGTTTCTCTTCCAGAACCACCCACCGTATCCAAGATTTTAGCCGGGGAATCATGGACTTCTGAGAGAACATATAAGTTGTCAATTAGCTTCTTAAAATCATTTAAATTACACATATGGAGTCTAGAGGGTGATAAGTTAGTGCTGCAATGGGAAAAAAAAAAATCAAAATCCAGCATCAAATATAGTGACAGGAACTGTGTGCTAAGCACTAGAACTGTCCCAATTGTGCACTAGAGATCAGAATATGTTATGGTACCTTAACCCAAATAGCCGTTCCAACACCAGAGGCTGTGAGCAATCCAACAGCAACAACAGCATGGTACCAGTGAAATCGAGACCGAGCCAAGGCGACCATCGAGGGACTCCCACCACTAGGAACAGTTGTCATTGGCAGCGGGGTTTGAGCATCAGCTGCTGGCTGAATGGTTGATGTTGTTACTCCCTGTCCTGCTGCTTCCGACATGAATAAACAAAAACATGAATAATCCAAGAATACATGACCAACCTCCGTGAAATCAGAGAAATGTTTTTTCCACAACAAACTAACATCTCCTTTTAATACCACAAGACTTTACCCTGATTGGTAGCAGTTGGCTGAGCACTTGGGGACGGATCCTGCAAATTTTGAAGACAAATATCAGGAGAAAGTGAAGAGTCAACTTATACATCACTCGGGGGGTAAATGTATACACTGAACAATGAACAGATGCATGGTGGGAAATACAATAACGAAATTATTTAATCATTTACTGGTACACGCCGAAAAGCTTCATCTATCTCTTCCTTAGTTAGCCCCTTCTTCTCAAGAAAATTTCTTCTGTGGAAAATTGGAGAATCCCTAACTTTCGGGTGAGAAAGAAATTTTATGGCATTTTGTACTTGGTCTTCTCGTATTGGTTCCGAATTCACAAAGACAGACTTCGGATTTTGTGGAGCGGCATCTTGCTTATCTCCATTTGCTGGTTGCACAGCTTCAGCAGCTGAAGTTTGAAAGAGCAACAAGAAAAACATTAACCTTCATGGCTTCACATCGTAAACACAAACCCCACATGTTACAACTACAAGCAATTCAGACTCTCATATGCTAATTTAATCACTTCCTTCCTCTTTGCACCCTATAAGCCTAATGTAGGCTGTTTCAAAGACCAAATAAAAATTTTCCTTTAAAACAACCGCGAAAACTCACAGCCAAATTCTACGATTCGACAAACTTACATTCTGTCTATGATAGCAATAGTTAGCCTTGTAACAGCTGCAGAAAACGGGATTCATACCCTCTGATTACTATCAACACTGTAAAATGAGCTTAGAAGCTTCAACAGCAATCACAGACAACAGACAAGTTAAAGTCCTAGCTGAAACATCTAATTGTAGCCACCAGAAGAAGCAGATTCCATGTACGTCTCAACTCCAATTTCAGGTCCAATATCTGCCACCGATCCTTCCCTCAATCAAACGAGCTAATAAGCTTCACGGACAACTACAGAACAAACGAATTTCCAGCTAGAATATCTCGTCGTAGCAATCAGAAGACGGACGTTCCATACCAATCTCAAATCCGACTCCAGGTTCAATATCTACGATCAATACTCCCATCGATCAAATGGTAATGTCACATAACATACGGCTCAGAAACCGTCAGCGTTGTTGGACTAGACTAAGCAATCCTAATCAAGACGCCAAAGATAGAAGAACGCTAAATGGAACATTCACGCTCCCAGGAGTTCAATTATGGAAGATGTCAAGAATACTGATCAAGAAATAAGCGGAGAGGTAGTGCACCTGAATTCTGAGGAGTTCCACCGGCGGCGGGAGGATTGGCAGGAGACGAGGACTCAGTCGCCATTACTCAAACCTCCGTTGACTGGATTCAGGAACTGAGCCGTTCAGGTACTCATAATTCATTCAAGCAACGAGCTGAAAGAAAGGACATGAAGAAGATGAAGCAGCAAGCGCAACTTACCAACCAAGGGCGAGCGAGGCAGGAGGTTCGCAAAACAATAACGATTGAGGGAGGTGATGATTTATCAACTAATCGGTGGGAATGCTAACGGAAGTTTTTTCTCATCCCGAGGAGGACTGACTATCCTGCGCTTCTCTGCTACTGTGGGGAACGTAACGGTGGCAATGGCGGAATGAGAGAGCCGTGATGACGATGGGGAAGGTTGTTAGACTTCCATCCGTCAAATGCCAGCGCTTATGGCCACGAAAAGGCCCATTATCCACGGATACCAATTTCCTGCACCATTCATATATAAAATAAAAAAAATAGGGGATCAATGCCAAAAAAATATTAGGGCCGGGCCAGAAGCCCACTAACGGCCCACGGGCTTCCAGTGTAGAAAAGATTAAATCGTGCTCTCTGATTCGAAAGTAGCAGAAACGAACACAGTTTCGCTATTTCTCACCCGTTGTCGATGTAGATTGTAGAGAGAGCAGAGGAGGAAGCAGTGAAATCAGAATACACAGCATCAATGGCGTCGACGGATTTCTTCGAATATTTCGATCCCCGATTGATCGAATCACTGGAGAACTGCTTCGGATACGCCTACAAAGCCTATCCCGTTCTCGAAGACGAGAACGGTCTCATCCGCTCCGACATCCAGCCGGAAGACGATCAGCCGCCGTCGCCGGTCACGCCACTACCTCCGCCGCCTCCTTCCGCTTCCTCAGTTTCGTTGATCGTCGTCTTCGACGTGCTCAATTTAGTACCGGCGCCGCTGGATCACTGCCTCGTCAACCGCCGCACCTGGTTCTCGCGCCTGCCTCTCGAGAAAATCCTTCCCCCCAGATCGCCGTCGGAGGAACCGGACGACGAAAATCAGAAGCCACCGCGTACGCGCCAATCGTCCACTCAATTGGAGCGCGCGACGGAGTTCGTGAATCGGCTGGTGGAGGAATCGAGGCTCGAATTGCCGAAGGACATCGTGGAAGGGATCGCTCGAGTGATTGTGGAGAGCGTGCCTAGGGATTCGCGCTTCATCTTCCGGCCGGAGCTTCCGGTGGCGGTGAACGTCGTGATTTCGTCTCCGCATCCGGTTCTCCCCTGCGGCGAGCGCGATTCGAGTTCGTCGCCGCCGGTCGATGTGAAATTCGAGGCGGACGTCGAGGCGCTGTCGTCGAGCGGGCTCCGAGTCCCTGCTTCGGAGTCCGCAATCGAGAGTTTGGAGACGGTGGCGGCGGAGGCGGGGGAATTTCGATCGGAGGAGCGCGGATGCGCGATTTGCTTGCAGGACCTGGCCGGATCGCCCGGGGCGGTGAAGCGGCTGCCGTGTTGCCACGTGTTCCATCACGATTGTCTCGTGAAGTGGCTGCGTTTCCACCACACATGTCCCCTGTGCCGCTCGGCTTTGCCCATGGATTTGGAATTCGCTCGAAGAGAACTGCTGCGGAGGATCTGTTGATGGTCATTGCTCCATTACTGGTTTGTTTCCATCTTTTCCTATTGCTTGTTGTGAACTTTCTTAGAGCAGAAAAACTGTAAATGACTGTTGACTGTGCCCACCAACTGGACTTGGTCTAGAAGTCTGGTTGTACATAAATAACTGATGTACAAAGTGATTAGTGTTTCATCAGGTCTGAACTTGTTCGAACAGGTGGTGTAAAAGTGATTACAAAACACAATCATATCTGATCTTCTTGGAAGAATCTGCATGTGTTATGTGGAATTATCTAGTTATCATCAGCATTGTTGTTATTGTGATTGCAGAACAAATCCCTTTATTTTGTGTTTGGTGTATAGGTTGGTATAATGTTACATTCAGACTTGGTTCACAAGCTGTAAACTCATTTTGTGCTGGAGTTTTCTCCTTTCCTTGTGATGAATAAAACTAGTTGTTCATCATCGGGAAGAAAATTGTGATTAGTCCTATTTGGTTGCCTCTTCTACTAATTGTGTAGTCAGTAATTTGATTCTCATATGAAAGCTCATGTCGTGGTCGCTTACCGTTTTCGTGTTCTATAAGTTTTTTGTTTGGAGATGTGCTAATGGGGCTCTTGCAACTAGAGACAGACTCTTTAGACCTCACTGCTCTTCTTCATCAAATATGTCCTGTCTGTGAATCGTTACGGGAAGGTCTTACGAGGCAGCAATTCGTGGCTGCCCTCGACATGCTCTAATGCCATGTTGGTCCTCGATCAATGGTCTACTTGCCTTCAGCATTCAGCTCATCTTAATTTGTCCCTTGAGCTCACGGATACCCACCTTCAACCTGCTCCGCCGCCAGGCAATCTCGCTCCTGAGATTCACTGTGATGGATCGTTCTTTAACTGATTCTCAGGAGACGACATTTGGCATTGTCGTTATTAATAACTAATAACCATGGACAAGTGACAGATGGGAAAGCTGGGAAATTTGTTGTGCAACTCCATTGGAAGCAGAAGCTAAAAGCTATGCTGGAAGGGCTCACAACTGCAATTGTCCTTAGTTCTTCTCGTTACTCATCTGAAAAATGGCACTGGAGAATTTCTGCGTTGTTTTGGTGATTTTCTTCTTCTTCGGACAACCCTCTCCCTGTCTTCCAGTCAGCTTATGATCATCTGCACTACTCATTCATTCACAGAGTTTAACGTTCTCTCCCGTTCCCCTTTCTCTCTTGTTGTTGATGTCATATTTATGTGAACCTGGTGTTCCAAATTTTCTATGGAGCTGTGATTCTAATTGCTATAAGCTTGTGTTTGTTTCATTATAGATAATCATGACATATTTTACTTGTAGTTGAGGTAAGTTAAATCATGAATTAATTATTGAAATTGAGTTTATGTAAAAAAGTGTTGTAAAATTGTTATGATCTCTTAAAACGCCTGCCTGGTACCATATTGAACTTTGATTAATATATTTTTACTATCATATATTTAGACAGTCATTGTACATTACGATATATTTATACTATCATATACGATTATTTATACCATTATGTTACACTTCCATTACTATCATGATATAATCTTATGTTCAACAAAAAAAATTCCACTATGATATACAAATACTAGTTTTTTACCCGCCCGTTGAGCGGTACATTACATTTGATTATTTTAAAATTCGTTATAGTATTTGTTGATTTAATATACATGAAATTGTAAATCTCGCTTATCTTATTTAGGTAATGTTTCATACTTCTATACCTTTTTTATTTGTGAAAAATTAATTGTATTAACTGAGCTCTTTGTAGACCGTTCTTTATTGATTTAAAATTTTGTATCGAACTCAAAAAAGTGATAAAGAAGTTAAAAAATGTAAGGTAAAAAAACGAAGAAGTAAGGATAAGATAATAGGATTCAATTAATAAAAAAAATAAGTAAAGAGCTTTTCATTTTCTTTCCCTTCTCCTATGTTGGTATATAATAATAGAGAATATTCCGTTCCAGATCTCACGAATATCGTGTATTATCAGTTACACCTGCAATTCTGGAATAATGATGAAATACATTAGCATCCACATCCATCAGTCTTATGGATACTCAATTAATTTATCTTGTCAATGTTCTAGCAAAACCAACCACAAACAGAATTATCAGTTGTCACTAATTTATTAAAACAATATTTTCAACGAACTAAACTTCATATAAACACAATTTTTCTGTACTGCCCGGTTGCGAGGGCTCTCTGGGATTACTCGGGGTTGGATTATCTTGGGGAGGGTTTGCCTCGGCACACGTTTCCGTTGTTTCTTAAGCGGATGCTCGCCCTGGTCCATGATCCATCCCTGTTGATGGCTGTGGTTGCCATCCTCTGGCGGATCTGTCGTTCGCGCAACTGGGTAGTCTTTGAAGGCAAGCAGTTTGGGATTACGGCTCTAATGCGCCAATTTCACCAGCAATACGAGGAATGGGTGGGCCTGCCGATTGACCAGCCACTAAGGATTTCTGGCCCGGTGGTTCGGTCAGGGACCCATGTGGATGATTCTCGCCTGATTTGCATGTGGGATGGGGCCACTAGGAGGGGGTCACACTCGGCTGGTGGGATGGTTCTTTTTGATCCGGGATGGACGCTCCTTCGGGCTAAAGGTGTGCAATTTGCGCAAATTGACGAGCCAATGATGGTGGAGTTGCTTGTGATGCGGGAGGCTATCATTTGGTGTTTACAGTGTGGCTTGTCCGAAGTTCGGTTCGAGGGTGATGCGAAGGTTATTATTGATAAGATTAATCAAGCCGACACGAGCGACAGTCGATTGGGGGCAGTCGTGAAAGAGATTTGTCGTTATTGTGGTGCCCATCCGGGGTTTAGTGTGCGGTTTGTAGGTCGGGAGAACAATAGGGTAGCTCATTTGGTAGCTAGAAAAGCCCTCTCTTTGTACCCGAGTGTGAATCGCTCGTTTGATTTCAAGGCCTGGCTGCTTTCCAGGATGTAACTATCTTTTGTTTGGATTAATATATGATATCTTTTGACAAAAAAAAATATAATTTATAGAGAGCTGCATATCTCCTAAAGGAAAAAATAGTGCTTTTTTACCTAATAACAACATAGACAAATAATGAAAGGAGCATACTTCAATACAACTCAACTCATTCTATCTTACAGATTCCTAATTTGTGAACTGAATCTATGCACCAATCAAAATAGTAGTTGGTAAGAAAATAATCATGTCAAAATCAAGCTTTAGTTAAGGATTTAATGAGGAGAAATTCACCCTAATGAAACAAACAAATATCATTGCAAACGTGTAGAAATTGAAAAAACATCAAAATACACAACCGAGGAACAACCACAGTAATTTTCTTTCTTCTTCACGACTTTTATAAAACCCCCAATTATGTTCCCTTCTACTTATAATCTCATTGCTACCTACTAATTATTAACCAGATCATCATCTTATAGCTAGCTAGTAGCATGTCAATCATGAACATAAGGAATATAATGAAAAACCCTCACAACTCCACTTTCCATTTCAACATCTAAAGAATCGGGTTGCAAAAGGCATTTAAGTAAAAATCAATGGCTTAATTGCAAGTTTGGTCACTCGAATTGCTACAAAATTTCACGTTTGCCACTCAAATTAATTTATTCCATTTAAGTCACTTAAATTAGGTTAACAGTTCAAATTTGATCACTGCCGTTAGTCTCCGTTAATTTTTGCTGATGTGGCGGTCAACTCTTATAGTTGACCGTTAAATGCATGATGTGGCAATTAAAAATTTTAAAAATTAAAATTTCCACCTCAACTGCGGCGGTTACCTTCCGACGTTTCCGCGTCGGAGGAGAAAATACTGCGCTTCCGCGCTCTGGTTGAGCGGGGCAGAAGAAGAAGCCACTGCCGGAGAGGTGGCGTTCCGGCTGGGCGCCTCCCGGAGCTCGATCCTCATTCCCCCTTTTGCCCTCCCCTGTTCCCGATCTCGCCCAGCTCCGTCGAATAAGGTGAAGACTTTCGCGCCGCAGGACTGTTCTTCTTCGGCGGGAGAGGAGGATGGACAGTTCGATTTGGTGGAAATGGTTAATACAATCTTCCCGCAGGGGATTACGAGTATTATCAGTCGATCTCGGAGGATATGTGTCGGGAGCTCTGTTTGAGCGATTGCTTGTGCGATGCGGTGACTTATGAGAGCGCGTCTTGCTGGAAGAAGAGGGCGCCGTTGTCGAATGGGTACATGGGTCAGGAGAATACAGGGAAGGGGCAATGAGGGCCTTGGAGAAGTTTGAAACTATGGGCCTTCCCTTTCTGAGGCCTCCGGACTATTATGCCGAGATGGTGAAGTCAGATACCCACATGCAGAAAGTGATTGTTGGGGTTATCTTTATGATTCAGTTTCTTCTTTTGCTTAATGAATGAAGTTGATGTTATTGCCTTTCTGGTTCTATGATTTTGTCTCCCGGGTGCTCATTTTTGGCATTGTTGGTGGCCAGATCTCTTCTGTTCTGAACTGTAGACAGCACAAAGCCTGGAGTTTTGCAGCTGCAATGTGTTGTTCTATCAACTACTTCTCTTTGGATGCATGTTCTTGGGATCATTTCCCCTGCTATGAAAAGGAATAAAACAAAGGGAGGAAAATTGCAGGAAGTCAACAAGAATAATGGATCAGGAAGTTCTTTCCTCAGCACTAATGATTGCCACAAGGTACATCGAATGATTAATGTGCTGCGGCCTGAGGGACGTGGGTATATTATGCAGGTATTACTCTTTTAATACAGCTTGCTAGGGAAGTGGCAATTGACTTATTTTTTCATTTTTAGTTCTCTGCCATGACCTAATTTCATAGCAGGGGCCTTCTCCCACGACCCATCCGTGAGGTCAGAGACGCTGCGGCGGCTGTCGTCGGCGTGCAAGGACTGGGGATTCTTCCAGGTGGTCAACCACGGTGTCGACGTGGATCTGATGAGGAACATCCAGGAGATTTGGAGGGAGTTCTTCGACCTCCCCCTCGACTCCAAGCAGCAGTACGCAAACGACCCCGTTTCCGACGAAGGGTACGGCAGCCGCCTCGGGGTCGAGAAAGGCGCCACCCTCGACGGGAGCGACTTCTTCTTCCTCCGTGCGGAAACGTCGGAAGGTAACCGCCGTAGTTGAGGTGGAAATTTTAATTTTTAAATTTTTTAATTTTTTAATTGCCACATCATGCATTTAACGGTCAACTACAAGAGTTGACCGCCACATCAGCAAAAGTTAACGGAGACTAACGGCCAGTGACCAAACTTGGACTGTTAACCTAATTTAAGTGACTATAAATGGAATAAATTAATTTGAGTGGCCAACGTGAAATTTTGTAGCAATTCGAGTGACCAAACTTGCAATTAAGCCAAAAATCAATTATTCAACCAAAGGACATATGCTCTAAGTCCAACCAATTATCCTTTCTAATCATATATTACCTATTTACATAAAAGTATATGATGTAATAGAGAACATAAAATAACTCCGTGAAAACGAAGAATAAATACATTCGCTCATCAAGTAGGGAAATTTACCATCCAACAGTTTTAATTTGGAAGAAATTAAGAAAATAATGGAAAAAAGAGTGAGCAGTTGCGAGCTTCAGATCAAGGAGGAAGAGGGAGCAGTCGACAATCCTCGGTTTGGTTCACCTCAGTGGCGGAGGGAGAGTATAACAGGGTGGGTCCCGGGACCCACCCTGACTCGGAAGGAAAATTGTTCAATTAGGTACAATAGTTAATTTATATAGAAAATTAGGGGTATTTAATTGAGAATAGTTGATCGAAAGATTTTTTGTTCGAAATTTTGGCGACCTCATTTGTTAAGTACACGATATACAAATTTGTGCAAACTTCATTTTTCTATAAGTTTACTTTCTTATATGAGGAAGCGTGCTAGTAAATAGTATAAGATATATTATTGAACCTCTTCCAACAACTCAATTTATTGATTCAAAAAGATTCTTGACAAATAACATCATTTGTAAGCGAATGACTAACCAAATCATGAATTATTGTTTGGTGTAAGATTTATTATTAAATATCTCTTGACAACTCGAGTTATAGATACTAATGGTTTTTTATAAAGAACATCATACGAAACAGAACGACTAACTAAATCATTAATAATTGTTTGGTATATAAAGTAATATTCTTGATACTTTCGACTGCTAATCTATTTTACTTAACCAAAATTTTCCAATATAAGATATGTCATGAGTGATTCGCAAAGTTAACAAAAATTATTTTACCATGTGTATTTTTCTTCTAAGTGGACCCACTTTAGATGAAATCCTAACTACGCCACTGGTTCACCTCGTCTTCGTAATGATAGGATGAACTGCTTTTATCAACAGGCAAAAATATGTTACAACTGCTGAAAAAATTTCCATCTAATCGTTTCCTCTTGTACCTCCCTCCTCCTATTCTCCTACAAAGAAAAAAAAACTTCATATGCATTACCATTTCCTTCTCTATCTAATTTCTTATTTTCAATGTTGGATTTTATTTCTAGAGAGACAATCAAAATTGGAAAATGGTAGAGATAAATTAAAAGGTTGTATTCATAATTAATATGTTTTTTATTTAAACGGAATGAATAAGAAGTGTTTTAAAAAAATAACAATTATTGCTATGTCAAATTTATCTTAAGACCTTTTTCTATATAAATTATACTTGTTTTATTTTATAAGTATATTCATTGGGAAGAAGTGAGTGTTTGATAACAAAAAATATATAGTCATGTAGTTCATTTTTCAAAAACGATTGATTGTCAAACACTCATTTTCTCCTAGCCCATCGCTTAAATTTTGTTTAATTGTAAAATTATTATTATTCATATGTGTGTTTGTTTTTTTCCATCAAAATGTAACTTATTATAAATTTTTAGTGAAAATGAATAGAAAATTTACTTAATGAGATTTAATAAGATATTTTGGGCCAAACTGTCACTCTCTATTTTTATTTTTATAGTTTGTTTTATTGAAGAAAAGATTATTACTTATGTGTGTGTGTTTGTTTGTTTAAATGTGTCACAAAAAATGTACTTTATTTTAAGTTTTAGTAAAAATGAGTAGAAGTATTAAAAGAAGAGAGAGATAACTCCATAAATAAATTAATAAATAAATTTTTGTTTGTTAAAAAATTGTCCACCTTGGTATCTTGTGAATTCACCAAGTGCTTATGTGGCAAGAAGTTACTTTTGAATAACCATAATATTAAGTATAGATAGATAGATATAGATAGATAGAAGATAGATAGATATAGAAGATAGATAGATAGATATCTCTTTTCTTCTCTTTCAATCAAAGTTGATGTCATTTTGAAAATTACAATTAATATGATTTGTTTATATATATAATTAATTGAAAAATATTGAATACAAAATAAAAAAAATATAGAAAAATACAGAATTAATTAAACCAGAACCGAAACTTCATAAAACACGTTTGGAAATTGTGGGGAGAGGAAAGATAATGGATGCGAGGAATTCCATTGTCGAATGTTAATACGGTGACTAATAAATAACAAAATTAACAGTCAAATTAGTGATAATTAATCCACCGACAGCATATCTAATATATATTCAAGAAGTGGCAATGATCTTTCCATCACACCACTACCTGTCCATGTTCTCTTTGCATTTTCTTCTTCTTTATTCCCCTCCATTTTTAATGCCACTTCACCGGAATATCTTTGCAAGAACACACCCTTAATACAAAAGAAAAAATATATGGTTTAGGGTAGTGTATGTTGGCGTAAGATAACTCTATCGTGGTTCAATCGAGTTTTGCTGTTTAGGTGATGAATTAATCAGAATTCAGGCATGATACTATACATTAACTTTTACTGGTGAACCTCAATCCCTAACTCTCTACCATAAATCAGTAAATTCATCGAATTTAAAAAATATTAACCCTACTATTCTAATTCGTCCAAATATATCAAAATACAAATAATAGATATGAACACACATTAATATCATAGATCATACGTATGCTAGCGTTTGCCTAGAAATATATGCTAAAAGCAATGATGACTAAAGACGGTTCAATGGAATTTGTAAGTTGTATCCTAAATTTTCCTTTAACTGCACACACGAATGAAACTCAAATAATTATTTTTAGCAAAAGAACTAATTTGCTTTGCTTTCCAACAAGTGTTACACATCTCCTATCTATTTAAATTTATCGATCAATATTTTTTCGTGCTCTTAACAATGATAGTCTTTTTCGACGCACTGTACACCGTTCCATCACACTAAATATGTACCACACAATACCAACTTGTACAGTTGTACCATCACCATTCACCAATATATGAATCGGACACATAGTCTTCAACTCTCACTATGAATATACGTATAAGGGCATATGTAGGGTGCCAATGCACAAGAGAAGTGGATGGCGATGAAACCCTATGAATTAACTCGTATAGATCACTAAGGCCGACGTTCGTTCCTGCTCGATGGGTGGGTCTTGCAAGTGTTGGTGGTTAATTAGAATAACCTTTTGTTTGTGCTCACAACCTTTGTGTGTTTGGTCAATTGTGGTAGTCTTATTGCTTGTAGTGTGTTTGGTTAAACCGAAATATTCTTCTTCGACATTGTGGTGGCCACCTTAGATCTCCAAACTTGAATATATAGTTTAAGGTAAAACCATTTTTGTTAGGTGAAAATGACCCATGGTCCAAATGGAAACCCTACGTTCCACCATATAAATCTACCATTTTAAAACCCCTATATATCCTCAACAACAATGTATAAATCAATTCCTTATTGTTAAAAGATGGATGCTATAATTGAACTTTTGTTGAAAATAATAATTTTTATTGACATAAAAAAAGAAATTTGTCGTGTTGACGTCTGATTATGTTTTCATGAAATGTTATGAAGCTTATAATTTTCCAATTTTATCAAAGCTACTAATGACCAAGTTTGACTGCGTTGAAGTTTAGAAAAAGTTCATCTTGAACTTTCTTCGTTGTACTCAAAATCTTTGGTGCTCATCTGATGTTCTCTAATTGCAACTAGTAGTTTTTAAGAGTCGATGCAGTTTTAAAATATTGTATGATTTTTTTAATTTTTAGTACTATTTATGGTAATAGAGTCATCTTATATTGAATGAATTATATAAAATGCATGATTAATGAATATAGAGGCGCAAGTAATTTAAAACGTAAATTTCGACCATCTACAAAAAAATACATACGCGAATATATAAACTAAAACATACGTGAATACATATTTTTTATCTATTAAACTAAATTAGTACAATGAATACCTAAAAATCTGATAAGTTGCCGTGCGAACGTGAAATATTAGAAAGATACGATAAACATTTAATTAATTATTAGCATATGGATCGATTAATAACTATTTTAAATTAATTACAAGAGAATTAATATGTAAGACCAAAAAGGGGGGAAAAGGGTAGAAAAGAAAAAGAAAGGGGAACGGAAAACGGACAGAAAGCAAATCGGCAGTTGCGGTTGCAAGGTCGCGCGTCGGCTTCTTCTTCTTCTTCTCCTTCCTCCCGCGCTGGAATTGCCATTTGCCAAAGACCAACAACAAAAGAAAAAACAAGTCGCTTTCTTTTCCTTTTCCTTTTTCTTATTCTTCTTCTTCTTATTATTATGTCATTCTCCAACCTATCCTTCTCTGACATTCCACCTCTGCTCTGCTGCAATAAAAACTAGTTTGCCCTTCTCTTCATTTCATTTTCTTCCCTTCATATTATTCGGAGAAAAATTGATTACCCATTTTCCTGGCCATTGTATTTTAGTTAATTGACCTCTTCAATTCAATATCCCTGCTGTGCTGCTCTGTGCTGTCTTCCCGCATTCTTTTTATCTTCTTCCTCGCGTCAGTCTTTTCTGTGTTTACAGACAAGAGGGAAACCCTCCTTTTTCCCTTTCATCTTCTGTTTTATCCATCTCCAAACCCTCCTTGTTGTCTACCGTTTTCTCCACTCTAAAAAAAGAATGGAAAGCCTGCAACTTTTTGGTGCCTCTTTCGCATGAGCTGACCATCTCGTCATCTCTCCTCTTGTTTATCTGTCAACTATTTTGGGGATCTTATTTCTTCTTCTTTCGTCCTTCTCCCATGGCGGTTGCTGGTTCTTAAGGTATTCTTTCTGAATCCCTCTTTCCCATTTCTTATGGTCTCTTCATTTCGTTATGCTTTCTTTTCTGTTTCCATTTCTGGGTCAAGGTTATATTAGCTCCAGCGCTTTGGGGGGGTTTCAATTTAATTTTCTGCGGAGTTGGTGGTGGCCGGCCGATTTAATGTATGGGTCTTCCTCCATTTGAATGATTATGGAGTAAGGATCCAGTTTGCTGTGCTTTTTCTTTGAGTGTCGTTGTTTGGTTGGTGGACGAACATGGTAAAGTTTCAATTGCATGATTAAATGAGCTCAACGGATAAAAAGTAATTAGCTTTTGTTGTTTCGATAAAGCAAGTGATCTAGTTGAACTCCGTTGTTTGCTATTTTGGTAACTTCTGCTTGTTCTTTCCTAGTTTTGACCTTTTCCCAGGATTTTGGTATGCATTCCTTTTGGATTGGATCTGCAGTCTGCTGTCAACAATGCTTTCCCTCAACTGAAATGGTTTCTTTCTTGGTGTGCATTTGCTCATTATTAGGAAGGAGAGTGTGATTTGAGATGCCTGGAATTGTGATGGAAGGAGCTAAGGAAGAAGCTGAAGTAGTAGCCACTGAAATGAATGGAAGCTTTGCTCCAGGCAAGGAAGCCCCAGTTTCAAACCAGTCTCCTACAAACAGTGGTGGTAGATCCAGCCCTCACACCACAGGCATAGTAGATAGCACTGTCCATGAAGAGGGTAATAATGCTGCACATGATAGTGTCATTGATGGTGCTCATGATGAGAGGGTAGTTGATACCTCAATTGAGCAGCTATATGAGAATGTATGTGATATGCAGAGCTCGGATCAATCACCTTCCAGGCGCAGCTTCGGATCCGATGGTGATGAATCCAGGATTGATTCGGAGTTGCGCCATCTGGTAGGGGGCGAGATGAAGGAGATCGAGATTATGGAAGAAGAGGAGGAAGAAGAAGAGGTAAATACTAAACTACCTGAGTTAGATAACTCTTCACCTCATAAGGAGACTTCATCTGCTGAAGTTGAGAAGAAGTCTGTTTCATCTAGCGATTCCAAGAACCCTACTAGTAACTTGGCATTCGAGTCACCATTGAGCCCTAAGGAGAAACCTCTTCTAGATAGACCACCGATGGAGAAAAAGAGTGGGAAGAAGAAGAAAACAGTACCTGCTATGGCTTTAAGGAAGAGGAATAAGTCTGTAGGCGTCGCCAGCAAGGGACCTTCTGATTCGGGTCAGGATAATAATCCGGATCTTGGGCGGTTTCTTCTGAAACAAGCAAAGGATTTGGTCTCTTCGGGGGACAATAGTAACTACAACCCCCAGAAGGCACTCGATTTAGCACTTAGATCCGTCAAAGCATTCGAAGCCTGCACCAATGGCAAACCTAGCTTGGAATTGGTCATGTCGCTCCATGTTGCAGCTGCAATCTACTGCAGCACGGGACAGTACAACGAAGCTATCCCACTTCTCGAACAGTCCATCGACATTATTCCAGCCATCACAAAGGGCCACCAAGAAGAACACGCTCTCGCCAAGTTTGCCGGTTACATGCAATTGGGTGACACTTATGCAATGCTGGGCCAGCTGGAGAACTCCACAAAGTGTTATTCCACCGGGCTCGACATCCAGAAGCAAGTTCTGGGCGAGAATGATCCTCGAGTTGGGGAAACTTGCAGGTACTTAGCTGAGGCCCATGTTCAGGCATTGCAGTTTGACGAGGCGCAGAAGCTATGTCAGCTGGCGCTCGACATTCACCGGGAGAATGGAGCTCCAGCTTCCCTTGAGGAAGCAGCTGATCGAAGGCTGATGGGACTGATCTGTGAGACGAAAGGAGATCATGAGTCGGCTCTTGAGCATCTCGTGTTGGCCAGCATGGCAATGGTGGCTAATGGTCAGGAAGGGGAGGTGGCTGGGGTTGATTGCAGCATTGGCGATGCCTACTTGTCGTTGACTCGATATGATGAGGCAATCTTTGCATATCAGAAGGCTCTCACTTCGTTGAAGACTAAGAAGGGAGAGAATCATCCTGCTGTTGGGTCGGTTTTCGTGAGATTGGCTGATTTGTATAATAAGACTGGGAAGCTGAAGGAAGCAAGATCATACTGCGAGAATGCTTTACGTATTTACGAGAAGCCTGCCCCAGGGATCCCTCCCGAGGAGATTGCGACCGGTTTGACCGACATTTCTGCCATTTATGAGTCGATGAACGAGCTCGAGCAGGCGATCAAACTGCTGGAGAAAGCATTAAAGATTTACAGTGATGCTCCCGGCCAACAGAGCACGATGGCTGGAATTGAGGCTCAAATGGGAGTGATCTACTACATGATGGGGAATTACTCCGAATCATACGATTCGTTTAAGAGTGCAGTTGCCAAATTGAGGGCTAGCGGAGAGAGGAAGTCGGCCTTCTTTGGGATTGCCCTGAACCAGATGGGTCTTGCTTGTGTTCAGCGGTTTGCTATAAACGAAGCTGTAGAACTTTTCGAGGAAGCTAAGGATGTTTTGGAACATGAATGCGGACCTGAGCATCCTGACACTCTTGGTGTCTACAGCAATCTTGCTGGCACCTATGATGCCATGGGGAGGTATGACAATGTGTTTGGTTTTCACATGCACACCAATGTTATTTCCGTTTGGTCCAATGACTTGCTTAGGTTTTATGTTATAACTTTGTGACAGGCTGGAAGACGCGATCAAGATCTTGGAGTACGTTGTGCAAGTGCGGGAGGATAAGCTCGGGACAGCGAATCCAGATGTGGCTGATGAGAAGAAGAGGTTGGGAGAGTTGCTGAAGGAAGCAGGGAGAGTTCGGACCCGGAAAGCGAGGTCTCTGGAGAACCTTCTTGATAACAATGCTGCAAACACTTCTTCTCACAATACAACAAACAAAGATGTGATTACAGTAGTGTAATGTGGGTTTGTCATATACAGAAAGAAAAGATCTGCACACGAGATTTCAAAAGCTATAGGATGTAATATGTAAGAAGGAAAAGTGATTGAAAAGAAGTGAAGAAATGGTTTGGATTTTGGGATCTGTTATTTTTTTAATGTCTCTTATCTGGTTTTTCTACCCTTTAGCCTTCTTTTGTTACTTATCAAGGGTTGATTCCTCTTTTGTATAAGTTAAATTGCTTGCTGTATAAATTATTTGATGTAAATCTGGATCTAAAGTTAAAGTGATTACATGTACTCATTTTGATTCTTCAATGAAGTAAATGTTCTATTGCCTATTGCATAATGATTTCTTCAATAGTTTAAACTAACTTGATTGGTGAAATTACATCTGATTCCACCTCAAAAGGACACTTGGTCGGGAATCAATTGGCCAATCTTTATATACTGAACATTCTCTTACCTGTAAAGTTAAGCCAAGTGATGAACAGAGTACAAGAATTTACAAAGATGTCGGCAGCCTCTCAGCTTTGCTTTACTTTCCCTTCACATTACAAAAACTGAGCTTTCACTCAATGGGCTGTAGGGGGTGCTTCAGTTATGATCATCAGTTGTCCTAACAATGGCGGCCAACTGAACCCCAATGAACTTGTAAGGAAAGTGGCGGTGCATATTAGTTTGGGACCGAAGAGTAGATCTTTGGGGCCACCCTCTGGAGAAAGGGTAGGTTGAGTAGTTATTTAAAGACACCATCTTTGACAGCCTTTCTCTTCTGCTGGGAAAAAAGAAAAGGCATTTATTGGTGGAGCGTGGGTGGGGGCTGCCAGTACTGCAACAAATTCTGAAGATAACTTTAGTGTCCTGAAACAGGTTGGATGCCTTCTTCAAGCTCCTCTTTTGTTGTGGGCAGCTTTGCCCTCCATGTCTTTAGAGGTTTGCTGCCAGGCTGCATGCCATCCATTGTTGCTGTCCAGAGTACTTGCAATAATAACCTTCGCCAAAGCACATGGGAACAAACAGATCAGAATAATCAACAGAACAGACCTTTACATCTGCTGCAATTGTTCAGCATCATACGAATCCAGGCTACACCGACCATGCTGAACCACGAGATAGATTTTCCTGTCACGTTTTTCGACAGAGGTCATGCGTTTCGAAAGTTAGATTAGAGGTACGTACCAAAAGCAGCTAGAAGTTCCCGTCCTTTGGTAAGCTTCACGATAATGGCTAACCTTGGCCCTCGATTCTCGTTGTGAATATCTAGCAGCCACGCACTGCAAGTGGTTGGTACGAGTTTAAGTTTTTTCAACATGACATAAAACAGTTTGCCAACTTTGTCGGTGTATCATAGTCCAAAACATTATCCAAGCACCATACCTACTTACTTATCCAAGCAATGTAGGATTCAGTGATAAGAAAGTCATGTAATACAAACACTTGCTCTTATGTGTACTGCATTTCATCTATCTCCCTCCCCAGATAAGACCACCGACCTTTAGCGTATTTGGATCCGGGATGAAAGCTTCAATTGTTGCATTCTCAGCAGATTGTTTTCATTCCATTCCCACATAAGTTTGCCTGAAAATTGGAATAAAGTTGAAAAGGGTAAATAGTCACTTAAAGAGAAAAAGACCGAGCGAGAACCAGAGATTGCAGTTAATGGCATAAACACACTTACATCTAGTTTGTTGACCAGGCTTTGTTCAATTACAAAAGTTCCAAGATCTGCCTCTAAATCCAATCTGCTGCCCTCACAAGTAGAAGCCACTAGCTAGTGACGTTTGATGACAACAGCCCATATCCTAGCACCTAATATTAGCAAAACATCTCAATCCTTCGTATGAGAACCTACAGCTGTTGATTGTGAAAGAGGAACATACCCTTCCTCTTTGATCTCTACACTCAAACTCTCAAGAGTAGCATAGATCTCCTCACACAGAGGGTGGGAGCAATCAGCAGCCGTAAACGTATGAATGTTATTATCAACTTCTATCCAGCTGCACCCGGGCTGTTTTCTAACTCCTGTATCTCTAATCTCTGTTCTCACCTGACTAACTTCATTCCATCTCCCAGATTCTTCGTACAGATTAGAAAGCAGTGTTCGGTATCCAATACTTGTAGGATCAAGCTCAAAGATGTGACTTGCCACAACTCTTGCTAACCCAACATTGCCATGATTTTTACAAGATCCAAGAAGCGAACCCCAAATTCGATCATCTGGTGAACAAGGCATTTCCTTGATTAGATCATATGCCTGATTAAGATTTCCAGCTCGACCTAAAAGATCAACCATGCAAGTGTAATGCTCAACTCTAGGCTCCAGGTTATAGTCCTGAGTCATGCTGTTGAAGTACTTCCACCCCATTGCAACTTCTCCTCCATGGCTGCAGGCAGAGAGGAGAGCAGTGAAAGTAGCATGGTCAGCCTTTACCTCTGTTGTCTCTTTCATTCTTTCGAACATCTGAAACATTTCCTGTCTTCTTCCATGCATCCCAAAACCCAGTATGATAGAATTCCACGTCACCTCATTTCTATCAGACATTTGGTTAAATATTGTCAATGAGTCACTCATATTGCCACATTTGGCATATGCACTAATCAAGGAATTGCCGATGAGAATATTGTTGATCAGAAACCCATGTCGCAGTATATAGCAGTGAACCTGCTTGCAGAGGATCATAACTGCAAGGTGCATGCAGACAGACAGAATGCATGCAACCGTCACAGAGTTTGGTTCCAAATGCTGACTCTGCATATCACGGAATGCCTTAAGAGCTTTCTCTGGATATTCATTTTGAGCAAAGCCAGAAATTAGAGCATTCCATGACACCAAATCCTTGGTGGCTAATCCGTCGAAGACTTTTTCAGCTGAATTCATGTCTCCGCATTTCCCATAGAGATCAACCAGTGCACCACCTACAAAAGCATCCAATGTCAACCCCAGTTTTACTGCCATGCCATGGAGTTCCACCCCACTACGCTTCAATGCCAGGGATGAGCAAGCCCTCAATGCTGCCAAAAGGATGACTAAATCTGGAAAGCCGTTTAGTATCATGAAGTCTTCAAACAACTGAAAGGACTCATTTGGATAGCCATTCTGAGCGCAGTTTGAGATCACAGAGCCCCACATAATAAGATTCTTGTTTGGAGACTGCCTAAATATCTTCAAGCCAGTTTCAGAGGATGAACAATTGAAATACATCTCGATGAGGGCGGTTTGAACTCTGACATCGTTTTCCAGTGCAAGGCTAAAAACAAGTCCATGAATTTGCTTTCCAAGTGCTATATCTAACAACTGAGAACACAAAACTAAAACAGCAACCACTGTTGAGGAATCAGGACCAATACCAGATTCAAGCATTTCAAGGAATAAACTCAATGCGAGAGAGGGACATTCATTTGAAACATATCCAGTGATCATCACATTCCAGATCACTTTGTTTCCTCTCACAATATTGTCGTCAAGAATTCTAGTGAGAACACGTTCAGCATTCTTTACGTCCCCACATTTCATATACATATCAATCAAACCACTAACCAAGTATTCATCTGAATCAAACTTGTTCTTCACAATGCATCCATGAATAGCTCTCCCGTGTGTCAAGGATTGCGTGGAAGCACACGATGACAAAGCAGAAAGACAAGCTACCCTGTTCTCGAACACAGCACCATACTCTCCAATCATTCTGGCGAGAAGAGTCAAGGATTCCGTGTAGTATCCTAAGCGAGAAAACCCGGATATCATCGTATTCCAGGAAATGGCATCCCGTTGCGGCATTTCATCAAACATTTTATCTGCATGCTCGACCGCCCCACATTTCCAATACATCCCCAACAGCGAATTACTAACATAAGTATCCTCCAAGAATCCAAATTTCAACAAATGCCCATGAATTTCCTCCCCTTTCTCAACACTACCCAGCCCACCAAACGCCTTGATCAAACAGGGGAAGAACTGAAACTCCTGAACTGGGAACCCACTTTCAAGCAAATCCAGATACACTCTGATGGCATCGACAAACATCCCGTCATCCGCGTAATTCTTAATTAAGCTATTCGCCATGGTAACATCTACCAATACGTCTTCTTTCCCCCTAAATCCAACAGAACCTTGAGGCGGGCTCCCGGAGATACGCAACGAATCGCGATTCTTCACAGAAACTGAATGCAATTTCGTGTTAAGAGGGACAAGGTTAGGGCTGCAAGGATCCAGGTATCTGCATTGCGCCACCGGCCGGTATGGTTGATCCGCTTGGTAACCTTGAAACTGTAGCCATTGTGACCGGAAGGAGTTCAAAGTACTCATATTTCTCCCCTCAGCTTCAAACTTGCAGCTCCGAATTCCGAAATCATCCTGATCGTTGACTCTTCAAAGTAGAGGACTTGGCTGCAATGCCCTAAAACGGACGGGTTAAATTCGGATCTAACCCGGCCCGGGGAGAAAAAACCGAAACCGTCTAAACGTTGTGTATTAGGCGGAATATAAAGTTAGCGCCTTTCCGCACTTTCGCTTTTCCCTATCGATTCTCTCTCTTTAGCTAGCACCAGCGTAGTGCTCAATGGAAACCAAACCCTCCAACGGCTCGCCGGCGAAGTTCGTCGATCAATTAGTGGTGAGTTCATTTGATTTCTGTTCTATATGATTTGGGTGTTTCTAGGTTTGATTTGGGAGACCTTTCTTTTGTGGTATTTAGGTTCCGGGTGATGTGATTCTTGATCTCTCTACCATGGCTGAACAGACTATAAAGCTCGGCGGCGGCCTCCGCCAGGTAGGGCAATCTCAGTTTCTCTGTTTCATGAGTAAAATACGAATGTGCTGCTTATCTTAGTGGTTTGAGTTGGTGCTGAAGTCTTTGCTGGAATAACTTAACAAGTCGAAACACTGTAATTTTTTTGTAAGGGTGATATGGATTTTTTTACTTTATGGGAAAGGAATGATATTATTTTTAATCTGATGGAAGGTGAATGTGTTGGCGAAATTTGGCAGGATTGTGATGCAATATCAGTTATCAAAGCTGGGATACTGAGGTTCTCAAAGCCAAATAAGTATTGGGTTGAAAGCTCTCAGAAAAGGGTGGGTGTGGTCTCATAATCCTTTAGCTTTTTTTCTTCGAATCCTTTAGCTTCTTTTCTTCGATTCGTTTCTCGCGTTCATTTTACTACCGTCGTTTAGAGTGGAAGTGAAAATTTTATCTGGAACTATTTAGATTTGTTGCTAGTACCATGGTCTATACAATGACTACTTATATTATTGCTCATGCAGTATGTGCCTTGCGCTGAGGACTCTGTACTTGGAATAGTGGTGGACTGTAAACCAGATGTAAGAACCTTTCATCATCTTCTATTAGAAGTTGATGCCACTAGACTCTCTTTTCCGATTTCATATTTTGCCAAATAACCTTTGTTTATGAAATCCTCAGGGGATAGGTAAACTCATAGGGCTCACTTTCCAAACATGTTTTGCAGAACTTTCTTGTGGACATAAAAGGACCTTCTGTGGCATTTTTGCCCGTGCTTGCATTTGAAGGAGGGACTCGGAGGAACATACCCAGGTTTGAGGTATAGTTTCCATTGTGTTTACAACTTAGGTGCAGTCAATATTTTCAAGGGGCATTTTCTGTTCGAGAGTAGTGCCCTCAATCTTCAAAAATCTTAATCTTCGAACATCTGGCTGAAGTTCAAGTCATGATTTGTGCTAAGAATGTAGCTAATTAAGGATTGGACAAAATGCAGTGGTTCTAGATTGATGTTTATTTCCTTGCTTTCATTGTTCTTGCTGTAAGAAATTCAAAACCTTTTGGAATAATTCGCTGGTTCTGATTAAAAAGTGTTTTTCCTTTATCATGTTTGGACTCCTTAACTGCTCTGTATTTGGCTAATTCTGTTTTCCACAGGCAGGTACTTTGATATATGTTCGAGTGGTGAAGGCAAATCCTGGAATGAACCCAGAGCTGTCATGTGTTGATGGTTAGTGAAAAGCTTCTTCACTTTATTTTTTATTCCTTCATTTCCCTTTTCATGTACTGTATTTGTGTTTGGTTTGACTCTTCTAAGTATATTGTTTCTGATACTCAGCCACAGGGAAGGCAGCACAATATGGAGCTCTCAAAGAAGGCTTAATGTTTGAGTGTTCGACAGGTCTATCCAGGATGTGAGATATCTTCATGTTCAACTTTCTAAAATATAAATCTTACAGTTTCCAGCCAAAATGATGATTGATTTTTCTCTTCCAATTTTCTTATTTACCATCATAATCGTTATAGGTTATTAAGTTCCCCAACATGCCCAGTCCTGGAAACTCTTGGAAAGAAGCTCCCCTTTGAGATAGCAGTTGGGTTAAATGGCAGAGTTTGGGTAATGTTCTTTTGCTGCATACTTTTTGTTACTAGTGTAAATTTGTGGGACTCAGTTTGGACATAAATATGAGCCTGTCTCTATGGCAACCTTCTTGCTAAAGGTTCAGTTACTTCATCGTAAAGCACCGGGTATTTGACTAAGGTGCAACTTTTTTATGCACAGGTCAATGCCGGTTCTCCATCGATTGTCATTGTTGTTGGTAATGCTATCATGAAGTCGGAGTCTTTGACTAAGGTGCAACAGAAAATTATGGCAGAGAAGTTGCTACAGAGGGTTCAGCAGTGTATGTTTGTTACGATTCTCCTTAACCATCCTTCCATGTGTACTCGTCCTAGTACATGCTTCTTAATCTTACTTCTATTCCCCTGTTGCAGAATGATTGGAGACCTCAAACATATAGCATCACCATTTTGATCCTCTACTTCAGGAGATGGACGTGTTCATGGAGAAGCCTTCTTCAGGTTGGCAAGACTCCATAGCCAGTAGTTACAGAGCAAATTGAAAGCGTAATTGTAGTTTGGAGTATACTCAAAAGCTTTGATTGTCCATGTATGCACGACCTTGTCGTTATAGCGTCCCATGGCAATGTTTCTGTGTTATTTAACGAAGCAGAATGTGTAGGTAGGAGGAGCAACTACCGTTTGTTCTAACATGATTTGTTATTGTACGAGCCTTTCCAACGTAGATGTGGCGTGTTATCTAATCCATTTGCTGTCGCATGAACTGCAATATACTAAGAGAGTGATTACTTTCTTCTGTTCTTCCATCAACATTGAACTTTAGAAACAGGATCGATCGTAGTAATAGCAGGATATGAAAGATGATTGTTGTTGGATGTCTGTTGTTGCCATACGGAAGTTGCAGCCAACTGCAATTTCATGCTCCTCTAGCCACCCCACAAATCACAACCACCATTGCCGGATACCATGTCTCCAAGCTGTGTCACTATCAAGACGGCGGATGGCCAGCAGACGTAAAATGATCAGTTCTGAGGTTGATGCAGAAAGTAAAATGGGGTTAGAAGCAGAGCTGTGGCCAGGGAGAGTAGCCAAGTTTCTGTAGGTAGATTGCCAGTATCTGCAGTTTTCCCGTGGCAGCAGCTTGGTCCGATAGGGTATCGGAAGCACTCCCAATACCCAACTGCAAAAACCAAGCACACGGAATCACAGAAGAGGGATGATTCGACGATAGACGAGTGATGCAGTTGAGTTCAATCTGGATGATTAGGCGGCAACCCATGAAACCGAGAGCAAACTTTTTCTAGGAAGGTTAGAAAAAGGGAGGCGGCAGCGAGATGAAGAGGATCAATGTGGCCGATGAGAAGTGACGAGGGAGATGGAGAACTGAGGTATTTTGTTGATCTTCGCCGGACCGGCTATTTCCTACATCATCTTCAGTTGGACCTTGTACTGTCTGCCGAGTAGTAGAGTGACTTTGTCGCCATTTTTTATCGGGACAAAGTCAGCTTGTTCGAGATCGAGAGTTGGACATCCCCATTACTTACGTATAAAATTTATGTTTTCTCAATACTATTATATATTGATGCAAATTCACTTATAATTTCTTAATCGTTAATATTTGCCTAGCAACATTAAAACTAGCAACGTATAAGGATGACAGGTTGATAATCATTTCATTAAATATATTAATATTTAATTGTTTAATATTTGCCTATTAATTGTTTACAGTAAAAATTCCGGTCACTAATACCCGATCCATTAATTCCTACCAATTAAATTTATTCACCCCCATTATTAATCTAAAACATAAATTCAATTTCCTAATTATCCTTAACATGGTTGTCATGCCGGCCGCTGGCCGGCGTGCTACTGGTTGAACCTAGTTCAGCCTGTACCGGTCATAAAACCGACATGACACCACTGGTATGACCGGTATGATCGATATACGAATCTCCAAGTAAAATGACCTTATCTTAGTGAATTTAATTGATAAAAAATAATTTATTAGTTATTTTATGTGTTAAAAAGTTAAATGTTGATGTTATTTGTTGGATCCAAGTACAAATATTTAGGTATTGACGTTAAATGTCGTGTTTAAATATGAGTATTTTTAAATTATTTGTAATATTAACCGGCATGAACCGGCACAAACCGGTATGTATCACCGGTCGAACCATTCCACTTGCTAAACCAGCACACTGGCATAAACCGGTTTGACAACCTTGATCCTAAACCACTTTTTTTTTTTTTAATGGATCCTTAACCACTTAACAACCTATTAAATCCACTAGATTAATCTAAGGGTCAAGATTAACTTAAGACACTTTTTTTTATAAGGGCGGCATATATTTATTTTTATTATTAGGTCTCAGTTAAGAAATTCAAATATGAGACTATCAATATCTTGGAGAATATCTGAACCCAACCCGTTGCAATTTGATCAATATCTTATTTCTCAATTTGTCCAATGTTAATCCGACCAAATTACTTACTTGCACTTCTCAAGAGACACTAATATATTGGAGAAAATATTTAAAAAAAAAAAAACCCCTAAAAGACTACTGCATCGGTTGGATACTTGGATCGGCCCCCTGTACAAGAATTAACCAAAAAAATTATTCTATTCTCCAAGTTTTAACTCTGTCTTCCTTCAAAGCTGCTCTCCTCCAATTCATTTTCCTCTGTATCACCAACAATCGGTTGAGTCTCAGAAATCTCACCCCAGTCCTTCATTCGCGCCTCGCTCTTCGATGCCTGCAACACAGATCGTCATGTGATATGGTACAAGTTTCCATTAACCCTCTATCAAGTTACCTCTCAATCCAAAGAGAATCATATGCACATAACAAAAGAAACTCACTTCAGTTTCCCAGTTTGTTGTGTGGATCACGAACAGTAAGAAAGCCATCTGAAGCACACATCCAACCACCATCCCTGACCATATACCCTTTACTCCGAACTCGAATGTGTACCCGAGCATGGCTGCCAACGGAAGCCCCACGACGTAGTAACACACGATGTTAACCACTGCAACCTGGCTTTGCCACCCTGCGCCAACTGCCACGCCTGAACAGAATAACGTCCATGGACTGTAAAAAAAAATTGCAGGCAGGAAAGTCTTCGAAAGAAAAGGCGAGACTTCGTTCGTATGGGTAAAAAGCTGTACCATGGAGTACAGGCATGATAATGTCGAGGAAGATCACAGCCGCCGAGAAGTAGGCCAAGTTTCCTGCTTCTCTGATGACATCAGAATCTGAAGAGAAGAGCTTGGGGAATTCGTTCTTCGAGGCCAACACCACTGTCGAGAATGTTACTCCGACCACTGTAGATGTGCAGATCGTCACTGCGATTGACAATTTAGCCGCTTCGTGGTTTCCAGCTCCCAGTTCATTAGACACTCGGACGCTGGTCTTACATAGAAATCGATTTCGATCAAATTAGTCCAACCATATGGAGAACAACTAACTAATCAGTATCAGCCAAAATGGAGTCTATGAATTAACCTGACAGCAGCATTGAATCCTGCAGCAATGATCCATGCCCAGTATTGAAAGTTCAAGCTGTCACATCCAATATTAAACAGAGACATTACTTTCTTCCCAAGTTACTCAATCAACATCAAACTTCAAGCTGTGAATAGATTAGGGATTTGATTGTTTGTTTCGTTTACCAGATGGAAGAGGCAGCAACTGCAATTTCAGGGTTCTCTAACCATCCCACCATCAGAATCACCATCGTTGGGTACCATATCTCCAAGCTGCCACATTCAAGTTCATCGTTCACAACATTCAACCTAGCTATACTCAAACAAGAACAGAACAAGAAGCTAACCATGATAGCACAGCGGAAGCTAGAGAAAGCTTGGCGAAAGCCGGGAAAGAAGAGAACGCCTTGGTCGAGAAACCGGTCCAGGAATCGAAACTGCTCCACACCATGTACACAACTTGTGCCGCAACCAACAAGAACCAGGAGACATCACCAACAACAGCTGCACCTATAATCCCATACCCGAGCTTCGACACAAACACCCAATTCAACAAGACATGAACAGAAAGTACTGCGCTAGAAATCCCAGCCAAAACCCAAACCCTGCTCTGCGCCTGCAGAAACTTCTGCATTGGGAAATTCAGGGCAAAGAAGAACAGCTGCGGCACCATCCATACAGCGAACCTCCCAGCGAGCTCCGAAATCTGCTTCTCCTGCCCAAGTAGGGTGTGGAAAATTGGGGACGCCAGGACGTAGATTGGAGTTAGAAGCAGAGCTGTGGCGATTGAGAGCAGCCATGACCTTTGCATGTAGATTCCCAGCATGTACAGCTTTTCCGCTCCCACTGCTTGCCCCGATAGAGTCTCCGATGCGCTCCCAATTCCCAACTGGGTTTTTCAATTGATCGGAAAAGAAACCAAAATCACTAAAAAGATTAGGGGTTTCCCGAAATCAGAACTGGGCAATTGAAAATTTTTCTGGTGAATGAGTACCAACCATGAATCCGAGGGCAAACTCTTCGAGGACGTTGAGGACGATGGAAGCGGCGGCGAGCTGCAGAGGTCCGATGTGGCCGACGAAAGCTGAAGTGACGAGGGCGATGGAGAACTGAGATATTTCGGTGATCATGGCCGGACCCGCTATTTCCCACATTTTCTTCAGTTGGGAACCATACCGCCGGAGAGCCGTCGTCGCCATCTGATCGGCGGCAACCAATTTTCTTGGCCCGATGGAAGAACGGTGTTACGTTTCTTTTGCCCTGGGAAAGAAATGGCGTGGTCTCCTCTGCGTCTTGGAAGTAGTTGCATCCGAATAAAGCTGTCCGACTGAAGACCTGATATTGTGACTACTGATTAGAGAGCACAATTTTCAGGTCAGATTTTGGGATTTTCCCCAAAAGTATGCACGTTACTATAAAAATTCTCAGAATATAATAATTTTCTAAGAAATTCCCAACTACATTGAGACATATCATTTCAAACAAAATCGATTGGAGATAGATTGATTGACACCTCATCAATTTGTTATATACGAAAAAAAATATCAAACGATATTAACTTTGTGCTCGATTATAAGATAAACGTGAATTATTTTCTGATTTTGCATAACTTTTCGAGATCCTCGAAACTGCAAACAATCAAAAGTGGTATGTCCTACTTTTTGTCTCCAAGTAAGATCATTTGTTGCCTCAAATTAACCATTTTGTGATTTCACATAACTTTTGACGGTCTTAAGAAAATCGTCATGAGAAATCTTGTTGCTATTTGACCTTCTAGTCATGGGATTTCTGTGGTTAATGCTTAGTCACGATTTTTATCGTGATGAAATGTATCATTTGTCCTTCGATATTTTCCGGTTATGAAAACTTTATAGTCACAGGATGTCCCGTGACAAAGATATTTAATCACAGGCCTTGCTGTCACGGGATTTGTGTCTTTGGTCACGGGACTTCCCGTGATGGAAGGTGTGTTTTCCTGTATTTTGTTTGATCATTCTCAAATTGTCACTCCCTACTGATTCAAGAAAATATTGGACAAGAAGCGAACAAAAGCATGATTCAGTGGTACTACCACTAGTGTGGAATCTAGAGGTCTCAGATTCGAATAACTTAAGTAGCACCTTACTAAAAAAATTAAATCTATATTTTCGCCATCACGACCAAAATAGTTCAGGATTTTTAGTCTTCGAACTTTAATTTTATGAACAAACTTTACAAAGATAGTCGTCGAAAGTAACTTGGTGAATAAATCTGCTAGATTCTCACTTGAAATGACATTATGAATAATTATTTCACCAATATTTGGAAGATCATGAGGGAAAAATAGCCTGGGGTGGGATATGTTTTGTTTTATCTCATTTAATGTATCATTCCTTTAATTGAGCAATAAATATTGCATTATCTTCATACATGATCATCGAGATAATTTTTCCCGAAGATAGCCCACAATTATAGATGATGTGTTGAATTATATAGATCTTATACAAACACATTGACTACTTGCCTCGTGAATAGCTAGTATTTCTGCAAGACTAGATGATGTGGTTGTTATAGTTTATTTTGTGTATTGCCATGAAATGACTGTACAACACAAGTAAACAAATATTATGTTTGTGATCTACCATTGTGGGGATCATAGAGATATCTTACATCTGCATATCCCCCACTAAATCCATCTTCGATGCACCCAAATAGAACAAGCCCATCTGTTGTAGTTTGAAAGGTAACAGAGTAAATGTTTAACTTCATTCCAATATCTTCTAGAGGGATAAGAGCTATATCATGCATATATATTCACAACAAACGATATATGAGGTCATGTATGATTGACTAGATACATTAATGTTCCTATCGCACTAAGATATGATACTTCCGGACCGATTAGTTCTTCATTGCTTTCTCGAGGTCTAAATGGATCTCTTTTCACATCAAGTGAGCTTACAACCATTGTGATACTCAAATGTGTGATTTGTCCATATAAAATCGCTTAAGGAGCTTTTCAACATATCCTTCCTGATGCACACATGTACCATCCTTCAAATTAAATATTCAATTTGTGATCCAAGACATAACTGCGTTTTCCTAAATCTTTCATTTCAAACTCTTTCTTCAAACAATCAACTACTTTTGGAAGCTCTTAATTTGGGAGTTCCAATGATGTTTGTGTCGTCAACATAGGCTGACATTACAACAAACTCACTACATGATCCCTTAAGGAAAACACATGAACAAATAAGATCATCTATATCTTTCTTTCATCGGATATTTCACTAAGATGATTGTACCACGCGTTCATTCTATTGTTTCAATCTATATACGAATTCATTTGATTTTATCGAAATTTCTTCTGGAGAACGTGTCTTGCTTTGCTTCGGTCAAAGGGAATCCATCAAGGAATTTCGTATATTCCTTACTACTGTAACATGCTTATGTTCACTCTGCTCCAACTGTCACAACTACCCAAGCAAACGAGTTTTTACATGGCCATAATAAAAAAAAAATAGGGAGAAAAGTATTGGATTTAATTGTCAAATGTAATTAGTAGAGTATTCATCTTATTTTGCAGGTGCCAATCTATACTTGTCATGACAATGTAATTGTCAATTATAATTACTTGTAAATTTGCTATATTATATTCTACGACATACAAATAATCTGAGAAAAGAAAACAATTGAAAATGAGAGATGCACGTCCTTGAGTTATTTGTACTTATGAATATTATGCCCTTCCATGGGCAAAAGACGGCAAACAGAAGGCAGCAGCATGTACCTGCGACAAAAGCAGCAGTTTTTATGTTTGTCCATGATTAGTCAAGTGCAAATAGTACAATCAAACATCTGTTACACCCAATGCAGTCAAAAGCGTGATTCTACATAGAAGCGGTGGGTGACCTAGAAGCGTAAAATCGTAAGCTTTAAGTTTTAAAGCGTAGATTTTGACTACATTTGTAAGGGAAAATCACGATTCTACATAGAATCGTTTTGGTGACCTAAAAAGGTAAAAGCGTAAGCTCTTAAGTTTTAAATCGCGATTTTGACTGCATTGGTTATACCCTAAGTTAGAACTTTGGAGTCAACCATCAACAAAAAAAAAAAATATGAGTACCTCGGAGGTGTAGAACCTTGGAGGCCCTTTAGCCACACCCAAATGCTCTGGATTTAAGGGATTGATCGGATGCTTGAAATCAACCGACGGCCCTTCCTTGGAGCAAAGCATATACCCAATCATTCCACTAATTGGAAGGAAAAATAGAAAGAATAAATTTTGAACATAACATCAGTTAAACCGATAATAGCAATTGCAACAACAGAAAAATGGTCGCCAAAAATAAGACTATTGTTCAAACGTTTTTGGTAACGACTTTCTTTTTACTTTTTGGTGGCCAAAAATATGACTATTGGTCTAACATTATCTGGGTACCTGGAATATGACGGGACGGAGCTCCAAGCATAACTGACAGAGCCCTTGAAGACTTTGCGGCATTTAGCGACCACATTTGGCAACGAAAATCCGGTGCTCCACAAGCTGTCTGCCGGGCAACACATTACTCCGCCTGGCCTAAGAGCATTTGCTACTGTCCTTAAGAAGGATTCGTTCTCTACCACATCTCCATTAGGCCCTGCATGCGTCATCGAAAATCGATGCATTCACAAGCGTGTGATTTTACGTAAATAAAAAAACGTTTTGATAATTTCGAGATGTGAAAGCACGAGTTTTGAATTTTTCAATCGCGCTATTTTTTCAAAAACAATGAACAACCCGTAAATATGTATGCAACCTCGCGTACATACCCATGTTGGTGAAGGCGTCCAATATGATGGCGTCATATGTGCCTCCTGGAACAGCTTTCAAGAACTCGATTCCTAGTCGACGTTCGTCACTAATTATCGTGAGACATACATACAGGTGATCATCATCATGCATGTACTTCAATTCCATTGATTCTAATCTTACCGTCGCCCATATGCACTCGAACTCGTCGGTCATTGTATCCGATGGCTATCTCGGGGAAGAAACGTTTGTAAACCTACCCAAAAATAGAGAGTGTAACTAATGTGAAGAATGAAATGATTCAGTGACCACACACACATATATATCGGTGAAAGTAAAGTGTAGCACTGACATCAATGACGAGGTGATCTATTTCGCAGATGTCAATCCTCTCCAAAGAGGAATGACGAGAAGCTTCCGCAAGAATGCCACCATCTCCCCCTCCAATCAGCAACACCTAATAATTAGTAACGGATTATAAAAGTAAAGAACACACAGATTTACTACGCGCGTGTCGGTGTGTGTTGGCTGGCTAATGATGTATGTATGTGAATGTCACACTATGTACCTTTTTGGGATTAGGGATGGAGCAGAGGGGAAGATGGGTTATGAGTTCTTGGTACGCAAACTCGTCCTTTTCAGTCAGCTGGAGAGACCCATCTAGCATTACCACCTTCCCATACGAAGCTGACTATATATATATATATATATGTACATTTCACCATTGATGAAATTTAGAAATGGCGTTTATAATGGCAATAGTAGCTATAGCCAGGTTGGTGGATGGTGGTAATTAATTTTAGTTACCTGAAAAACCAGAATGTGTTGTTGGTACTTGGATTTGGCTTGAAACAGAATCTTCTCCACTTCGAAGCAGAGGGCTTCCCCTGCATGCGCGGAATTTATTATTGGAAATTGGAATGATGTATCTAGTAAACCTTCGTGGCTGAAAATGAATATGAATCAATGTGCACATGCACCTGGCCATCCTTTCTGAACATTAACAAACCAACCGGCCGGGATTTTCCCAGCAGCAATATCGTCGCAACTGTCACCACCAATTTCACCCATCCCTCTAGAGTAGCACAATATGCAAGAGAAGTTAATGGTTCTTCACTTCTTCTTCTTGTCTCCTCGCCGGCCGACAGCCGTCTCTAGTCTTTTTTTTTTTACCGTGTAGGAGGGCAGTAATATATATCGCAATTAACGAGGGATGATATTCATCCATCAATGCTGCTTGCGTTTTCCACCAGAAAGAGAGCCAAATGCTTCTTGCGTGGATGGAAAATGGAATAGTTGAAATAAGGAATTGTTGGTGCGATGCAAGTAGAAGTGCAGGAGGTGATTGGGTCCATGCTTGCATGCCCCTTGTGGAAAATAAATCCGATGTCAAGAACCAATTGTTGTCAATAACTCGGGTTCAATCTGAATACGAGAATACATGTGCTTCACAAATGGGGTCACCGGAACACAAGACCTCTAGGCCACAAAAAGGCTCTGATACCATGTCAAGAACTAATTGGCTCCCAATAACTCGAGTTGTTGCGAGATATTCAATCGTGTATCATATATCACTCACTAACATCCGACGCCTTGCATCTCCTGGTTTTATGTCAGAAAGAAGGCTACAGAGATGCATCTCCTGGTTTTTATGTCATTAACTGAAGTGTTGGCATGGTTTTATGATCTTCATCTCCTTCAGGATCACTGTTATTAAGTTCTTTGATTTGTACATTGTGGTTCATAGCTTATCTACTACGCCTAACAATTTACTGTACCACAAAAGAACCTAATGAAGCAGAGGATGCTAAACGTGCAAAATTCACTAATCTTAGAGGCGTTCAGTTCAAGTGGAAAAAAAAATTGACGGCTGTGGGATTTGAACCCACGCCCTTTCGGACCAGAGCCTAAATCTGGCGCCTTAGACCACTCGGCCAAACCGTCGTTATGCTTTCATCATTCGTTACAGCTTATTAATATCATTAATTTGTCTGCTTCTGCTCCTTTGAACAACTGCAGGCTCCAAATTTATTTCTAACCATTAGAAATTATGTGGTACTTGTTCAAACTGTTATTAATGTCTATGCGGTAGTGGATGCAATCATAATTTTCTATTCGCCCATATTCAATTTAATATGGTCTTTGTTTCTTATTTGGGTTGAGTTATACTACTAACTTTTTTAATACTCAACTGACTCATCGATCTTTTCATCATCAGAAATTTATTCATCTGTCATTCACTTCTTCCTATGGTCCTATCAATCCTCAAGGGTTATTGGTGATTGTGTTCGCCAGTGAGACATGTCAGCTCTGACATTGTAAAAGTTATCCTTTAGCGAGACGAGGATTGTACAGAGAGATACAAAGCACATGATATTAAATATGAGATTGAAAAGGATTATAAAATCAAAAAATGCCCCCTGAAAAACCTGAGGAATCGTTATGTAGTTATTTGGTTCGAGAATTGGGCTCAATTCTCTCAAAATGTGATAATTGGCTTGAATTCTCTTGACAAAACGGTAGCGGGGAGAAGTAGATTTTTTCCAATGAGCATAAGCTTATTAAACGTTGAATCTTCCTCCACAAAATGGGCATTCAGATGAACCTCTCTTCATTCCCCATATAATTTTGGTGCAGAAGAAGCTAATGACATCAACCTAAGAAAGAGAAGGCCAAAGTATGTTCCTAGACACCAAGGCCCGCCCACAAGAAGAAGAATATTTGTACACTTAGCATTCCATAAATGAGGGCAAAGAAACGACTTCTTATAGAGTTCTTCCTTCCTACGAGGATGAGGAGGAGGCTTTTGCAAAAGTGCAGGGAGATGCTACAATGCAATTCGCAAGGCGTCCTAACTTACTATGTTCAAGGCCTGGCTTGTACTTCGAGAAGAAATCAGGATCTCGACTCAAGGACTCCGAGTATCTCTCCAAAATCGCAACTATCTCGTCGAAATGCGGTCGCTTGCTCGGATTACTCGACCAACATCGATTGATCAGCCGGCTAAGTGCTCTCGGACATGTAACAGGCAGCGGTGGTCTAGCATTCTGCACCAAACCAACAAAACGCAACACAACACTTTAGTAGTGTAACAATAAGCTTAGTACACAATGCTCTACCGCAGATATGTGTTTAGCGATGCAAGAGAGCCTTGGCTTGTTAGCTTCTTTCAATGTTATACCTTTTGGCAAACTGCAAAAGCCGCCTGTTCAGGGGTCATGTTGTCGAATGGAGTCAACGCAGTCAAGAGCTCCCACAGCACGATCCCGAAACTGTACACGTCGACCTTCTTCGTGTGGTGTTTCTCCTTGATCATCTCGGGAGCCATCCACCGATACGTCCCCGTGAACCCCTTGGCACTACCACACTGTGATTCCAAGCACGAGATCCCGAAATCGGCCACTTTAACAGACATGTCCTCGTCAAGCAACAGGTTCTCCGACTTGAGATCCCTGTGAAGAATTCCTTGCGAGTGAAGGTACTGCATTCCGTGAGCAATGTCCATTGCCAGCTTCAGGACCAGGCTCAGCGGGAGCGAGTGTGGCTCCTGATGGTGAAGGTACTTCTTCAGTGACCCTCCGGGCAAGTACTCGGTGATGATACAAAATACTGGAGGCTTCTTACATGCTGCAACAAACTGAATGTGTGAAGTCAAACAGAAGTTGCTGAGGGAGAAACAAAACCATGAACAAGATAATTGAAAACTACGTCACGCAGTGGTGGAACTTAGCAGAAGGCTAATCACCCTAATGTTAATAAGCTCCCTAACATAAACTACAACTGAAAGAACAGTAACTTCACTCACAATTCCAGCTCCTACAGGAAAATGGTACCAGAAACTAACTGAAAACAGAAAGAGAAATCTGCTGCAACTTGCTAGTCATAAATACAAGAAGACACCAAGCAGAGCATCTACATGAAATGAATGAGTTAACTCCATGCACTGCATCACCATAACTATTCCCAAACATCAATTGGTGGGATACCAAAAAAAACAATACACCAACGGTCAGCACATGGGAAATGCAGTTAAACCCATGACCATGAGCCATGTGGAAGACTGGTGATGACAAGTAAAGGTGAATTCAAAGAGTGGCTAGAACTGTCATAGCCATCTTAAATGCCTGTTGCAGATCCTTCACCTTATTATTGTTGCCTATGCAATTCTTCTCTCCCAATTTCTTTATTTTTAAGGATTATTATCTTCACCAGAAGCAAGAGTGGTGGTGGTGGTGGTGGTGAAGAATAAGAGCAATAACTCTTTGCACATGGGGGGACAGCAATCATAAAGCAACAAACAGATTGGCAACATTATACTATATATCCCCAAACCCTTCAATAAATGTTCCATACCAACATGGTTCCACAAAACCAGACTCTCCCTCCCCAAGATGATATATTTTAAAAGGAAAAATTCTGAGCAATGAGCATCCTGGTTAGTTAGAATCAAATAAAGATGAAATCTTTCATTAGCTTAGCTAACAGCGACCCATTTGGGAGGGGGGAAAATCCGTGACCAAACATGTCATTTAGTCAAAAACTTTCATTATCTCAGCTAACAGCAACCCGTTTGAAAAAAAATGCTGATTACTGATAGATAGCCAAAATCTCCTAAACACATCTCAGCAATTGACACCACCACCCTTTTATTAGCAAAGGCAAAAGTCACCAAATGATACCAAAATTGGACCACCAGATTCCCACAATCCGTAGCAAACAAAAAAGGGATGTGAACTGTGACAGTAAAGAAAAATGAGAAGAAGAAAAAGGGGGGGAAAGAGGGGAAGAGATATTTACAGTGATGATATTGGGGTGGGTTAGGCGAAAGAGCAAGGCAACTTCAGAAGAGAACTGCTTCTCAAGAAAGGAAGCCAAATCTTCATCCTCCTGAGGCTGGCTAATGAGCTTGATAGCAACATCTCTCTGCTTGTAGATCCCTCTGTAGATCCTGCTGTGCCTCCCTGAAGCAAATTTGTTGCCTATGAACAATTGGGACATATCAGCACTCCATTCTTGCTCTCCTTCCCCTTTGATTTCAGCACCAGATGAGACTAGATACTTGGACCATGAGATTGCTCTCCTGTACTCTCCTAGTGAAAGCCTCCTCCCCAATCCTGCGTTACTATTAATATTATTGTTGGAGATTTGCTTGAACCAGTGGAATTTCTTCATTGGGGGTGGGTTCTCTTCCTTTCACACCAAAATCTCTAAAATGTCAAAAATAGACAAAGTTTGTTGATCTCCAGGAAAACCCCAAAAAAGCTCTTGCAACAAGAACACAACTATCACAGTAAAAAAAAAAAGCTCTGAGGCTGAATCTGAAGCTAGTCAACTAGTTGAAGGCTTGAAATTTTGCTTCTCAGTCAACTACATTTTGAAAAATGCTCATTTCTTCTGCTGCTAAATTTAAGCCAGCATAAGAAGAAGGTGGAAGCAAAAACACAATCAAATTTCAAAACCATGTGAACTCAAAAATTCCACTTCCCTTTGAGCCCAAAAGAGAAGCTAACAAGGCAAAAGCTTGCAACCCTCCAAAGTTGGCCGCTTTTGAACCCAAGGAAGCAAACCCACTTTGTGGATATTCTGCACATCTCAACCCCGGAGCTTTATTCTCATACCCATCAGACAAAAAGAGAAGAAATTAAAACAAGACACACATGAGAAGAAGAACAACAACAAAAAAACAAGGTTTTTTCTTTCCCCCCAAGTAAAAGCAGAGAAACAAGAGAATGAGAGGCAGAGAGAGATAGCTCAGCTTCTTGCTTGTGCTGCTGCAATGGAGGGAAGAGGGAGGTGTTTTGGAAATGGGTGTATTTTGGGGTAAAGAAAGAGAGAAAGCTAGGAATGATTAGTATGGAGATTTGATAGGAGTGTTGGAAAAACAATATATTAAGGTGGTGGTGGGGGGAAGATCCAGTTGAGAGAGGAGGAAGAAGAAGGAAATAGCAAGGAGGCGGGTCTCTCTCTCTCTTTTTGACGGCGACTCCTCTTTGTCTCTTCCCTTCCCCAGGCAGTGACTACCCTTTCCCTTTCTCTCTTTTTTTTCACTTCTTCTTCCTACTTCCCACCGCCTCTCTTCCTCTTTCTTCTTGCTTTCCTAAGCCGACAAATCTCCGTCGCCTATCTCTGCCTCCCCGTTACCTTCTTAAGCAGCTCTCTAATGGCTCTGTTTTTCTTTTGCTTTTCTTTTGGATGTATTGGTTTATGGTAATGACTTATATACTCCATAAGGGAGCATAGTATACTTCAGGTGATATGATCGTTAAATGTACTTTGATGAGTTCCGATCAATGTTAACGATCATTTATTATTTTCCATTAACTTGAGTTTCGGGTCCGAGTTTAGAAAATCGGAGTATGAGATAATAAAAGTTAGAGTATATTATCATACCTCAAACTCGATTTAATTTATGATCTAAGTAGAGATATCTCACTAGAAAATACCTGGAGTATAGTATACTCCAGAAGTACACCAATCTGACACGTTGGTTTATATTTATTTTCATGTGGGAGGTGGTGGCACTATCAGTATGTGTTACGAATTCCAACCTTTTGTAAAAAGTTAGCGCTCTCTAATCCATGGTTGTCAACTCGGTGGTTGATCGATTGGTAGAATCGGGTTAATAAGGTTAGAATCGATAAATATCGGTTAAAATTTAAAAAATCAGTGGTCCAACCGATTTTTTCTTTTTTTTTCTAAAACCGTCAATGTTTTGGTGGATTTAATTAACAAAAGTTGTACTGAAATGTGAGTATTTGTCATTATGTGTGTAACATATTTTATTTAAAATATGTGCATCGATGTTAGATTTAAGTATAATCATTTTATTAATGATATTAAATGTTGTATTTAAATATGAGGATATATATATCTATATGAAAACTGTCTTGAGATAGGTTATATATATTCATAATTCATATGCATTAATAGTTTTCTATCTTCTCTGCATATTTTGTTAAACTCGACATAAACCAATTGTATTCTGATCAGATCAATTTCACTTGCTATATCAGCGTAACGTATTTGACAACGTTATCTCCCTCATACATATTATCTAATTGTGTTGGAACATTTGGAAGGCAAGGAACGAGTGCACCTTCAAGAATCGGGCACCCTGGCCCCCAAACGTGTGTCTGCAAACCTATAGGGAGCTTTCAGAATGGATCGCTTGCCCGAGGCCCCCACCTCAAGGCTCTGATTGTCCCACTCAGCTCAGGGGATCCCATCGTACTACGAATCAACCGCCAAGTAATCACTCGATAGTGATTCAATGTGATGGGTCGTTTTTTAGCGACCCCCAGTCGGCGGCATATGGCGTTGTTGTTGTTAACCACCATGGACAAGTGTGTGATGGGAGAGCTGAAAATCTTCTTTGTTCCACCCCGATTGAAGCGGAAGCAAAGGCTCTTCTGGAAGGAATTAAATTAGCGCAAGAATATGGATCGGTGTGTACGGTACAATCTGACTGTCAGGTGCTGGTAAAGGCCCTGAACCAAAATCAGCGATGGCCCTGGAGATGTGCGGCATGGATTGGAACAATGGTCAATCTCCTTAGAACTAACCCAGCTATTTCAGTGGAAGAGGTTCCGAGGGCTTCGAACGTCAGAGCTGATTGGGTAGCAAGATCAAAAGCTAAATCAATTCTACCAGAAGACTGGATTAATATTCTTGATCTAATTTCTGTTCTCCTCTGAAATTGTAATGGTTGTTGAATGCTTTTTTCGTTTGGTGGAATAAAAGTTGATACTATTTGTAAAAACAAAAAAACAAAAAATATTTGACAACGTTGGTGATGTCACTTCCTTCCATTGCTCTCCTCTAACGGCTTTTACCATTATGCCCTCTAGACTCTAGTAAACCACATTCCGAAGCTGCTTCTTTTCAGTACTGCATGTTCTTCCGTCTGGTATGCCCTTTCTTTATGGTGTAACTATCTTTTGGACTTTGGTAAGGCTTTTATGATGCAATTACCACTTGCAATTGAAGTTTGAAGGAGACGAAAAACCAAAAGTTTGAGTTGAATAAACAAATGCAAGCAATGCTTATCTGTTATATCATCTTATCTTCTGGGATAAAATCTCTACCAAAAGAAAATAACATAAATAATTTCATGTTCCTTTGCTTTCTTGATAATCATGTATTCTGATTAGGGGTGGGGAGGGTACGCGGAGAACGGGTCGATCCATTCTTAATTCTTATTTGAAAAAATAAATGTAAAAAAATAATTATTTTATGATTATAACAAATAAAAGTGATAATATAATGAGTAATTGAGTTTAAATAATAATAATAAATTAATTATTGCACATATTCAAAGTTACATGTGAAAATATTATTGAAAAGACAGAAAATGTAAGAAATGCAAATAGATATTGAAGAAAATTACAAAAGGGGCGGATTAAGAATGCAGCGAGACGGGTTGAAAATTGAAATGGGCATTCCTAATTCTAGTCACTGTTTTTCAAGTAGAGGCTTTTCCATAGTAGTTTTTTTTTTTAATGTATTATTTTGGATAAAAATAATGTATTTAAGTTTCTATGTAAGTGAGAATACATAATATTAGGCATTTAGAAATCTAGGTAGGAGTTACACTAATATTTGAACAAATTAAAATACGATTTCATGTAGGTCAATAATATAATATGTCATCTATCTATCTATATCTATCTATCTATCTATCTATCTATCTATCTATATCTATCTATACTATATATTATGGCAATTCAAACATAACTTCTTGCCACATAAGCACTTGGAGAATTCACAAGTTGCAAAGGTGGACAACTTTTTTTGCAAACAAAAAATTCATTATTGATCTATTTATGGAGTTATCTCTCTTTTCTTTTAATATTTCTACTCATTTTTAGTAAAAATTAGTAATAAATTACATTTTTATGAGAATGTAAACAAACACACAAAAGTATAATATTTTTGTCAATTAAAAAAATATAAAAATGGAAATAAAGAGTGACTATATTGAATTTGTTTAAATAAAAAATATATGATTAAATTTTATCAAGTAAATTTTCTACTCATTTTCACCAAAACTTAATAATAAGTTACATTTTTTACAAAAATTTAAAAAAGTACACATGTATAATAATATTTGTATCAATTAAACAAAATATTACAATAGAAACATTGCAAACAAATGATTAAAAAAGTACACATATATAATAATATTTTTATCAATCGACTTTGAAAACGAAATATATGAATTTATATTTTTTGTATTAACAACTCTCTTATTTCTAATGTATTGTTTTTGGTCAAATTATTTATAATATATATTTCTATCAAATAAAACAAGTCTTATATAGTAAAAGGTCTGAATATAAATTTGACTAAGCAATAATAGTTCTTTCTTTAAAAAACCTTTTATTCATCATGATTAAGTGAAAACATATATTCATGTTCTATCTTCTGTTTCTCAAATTAAGAGGAATCAGGTGTGCAATACTTTATAATTTTTCCTAGGGTTCATATAAAAATATTCACTCTATATCATATTAATTGAACAATCTCTATTGAAGTTATAAGTCGAATGCTAAATAATTTCTTTTCGGATTTGGTGTTATTGTCGAACATTATTACATCAAAGTTTTCAAAATGACTTAAGTATGATTTTTGACGAGTTTTGACTTCATACCTAAGATGAGACACAACATCACTTAAAAAACAACACGTGTGAAGGTTAAGAAAATCTTCGTTGAGGATATACGATAAACATCACGTTTCATCAACCACTAACCTTAGCATTGATCAAATAAGGGTTGAAAAATTTTATTTAATAGTTGATGTCTTGGTAGACAAATCTAAATTCGAGGATAGAGACAATAAATAGACATAAGTGTGTTAGTTGAGATATCTAAACAAAAAAACTTTTGTAGCTACAATAATATGAATTGAGGTATTGTGTTAAAATAAAGAATCTTTAATAAGGATGAGTTTAGTATGACAATTGTAAGAAAACATTGGGATAGTTTGCTTCGTGGATTTGAAAAACTGAAGGTTTTAATAAAACTTGGATTTTGTAAAAGCATGGATATATGAAGGTTTTTGGTTCATTATGTATTTGAAAATACCATATTTAGTTTCATAGATTTCATGATGCATTTGGTTAATTGAATTTGTATGTTGGAAGTGAAAATGACATATATTACCCTCATTGGTATGAGAAGGGAAATGAAATATGAGGGTAGGTTGGTCATAAATAATAATATGCAAATTCCATGATGAATTTCCATCTAAAGAGGTGAAATTTTCAAGTCTGTGTGGCCCACAAATTTGGAACCTTAAAATACATGAGACCCACATATTTGTTGCATCTAAATACATGAAGCAAGCAATGGTTGGAAAAAGTTCACGATAGCTCCAAATTCATCAAGCAAACAACCCCACCTATATGGTTGTGAGTCTGTGACTCCATACCAAATTTTGGCAATAACAAAAACTTTTTCAATATCGAAGTCTCAAAATGGAAATCTTTTGGTTAGTAACATAAGCAATTTGTATTTAGATCGAGTTATCCTAGGCACAAAATTTCGTTTTCATATTTCAGTCGATGAGCCGAGTTCATAGGTATTAATTAGGGTTAAAAATTAAAATAAAATCATTATACATATTCTTAGATATTAATAGATATGTCTACAATACTTTCAAGAATTCAAATGCATGTAAAATGTCACGATGTTTCTACGAGTTATTACATTTTATAAAAAAAATAATAAGTAAATTAAGTTAATAAAAATGAATGCAACATTTTGCTTTGTTCCTATTCCTTTTCCCATACAACATTGAAAATAAAACACAACATTGAAAATACAAAATATAAATTATGATTATATGCAGTTTAGTTTACTGAAAACATAGTTTTAATAAATTAGTGACAAACAATAGTTTTATTTGTGGTTGGTTTTGCTAGAATATTTTCAAGGTAAATTAAACGAATAAGCGGAAGATTGATAATGTGGATGCCAATGTGGTTTCTCATTCTTCCAAAGTTACACGAGTAACTGATACTACACGATATTTGTGGGATCTAGATCGCGATATTCTTTATTATCATATATCAACGTACGAGAAGGGTGAGAAAATGAAAGCTCTTCACTTTTTTTTATTAATTGAAATATATTTGCAAATTTTAACTTCTTCTTTTGTGTCCTTCAAAATTTTAACTTCTTTGTCACTTTGTGTGCTAAAAAAATTAATAATCTCTTAGTTTATATCTTAAATGGTGGATTCGATACATAATTATAAATCAATAAAGAAAGTACTACAGAGAGCTCATTTAATAAAATTAAATTTTCATAAATAAATGAAAGATATAAAATGTCAAAACAATATATGAAATTTGGTAAGTGAGATTAACAATTTAATGTATAATAGTTTAACATAATGAATCATAAATAAAATTATAATAATAGGACGAAAAATATAATAACCAATCAAAATTTGCCGTCCAACAGGCGGTATAAAGCTAATTTAGATTAGATGTATGTACTGGTAAAATAAATGTTATAAATACACTAGTGTGTCCATTATCCAAGTCTAACCTAAGGATGGTAATTTCGTTTTGACCCGTTTTACCCGATTTGTTTAGCCTGTTTTGGGGTGGGCATGGGCAGGGCCGGCCAAGAGGGTGTGCCGGCCCGCCCTCCGGTACAGGGCCTCCGAATATTAGGGGCCTCCACTTAGATTCGTTAGTTACCGATCGAATATTGCATGTTGTTTTTTTAGTGTATGATTGATAGATTATGAATATAATGACGAATTTAATAGATAATTTTAGCTATAATAACAATTGAAAAAGATCTCATGGAGAATACAAAAATCAGAGAGATAATAGATAATTTTAATTCAAACAATAAAGAAAGATATTACATTTTAAATAATGGTATTATAATCATTTTAGTTTTATTATAGTTAAAAGTCAATTTGGATCATGTCTCAATTTTGGAATAGGGCCTACACGATCCATTAGATAGACCCGCACCCACCTCTCGATCAATTTATATTATTTTCATTTCTCCATTCAATTTTTGCTCTACATCCATTTTTTTTCCCTCCGGATTTACTTTTCTCCCTCCCTGCTAGGAGTGAGAATTTGGTCTTAGTTTCTTGGTCATAGGAAGTGAGATTTTTTATTCATTTTGAAATAATTTTCTGAACTTATGTACTTTATAATTATTTAATATATTTTATTTTTAATAAATTTATTGAGAAAAAAATAGGGGCCACATGTTAAATTTTCGAATAGGGCCTCCAAATATAATGGGACGGCTCTGGGCATGGGTACCTCTCATCGACCCGGCCTGCCCTGACCCCTTCTCGGCCCGTTCTTGCATAAATTATATGTAATCTTAGGATTTTCCTCTTATTATCTCATATTTTATCTATAATCAATTTTTTCAATAATTTAACTATATTTTACCATATTATGATTTCTTTCTTGGTCTTTTAATGGACATAACAAATACTTTTAATGTTTTTTCACATAAATTACATACCCATTGGGTCGACCTATCCCGACTCCTGACCCTCGCCCCATAATAAATTACCCCGACCAGCCACGGGACGGGTATGAATATCGAGATACCCGCCCTAAACCTGCCCATTGTCATTCCTAGTGCAACCCTGTCCATTCTACTATCATTAGAGAATGAGTATTATATATGTTATAATATCTAACATTCTTAGGTATATTGGAAAGTTATATTCCTTACAATGTATATAGTTTTCGTATTAATATTAAGATTATTGTAAACGTCTGTTGCTCTTGTATTTTCGATACAAGTTTTTGAGATTTCATTAAATCAGTCATATTTTATAACAACTTACGTAATAGTAAATATGTTATTTCGAACAACAAGAGCAGTCAACTGATAACATCGGTACAAGTTGACCACCGGCCACCGCACAATAAAAGATAGTCTCAAAACACCAACCAGGTATTAGAGGGGTAGTAAGGGGATTTCATTAGTTGAGAAGGGTGGGTTTAGTTTAGCATCTGTCTATATAATTAATTAATAATTTACTGAGTTTAGTGATCGAGCGTTGTTATTACCGGGTGACGGCGTGATTAGTAAAGAAAGATTCCGGGCAGAGACGACGGCGACGGACGGACTGACGGAGCGTGCTGCTGTCGGCGTTACAGTTAGGAGGAGGAGGTGGTGGTGGTTGGCGGGCCCCCACCGCCCCGGCCCAAGCGATGAGAGAGAGAGGGCTGTGCACTTCTGGCTGCCGTATGGGGATGGTCCTCTTCCGTATACGGTCTTTCTCTCTCCATCTCTCTCTCTCCTCCCACTCCCATTATCGACGAAACAGCAGCTTTATTATTATCAACACTCGCGCTCGCACCCTCTCTGTCAGTCAGCCAGTCGGTCGTCTTTTTTTTTCTTTTTTCCCACCACCACCCAACCCTCCAATTATTATTATTTTATGCATCTGAACAGAAACTCTACGGCACGCGCGGGAATAGTGACATGAATACACGCGCTCCACACCGGTACGAGTATCTCGGTATAGTTGTTTCAAATGAAAAACAATAAACCGGAGAAATGTGGTGTGCATAAGAAGCGCATTCACGAACAAAACAACAAACTGAACATGAAATGGCTAAGCGACACACTATAACATACTGTAAGTAACGAAAAACGAGCTTGCCTATGAGTTGTCAAGTAGGTGTAGGAATGATCTATGTATAATTAAGTGGTCGTCATTTTTTGGCGGTCGAGGGTTTGGTAGACAATGAGTGTGGGAGCCTGGTTGGGAACGAAACGATAAAGTACTACACACTACCTTATATTTCGGTATAATCGGTAATTCGGTGTATATATATATATCAAATTACCGATTTCAGCCTCGTACTTCATAATACCAAATAACACTTAAAAAAATTGAATTTCAATCTCAATCCCATGAAATAACACAACTACCAAGTGTCGACAAATTCTATACTGTATTTGCTAATATATATATATATATCATGGATTACCGATACCGAACTTCCCACCCTAGACAGAGGGGGCGGGTCGGGCAGGCGAATGCCAGCGGTGGGCGGGTGTGATGTATGCGGGCTGGCAAATGGAGGACGAAGGGGACATTTGGGGCTGTGTCCCTTAGCAGGCAAGGCAAGGCCCTTTACGTACGTACCCGTAGGGTACCCTCCCCTTCCATTGTCATAATTAAGTACTAGAGGCAGGCATATGGCTCAGTTAGTTACATGGATGGTTTGGCAATATTAGGGTACCCGAATTGAATTGGCCATACGCGATCGATCGATTTGAGGTTTCACCTACGTATTCGACCCAGCTAAGCTAGCAATGATCGATCGATCGATGTGTTTCTTTTGTTTCCTTCCTCTCCTCTCGCTTTCGTGTCCCAGCTGCAGCTCCTCTTTGCATGATTCAAACCTAAACACAGCTCCTCCTACCTCTTTGTTGTACCAAATGGCTGCGCTTTTCTTCTGATCATGAACCATTAATCTCGTCGACAGCTCGACTCCTCCTGGTTTTCGTTGCTTGATGGGTCGTATATTGATTTCATCATCATCGCTCGTTCCGACATTGAGTATATGCTCGATCTTCAATTGTATACAATTCTGATTTTCCGTGCTAAGAATTTATATTACATTACCGTTGTCGCACCTTGATCTCTCACAATGATAGTAACTAAGACTTTATCTTACAGTCTTACTACTGTCATACCATAGTTGTACCACTATGATAAGACTTCTTAGTGGTAAGTTCATGGTAGTGGTAAGATAAATAGAAGAAAAAAAATCTCTCAACTGCCGCATGATAATCCGCCGTCAAACTCATAATATTTGGACGGAAGAAGACAAAATTAACGTGTCGTATTAGTGATTGACGTCATTAATAACTTAATTAATTTCGTAAGAATTATCTCGTGGGAGTAACCAACGTCATTCATCGTGTGACATCACAAAGTACGGAATCTGCATGTATAATATTTGTGTTTCAAACTACCCTAGTTACAAAACTAACCATCATCTAGATTAAAAATAAGATAAGTAGATAACCCCCCAGAAATCAAGTTTCTCTTAAATCTTAATTGAAGTAGCCAATTTGGGTGATGTGATATATATATATATATATATATAGCATATCTGATATCTCTCTTGCTTTGATTACAGAATTTTGTTGTTGTTTGAAGTACGCATAATTGATTTTCCAAATTCTTAATTAGAAATCAAACTATAACTTCCGCTACTGTAGAATCATCTTGATAGTGGTTCGATAGTACCTTAATTGGTCGACCGCGTTGCATTTTTGACTCCCTAGAAGATTTTATAATCTCCAAATAATAATAATATAAATAATTATGAGTCCTGGAGAATTTTCTTCACATATGGAAATATTTGGTACAGAGAGACATACACACATGTCTTGACGGGCGTACAGAACTGAATAATGTCCCTAGCTAGCTACTGCAATTATTCATTGTTTTTATTTTATTTGAATTTAGAAAAAGGGGAAGGAGAATAAAAAACAGAGGAATAAGTAGTTGAAAGAGACTTTCACGAATAAATTAAGTGCCAAACTTGATCGTACGTAATGGCATCATTAGTCCGTACTCAAGTCACGTTAATCGGATTCCGTAAATCCTAATCAATAAATTAAGAAACACCTAATTAATTTAATTAATGATGATGAAGAAGAAGCAGCAAATGGGAAATTTGTACACCGCGACAACGAAAGCGCTGCTGCCTGTGACATATTTCTTTGTCTATAGGGAGTGCTTGATTGATGATAGTTGCTTTTTCCTTTTTTTTTTTTTATAAATAAAATAAAGAATATTTGTCACGTAGCTTCAGCCCTTTAGGAGTCAGGCTTTTGCATGAACATGGGTGATGGAAGACACCCACGTGACTTTCCCTCCCTTCTCTATGGGTTTATTACAATTACATACCCCAAATTTCGGCAAACTACTGATTTGATCCTCAGTATTTTCTTTACATACACATCTTGAACCATAAACACAAAAGGCTTCGCAAAAGGACTCCTCATCTGGGCCCAGCCCAGCCCAACTCATTGCTGTACTACTCACCCCTATCAGAATACACGGCCCTGGACCATAAGTCCATAACACAGGCCAGTGGGTCCATTGCTAGGCACAAATAGTTTTCAGGTTTTCGTTTCTCCAACAATACAGGCCAGCGGGCCCATTGCTAGGCCCAAGTGAACAATCTATATGTATCTCTGTACAACTTACAAATGACTGTATTGCAGTTCGACATTCTCCTCAATCTGTTGGCCTCCACCATTTATTTTGTTTCTTGCCGTGTGAGATTCGCTGGGGTGTGTGTGTGTGTTGTCAGATGGATTCCCGGTGGCAGAAGTTGTAACCGGAGACGACGGAGCTGGCAGCAAATGCTCCGAAAGCGAGGAACGACATTGCGATCGAAGCGGTTGCCATCTCTGTGAATTCATCTTTGCCCCAGTTCGACTGCCAGTCATCCACTCGTGTGGCTGCTGACGACGATGCAGAGATCAGAAGGTAAGCCAATGCCTGTTGATGTAAAACCAAGAACCCAATAGACATTTCCATTTATTAGTCCAACAAAAGCCACAAATAACTTTCATAAACGGATTACCAACTTGTTTAGTATGATATGATGCTCAAGTAATGGACTACCCTGTTCTGCACAAATGGACCAACTATCCGCTGGTAACTTTGAAATGCAGTAGTTACAGATATAAGAGATGCTCGGATTACAGATAATGACAGCCTAGTCGTCGCTGACCCAAAACCGAGACTAACTAGACTCCTTCTGCAAACATCTTGCCAATATGAGCTCACTACCCGGTTGGAATCATGGATGTAAGGAAGAAACTAGAAAGAAAAATCTGGATGCATTTAGGGAATAAGCTATTTATTAGGACGAACTGTACACCTCCAAGTTTATGCAATTCGGCTCACAAGAAGTTCAAACCAGAAATCGAACTTAATACAGTTCAAACTACAAGCAAACCAACTGTAGAGTAAACTGATATGCTCCTACTATGACCCATCTAAACTTGATAGGCAATGTGAAGGGTATAAGTTCAAATTTCATGCCAGCAGCAAGTAGCAATACGTTCTAGACAAACAATGAACTTGCCTGATCAATGAAGAAATTGAAGTGCCAACGAAGATGATGGCGAAGGACATGCTTCCCAGTACCCATGTGGTAGCCGAGATCATACGCTTGAAATGCAGAGTAAGCGAAACCAATCACATTCACAGACAGACAGTACCTTCAAATTCAAGCACCCAATTAAACATAGCTCCAATTCAATCCAATTCTAAAGGAAGCAAATCGAATTCGCGAAACAAGAGTCGTCAGCAGGCAGTTTACCTATACTCTTTGTAGCGGTCGAACGAATCCCCACTCCAACCCTGAGTCTTATCCGCCGCCATCACCGAGAACGAAATCAAGCAGAGAGCCAGCTCCGCAATCCGAAAACAAAGCTCCGCGAGCCGAACCTTCTCTTCCTTACCCGAACGGCGCAGTACGGACCCGACGGCGTCTCCTCCCGATCTCCCGCCCTCCGGCCCTACCTTCCTCACCGACGGCGCGGCCTCTTCTCTCACCGCGCGGTTCAGAGTCGCTCCCATGGGAGGGAACGGAGGCGGCGGAGCCGGCTGCTGCTTCCCCGCCGACGCAGCATTGTTGAAGGAAGGCGGCGGCGGCGGAGTGTAGTGAGTGAATTTGTCGAAGGCGACGACGGCCTTGGAGTTGTCGGCGGCGGAGGGAGGGGTCGGCTTCTCCGGCGAATTGATCGGGGAAGAGTAGGGAGGTGACTCGGCCGGGTCGCCCTGGTCGGAGCGGAGCGGGGAGTGGAATCGGAGCGGCGAGTGGGGCGAGTCGAGCTGGGCGTGGTGCGAGTCCGAGTTGGAAGAGGAGGAGCGCTTCATGTTCCTGGTGTTGAGGAAGTCGACCCGGGGCTTCGATTTGGACGGTCTCGAATCCATGACTAGGTTTCTGACTCGCTCTGGAAAAGAAACTGAATGAAGAGAGAGAGAGAGAGAGAGAGAGGAGGGAATAAAGAAGAAGAAGAAGGGGGAATGTGAATTGAATGAAGAGGAGAGAAGCGCGGAAGGAAGGGGCTGTTTGGCGAGCGAGCGAGAAAATGATGGAGGGGGAATAAGGTTTTTAACTACTGGTTTGGTTTGGTGGGGCCTGAATGCCTAGTCGGATATCCACGTGGCAAGTTTGAATACAGGTGGACTGGAGGGTCAGCGTACTAGACTACTAGTACTACTAGGGAAAGGACAAGTACACTGACTTGAAAGGAGCCAATCAGTGAGTGGCACGTAGGGGTGGGCAATGTGTTGGGTTCACACCAGACCGAATCGATGTTTGGATCCGACCACACCAAATCAAATATAATATGGTCCGGTTCTTGGCCCTATGAATTTTATAAATATTGAAAAATGGACCAAATTTACATTTGGACGAAATGCACTATTGGTCTTGTTCTTGGTCCTAAGATATCTTTCAGGGTAAATTGCAAGGTTGGTCACTGAGATTACTAAAAAGGTTCATATGTAGTCACTAGAAATATTTAATTTCGTTCGTAGTCACTAAAATTAGTAAAACAATCCAAGTTTGGTCACTCTCCGTTAACTTCCGTTAGTCTCTGTTAACGACGTCAGTTTTTTGCTGACGTGGCTAACATACATGTCTAATCATCCAATTTAATCTGCCACATCATATAATCCGATCCGCCACATCATATCTACTAGATAACCTAAACCAACTCGATTAAACCACCGACCCGACCCTCTCTTTAACATTTTAGGCAAAGTTGACCTAAATCTCGCCTCACTTTTACATCACAAACCCTTCTTCGCGATTGGGAACACCGACAAGGAAGAGGATTAGTTTCCGCCAAAGCCTTCATCACTCCGGCGGTCTCAGTCTCCTACGCCTCCTCACTCTCTGACTCCTACCGATCTCTGCCTCCTTGTGGAATTGGATCATTCAAAATCTGGGACTGATGGACAGCAGGGGATTCGCTATATCCAGATCGCCGATAGAGGTGGAGAATAGCGGAAGCGGCTTCAGCTTCCTCCTTTAATTTGGAGGCTACCTTCGACCGCGATCCTAACCATTTGCACGAGGTGGGGTCCGTCTGTGGGTGAGCAGCTCAACTTCAGATGGAGATGGATGTCTGGTGATAGCAAGGTGGGCTCCAATCGACGATGACGGCAAAGAAAGCGGCACAAGAGAGTTCGGAAGTCATGGAGACGAAAGCTCGGGCAGGGGAACCACGGAGGTGCAGCGGGGAGTCGAATCGACGAGACAGGGGGAGGAGGAGGAGGAGGAACGAAGCGTCATCAGATACCACTACTCTCTCTTTCAGGCGAGTAGGCGGTTAACCGCTAAAATAATCGCTAACCGCATCGACAGTTAATGGTTAACTGATAAGTCTTGGCGGGTCGGCTAACGGTAATGATTTTTTGTTTGGCGGGTAACCGCTAACCGCATTTTCAGTTAACGATTAACCGCTAACCGACCTGACTATCACCCCTAGTGCCAGGTCATAGTAGGTGCGGAGTTGGAGTTAGGGGTGGAAATTGGTGTGGGTTAGATTATCTGCCCTGCATTATCTTGTTACTCACATCCATAAAGTTGTATTTATGACTTTATGTTAGCCCTAAACCGTACCGCAGTGGTTAATAGGTTAATCACTATCCATTGTGGTTGGGTTTGGTGAGAGTTGGTGGTGGTTATTCGTAAAAATTCATCATTATAGGCGTGAAGTTGTGGCTGCCACCAACAAATTCTCTATTCACAACAAGATTATAGTAATATATTGTTGTTTTGTTCATGAATGTATATCTTATATAAAATTTGCTATTCAACTTTTATGTGGGAGAGAAGAAAGAGATGAAAGCTTCTTTACAAAATGCAAATTAATCCTGCTGGAAACACACTATAGTCTATAAGTTTTTATTTTTACAATGAGTTAATTTTAGTTTTCTACGAAATTCTTCTTTGCTTCTTTTATTATAAAATATTATTAATAAATAAGTATGATGGACTTAAAGGTAAAGAAAAAGTTCGTTATACTTATGGTGAATTTTGTGGGTTAATTATTGTGATTAGTGGTTAATAACTAACCACAAAAATTATAATTTTGCTAACCACACTCAATCCACTACCACAAATTGTGGGTGTGATCAACAACTACTTGTGGGGATTGGTGTGGTTTGTGAATAATCCGCAAACCGCATACCAAACTCTCACTCCTAGTTGGAGGTGCATGTGTGGGTTTTGTTGCAGAGGACGATGACTCCTTACTTGGGAGAGAGAGGTACTGAGGTTCCACGTAAGATATTGCACACTAAAATTGTGCTGGTATGAGATGCCACTCATAAAGTTGAATAATTCCTCCCCCTTTTTTTTGGCTTTCTCATGAATGAATAAAGTTGAAAGGGTTTTAGTTGGTGAGTCGACTTAATCAATAATATGTTTTCATTCTTATGCTTAATGATCGAGGTTGGACTCCTTTTTGTTGACGAACATATTTCGTTGTTATAACTTAAATTAGATAATCTGTCGTCGACTGAAATCACAGATATATCACTTTAGCATTTGCTTATTATTATAGGAAAAGGGAAAAAACACAAAAAGAAGCAAACAAGCAAAGATAAAATACGAAGGTGCGATGGTGGTGGTGATAAAAAAGCAAAAGTTCTTCGCTTTAGCGTAAGCTTGGTATAATGGGATTGCTTTGATTTCTCTAAAGGCACAAATTCTATCCCCTACTTTCCCCCGACTCCCTTTTTTTTTCTCTGCACTTTTTTACTTGCTGTGGACAGCACTCGTTTTGGCATTCAACTAAGGTGCTTAACCTGTAAGGAAATCTGAACAAGAAAAGAATTGGATATGGAAATCCATCTCCACTCCGACGGGTAAGCTGCCATGATCATGGAGATCAGAAAGAATATACTCATAAAGGGAGCAAGAAGAAGAAAGGCACCAAATACTTCCCTTTAAGCTTTTCCCCCTTCACTAGTTTCAAACTTCCACATCACTTTGCATTTTTCCTGGACAGCAAAAACCTGCAAAAAGAAGCAAGAAGTTGCCATTCTAAACTCACTCCTTTCTCAGCATTTCGTGTTTCGACGCGGATTGCTATCAGAATCAATGGACAAGTGAAGACGTGGAGAGTAAGTAATATCAGGGAAGCAGTTGAGAGAAGTGTGTGGGGCAAGGAAGGAAAACCGCCCTCCTCTCGTCCAAGGATCGCATAGGTACATACACATTATTTGTAGAAGAGTGAGGGGTGTGGCATACATTCTGTCTTACAAAAATAAAAACTCTCTGCTGGGATGATAAATGATCCATTTTCTTGAGCTTATTCTGGTAATCGCAACCGGTTGAACAGCACCAAGAAGCTCTGCTCTGGGACTACATACAGGAATCCGAGATCTGCACCTTTCACATATGGACCGATTCCCTAAACGAAAAAGAACGAATATGGATTTAAGTTTGCTGACCAGAACACACAAGCCTGCGAGAGGTTTGTGCATACCAACAGCACAGTTTTGCAAGAAATGAACCATCATGAATTCTTTTATCGGTTTAGCATTCACTCACCTTGCCATTCAGTTGGAGAAGTTCCCCTTCAACCCATCTCGGGTTCTTGAAACCGAACTCTGCTATTCTTCCTTCGCCTTTATAACTCGCAACCTGGACAAGAGCAGTTCCGGAAACAAGATGTAAACCAATTTTAGGATCTACGATCTAGGCAAGTTCAAGAAAGCCAAGAAAAAAAAAAAACATTAGTGTTGCAGGATACATGCTAGAAAACAACTGAATGCATGGAAATAAACAATTATATATGTGCAACACCAGTAAGAGTATGCCAGTTTTTGTCACCATTCTCATGTCCAACTCAATCTTGAGTCTCACCAAGAAAACACGGAAATAAACAAATGAGCCGGACATGCCAAAGCAGGGGGGAAACAATTTGTGCACTGCTTTGTTTGTCACTGTGTGATGGTTGAAACCTAAAAATTCTTGTCAGCCTATAATATATCGCATGAAAATAGACGTGCAATTGTCATTAATGGGCATTTCAAAAGAAATAGTCAATTTAACTGGTTTCACAAATGATTCATTTCTTTGTCTGTTTCATTACTTTTAATTAGGTACAGGAAGCATCAAACTTGTAGCCTAGGTGAACAAACTGGAGTTAAGAACAAGGGCAAGATTAGACACAAATCCTTGTGATCCAAACAGGAACAAGAAAATCACAAAGCGATCAAAGAGCAAGTAAAGTTACCACTCCTAGTTCGTCGGGATACATCCCACGATTGGAATTGCGACTCCCTTTGCCAATTTTGGCGCGAAATGTAACCTACAGTTGTATTGATAGGTTAGCATTAATGACGTGAAATTAACTAGAGTGAAGAAGTAATATGAAAAATTAGAAATGGCAACCTGGCCGGCAGGAACATTAAGATCCCCAGTCAGCTTCACGGCCTCAACATACTCAAAGAACTCTAATTCAGAGGAGCCTTTCCCATCATTCCAGCGACCATATTTACGCCTCAACTGAACTACCTCTGTTCCATAAGGACCAAATGCACCAACATATAGGCCTATACATAAACACAATAGAATGGTGATAAGAGCCATTGATTGCTACACCATCAAAGGGCTGAAAGCAAATCAATTAACTAACTCACCGTCAAATGGATCTAGATCATTTGTATTTGTAATTCTGGAGAAGTTTGTGAATTCCGACAATCTACTCTGCTTTTGAGCCTGACTAACAGCAAGTTTGAATATTTCACGCACATTCCTGGAAACCTAAGGTAATAACAAACAATTCAAACATCAGAATATTGCAAGTAATCAAGCAAGTGGGTCACTTCATTATGATGGAGATCACACTTGAAGAACGAAAACGAGACCAGGAAGGGGAGTGCATACACATCAACCTTGCCAATAATTGAAGAACAGAGAGAGAAACAGGGAAGCTTGTTAATCACATTGAATAGAGTGAAGTGGAATAGCTATACTCACCTTTGAAGAAACTTTGTCGGCGCCCCAAAATGCCTTCGCTATATCTGAAGGCATAAGTTCAGAAACACCTTTAGCTGCAATTGCTGCCACTTTCAACTTGGAAGGCTTACTGTCTGCATTGTCATAGTCCAAGATTCTCTCAGGGATGTGTAGAACGAAAGAATCTTTCTCGACATCTTTGATCTCAGCCGGCACGCGGGAATAATCATCCTTGGTAGGGGTATCCTCATTGTTATGCACCACTCCACCAATAAAAAGTTTCATATCGAGATCTTTTCCATCCTCTGAGGACTCACTACTACTCACTAAGGAAACTCCATCCGACTGAATCTCTTCTAACTTCTCAGATTCGTCTTCAGAATCTTCATTAGACACTGCCTTTTCATCCTCATTTTGAATCAACTGCTTCAAAGCATCATCATCTTCCGCCGCCACTTCTTCAGTAACATTAACGTTCATGACCTTCACTTTCAACCCTGGAATTTTATCTTTAAGAAAATTTATCACACTTTTAATTCCTTCCTCAGTAGCTCCCTCGATATTTACACCCTTTTCATCAGTTGCCTCTTCTTTAACCTCATTTTGCTCAACATCTCCATCAGATACACTTTCCACCTCAGCCGTAGAGGGTTTTACAGATTTAGGTGGGGAAGTTGTGGAATTCTTCGAACTTGCTTTGGCTCGCAAACAAACTACCTGGGAATTATTGGAAAATCAGGACATCCTGTTATCAAATACGACCACTAAAAAACCTTCTACCAAAAAAAATAAATATGACAAACACAGAATAATGAGAAACAGATTCATATATCACTAGAAATAATAAACATCACTTTAAGTTTTCCCAATTGAACATCTCGTTAACTGTCTCCAGAGATGCTTTATCTCGGGTTTAAGTGCAAAGCAGGTCAAGGAGATTTGACCAAACACAAAACTAACTTACTGAAATGGATGCAACTGTGAACTTTGAAAATTATCAACAAAAAGGAAGCTTTGAACTTCAAAAAGCTCTAGTTACCCACTTGCATCACATATTTTTCATCTGGATCTTTGACAACAAATATCTCGAACAATGGAGTACCAGAAGATGCATTGACCAACTGCCTGCAGCAATGAACAACTTTTACAACCTTCAACTTAACATTCATAGATTTTTCAAAGAACCAAGGGGATGGGCAAACCTTGGGGTGTAACTCTTGGCGATGAATCTTCCCATGCCAGGTGTTATACGAACAAGTCTTCCAAAGGGGTCAGAGGAATCTGTTGAATAACCTACCCACCAACCTACCTGTTAGAACGAAAGGAAAAAAATTTATTTCAGAAAGATACCCCTAAAAGGTCATGAAAGTGTTAAGTTCATTTATTACATGAAATGAACTATATCCTGAACATATTGATCACCATGGTCAACCAAAGCCAATAACCAAAAAACACTATAAAGTTTTAGAAATTTCCTCAAGTTATGGGGGGATATTTCTGTTTGATGTAATTTTCCACGAAGCCAAAAGATCCAGACAGATTATAATAAGAAATTTATATTCACAAACCATGTAAGGAACACTAGTATCAGATACATACCAATCCACTTCCAGTGTGTTTACATAATTTTGAAGCATCATGGTATCGCTCTTCGTCAATAGCGTTCTGCACACAGCACAAGAGAGGATGAACATTACAGGTTCCAATGCAGGAGGGGAAACTACACAAAAGGGGTAGACATGACTGGAATTCAAACCTTGAGTTCAAACATGATTTCAGCAACACTATCCATTGAAGTAGCTTCAGCTATGGCCTTCTTCAACTTTGAAGCTTCCTGGAACTCTTCCTTTTCAATTGCTTCTTCCAGTTGAAACTGTAAGAACATGACTTCAGATAACTCAAATAAGAAAGAGACATGCACAAGCATATCCTTTGAACAATCAAGAAAATTCCAACCCTGTTCGAAACCTTGGATTTACAACACGGATGACAAACTCCAATCTCCAACCAGAGTCAACTGAACCCCAGCATACGGCAATCACATTAGGCTGACCAATAAGACAAACGCACGAACCCAATTCCAGAAAACGGCCCAAAGAAGCACCAGAGAGAAAAAAAGAACGAGGAAACTACCTTGAGAACAGAGGCAAAGCTCTCAGCTTGCTCGATCTCAGCGAAGTGACGGCCCCATCTATTCCAATCCCAGTCCAGAGACGAGTAAGAAGATGAACACACATCAGCGGAACTGCTACTAATAATATCGCCACCACATCGGCAACTCCGTAAATTCTTGCGGATTCTGGACTTGGAGCTACTGTGATGGAGAAAACTATTCCACCCCACGAAGCCGAAGCTGTTGCTGATGGGTTTTTTGGGCGAGGAGTCAAGGCCACAGAAGGTGGGCTTCAATTGGGGCGCCGTCGCGACCGCTTGGCCGCCGGCCAACCAGAGATTTGCCCCTGCCATCTCTGGATTTGTTTCCTCGCTGTAACGCCGGAGGTGAGGCCGAAGAAGAGAAAGAAAGAAGATAATACGATTAAACAATGAAATGGTAATCGCAAAACGAAAATTGCAGCAAGAAAATTAGAAATTGCGGAGCAGCGCACACACAGCACAGGCCCAGCCGGATATCTCCTAATAAAATACGTAGCTCTAGTTTTTACACTTTTAGCAGATTTTTATTATTTAAAAGGAGATAAGCTTTGCAAAAAGCCAAAAACTACATTGCAGACAAATTAAAAAAAATGAAGAAATCAAACATACTATACGATTCCAATATTTTTCTGAAATAAATGGTTTAGTCCTGAAAGTTCTTTATTTGGATATTATGTTTGGTCCAAAAGTTATTGCAATATACTCTCAGATCTTCTTTGTGAATGTCATTGTCAAGTTACCTAAATGCTTTTGGAATAACATAATATCTCCATGCCTAGTTATCACTCGGCTCGCTTTAGACGACAAAAATCAAACCAAGTGAACCGATTAGAGTAAAAGAGAAATAGTGTATAGAATCTCAAGAGTTATGTTGAAGGAGTTGGACCGACTTGATAGAATTATTGGAGATTATACACCTAAATACCTAATGCGAAAATGATACAATGACTTATGAGAAATATCATGTATCAATAAGAGATGATGAATGCTAATAGCAAATGAAATGTGTTAAAAATGGATGAGATATGCCACTATGAGAGTGGTAGGAGAGTATGTTGCCACTAAAAGAGGCATACGATGCTAGGAAACAATTCGACCTGATATTAGTAACACGATTCAACCGCGGAGTGAGGACCGAGCTATGAGTCAAAACCCAAGAATGTAATGCCAAGGCCAGAACAGAGGGGCCAACATTATGGAAGTATGAGGGACCAAAGGGTCGTGTCACAAACCGAGATGGTGAATTGGCGATCATTGAGGCCATGGCTGCCCCAGGTTTGCAAATGTAGTGTGTGGACGATGCATTTTGTGTGTCTTGTATCCTCAAAAGAGTGAAAATTTGATAGGAATTACCAGGAATTTATAAGAAATTGCGAAAAATCAAAAGCCGATGAAAGACTTGATATATCGGATTCTAAATGAATTCCCCCACCTTCATATTTAGCAACTACACAGATAGACCAGAGATAAATCACTTGGATTTGAAAATCAGCAGGAAGTAACTAAGCATGTGACAGAGCTTAAACATCTCTCGGCAAAGTTTGGATAATCCACATATTCATCACGTATGAAGAGACAGGTGAGGACAAAGAAGTAAACCCTAATTGTCTTTTTGCCTAGGAGCAGATGAATTGTTGTTTGGTGACAAGAACACAGTATTAAACTGGAAAAGCTTTTTACCAAATTTCTAAGTAATGCTGGTGACCTTTCAAAGTGAGCAATGGGTGGCCATAAGTTGATGGTTGGTTAAACAATGAAACCATCACCTCATAACCCATTAAACTACAAAATGACCTCATTTGCAGTTTGGCCCACTTCTCAAATGCATTCAAGCACAACCAGACACTTAACACCCAAGTCATTTTCTAATCTCTACCTACCTTAATCCAAAGACTCCAATCCATACAAGCAAACAGTTCAATCACATTTCAACTGAACCGCCGCTGGGTCTATCATGTACGGAATCATTACAGTTGTAGAGTGTAAGAGTTTCTAGTCATTACATTAACAACACAGTTCCTATTGTCTCTTCACGATGATCTGACAGACAAAATGAAGCAAGTTTCCCACATCAAGCCAAACATGGCTGCAGTTGACAAACGGAAGAACTTGGCTGTCCACTTGGTTGGACAGCGCTGATCATCACTGTTTTATGGACAAACCCACAAGCCGGTTCTCGAGCGAAGAAGGTCAGAAGTTGAGAAGTCGAGACAATTCACAAACCGATCATCTACTGATGATCTTGGATCCGGTGACTAACAGGAACATGTCCCACTGGTTCACTCGTTCCAGGTTGCTCGATTGCCACAGCTAGGTTACCACTTTCGGCACTATTGGTTGCTGCATCAGTTGGGGGAGCTCTGACCTCACCACTACGGACTGGCCTGAGGAAGCCCTGTAGCCTCAACCGGTAGCTTTCGCTTGCAGGTTGTGACCTCATGTAACGTGTGGTAGTAGTGACGGTGGTTGGTGTTGAAGCCCTCTCTATATTGGACAAGGCGCTGAGGTCGAGGTTGGGGAACACCGAGCACCTGCACCTCGGACATTTCACGTTCAGCCGCAGCCACTCGTCTATGCACTCGACATGGAAGTTATGCGCACACGGCAACCCACGAACCTGGACCATTGCAAGCATTATGTCAGTAAGCACATAAAGAAGCCTGCTGCTTCAAGTTGTGACATTAGACAAAGGAAATTGTTGCTAAACCTCATTCCCAACGTGAAAATCTTCTAGGCAGATTGGACATTCGCTGCAATCTGTTGGAACAGCCTTTAGCCTGAACTTTGGCAGCTCCTGAATCAGTGCCTCCACAGCTTCTCTCTGTAAAATGAAAACTATCAGCTGGCCACAACCATATTAATTGGACGCTACAACGAGAAGAGTGAATTGTGAAAACAGAAGCAGCCACCTGAGTAGGAGTCAAATAAAGTCCAGGGTGGTATGCAGTATTATTATCTTGACCCATGCCTCGCATTTCTTGACCAGCAGCTTCAAATGCCCAATCGGGAACCTCGATCATGTCGACCAGAACCTGGGATAGAGTGCAAGTGGATGGCTGAATAAATGGACCATCTTCAAATACTTTTAAGAAAATCTCAACCAAGAAGATCTGAACAAGATCAGCAACTCAAAATTCTCAAAACCAAATACCCTGTATTCTGAAACTGGAACTCCATTTTGTGCCCGTGCAATCAGTGCTTGTCTTCTAGTTAACCACTGCAATGGAAGTAAATTGCAGCATAGACATAAATAAATAGGGCAAATTGGAAAAAGGAAAAGATAGAGAAACACTTTGGTATGCTGCTTAGCTGCATAGATGGGATAGAAAGGTGATATAGAACAAGTCAACTCATTCTCAAAATCATGACACTCAGAAACTAAGAAGCGTGGATACCTTCCCAAGACACATGCAAGCAATGCACACAAGTCCACAGTAGCTGAATAACAACCAAATAAGGAAACCCCATTTCTGACCTTCTTCTGGCAACTGCATGAGATGAGATGAGATAAGATAAGATTCCACATGACCTCCATCAAGATGATTCAAAGAATGTCAAAAGCTCTAGGGGGAGCTTACACAATTTCTTGCGCTTGTGAACCAAAGTGTTCCGATCACAGTCCACGCCCAAAGAAATGGATAGAGTAGCATAGACAAGATTGAAATGACGACAACTCTTCCACGAAAACGGGCACGCCTCTGCTGCCGTCCGAAATCCCTACCATCATGTGGAAGACAAATGGAGAAGATGGAACAAGTTAGCACATTACAGTCTTTAAGGAAGATTTGAACAAGCACCAACTGAAGGCAATGTTATTAAATTAGAATCATAACAGGCAAATTGTTGTTTTGTGGCGAGTGAGTCAAGCATATACAACCCAATTATTCACATATCTCATCTCAAGAAACAAAATCGCTAACTCCTCCTAAGAGAACTCAGGGGCCTATAGCAAGAATAACATAATTACAGAAACTGAATGATAAGGGGGAATGAAGTGCGATAAGACTTACAATCCCATTCCAGCAGCAAGTCCATTATCTATGAACATCAACAGGCGAAATACAAACACAGTAGTGTAATCAACCTGTTGCAGCAGAGATGGAATAAGCTTCCCAACCTCTAAACCAGAGCTTTCAAAACAACCCGATCCACAAGACTATGGAGAAAGAGAAAAGAGAGAGACTCACCACAATCCATATGTGCAGAGGGTGCGTACAGAAATGATAGCGCTTCCAGTTGATGGCAACAATTATTCTATCAGCGGGAAACCATTTAGGAAGAACAACCCCCAATTCCCAATTCCCCAATTCCAAAAATAGCTTAAGAGATTCGAATTGGAACCCCCCAAAGAAGCTCAAGAAACAAACAAAGAAAACGATTCAGAATTCAAGGATACACGCTCGTTGCCAGCATCGACAAGAAGAAGCCATCGTACCTGGAGAAATAACCCAAATTCTGAATGTAAGACAAGCTGCTACAAAGAAAATCTCGCCAATTTCAAGCGCGCTACTATGAACAGCATAAGTAAGAAGATGAAGAAGAAAGATGGGAACTTTACCACTTGAAATCAACTCCCCGGATAGCCATAATCGGGAAAGCAAGAAAGGGAACACCCAGAACAGCTACAGAAGGGAGAGCGTCATCTTAAGCTGAGAGGAAAGAGTGGAAATCCAAAACGAAAGCTGCATTTATCTGAAAGGCAAGCAGCAGCGGCAATTGTTGAGTTCCAGAACGAGGAGTTAGAGAGCTGAATTACCGATTTGCAAAGAAAAAAAAAGGAAAGAACGAGTGAAGCCCTTTTTTCCTTTTTATTGGAACTTTTATTTTAGTTGGGAGCGAGGAGTTGGGTGGTGGGGGCAGTGGAGAAGCTTTCAGAAGACTAGAAGAGGTAGACGATGACGTCTGACTTGACGGCGGTATGAGCGGCTAGCGTGACTTGACGGCGGTAAAATGGGAGGTAGATAGAGGAGAACAGGGTAATCCGTAAAGCGGCATCCTCATAATAACTACGGGGTAAATTCCAAGTTTGGTCACTGGATTAATAGCAGAAAGCCAGAAACCAAACGGGGCAAACTAACCCTCATAGAGTTATAGTACAACCAATACGAAAGCATCGGACAAGGATTAGTGATGTCGTGATCACTCGGCGGAAGGCCATGGCCTAAAGACGCCAGGTAATCAGCAACAACATTACCCTCCCGAAAGACATGATAAATCTCCACCTCCCACTCCAAAGCAAGAAGTCGACGAGCTTCTTGTATCAAAGCTGAGTACGGGTGCCACGTCCTAGCCGACATGAGCAACTGAGGATAACTCCTGTCTTGGCAACAGCTTCCTCAACATGCTTTTGAATAGCAACCGCACGTCTACATATGCTAGGCGGCATTTCAAGTTTCTTTTCAAACACATGTAGGTTTCTATTTTTTCACAGCATCCAACACAAAATGGCAAACCTGGTGGCGTCAATTCCCGCGCTCCTTCCCGTTAGGTAATGCAACATCCACTTCGTCTGGTCTGTTAGGAACGGAACAACAAAAGGAACGAGGTTACCGAATCTGGAGCTGAGTCGCGGACTAGGTCGCTTTCTTTAAGACGTTCGCGGCACTGCCTTCGATGCGCACGGCAGACTATCAACCGGTCGTCTCCAGGATAAAACAGCTTCTCTCAATACTCGCGGTTTTGTGCGAAAACCGAAGCTCTCTAAACACTCTCTCTATTGTGTTTCTGCTCGTTGTGATGTGTTTAGAGGGGCTGGGGAGGAGGCTATTTATAGGAGCCGAACCCCTAGGAATATACCCTCTTGCTTGGGGAATAAGTCGGATTAATTCAGGAAGATAATTACTTCCTTAATTAAAACCGTCGGTTAAGATAAACCCGGAGGGATTATCCTTCGAATATTCCGTTTTAGTCGATTATCCTTAGGAATATACCTCAGAATAACAGATTAATAATTAATTAATAAATAATTAATTTCGTTCGGAATTTCTCCAAAAATATATATAGTCTCAAGTGAACCAACCAACCAACCAACCAACCAACCAACCAACCGACCGACCGGCCGGTCGGACGGATGGACGGACGGCGCGCGTGCGCGCGCGTGTGTGGTGGTCCATTAGGTCCTCCCTCTCCCACAAAAGTGGGTCACCCTAAGGGGCATGCCCTTGGGAGAGAGGCTCCTATCTTTATACACATTTCACCAAGTAAAACTACCAATGTGGTAGTTTTTCCACTAGAGACTCTATAGCTTTCAAAGCTATTCATATACATTCATATACATTTCCAACAATCCCCCACTTGAATAGTTTTGAAACTATCTCTGAGCATCAACAGTTCCATAAGATCGGGCATAAGCTAAGGTATCGCGAAGATTTGAACCTTAGCGTAGTGGTTACACTTCCGATTTCATAAGGGTGACTCGTAGTCTTGAACCCTATCTCAGACAGTGTAGCACACCAGATCTTTTCATTGAGTTGTGTTCTCTTCATAGCACGTGCGTTTATGGCCATGCACGTTACCCTGGTTTAGTGAACGCTCTAGCAACTTTGTGCCTCCAAAGTTCCATAGGGAGCGGCCCCACTCCCACATTCACATAGGTGAGTCTATCAAGAGTACCCCCAAAGTAAAGTACTCCACCCCACATAGGGTATAGACCTCATTAAGAGTTATTAACTCAACCTCCATTGCTTTGGGATTCATGCTTCACTATGCATGAACTTTTCGCATACTACTCATGACTTGTTATTACCCATTGAACCCATTTCTTGGGATCTCCAGTCTATTGGGTCGGGTTACCATCACTTGTAGTCCGTGGTTCGGTAGGCATAAGTCCCATACCCTTGGCGGTATTCTGGACTTTCTCTCTAGGTAATCCTTTCGTCAAAGGATCAGCTAGATTCTGTTCGGATCTTATATGATCCACCCTCACTGCTCCTATCGTTAGGAGTTCTCTTACAGTACTGTGCTTACGACGAATCTGTCGTTTCTTTCCGTTATAGAACCGGTTCTCAACTTTAGCGATAGCTGCGGTACTATCACAATGGATCAATACCGTAGGGACCGGTCTTTCCCATAGGGGAATCTCTGACAACAATCCTTTCAACCAACTTGCTTCTTCACTAGCCGTTGCTAGTGCTATCATCTCTGATTCCATAGTTGATTGAGCTATGATTGTTTGTTTCTTTGACTTCCAAGACACAGCTCCACCAGCGATGTTAAAAACATACCCGCTGGTTGCCTTGGAGTCATCTGATAGGGTATTCCAATCCGCATCACTATACCCTTCTAGTACAGCAGGAAACCTTTGATAATGTATACCAAGGTTTGCTGTTCTCTTGAGGTATCTCATGACCCTCTCTATAGCATTCCAATGCTCTCTACTAGGACAGCTGTTAAACCTGCCAAGCAATCCCACGACATATGCAATGTCTGGTCGAGTGTAATCCGCAGCATAACGGAGACTGCCAATGATGCTAGCATATTCTGATTGTCTTACACTGTCTCCAGTGTTCTTAAATAGCTTTACACTAGCATCATACGGAGTACACGCAGGTTTACAGTCGAAATAGTTATATTTCTTCAAGATCTTCTCTATGTAGCTAGATTGATCTAGAGAATAACCATTTGCTGTTCTAGTTATCTGGATTCCAAGCATAAACTTTGCTTCTCCCAGATCTTTCACTTCAAAGCTCTCTTTTAACATGGCTTTTGCTTCATTGACCACGTGAATATTTGTACCAAATATCAACATGTCATCTACATACAAACATATGATAGTACAAGTGTTATTTTCTGACTTGCAGTAAATACACTTGTCACTTTCATTCACCTTAAAGCCATGTGAGAGAACGAGAGTGTCAAACTTCTCATGCCACTGTTTTGGAGCCTGTTTCAAACCATATAATGATTTGTCTAACTTACAGACTTTCGAGGCATGTTCGGGGATAACAAACCCTTCTGGTTGTTCCATATAGATTTCTTCATCTAGATCACCGTTCAAAAAAGCGGTCTTAACATCCATTTGGTGTACCACGAGATTGTTCAAGGCAGCAAGAGCAATCATTACACGAATGGATGTTATTCTAGATACTGGTGAATAGGTATCGAAGAAATCTATATTCTCTCTCTGCCTGTAGCCCTTAACTACTAGGCGAGCTCGGAACCTTTTGATTGCACCATCAGGTTTCCGTTTCGTTTTTAGAACCCATTTATTACCTAAGACTTTGCAGCCAGGAGGTAAGTCTGTTAGATGCCAAGTCTTATTAGCTTCTAACGATTCCATTTCATCTATAACAGCCTCATTCCAAAAATCTGCATCTACGGAAGTTAATGCTTCCTGCAAACTTTTTGGATCTTCGAGGGTGAATACTGTAGTAAAGTCATCACCAAAATCTTTAGAGATTCTAGCTCTTTTACTTCTTCTGAGTTCATCCTCAGAACCAACACCCCCACTAGTTCCGTTATCTCTAATAGTAGGTAGTACATTACCCCCACTATTTCTTGTTTTAAATGGAAATCGTGTCTCAAAGAAATCAGCATCAATGGATTCTATTATAGTACGAGCATTCAAATCATAGAATCTATATGCCTTACTATTGGCCGCATAGCCAACGAAGACACATTCATATGCTCGACTAGCCAATTTAATCCTCTTAGGATCCGGAATTCTTACGTAGGCCAAACAGCCCCACGTTCTTAAATAGGACAGATTAGGTGGCTTATTCTTCAAGATCTCATAGGGTGATTCTTTTCTATTTGTTTTTGGAAGACGGTTTAGCACATAGCAAACTGTCAACAAAATATCACCCCACCAAGAAGAAGCAGCTCCAGAATTGAGCATAATAGCCACGACTAATTCTGTAAACGTCCTATTTTTCCGCTCAGCTTTACCATTAATTTCTGGTGAATATGGTGCCGTGGTTTCATGAATGATACCATGTGAGCTATAGAATTCCTTGAAGGGATTAGAGTCATACTCTGATCCTCTATCACTCCTAAGTCTTTTTATCTTTCGATTGCACTGATTTTCAAATTCAACCACAAATACCTTGAACATATAAAGGGCTTCACTTTTGTTTTTCATCAAATAAACAAAGCAATAATCAGAGCAATCATCTATGAAAGTGATAAAGTATCTCTTGCCAGACCTAGTTAACGTCCCATCTAGTTCACAAATATCATAATGAATAAGATCTAAGGGTTCTGATTCTCTACTCACAGATTTATGGGGCGTTTTCGTTATTTTAGCTTGGCTACAGAAATCACATTTATCAAATTCATTCATTGAGAGTTTAGGGATATGCCCTAGCTTGCTTAAATTCTTCACAATTCGTGTGTTCACATGACAAAGACGAGCATGCCAAACATTCAAATCACACACCATGTAAACTGAAGAATTCATCTTATTAATTTCGACATTCAACTTGAACATCCCATTACATGCATATCCCTTTCCCACAAAACTCCCATTCTTAGTAAGGGTATACAAGTCTGCCCCAATAGTTTGATTAAACCCAGCCTTATTAAGAAGATATCCCGAAACAAGATTCTTCCTTATCTCTGGAGTGTGCAACACATCCTTGAGCACCATCTTCTTCCCAGAGGTGAAGTTCAGCTCCACTTCACCAGAACCAGCAACCATAGTAGTGTGGGTAGTCCCCAACAATACTTTCTTGTCAGCAGGTGCTTCTGTGTATGTTTTGAACATAGCACGATTGTTGCATACATGCTTCGATGCACCTGTATCCAGCCACCATCCTTCTGAGTCACCGGTGAGGTTAACTTCAGCGATCATATCTGTGATCATGGCTATCAAATCCTCTTCTGTCAAGTTAACCCTGGCCGCAGCGGCAGGGTTTTGCTTGTTCCGGCACTTCTTTGCCATATGACCCGGTTTTCCACAGTTATAGCAGATAAACGGTGGGTCATTCTTAGAGGTTTGGGCCATGACCCTTTGGTTACCTCGAGAGGCACCATTCTGGTGGGGGCGGACCTGCTGGTTCTTACTCTTAAATCCTTTCTGGTTAGGTTTAAGAGCTCTAGGGGTGGGTCGTTTAGCAGTGACGACCATCACCTCTTCTTTCATATCCTGCTTGCGGGACTCTTCCTCAATCCTTAGGCGAGTAATCAAGCTTTCCAGTGAAAATTCTTTGGTTTTGTGCCTAAGCATATTCTTAAACTCTTTCCACGAAGGGGGCAGCTTATCAATAATGCAAGCAACTTGAAATTGATCGTCCAGAGGCATACCTTCAGAGACGATCTCATGAGCTATTTTCTGAAGTTCGTGGGACTGAACTTTGACGGACTTGTCATCCACCATCTGGTAGCGCAGGTAGCGGCTGACAGCATACTTCTTAGCTCCAGCCTCCTCCGTGTCGTACTTCTTTTGAAGCGCATCCCAGATCATCATCGCGGTGTTCTTACTGTCCGCATAGTAGTCGTACAGATCGTCTGCCAGGCCGTTGAGGATGTAGTTCTTGCACAGGAAGTCATGCTCCCTTTCCCTGGCAGAAGCAGCCCTCTCCTCATCGGTCGCTTCTTCCGGCAGCTCGACAGGCATGCTGGTGAGGCAGTGGGCCAGCTTCTTGGTTGTCAGGTAGAACTCCATCTTTTGCCTCCAGCGACGGAAGTTGACCCCAACGAAGCGAAAGGGTCGATTGATATCGACAGCACCAGATCCGGCCATGTTGTTCTGTTCAGTCGACATAGCAGCAGCCGAACGTCTTAAAATTGTTAGGAACGGAACAACAAAAGGAACGAGGTTACCGAATCTGGAGCTGAGTCGCGGACTAGGTCGCTTTCTTTAAGACGTTCGCGGCACTGCCTTCGATGCGCACGGCAGACTATCAACCGGTCGTCTCCAGGATAAAACAGCTCCTCTCAATACTCGCGGTTTTGTGCGAAAACCGAAGCTCTCTAAACACTCTCTCTATTGTGTTTCTGCTCGTTGTGATGTGTTTAGAGGGGCTGGGGAGGCGGCTATTTATAGGAGCCGAACCCCTAGGAATATACCCTCTTGCTTGGGGAATAAGTCGGACTAATTAAGGAAGATAATTACTTCCTTAATTAAAACCGTCGGTTAAGATAAACCCGGAGGGATTATCCTTCGAATATTCCGTTTTAGTCGATTATCCTTAGGAATATACCTCAGAATAACAGATTAATAATTAATTATTAAATAATTAATTTCGTTAGGAATTTCTCCAAAAATATATATAGTCTCAAGTGAACCAACCAACCAACCAACCAACCAACCGACCGACCGGCCGGTCGGATGGACGGACGGCGCGCGTGCGCGCGCGTGTGTGGTGATCCATTAGGTCCTCCCTCTCCCACAAAAGTGGGTCACCCCAAGGGGCATGCCCTTGGGAGTGAGGCTCCTATCTTTATACACATTTCACCAAGTAAAACTACCAATGTGGTAGTTTTTCCACTAGAGACTCTATAGCTTTCAAAGCTATTCATATACATTCATATACATTTCCAACATGGTCCTCTTGGAAGAAAATATCATCTAGATCCCCGTCAAGAAACTCAACCCAAGCAGCGCGCGTAAAGGAGTAGTCTCGTACTACATGTAGAGTCGTCTCGTCAGCCGCACCACAAACCGAACAAGTAGTAGTATCCGTGAGATGACGTCTTTGCCTCTCGCTGTTTGTGAGCAATCTTTGATGTGCAGCTAGCCAAAAGAATGCATGTACTCGTTGAGTCGCTGGCGTGCGCCAGAATGCACGCCATATCGGGTTTGTTCCATGCGGCTGTTCTTCGTCGTTTGTAAGTGAGTATGCGGTCTTGAGGGTGAATTCACCATCCGGGGCCAGGCGCCAAATGGGTATATCCGGCTCCAAATTTTGTGATGGCTGATGCGGTTTGATTTGCCGGACAACCTCCTCTAGAAGAAATGCTCGCATGTAATCAAGGTTCCATTCCCTGTTCAGAACCGAATCAGCAACTGTAAGAGACAACGCCTCCTGAGGAAAGTGGTTCGCTATATCAGCTAACGTTGTCCCATCTTGCAGCCACCTATTGGTCCAAAATTGGGTCTGAGCGCCACTCTGAATGTTCCACATAATGGCCCGCGATAGTAGATGAAGGACTCGAAGAACACCCTGCCAAAGGTTGGAGATTCTCCCTCGCACCCGCGGCTGCCACCCGTCTTCCGTTTCCTTCAAATACTTTGCTCGAATAACCCTTGCCCATAAGCTGTTTGGTTCGGCGAGTAGCCGCCAGGCTATCTTTATCATGAAAGCCTCGTTCATCCGTGTAGCATTCCAGAGTCCAAGCCCTCCTTCTCGTGGTCGACAAATCGTATCCTAGTCAACAAGACTGTTGGAATTTACCCAATGCTTTAAACCGCCTATTGGAATTTATCCAACAAGTGCGGTATAATGGTGAAATATATTATAGACGAAATTTTTTACAATGCTTTAAAGCATTGATGCTTTAGTTTTTGTCTTCATAGTACAATTTGAAGTTGTACCTTTAACTTTATGATACAACCTGATGTTGTACCTACACTCATTTGTACAAATTTCATTATGGCACAAACTAAAGTTGTACCTTTATATCGTACAAGTTGAAGTTGTACCATAATATAAAGGTTCACATCTCTTATGGTACAACTTCAATTTGCACCTTTAACGTTATGATATAACTTCAAGTTATACTTTCAAGCATAGTAGAAGTGATCATCTTAGAATCAAGAATTGAATTAACAGTATATTTGGCCTAATTTCCTATAGTTTGGTCTAGTCCAAAAATTCATTTCGAATAATTTTTCTTGAATATTTATAAATTTAATGAGACCAAAGACCGGACCACATTCTATCTAGTTCGGTATGGTCTAGTCCAAACATCCGATTGGGCTGATGTGATTCGGTACAGACCAACCTGTTGCACACCCCTGCTCATCATAATTGGTAGAGGACTAGAGGTTAGGATGTTAACACCCTGTTTGTTAGCATGATGATAACACTGGTTTTCGATCGGTAGGAATATTTAATTTCATTTTGATGACTTTCTATTTCAAAAGGATTAACTAAAACTATGCAGACTTATAAAAGGAGGAACATGCTTGTCCTTATTAAAAATTAGGAGGGACATGCGTGTGGCACTGATCTGTTCTATGAGCATAATGAGTATCATGAACCATATCATAAAAGACTACTAGAAATACAACAAATCACACCATAAAATAGCATATAGTAGAGAAATTTAAAAAAAATCTATAAAAGACTAAACGGCGCCGCAAGGGAGGTCGTCTTGAGACACTTTTGTTTTAATTTTAATTTTTTAGAAGTTTTAATTTTAATTTGGTGATGTTTCTTTTCTTTGATGGGTAAATGTCACATTTGGTCACTGAGATTACTAAATTGTGTCATGTTTAGTCACTAGAAAAATTTAATATCAATTTTGGTCACTCGAATTACTGAAACAAGTCAAATTTAGTCACTCTCTCGTTAGCTTCCGTTCAACTTCATTAATGGAGTTGGACGGAACTAATGGGAGAGTGACTAAATGTGACCTGTTTCAGTCATTCGAGTGACTAAATAATGAAGTTGGACGGAAACTAACAAGAGAGTGACTAAATTTGACTTGTTTCAGTCATTCGAGTGACTAATTGTGACATGTTTCAGTAATTCGAGTTACCAAAATTGATATTAAAAATTTTTAGTGACTAAACATGACATGATTTAGTAATATCAGTGATCAAATGTGACATTTACTTTTCTTTGATTGTGTATGGTGGGAACTGGGAATATAGGTTGCGGGGAGGACACTTTTGTTTTAATTTTAATTAAGGGCTAATACCACTACAACACCTGAACTATCGACAAAATGCCACTTGTGTCCTATTTTATTCAATATTCCATTCATGTCCTCAACTATGATACTTTGTGTCATTTGTATCCTGTCAATTTCGTTGACCGTTAAAGATAATGGTTGACCAAACGGTGGTCAATGCGAAGTTGACTTTTGTTGACGTGGTAAAAAATGTGACTGTCACATAGATGCCACGTCACTGACCTCATATTTTTTTAATTCAAATTAAATAAAAATTGAGTTAAAATAATAATAAAAAATCATTGCATCTGTTACCCAAATTTTTCTCGGATCAAGAAATCCCTTCCACCTAAAAGATCTTCGTTTGTGGTTACAGATATGTTCCCCAAAGTTCTGTTTCTCTCATCCCTTTCCTTGTTCTATTATCCACACTTGCCTTCACCATCTCCACCCAGCAATCAGACAATAACATCTTCCATGGCCCAACGGACTTCTCCGACTCACCAACGCCTCCGCCCTTCAGATTGGCCACGCTTTCTTCCCTCGCTCTCTCAAATTCATCTGCGGAAAATCATCTCTATTCTTCTCCACCAACTTCGTCTTCGCCATGGTCCCACAATCCCCAAATCTTGGCGGCCACGACCTGTTTTTTTTATTTTATGAATAAGTTGTTTTATTCATCAAGAAAGGGGGCTTCAGAGGAAAAACCCCCTAACTGGTACCAATCAATTACAACATCCAGAGACTGGGAACTACCACTTGTTACAAAACCAGAAAAAGAAAAACATTCTGACTACTCTATACTATTAATATGGTCCTCTGAGATGGCAAGCTCTATCTGAGAGAACCCATTTCTAAGTAGTAATAGTAACCCTTTCAACTTCTCAATTAGTTGAGGCCCTGTCAGCCCCTCCCCAGCCATAACCCTCCTGCACCTTTCCCTCCAAATCTCAGCCACCACCATCACTCACAAAAGCCTGTCTCGATCAAAATCAGGACAGTTTGTCCGAAAGAGAGTCACAACAATGGTCAACGACTCATCCCAGCTAGCTCCCACCACATTTCTCCCTGCAAATACAGCCTGGATAACATGCTGAGAATAAGAACATTCAAAATAGAGATGATCTCGTGACTCTGCCATAGTGGAGCACATAGGGCAGACATTTACTACTGAAGCATTCCATCTTTGCACCTTATACAGAGTGGAAATTCTGTTTAGAATGATTAACCAGACTATGAGCTTATCTCTAGGAGTACCAAAAGATTTCCAGACCAACGAGTACCACTGAACTCTCTCATGCTGAACTCAAAGTGACTCCCAAACTTTTTTGACTGAATATTTCTCCATCACACTATCATCCCAATACACTCCTGCCGATCGAATCCTGAGATGTTGAGCAACTTTTGGCCTTATTTTCAATACTTTTCTCCAAGCCCAGGAGCATGGAGTAGAAAGAGGTATCTCCCAAATAGATGTGTAGGTAAGTTGATAGTGTCTTACCCAAGTTGCCCATAGAGAAGAGGAGTTAGAGGAGATGGCCCAGAGGTGCCTTACTAAACAAGCCATATTCCAACTCCTTAGATCCTTGAAACCTAATCCCCCCCTCCTTCTTAGGTCTAGCTACCACCTCCCAGTGGACCTTAGCTTTCTTTCCATCTTCTTTTGCACTCCATAAGAAATCAGAGCAGTGTTTCTCAATCATCCTAATCACTTTAACTGGAAGCTGAATGATTCCATTCCAATACTGAGTTATGCTAGAAATCACAGCAGAAACGAGCTGCAGTTTGCTAACATAAGATAGGGTTTTCACCTTCCAGCCCCTGATTCTAGCAGTTATCCTTTCAACCAAAGCTAAACAGTTTGCATTACTCAATTTCCCTGCAATGAGAGGAATCCCTAGATAACGCACAGGAAGGTGACCAATAGCAAACCCAGAACTAGAGGAAATAAGAGCCTGAACATTTAGATCAACTCCACCACAGAAAACTTCACTTTTTGCAGGGTTACATTTTAACCCAAAGATAGTATAGAAAGCATTCAGGATATCCTTTGCTTTCCCCACAGCCTCAGGAGTCCCTTTTGTGAAGACCAGAAGGTCATCAGCAAAACATAGGTGAGAGAGACCAATTCTGTGTGTTTGTGGATGAGGTGGGAGAGATTTTACAGCATATGCTCTATTTAACATGCAGGACAGAACCTCCATAGCTATGGTGAAGAGATAGGGGGAAAGAGGGTCCCCTTGTCTCAACCCTTTTTGAGCAGAAAAATAGCCACATAGTCCCCCATTAAAACAAACACTAAGCTTTATACTCTGCAGACAAACCCCTATCCAATTGATAAACTGAGGAGGAAATCTCATAGCTTCCATAACTGTTTCTAGGTAAACCCAGTCTACACTGTCAAAGGCTTTCATCATATCTACTTTGAGGACACATCTAGGTGAAATGGATTTCCTATTATACAGTCTCACCATTTCATGGGCCAGAAGAACATTATCACTAATTAGTCTGCCCTTTATAAAAGCTGACTGGTTCTGGCTTATAACAATAGGTAGAACTTCCTTCAGTCTATTTGCAAGCACCTTAGCTATACATTTGTATATAATGTTGCAACAGGAAATGAGCCTAAATTGTTTCATACAATCAACATTCTGAACTTTAGGAATTAGGGCCAGATAGGTGGAGTTTACCTCAGATAGGAGCTTTCCTGTCCTGAAGAAATCCATGATTGCAGCAGTAAGATCATCACCCAAAATCTCCCAGTTATGCTGATAAAACCCTACTGTGAAACCATCTGGTCCAGGAGATTTTTCTCCATTCATAGAAAAGAGAGCCATCCTTATTTCTTCTCTAGTAACTGGATAGCAAAGAGGTTCTGCTTGTTCAGGATTAAGAGAATGAACCAACATGTGGGATAGCAGTTCACTATTTACTTTCTGCACATCACGATTTTTTTGTTCCCATCAAGTTCTTGTAGAACCTAACCGCTTCTTCACTTATATCCTTTGTATCAGTTAGGATTTCCCCTTCTTCTGAGATGACTTTTTTAATGGTTGATCGAGCCTGACGAGCCTTCACATAGTTATGGAAGAATGATGTATTTAGATCCCCAGTCTTGACCCAGAGAAGTCGAGACTTTTGCCTGTAGAAAATTTCTTCTTCCTTTAGCAGTTTAGAAAGCAGGAACTGACACTCATTGACTCTTTGGAAAGAGTCAGAAGATGGTTGAAGGAGAGCTTCTATCTGTAGGGCTTCCACCTCACACCTTGCAAGTCTAACTCTTTCTGATATTTCTGAGTAGGATGATCTATTTAGCCTTTTCAGCTGCCTTTTAACCTCTCTCAGCTTCTGACACACTACAAACATGGGAGTACCTCTGAACTGTGTATTCCAGGCACCTTTGACAATCTGTTTGTATTGAGGGTGAGTTTCCCAGCAGCTAAAATACTTAAAAGGCTTTGGTAGAGAGGAGATATGGATGTCTGTGTTCATAAGTAAACCACAGTGATCCGAAAGCCTAGAGGGGAGAAGGGTAACTGCATAGTGGGGAAACATAGTTAGCCAACTAGAATTTACTAGGACTCTATCTATTCTCCTGGCAATGGGATTCCCCTCCTGTTTGTTAGTCCAAGAAAACCAAGGCCCCTCAAATGAACTTTCCTCCAATTCCATACTAGTTATCCACTCATCAAAGTCAATCATACTTTGTGAGCTAACTGGGTTATTCGAAGCTTCATTAACATTTCGGATTGCATTGAAATCTCCTAACACAATCCAAGGTAAGTTCTCAGGCCTGAGTACAGGATGATGAAATATATTCCTTCGAGAGCCTTCATCATTTGAGCCATACACAAAGGTAATCTTCACAGTCTTGTCACCTCTAACCACTCCATGTATAAACTGCTCAGACTTCTCTAATATAGTAAAATTCAAGTCTTTTTTCCAAAAAATCCACAACCGACCCAAAGCTGAGTACTCATAGTTATGAGCATGCTCCCATCTGTCAAACTTTGTATCCACTATCTCTTTATACTTCCCTTCCTTTACCCTGGTTTCAATGACTCCAAAAACATCTACATTTTCTTTACTAATTACCTCCAAAATCTGACTCTGCTTGGCGGGGTGATTAAATCCCCTAATATTTCAAGCAAGTATCTTCATTTTTTAGGTTTTGGTTTTGCAGGCCTACCTGGCCCCTTCTTACCTTGCTTGCCCTTACCCTTCCCCCCTCCTTCCAGTGCAGGGAAATCATCCAGATTACTAAGAACATGACTACTCACTACAATTTCACCCACTGAAAAAGATTCACCAGCTAAACTCTAAAATCTATTGGCTACAGGAGTGATAGGACCCCCTTCCCCAGTAGTTGGAGAGCATGTTTGCCCAACCATAGATGTCTGCAACTCACTATCAGTACGCAACTCCAGGGCACTAGATTTTTGCCATTCGGTTAGCACACCCTGCTCAATGGATTTGACCAGGTTTGCTACAGCTAGATTCAATATCTGACAACCTGATTCTGCAGATTCTTGAGCCTTACCTCTTGAAGCAAGAATGGAATCCAAAATCACCTTACCTGCACTGCCAGTAACAGCTTCCACTTCCCCAACCTCTGCATTCCCCTGACATCCCTGACCCTCTTCCAATTCACCCCCTGCATCTTCACACTTATGCCCAAACACCTTGCACTTCTGGCAACCAATTGGCTTATTGCAATATTCCAAGTTCACCAAGAAAGCTGGCTTACGGTCAGGAGCCAACTTCAAAGTCTCTGGGAAAGTTGAGTCTATAGACATTTCAACACAAACCTTAGGAAATCCCATTCTTCTACCCAGTCTAGTCTACTGATCAAACCACAAAGGTCGCCCCAGCATACTAGCCATACGAGTCAAAATCCTACCAGTGGCAAACTCCACAGGGAGATCTTGAAAACATACCCAGATAGGAATGGTGGAATCGCAATTAACCGCTCTGATCCCCGCTGACCACTGCCGAAGAAAGCACATATCATCATTGAAGTGCCACAGACCACTAGTGAAGACCCAATCCGCTGCTTTCGCATTCGGGAATTGGAAGAGAAAAAGTTGCTCACTGAATCGCGAAACCCTAACTAGGCCCGATTTCCCCCAAAGTCTATTCGCCCAACTCTGAAGCTGCTTCATAGAAGGAGAGGTATGCAGAAACTGACCAACGAGGCTATTCTTCCAGCGGGCTTCACCTTCCTGAACAAGCTCCTCCGGGATCCTCAATCCGCCATCCACGATCTCTGGTTCAATATAAACCAGCCGATTTTCTTCAGCAATGCCGAATAAATCCGCCCAAGATTGACCAATGGAGGACATCTCAAGCTCAGGGAGAAAAGGAGGTTCAGACGAGAAAAAGAAGACAGTCGGGATAGAAAACCACCACTGATCAGAGCCTTCGCGCGACGCCGGAAGGCCGTCGGCGAACTGGAATCGCTACCGGCCTAGAGAGAGAGAGAAGAGAGTATTTTTGCTTTTTTTCTCGATGCCCCCTCCTCTCCTATTAGATTTCCCGCAAAGGCTAGCCCGACCTGGCTTTTTACTCTCACTGGCCGTGGATTTCTCACACGTCGTCGCCAGCCAGCACTCGAATAACTAGTTGGCTCCCCTAATTCTCCTCCCTGGAATCAGATCTCTCCCATTTGTAATTTTGTAATTTTGATGGAGTTGAGGGTGAGAGAAGAGGAAGAAGTTGGGAGCCTGCGAAGAGATTTGGTTCAGATTGAGGTTTTGGAGAGGGAGAGAGGCGGCAAGCCATCCTGGGAGAGGGAGCTGGTGTTTCATCGAGGAAGAGAACCAGAGTTATGGATGATTACTCTTGCGCGGCGCAACAATTTCCTCGGATTCGGTGGCGGAGAGGGAAAGGCTCGGTGAGAAACTGAGGATGAAAGATCCAGACGAGAGAGAAAGATGGGAAACCGAAGGTATTTTCCCTTTCTTATTTTTTTTTATTTTCAAATTTTAATTTTAAAAAATAAAATTTTGTGCCCAAAAGCCACGTTGACAGACACATCAGCAGTGACTTGGCAATCTATTGAATATTAACGGTCAACATCAATCAACACTAACGGAAAAATAGTTCGGGACATAAATGGAATATTGAATAAAATAGGACACAAGTGACATTTTGTCGATAGTTCGGGTGTTGTAGTGGTATTAGCCCTTTAGTTAGTATGGGACAAAAATTAATTAAAATTAAATTATTATCAAATGAGAGGCAATTAAGTCATTTTCCAGCCCACTTAACACCTATGTAACGAAAAATTAAACACAAGATTATATTTTACGTTTTAATAGTAAAAATGTATGTTTATGCAAAAATTTAATAAAGGGACACGTTTGTTAACTTACAATAATAGAAGGGTAGAAAATGTTATTAATTTTTTTTTCTTGTTTATTTCTTCCTGCGTGCTTGATGCATGTCAATTTGTGATGTTGTCTATTTAATTGGTACGGTCAGGGGCGGACCCACATGGGACACCCCTAAAATTTGGGAAAATGATCCAACTCCCGGTGGTAAATTACGTATAGACAAAAAAATTATAATTGATAGTCGGGGACACCCCTGAAATTTGAAAAAATAATTATCCTACTCTCATCCTTTAGTTTGCGTATGTGAATATAAGTTGTAGTTTGAGTAATTCAAACCCAATACACTATTATTATTAATAAAAATAATTTTCTTTAGACTACAACTCATGTTTTGTTCGATTTTAAACACTATATAATAGTAAAATGTCTTTCCATATCTCTAATTATTTTCAAAACCTAACAATTAAACAAATTATTTTAAACACTGTTGTACGACAAGTGTTGAAAGAGTATTTTCAGCTTTGAGTTACATCAAGAACAAGTGTAAAACTCGAATATGTGATCAGTTCATGAATGATTCTAGTAGGATATACAAAGGCAATTTTTTTGAGCAGTGTAGACACCAAGTGTATTTTACAATTATTTCCGAATATGAAAACACATCATGGACTTTTTTTAACTCGTACGATTCAGGTATTTTCTTATATAAGAATTTTTTATTTTTTTTAATAATTTAATAATTTAATTTATTTAATTCAATTTTTAAAAGAGGACACCCCTATGTAAAATTTCTGGGTCCGCCACTGAATACGGTTGTCAATTAACTAATAAACTGTGGTTTTGTTACCTACGTGCGTATGTATATTGGGAAAATATTCTTAACAAATTACAATCTAATACCTATAAATTTTATATTTTCATTTTGTAATAGAAAATATTCTTCAAAAATTAAATTTTCATACATATTCATTTATAATGATATGTTAGTGCAAAAAAAAAATTTCAAGAATTTTATGATGGCCCAAAGTTTAGATGTCATTGGATTCATGAATTCATCAATTTAGTCCACCAATCTGTTTGACACCTCTAATTGCAATGAGTACAACATGGGGAAATATCATAGAGTATAACTAGCTTTGTCCCCGGCCTATTGGCCGGGATCATTTGTACTAACCAAAATATCTCTGTTTAATTTATTTCAATTTCGCTATAAAAAAATTACGCTGTTATAATTGATTTTTCTAAAGAAAAGTTGTCGTTGTGACTCCAATGTATACACATTGACTCAGTATAAACTAATTTCTCAAACAAATTCTCAGCGCTCAATAAAGAATTTTTAATCTCTATCCAACCAAAACAGGTTTTTAAAATAAAACATTCAAATAACTTTTAATCATAATCAAAACTCTTGGTTCAATTCTCAAGTTAATATAGTAAATATTGAAATTTTAATGATTAAATTATCAAATTTTAACTCATGTAGGTTGATGTCTTGATAGTTCAATGAGAGTTTATTTTAATGACTAAAATTTACAAATTCCTACAACATTGCAATTATAAGTCTTTATCAATTTATTTTCCTGACTAAAATTTACAAACTCTTACAACATTGCAAAATTTTACATGGTTATGGAACTTAGGATGTATACACTACATATATTCCTTTTTAACACTAATTAAACTTTAGTCTCGTCGACATCACTAAAGTATAATTTAGTCTCATGGCAAAGTACCACCCACATTGACAAAAACACTTAAAATCCATTCTTAAAATGATCCACATTTCTCTAAACAAAGCACTATATACCGTGAAGAATCAGAAAAGTCAGGAAACAGATAAAACTTGTGCATAAGAAAAAAAAAAACCGAGGAAAATTGTACCATCGTTAGGAGAAAAAACCGAGAACTGGGCGAGGGAAAAACTACAAAAAAAAAAAGCATTACCGAAAAGAAGTGGTGGTTTGCATTTGATTTATTTGAATGGAGATGCAGATGTTCTTGTGGCTATGTTCTTGAGATAAGGCTTGTCATTTGGTGGTGAAAGATAGTATCGATTGGTACTTTGGTAGGGTTTTTTGTTTGATTTGTTCGGGTTGTAATGGAAGGTGGATGGGCTCTAATATGAGTTGGTCCTTAGTATGGATGAGAAAGCCTTTTAACGTTTTCTTATAATTTTCAGCCCAAATAAAGTCTCGTGTAGTCGTGTAGAAGAGAGAAGGAATTTTAAAGGGGACAGGGAGAAAAGATAATGTGATGACGTGGAAGGCTAGATGGATGTAAAATTACCCATTTTTAGTTCTTTTTTGGTGCTCCAACCCACATTATTTAGGGAGCTAAAAATGAGTATTGGTGAATTGAGAGCCAAATTTAGCTCACAAAAGAGTGGAAAAGCCAAATTTGGCTAGAGAAAATGGTGGACCCGCGGCGGGTCCTCCTTTATTTTTTATTTGTTTCTGTAGAATTTTCTCATTGGTTGATTGTGTTGTTTTTCTTTTTTCTTTTTTTGTGTGGTATTTTGTCATTGGTTGATTGTGTATGTTGTTTGTTTAATTGTTTGAAAGAAGATATGAATTGTTGTATGTTTAATTTGTATTTTCTCATTGGTCCCGAAGTTAACGGTAACAAAATAATGACTAATTTTCTGAAATTTTGTCTTGGAATTTAAAAAAAAATACATCGATTTTTTTTCAAAAGTAATAACTAACTATAGAATAATTAAAGTGAAATATGAAAATTAGAGGTCAAATAAGTATGGTTTATTGTAATAAATTGAAAAAAGGGAGATGGGAAGCGAAATTTAACTTTGTGTAGGGTTGGAGTGAAAATGGGATTTGGGGAGCTAAAAAGCCATATTTGGCTATTTGGGGAGCCAAATTTAACTTTACGGGTTGAAGTTAGTCTGAACTGCTTTTCAAGAAAACGCTTATAATATTTTGTAGATGATTAATTTTCATCCATACTAGAAAATGCATAACTCATTAGTAGATAAAACCCATGGTTTTCATATTATTATTAATTAAGTGGTTCTTTTGTAAATAACTCAAACTTCAAGGGATTTTTATATATAATATCTGATTTCATTACAAAATAAGAATGTGATTAAGAGTTTGGACTAAGGGTTCGTTTGGAAGTTGCGATTGTTAAATAGATGTATTGTTGAGAATGCATGTATAATATTATACATGTATTGTCGAATTTGATGCATTGTAGAATACAACGTTTGGTATGTGTGATTGTGTATGTCGCATCAACTAAAAGCTGAGACAAAACAATCTCAACTCAACTATCTCAACAATCACAACTAAAAATTTAGATATAACAATCACTCAAAATGAGTGATAGTTTCTGTCACATCATAGAAACAATCCATGTATTGTTTCTGCTAAAAAAACGATGCATTATAAACAATACATGCATAATGACAATCTCAACAAAACAATCGCAACTTCCAAACGACCCCTAAAAGTCCTGAAAAGAAAGAAGTCCGATCCAAGAAAAATGATGAGCCAAACAAATACAACAGCTTGCCCACGAAACAAACATGTAAGCGAGAACAAGCTTTAGTACAAGAATAAATGGCAAGTACAAAAACGAAATCACTCTGCTTCTCTAATAATTAAGATAAAACCTTCTCCTAATTTTAGACCAACTTGGATACTTCCTAAAGAATCCTACGGCAATGCATAAAATGTAACAATCCTTCCTCCTTCGAAGAATTTCGTCCCCAAGATTCAACCGATTTCTCAACCCGAATCAACGAAAAAGAAAGCTCCCCACTTGTTGTTGATGAGTTACATAACCCATCACATGGTTTGAGTTTACCAACAATTTCCAGGTGTATTGGATAGGGTATGAACTGATGGGTTATATAACCCATGATCCTTACCCCAGCTTGCTTGGAAGGAATGATCTCTTTCCTATGCTCTGAGTGACCTTGAGAGTGTTTTTATAGTGACCACCTGTGTTTGTATTCTTAGGAATGTATTCCCTCTAATTATTCTATTTCTCTTTTGACAATGATAATATGATGTCACATTTATCCCAAAAATATGTTTACCACTAATTTACACGTATGAAGAAGAGGGTATGTACTTGGTTATATAACGCATTACATGTAGACTTAAGAAAATGTGGTGGGTTATATAACACATTTCTATGCCAGTCACACCAACGGGATGGTCTCCTAGTTGCAAGTTGATATGACTATTTTTGTAATTAGTTCCTCTACGCTCAGTAAATTTCTCGTTTATTTCTTTTAGATATCGTCGTGGTTGTGCTGATGAGATGGGGGTTGTTCGCTCGCAATTTGGACATCGCTCGTTACCTGCTGAATTTAGTTCCCGTCTTCGGAGAAATTTTCGCGGCCATTAGCAGTTTCAGCCTAGTCCCTGTCTACATTGCAGACACGTAGGTCTCATTCAACATGGGGATACTGGTGGGCTACACAACATACCAGATGTTCGAGGTCTTTCCCCAGCAGTAGCCAAAAAATTTGTTGTTTGGGGTTGCCCTGTTCCCTTTCTTGTTGTTTGCCCTCGGTTTCGTTGATCGTCAGGCGTGGTCAGATCGACGAGGCCAAGACCATACTACAGGGCAGTCAGCGGAGTCTAGCAGAAGTCAACCACATAGTCAACCACATCCATCATGAACAGGCACCAATAAAGATCGTGTGGAACAAGTTTCTTCGCCCACCTCTGCTCTGCGTGTTCATCTCCTTGGCAGGACTGCACGTTCTCCGCGTGTTCATCTCCTTTGACATTATCATCAAGATATTTGTGCCATATGATTCCATCTAGATTTTGATCAATGACCTTAAGTGGATTCTCATTTCAATTCTTATTATCACATCATAATATCTATGCACATCTCAATACCAACGAATCTACCTCTAAAAATCCTTTCAACTAATCATTAACTTCAATTTTCAAAATCTAATTTACTCCTTTAAGAAGCTGGAATTCTCATCCCCAAGGTAAAATTTATAGTTCATCTGATCCCACAGAAACGTGAATATATCACCTAAAATAAATCAAACCATTCATATCTAGAGAAATAAATTGTTTGCACTATTCATTTGTCTTTCAACATTCATTGGTTAACACAAACTGCAAATCCATTACAAACACCAAGTCTAGCTACACAAACAAATACAATATACAAAGCCCGACCTAGGCACTGTGCTGGTCAGACCCCCAACATAGAGTCTCAAACTATTTGGGGCCTCATAACTTAGGCCCATTTATATATAGTTACTAAAAACAAATCTATAAAAAAATGAGTGTTGTTATTGATTTATTTATGTATGTCGCCATTTATTTGGCAGCTAAGGAAACACTTTTTAAAGTAGTAGCAGGGGGTTTGCCAGTACATGGGATGTCGTGCTTCAAATTATCAGTGACTCTTTGTCGGTGAATGGATAAACATATGGCCCGCTTCTGGTGGAGATTGTCGATTGGTAGACCGGGAGTTCATTGGATGTCCTGGTCTCTCTTATGTAGGAGCATCCATGAAGGTGAGATGGGTTTCCGCTGGTTTGAACATTTCAATCAGGCGTTGTTGGCTAAAGTTACCAAGCGTATTCAGGATGAGCCGAAGTCCTTATTGGCTCAAGTTTTTCATGGGAAATACTTCCCTAAGGGGTCGGTCCTCCCTGCTAAACTAGGATCCCGACCCTCGTGGGCATGGCAGAGCATTCTGCATGGCACTCGTTTGCTGATGAAGGGGCTGGGTTGTCAGGTGGGTTTTGGTAAATCCATTCCCATCATGTCAGTGGGTTGGATTCCGAAGATCGTTCCAAGACTGTCCGATTTGCGTGCAGGGATATCACCGATAGGTGGTGAGTGTGGGTGTTCCTTAATTGATCAAGATATTCGGTCTTGGTTCCGTGAGTGTTTGGTGTCAATCTTTTCCGAGGAGATTATGTACTTGAGGTACATATTCCTCAAACCCTAGTATGGATACCTGGGTTTGGCGGCATGACTCCTCATGGGTGTATACCGTGAAGTCGGGTCTGGGCCTTTGTGGTTCAGCCTAAACTCCGCTTATTCACTTGGCAGCTGTTGGGCCAAGAAAGAAGACACGCGGCCCGTGAGCCCAATAAAGGCCAAAGGCCCATGAAAGGAGCAAGCAGAGCCCAAGTCAGGAATAATAATGAAGGGCGGTCTTGACGCTCCGCGCAACATGACTGCCCGACATTCTGAGAATATGGCGGTCATGGACCACCCGACACTCTGGCTTCATGGTACGGAGCCTGACAAGAAACGTTAGCAAAGCCAGAGGTGCCCTAGACCGCCCGACAAGGTATTAAATGCACTCGGCCGAGCCGAGACTAGTATAAATACTCATCAAGAGATCACATTTATGGTAACGTCAACTACTCCATTCTCTCTCTTATTTACAATTCTCTCAATCCTCTCTCTAACTTAGGCATCGGAGGAGGTCCCAGGAACCCCCTGAGGACCTTTCTTGTAGGTTTCGAAGACCGTTCGCCATCATTGGAAACCGCCCGAGGCCGTGAAGTCTCACCTAACCGCTTGGTACATTCCAAGCACAAACATTTTGGCGCCCACCGTGGGGCCTCATGACTTGGTTGCGGTGAAAAATGGGAGACGACTTCGAGACCCCTCTCAAAGGGATGACTGAAAACAACACCCTTCGAGGCCTCTCGCCGAGGGTTGAAGATGAATCAGAGCTCGAGGAGGTAGTCAAGAGTCAAGGCTTGCAAGTCGCAAACATGCAAGACAACCTCTCCCAAATTCTCCAACTTTTGAAGACAAGAGAAGACCCCGCAGAAGGTTCAAAAGGGGAGCTTCGCAAAGACAAGCAGAAGACCGCCCTTGTCCTCGATATCCCTGCTCGGACAGAAGGTGGGGGACAAGAGGCAGAAGACGTGGACCTTGGATTTTTGGAGGAACACTTGCGGTCAACCTATGGGAAGCACAAGAGCCCCACTGTTCTCCAAAACTCATTGTCACGGGAACTCTTCAAGATTCCAGTCCCGCCTAATTTCTCGTCCCTGGGACTCCCTACGTATAGCGGAACCTCAGATCCCGCGGACCACCAGCCTTGAGCGCCCCCATCGGCGGAGAGCTACTTTACTTGTACCTAGCGGTCTCTGACCAAGCCGTGAGTTCCGTCCTGGTGCGAAGGGCGCATGACGGCTCCGACCGACCCGTTTACTACGTGAGCAAGGCGCTCCTCCCCACCAAAACGAGGTACATGCCCATTGAGAAAGCGGTTCTCGCTGTGACCTCCGCGGCCAGAAAATTAAGACCGTACTTCCAAGAGCACCCCATCACGGTGCTGTCACACCTCCCTCTCAAAAGTATCATGAGGGGCATGGACGCCTCAGGCCGGCTAACCAAGTGGGCAATTGAACTGAGCGAATATGACATCGAGTATGCCCCAAGGCTAGCCATCAAAGGGAAAGTACTGGCGGATTTCATCGCCGAGGGATTCTCTCTCGAAGCCGCACCCTCGGAGGAGAGCAATCAAGTGTGGCGTCTATTCATAGACGCCGCAGCGGGAAAAACCGCCTCAATGGCAGGGATCGTCATCGAGTCACCCGAGGGGGTAGTACATGAAGTCTCTTTGAGGTTTGAAGAGATTAAGACCAACAATGTCGCCGAATACGAGGCACTGATCAATGGGATCCGAATGCTGTCCACCGTAGGGGCAACTGACGTGCATATATTCTCTGACTCTCTCCTGGTTTTCAAATAGGTGCTCGAGGCGTTCGAAATCTAGGATGAAACACTAGCGGTATTGGCCACTTGGGTGCGGGAGAGAAGATAATGTCCGAAGAGAAGATAATCAGCATGCAGACGCGCTTTCAAAGCTTGCAACCGCCATGGACTTCGAAGGGGACCGACACGTCGTCACTAAAGAAAACGAATCCCAGGAAGAAGTCATGAGCATTGGAGAGGTTGCCGACTGGGGGACCCTCTTGATCCAATATCTGCAGCACGACATCGCACCACAACACCCGGTCGAACGAAAAGCGCTTAAGCGAAAGGCGGCCCGGTATTCGATGGTGGACGGTTAGCTGTTTAAAAGGTCATTCTCGGGAGCCTACTTGAAGTGCCTCGGAGGCTAAATGGACATTGAAAGCGATACACCAAGGAACATGTGCCACACACGCCGACCACAGATCGCTCGAGAGAACGGTCCTTTTGCAAGGCTACTACTGGCCTATCATAAAAAAAGACGCATCAGACGTCGTCCTCAAATGTCACGCGTGCCAAGTTCACGCCTCCAAACACCACCAGCTGAGCTCTGAGCTACAAAGCATGGTGCGACCATGGCCATTTGCTAGGTGGGGTCTCGATCTCTTGGGACCCTTTCCCACGGCACCTCTGGGGAAGAAGTACTTGGTGGTCACAGTCGACTACTTCACAAAGTGAATTGAGGCCGAACCGCTGGAAACTATCACGAGCGCAAGAGTACAGAAGTTCGTGTTCAACAATATCATGATCCGTTTTGGCATCCCTCATTCGATCATCACGGATCATGGGACGCAGTTTGACTGCCGCCCGTTTGAGAACTTTTGTGCTCGAAACCGCATCATATGCACTATGGCCTCGGTAGCATACCCACAAACCAATGGCCATGCAGAAGCTTCCAACAAACTGATTCTCCAAGGCTTGAAGAGGCGCCTCCGAGAAGCCAAAGGGGCATGGACCACCGAGCTTCCCCACATTCTATGGGCACATCGCACCACTCACAAGATCGCCACGGGCGAAACTCCCTTTGCTTTAACGTATGGCTCCGAGGCGGTTGCCCCAGAGGAGATGAGCTTGCCCTCCCTTCGCGTTCAAGCCTACAATCAAGAGCGCAATCACAAAGAGCTGTTAGCACAACTAGACATGATAGAGTCAAGGCGCGACGCGGCCATGGAACACATCATGCGGGAAAAAGCCAAAGTCGCGGCCTCTTACAACAAGAACGTGAAACCGCGACCTCTCGTGGAAGGAGACATGGTCCTCAAGCTTGACTTTCAAAGGAAGGATGAACATGGCAAGTTGGCCGCCACATGGGAGGGGCCATTCCTCATTGGAGAGAAATAACATGAGAATATCCAAAGAGCGGTCTCAGATCCCCGGGGAGCCCTGGCTAACCGCATCACCCTCTGAAGCGTCCTCCTCTTCGCCTCCTGCCTCTTCTTCTTCCGATTCACCCGCCTCCGAATTCACATCTGAGGCAGACCAATGGGTAACCGCGTCCCACACGCGGTCCGCATCCCAACCAATATCGGGACAGTCCTCGCGAAACAGGTGATGAATGGCGGCCACCACATTGCCAACCACGGCCTTGTACTTTGCCTTGTCTTGGGCGAGAAAATCGGCAGTCTTCAGATAGGCAGGCCCTGCTTCTGCTCGAGCTGCGGTCACCTCTGCCTCATGCGTCACCAGCAGAGCTGCCTTCTCCAACCTTAGCTCATTCACTTCCTTGCGCAATGCGTCCTGCTCTTCCAACAAGGTCTTCTCAATCTCCTTGGACTTCAGTAGCAAATCTTGGAGGCGGTCCCTCTCCTCGCAGATCACCTTGGCTGCCTCCCTCTCATCCAGCAAGGCCTTATCCTTCTGCGCCAACCGCTCCTCAAATCTCTTTTCTTGAGGTTCGCTATCTCAACTGTGTTGTCATCCATGGTCTTCGATAGGCGGTCATTCATCAGTATAATCTGGGAAAACCCAATCTAGGCCTACGATGCAGAGTGAAAGTCGATTAGCAAAGGCACATACTCCGAACAAGGGCGAAGAGATAGCAAACAAAAACTAACCCCGAAGAAGAGTTGCGAAGCGGTCCCGGCTAGTCGGCAGTTACTTCCTTGAGAAGAGGCTGTGTACTCGTTGGGCATCACCAGCTGATCGCTAATGCTGTGAAACGCAAGCTCAGCCGCCTCGGTATCAGTAGTAGCCAACGCAGGGATATCCACAAGGTTTGACCTATCAGACCGCTTCACGCCCTTCTCACGTCTGTCGTCCGCCTTCGAGGGGGAAGCACGAACTTTGGTGCGTTTTGCCGCAACCTCAGCGGTCTCCCGTGGCAGAAGCCTCTTGCCCGCTACCCGCGGTACAACGGTCGGCCCACCACCAGCCGCACTAGGCGGATCGGGGACTAGCCGAAGGGGGGAAGCCGTCGGCTGATCCGCTGGAGTAGCCGCAGCAGATGAGGATGTGCCACCTCCTTGAGAGATCTTAACCGTCTTCTTTCTTCGCGGCCTGTTTGCGTCCGCTAGCTCCCTCATACCTGGAAAGGGAAGGCATAAGTAAAACACATGAGAAAGATAAGCATCGGAATCAAGAAAGTACACTACTAACCGTAAAAACCATGAACAAGTTGATAGGCGCTGTTGGAACCGCTGGGTTGAACACACTACTGAACCGCATCCACGATGCAGTCTACATGATCCCTCACAGACTGAGGAAACTTGCTAGACTCACATCAGTCATCCTTTGACCCAACCGCGTAACCCGTAAGCGGCTCGGAGTCACCCGCATACCATTGCCAAGACGGTTTTGCGAAAAATACTCCCTATACCAGGGTGAGTCCAACTTAGGCGCCCCGGTAACAAACCCCACTAGATTCTCCCGCCTTCCGATCGACCAACAGTTGGTCGAATCCCTGATGTTATAGATCATCGTAAAAGCATCAAAAGATGGGTCCTCCTTGATGCGGTCACACGCCAAATGATACATTACCGAGTGAAAAACGATCGTTGGTGAAAGCCGCCCCAGAGTGTAGTTAAGCCAATGCAAAACCTTCGTAAGGATGTGGTCAAGCGGGAACCGCAAGCCGATTTTTATGTGCTCTACCAAAATCGGAATCCAACCGCTGGGGCAAGACCCAGAGCGGAGCCGCGTACTGCCATTCAGGGGGCAGACGCAGCGACTTTAAGCGGTATAACACTTGCTCAGGTTTAAAGACCGCCCCCGAGTTCTGCGGTCCCTGCTCGAACACCCTAGTGGGAATCTGCTCCCCTTCCCACATACCCTCGTGGCGCAAAACGGTGTACACCGTATCTCGGATAGCCACCAGAAGCGGTCTGGGCTCCCCCGATTCCGAAATCTCCAAAGAGGAAGATGTACTAGGAGCCGCCTACGAACGCTCCACATCACTACTTATCTCGACATCCTCTTCCAATGAGATACTATCTAAACCTACCCGCTCAAATTCACACAAATTATCCCCCACAGCTGAAGACGTGGCCATAACCCCAACTGGTACAGGGCGCATGTTAGCACAACAGTTATCCAAGTTGATACATTCCCCGACTAAACAATCGTCTAATTCAGAACCATTTCCAACGTATAAGTCTAGCCCAGTAAAATCCCACACACACTCAGATGGGTGCCGAATGGGTGAAAAGCGGTTCATACCTTGGGAAGTGAAAGCGGTCGCGGCTGCACTCATGGGCTTCTTCCCCATCGGGTGAACCGCCAAAGGTACGACAGAGCTCGACGGCTCCTTCTCCAGGACAATCACGGGAGGAGAGTCCGCGGCGGGGGAACTCCCAAGGGCAGTAGTACCGCCTGCATCGACGCCGGACGACGAGGGTGGAGCTCCGCCTGACATCTGCGAAGGGGGAGAATTCGCCAGTCGCCGAGGGCGGCGCGATGCACAAAAATGAAAAGGGGAACCGTTCACAGAAGCGGAACTCAGTCAAGAAACGACCTAGAGCAAGAAAGAACCAGCACCGTTAAGAGAAGAGGGCAAAAATCATACCTGGTTCGTCGATCGGAATATATAGAGGTCGGCGGCGACAAAGCTCTGAGCAGTCGCATGAAAAAGAGGGAGGAAGGTGACGATCGTTTTCTAAAACAAGGAAGAGTTTTGGCGGAAAAACCCCTCACCATACATTTAAAGCGAAAAAAGGAAGTTCAAAATCCCGAAGCGACACATCTCCAGCCCCGAGGCTCAGAGGTGACGTTTTGCCTCCGGGTGTCAGGGCTCTGCGCCCGAGAAACGACACGTGGCAACAAACCACGGCCAGAAAACCGCCCCGGATCACCCCTTAGGCGCCCGTCGCTTTAACTCTCCATGACTAGGGGCAAACGGGCAATCATATGAAACGCGGTCAAAAGACGCTTTGGCCAGGCTTCATGGGCATCACGTCTGCTCCAGCTCAATGATCGCAATACAGGACAATTAGACGCGAAAACCTAAAGCTTTCCACGCCTAAGGGGCAAATGTTGGGCCAAGAAAGAAGACACGCGACCCGTGAGCCCAATAAAGGCGAAAGGCCCATGAAAGGAGCAAGCAGAGCCCAAGTCATGAATAATAGCGAAGGGCGGTCTTGACGCTTCGCGCAACATGACTGCCCGACATTCTGAGAATATGGCGGTCATGGGCCGCCCGACACTCTGGCTTCATGGTGCGGAGCCCGACAAGAAACATTAGCAAAGCCAGAGGCGCCCTAGACCGCCCGACAAGGTATTAAATGCACTCGGCCGAGCCGAGACTAGTATAAATACTTATCAAGAGATCACATTTATGGTAACGTCAACTACTCCATTCTCTCTCTTATTTACAATTCTCTCAATCCTCTCTCTAACTTAGGCATCGGAAGAGGTCCCAGGAACCCCCTGAGGACCTTTCTTGTAGGTTTCGAAGACCGTTCGCCGCCATTGGAAACTGCCCGAAGCCGTGAAGTCTCACCTAACCGCTTGGTACATTCCAAGCACAAAACAGCAGCTACTGCAGAGCACACTGCCGACTATGGAAGCTTTAATTCTGAAAAAGGTTCAGGTGTTACTAAGATGTCCAATTTGCTGGGGGGCGGAAGAAACTATTGAACACTTATTCTTCTCTTGCCCTGTGGCGTTGACATTGTGGGAGACATCGGGATTGATGACAGACCTTGAGGCCTTGCCCGGTGTGGTTTTGCTATTTTCTTTTGTCGTTTCTTGGAATGTGACTCTTCGCCAAACAGGGTTACTCGTCTCCTCTGTCTCCTCTGGAGAATTTGGAAGTCCAGAAATTTGGTGGCTTTTGAAGGAGTACAGGGGACGATGGATGTGTGGTACGACAATTTCACTTCCAAGTTGAGGAATGGGTAGCGAGTCTCCCTCATAGTGGAGGGGCGACCCCTAATGCTTTGGCTGCTCAGGGAGAAGTGCCAACCGTCTTGCCGGGAGGGATAGTGTGTTTGTTTGACGGAGCGGTAAGTTCTGAGTCTCATGGTGCGGTGGGCTTTGTGCTTAGGGACGACAAAAGTGGGGTCCTGATGGCCAAAGTAATTTCCTACGAGGCTTTGGTCGATCCAATGGTGATAGATTTGATGGTTTTTCGAGACGCGCTACGGTGGTGTGTGGGGGCGGGGCTTACTGACGTTCGCTTCGTTGGTGATGCTAAGGTGGTGATTGACAAGATAAATTCCAGGATCACTAGGGACGCGCAGGCCGGATCTATTTTTCAAGAAGTTTGCATACTCCTCGATGACCACTTAGATTTTAGTGTCTAGTTTGTAGGTAGACAGAACAATAGGGTGATCCCATGTGGTGGCCAAAAAAACCCTAGATTAAATTAGCTCGAATTGATTCGGTCCCAGTCCGGTCTTTTCGGGAAGATAAAGACCAAATATTGGATTGGATTCAGTCCGATTTTGAACCGGTCCGGTCCCGATTCGAATTTTATTTTAGATTGATTTTGTGGGGATTTGAGTGGCCTGAGGCCTAAAAGGGTGAGAATCCGGTAAAACAAAAAAGCTAAGACCAAATAGCCACCCCTACTCCTCCCCAACTTGACTCGAGCTCGTCAGATATGGTCCCTGCCACAAACAGACCGGTGAGAAGGAGGATTACCCTTTCAGCCTCAACGATGGATGGGGCAGCAAGGGGAGAGGTGGACAAGGAGGAGCAGGAAGAGTTCGTTGGTAGGGAGGATGGCGATTGGCGAGGGAAGATTTGCGCGGACAGAGCACAGAGGGAGATGGTGACTTGTTGATTTTTTTTAGGCCTGGTGGGCCAATTAAGTTGGTCAAGTCACTAGTTGGGATGAGGTACACAGCTGGTATAATTTTTTTCCGGGTTGAAAGAAATTGACTAGATGTTTCTGTTAGACACGACAACAAAAAAACCGACAACGTTAACGAAGACTAACGAAAGCTGGTAATGTAGAGTGACCAAATTTGAAATATTTGACTAATCTTAGTAGAGGTGGCAAATGGATTGATCCATAGATTGGTGGATCCATGGATCAAATGGATTAGTGGATTCAAGGATTAGATCAAGTGGATTGGTGGATTATCCATGAATCCAAATGACATCCTTAACCAAGGACCAATATGTAAAATGTGAGAAGTTTAGGTACTAAATGTCATAAGGAACAATTTTATGTACCAAAAAGTAATTTTCCAATGATATTTTTGTAGTAAAAAATTACATTTTGGGTACCAAACTGTAAAATATAAAAAGTATAAGTACCAAATCATAATTTGCAATTTGGATCCATGGATCGATCCATGAATCCACCAATCCAATTGGATTTGGATCAAATGGATTGGATTTAAATGGATTGGATTAGGTGGATATTTTTAATGGGTTGGTGAATTGGATTGAGAATTGCCACCTCTAAATCTTAGTGATCAGAAATGAAATAAAATTATTTTAATGATTCAAACGTAATTTTGTGTGTGTAAAAATGTGAATTTTTTTAGCAAACTCAGTGACCGTCCTTACAGTTTACGTTTATTAGTTCTATATCTATTACCGTTTTGATCCGGGATCCTCCAGACATTTTAACGTTCTTCCACCAGTCAAACTCAAATCCTCTCCTCCTTTCGCATGCCTTGCGTTATTTTGAGTAGCTCGTGTCATGGAGAGCAAATCCAACAAGTGCACACAAATCACGTACAGAGCAAATTCAACACTATTAAGCAACGGCATTAGTCCCAACATATCAGAAGCTCTAACAAAAAAATGCGTCATCGCCGCCCCCTCAGAATGCGACGTCAAACCACAAGGAGGAGTAGTTTCCTCTGCGTATCTATGTTATACCAACTTATATATTTCCACTGCTCTAGATAAAGCTTCTCCGCCATTTCCCTGCAAAGTACCATTCAACCAAAAGAAGCTAAGCCGAGAAGGAAGGAAGGAAGGAAGACAATGAAGGGGACCGAGATCCTGACCATGGTCATTCCCCTCTCCTTTTTCCTCGTGGGTTACGGTAAGACAACTTTTCTTCATTATAACTTTTATACAGCAGTGCAGCTAATTGTTCATCAGATTCTGACGTGCATTCTCAAAAGCTAAGCAATACCCACCAATTATGGTGGAAACCTGAGAACAACATAGCAATTAGGACTCTGGAAAGGGAATTCACCTCATCAGACTCCTCTTTCTCCTGTAGTTTCTTTCTCTACTTACCACAGCAACAGTCGGCCGGAGCAGCGTCAGCATTAGCATAGGAACTGGCATTCATTAGTTACTCGATTTAGAAATGAAATAGGAAGATTGAACCCTTGAGAGCAATGAAGGAAAATGGCTGACCACTACCGGTAACGATCAATCGAGCCATGGCCATGTAGATTCTGAGATCAACATAATTTCCCTCCTGCATCATGTAAAACAACAGAAATGAAGTAAGAAGATTGAAACCCCTGAGAGCAATTTAGGAGAATAAACACTAAAGTTTATTGAACAGTTGAAAGTTATTAGAACCAGCAAATTTATCAAATCAAACAAGAACCAGCAAGATTGAGTGAATACCCATGAAATTGATGAGGTTTCTGCATAAAGTGCTTGAAGATACTTTTGAGGTTTGAACATGTAGGTTCCCTGAGCAGACAAAGTGATTTCCAATAGGTGCTGAAAAGAGATTGACGAAGGGAAACAGGAACTATGTAGGAAGAGTTTTATGGAGAGGTTTAGCCACATTCTACACAAAGCTGGAGCTGATTAAGCACTTTGTATACTAGTACTGAATTGACCCTCCAAAACAAGCCAAAACAGAACATACAAATTTTCTGGTCTCTCTACTGAAGTCTGTCATCAGGTGCAGCAGCATCAACTTATTTCCCCAACACTAAACGATATCGTAAGTCTCTAAACCCTAGGAAATCGATCCAAGACCACCAGGAGCATCGATTGGTATGCATATTAAATGATCCTCACCCAGCAATACATACATTGATTAACAGTCAGTTAGTCTCTAGATCATATCTCCCATACAAAATACTACAAGTCAACTAGCTGAATGTAGCTTGTTAAGCAAGAAACCATTTTTCACATATGAAGAACCAAACTACCAAGTAAGCTAGGAATAAGAATACTTACCCACCATTGCATGGACAAACTCCACAGAGCTGCATATTCTTCAGGACCCGGTACCTGAACAACAAAGGGTACAATTCAGAGCCAAAACTAATGAATGCAGACCTGAAATTACAGCATTTCCATCTACCCTGCCACAAAAGATTGCATTTTTTTTTATCACTCATCCTCTGTTTATCAGTTAATTTTGTTGGCACTCATCCTCTCTCTGAATGAACATGAATTCTGCAGATTCCGTCACACCACTCGTAGCGAACCTGCTCCGCCGAAACCTGCACGTTGCGGACTACCAGCTCACCTTAGCAGTAGTTGCAGCAAACATTGCGGCCATGGGTGGCGCCCTCGTGGCAGGAATCGCTTGCGACTACTTGGGTCGCAAGCGTACGTTGACAGCTAGTGGCGTCATGTTCCTGGTGGGTAACCTGATGAAAGTCCTCGCAACATCTTCCTACAGCCTTCTTGTCGTAGGACAGGTGGCGACCGGGGTAGCCACCGGCTTTAGCCTCACCGTCGCGCCCCTCTTCATCGCCGAGCTGATTCCGTCCAAGAACCGTGGCCTCTACACCGCCCTCACCGAGGTGAAACAAATTTTAAATTTACTTAATAAATTGGCTAAGGGTCAGTCAAATATCTCAATTTACATGTTACAATTGAATACCAGTAACATTGCTCGATAATGAAATGTATCAATCAACAGGTGTTGTACAACTTGGGGATCACGTTCAGCTACATCCTTAACAATGTGATCTCGGCCGACTTCCCCTCGGACGTCGCTCAGAGAGTGACGTACGGACTACCGGCTTTCTTATCCCTGATGTTCGTCTTCGAGCTGCTGCTGCTCCTGCCAGAGTCACTTTACTGGCTCATCGCGAACCGAGGTCTGATCGGAGACGCCATCGAGATTATGAAGGACAGCGAACGTGGTCTAGGTGAAATCGACTATGTCATCCGGCAGATGCGGCTCGAAGCAAACATACCACGACAAAGAACCAACAGAAACCAGCGGACCGCCCCTGCCACACAAGTGCGGCTGTTGTGGAAGGAATTCATCGGGCAGGGACCGATTCGGCGCAACTTGATGATTGTCGGGGGGATACACATCCTCCGACAGTCATCAGGGGTCGGCGCGTTTAAGATGGAGAGCCTTCTGGTCGTCCTGGATTTCTCGAGGTCGGGAATGTTCATAGCGAACTTGATGATCCTCGCCGTGAGGATCTTCTACGCCTCCCTGTCGAGCTGGTTGGTGGATCGGATTGGTAGGCGGATCTTACTGCTGAGCGGTTGCCTCTCCACCGGCGCGTTCTACTTGCTTTTCGGGTTGCCATTGGTAGCGATTCAAGCGAGCGCGGAGTTATCGAATCTGGCCGAGTACGCTGTCAAGACCGTCGCATTGTTGGCGATGATGGGAATCATGGGGGCGTTTGAGGTTGGCCTAGGAACCGTCACCTGGACGATCACCTCGGAGGCGTTCGGTTACCGGTTCCGTGCACAAGGGGCAAGCATTGCGGTTTTGCTGAACAGAGCGGCGGAGACGGTTCTGGTTGTGACATTCGCGCCTCTGTGTGGTTGGATCGGCATCACCGGTGCTTCTGTTCTGTTTTGCGTGGTGATGGCGGCCGGCTTTGGATTCTGTTACTTCTTCGTCGAGAAGAAAGATACGTTCGTACTCGAGTGAGCACGGTTTGTGATCCTGGGTAAGGTTTTGTGAAGAGAAAAGAGGTGGTGTCTCGTCTGTTGCTAGATCTATAATTGCTACGAAGAATGTTAATTCACTCCAATAATCAGCTTGTTGACTTAATGACCTCGTGTTTTTTTTTTCTTTTCCAGCTAGCTATAAACCAATTACAAAGATGTATACCTACTTCAGCAACTTTCATGTAATACTAAAGAAAAATGGAACTTTCATGTAATCCTGTCGTTAAGGACTTGTTTAAGGACGTATTTTTATAGTAAGAATGTACTCTGGATTGATAATCTTCTGATCATTGTTTACTCGAGTTTAAGCATTGATGATGATTGTTTGTCGTCTGAGATGATTACTTTGAAACCTTAATACTCTAATTACTTAGAGGGCAGATGAATCAAGAATAAAAATGTTTGTGTTTCGACTTATATAAAGTTATCTTAAAAAATATTAAAGGGCTTTTAGAATTGAACCCATGCCACGTACTCCTTACTAGAAGCGGAATGTATCCACGTCAGACACACTTTCATCTCTTTCTTAATCCTTCTCTTTCTCTATTCCTTCTACGCTGTCCAAATACCCCTTCTTAACCATTGCCCAAGTCTGTCATATGCTTTCCTGCCCGTCGTTTCTACTTTCTCTCGGTTAGCGGTACTTTCCTTCCCTCCCCAAATCTGCAACATCTTCCGTCCACCATTGAGTATTTACAACTCCAGTCCAGTCGTTGGATCTTCCGATTGCATTTTGGGACTTGAATCAGTTTCTCTCCGCTCGTGCATGGCTATTATAGAAACCGACGGAGATTTCATTCCTATCCATGCCCACCAATTTCCCCCAATTTGAAAGACACGTTTGAGTTTGCATTTGCAATCCGTTGCTCTGCCTCTGACCGCTCATTCCTAAAGGTAAATTCTTCTTCTTGCATGAATCTTTATGCCGGGACCTTTTTTCTCCATTATTCTGGATTTCCTTTTGCTTTCTGATTTGAAGCCAATAGAGTATTGAACTCTAACTACCCTAATGCAACATACTCGAAATTAGGAGTACAAATCGATCACGACGCATCCTGAAAAGTTGATAGGAGTAAGCACTAAGAAGTTAAAGCAGTATTCCAACGTACTCACTCGACAAACTCTAAAGCACGGGCAAGCACAAGGTAATAATTGTTGTGTACAATTTTGTTTGGAGACCGATAATGTTGACTATAGAAACGGAAGTTTCCGATTAGATTTTGATGATGATGGTTGTGTAACTGTGATATCATTGTTGAATCGTGGGGAAATTTTGAAATCTTCACAGATAAATACATCATGTTGTTGTGAATCCATAACGAATAAATCCAATTATAATATGCTGCGAAGTGCGAAGTCATCCAAAATAGTGCAGCCATGTGAACCCAGTTTGCCAAGCCTTTGGTGTTGATTTATTTGTTGAATGTCTTTTGTCAAGTTCTACATTTGTTTTACTGTTGTCCCTGTTTTAAACATGTTGTGTTGCTTCACTGATATGATTGTTTCTTAACTCTGTTTGTCTTTGTTGTTCTTTGCTCTTATCCCAACATTCATTTCCCATATTCTTTTAATATCTCTTTTCTTATGTAGGTTTCTATGGAGGAAGGTTCTTTGATCACTTCATGGCAATTAGATCTCTCACCCAGGAATAGACGCTCCTTCATTATGCTGTTTACTATAAGCTAGATATGTACATTTGTTTCAGCAATTAAATGCCAGATATCATGCATATTTCATAGGACAATGAAATAGAGACTGAAGCCATGATCAGTATGAGCAGCTCCATACCAAATCTACACTGAGTGAGGGCTCTGACACAACATCACTGTGCTTAAGTCGGTGAAAAAGGAACCCGAACTTGCATTCGACCCACCAAACAACAATGCTATGCTACAAGCCAAGACTACAACACATTATAGCAACCGAAACAATAAGTTCCAAAGAGTGCAAGAATATTTTGGTTCTCATATTCAGATGACCCATGCAATATCATTCTTACTCATAAAGCCCAGACAATGCAACGTAAAGATCATGAACTTTTCTACACAAAAAATTACATGGAAAATAACAGTCTCTTGAACAATTTTGCCGTTGTTCAGTTCTTGCCTTTCCAGATTTGACACACACAAGCAGCCAATTATTTTGCACACCAAAGAGCTGAACAACAGCACAACAACAACAATCAACCCGGCCAAGGGCCGGGCACATATCTAGTATATAATATAGGGATTCTTTTTGGCACATATATTTGCTTCTTTGCAGAGGGTCACACCATCCTATTTTTACACATTAAAATAATAATAATAAATTTTATTCCCATGGGATTTTTAATACTTTATTCTCAAAATGGTGAAGTGCAGATGGACTGGTATTAGAATACACGAATACATCTAATTAGAGGTGGCAATTATGATCCAAATCCATGAATCCAATCCAATCCATCCACCAAATTATCCACCTAATCCAATCCATTTAAATCCAATCCATTTGATCCAAATCCAATTGGATTGGTGGATTCATGGATCAATCCATGGATCCAAATGGCAAATTACAATTTGGTACTTATATTTTTTATATTTTACATTTTGGTACCTAAAATTTATATTTTTATACGAAAAATATCATTGGAAAATTACATTTTGGTACCTAAAATTTTTCATTATGACATTTTAGTACCTAAACTTTTCAAAATTTACATTTTGGTCCAAGCCTTGGATGTCATTTTGGATTCATAGATCAATCCACCAATCCATTTGATCCAATCCATGAATCCACCAATCCATTGGATCCAATCCATTTGATCCATGGATCCACCAATCCAATCCGCGAATCCACGAATCCGATCCAATTGCCACCTCTACATCTAATTGAATACATTAAGAATAACTTAAAAATCTATTAATTCCTAGCAATCAAAAGCTACCAGGGCTAGCGACCAGATCTCTTTCTTAAACCCGGTCATTTGCGGTAATGGAGTCAAATCGTCTTATTTTACAATTTCATCATTAAAACAGAACAAAAGATTAAGAAGAGGCTAGGTATCCTATGGGTTGTTTTTTTTTTTGTTTTTTTTTTCCAAGGCAAGCCCAAAGGGCATGGGACAAAGACTCGACACAATTACACACTAGCTCAAAAATTGCACGATAGTCCGTATGCAACCGGACTACGATGAAAGAGCCAGATAAGCCACTACATGGGCAGCTCTGAAGAAGCTCCGAGGAGCAAAGACACGACACTGACGGAAGAAAAACTAAAATAAAAAAAAACAACATCTCCAAGATAGTCCCGCCAGCGAGTGTAGTTTCCTTTGACGGAATATGCCGGATGACCAGTATCGAGTTGCCCCAAAAAGCCACAACAAATAAAAGAAAAGGACATTAGCAATATTGGATAGAGCATGCTTAATTACTCTCATAAATTTATAAAAGCGAATAAAATCGAACAATCAGCTGATAGATAGATGAAACTTATTTTACTTCAATTATTCTCATACCAAATAACCACCTGCAAAATGACCAATCAAAGAAGCACAACTATGGTGCTAGAAATCTCTATCACAAGAGATTAAATCTTGCCCAGAAGGCAAAGTCGACCTTATCGAAATACACCAACAATGGTAATATTCATCTCTTGTAAGTGCAATACACTCACTATCAATGAAACGAACATAAATTACAAGGGAAACAAATTAATCCGCTTTAAAGTTGCTAAATAATGATGGTTTAAAATTATAGATCGATTAGCGCTTGGACGAAAAAGGACTGAGAGCCAGCTAATTGGGTTCCTAAATTAATTATTATAAAAAAATAAGGCATATAATTGAGGGATAACCTCTCTAATTTGAATTGACCCACAAAGGGGGCAATAAAGAGTGCGGTTAATTGCTAGCTGATAAAAAGGAAAGACTCAACTATTCAAAAGTTACCGTAAGTTACAGGAAATGGACGTTAGCTGGACAAAAATGAAATCAAGAGAATAATAAAAGCTATTATAACTAGCAAGGAGAATAAAAAAGGTAATAATTAAAATAATTCAAAAAGAAATTAAATTAATTCAAAAAGTTTCTGTTTTGGAAACTTACGTTACACGTATTTACCTTATACGGGTGAGGTAGCGCAAATTCAGCGTCGTTGGCATTAATGGCCTGTCGGCATTAACGTAGGTCATCGGAGGCAATCCTGATACCGGTGGATGATGGTTGCAATGAGAGGAGACGGCAGCGAGTCCGCCGGTGCTGAATCTATTATCGTGTCTGGTAATGAAGAGCACAAAAACTTAGTAGCAGGGCCCACGTTGAGCAGCGGAGATCTGAAGATACCACGACCTATCATAATCCAACACCGGGACAGGGAAAACATATATTTTTGGGCAGCTTGAGTTGATCGAAGTCATATCCGCCGACCCTGCATTCCCAAAGAGAAAAACAAAAACGAGACAAGAAAGAAAGAAACATACCTAGCAGCTTACGGTAAAATATATATATACACACGATCAGTCAAGCAAGATACTATGATCAGCAAAACAGGGGTTAGGAAAAGGGAATAGCAAGTTTGGCGGATTTGGTTCGCCCAAAGATTATGTGTCCACCTCGTAGTTATCTCGTAGCTGAAACTTGGGGCGGAACAGATGCTTGAGAGCCGCAATATTCATGAGATACCCATCGAGGTCGTCGTGGCGGGTGATTGGGTCCCGGAACTGAACATAATCGTCGTACGCCGTCCGATCGATTCCTCGCTCGTCGAAGAGATGGGGGAGATCCTCGTAGAGGAAATCGACCAGCTTCGTCATGTCGACGTCGTTGCTGCCTTTGTCCGAATCGGAATCCGACGAACTGTCGGACGAAGCCTGTTTCTGATCCACCGGCGAGAGGGTCATCCTGATTGCCCAATTGGCGCGGCGGCTGAGAATGGGGCGGAATTGGGTTTTGGGGTTGTGGATATTCTGCCGGAGGCGGCGGGAGAGAACGGAGGAGGATATTCCAGGTTTTGATCACACCTATGGGTTGTGTTTAAACTTATGAAGAATGGATTGCATTTTTGCTTTAAGACTTTGTATTTCCCTTTACCTTTTACTTCTCATATTATTAATGATAAAACATTTTCTACTAATTATATAAGCTAAACTAGATTTACCATGAGAACAATAGAAGCCTATATATATATTCGTCCCATAACAAAAGTTTGCAATTCAAACTCTATCTATTAGAGTCATGAGTTTGACCGTTGGTTTCATCTAACATTCGATTTTATTTATATTTTATAGAACAAAACTCGAGAAGTTTAGATGCGATTTCTTAGAGAATATCCAACAAAATTGGATGGTTACATGCACAATTCAAAATGTCGTCGACTTTTGTTCCAGTTTCCTCTTTCTAAAATGGTCAATTCTTTGTTTTAGACCTAATGTTTTCCTGAAAAGTCGAGAAAAAAGAAAAGAACTATCCAGTCTTACATCTAAATTATGGATGAAATTAACCCATTAAAGAAGGTATAAATAACTAAATTTAGGCTATTATTCGCTAACATCTAAAGGTAGGACCCGGTTAGTCAAATATTTGAAATTTTTATTAACCTGATCTTATTTTCAAACATCTGAAATGATTAGAAAAAGTCGGTCAAACAACCAATCATGAATGATAAAAGTACGGATAGTACAAACAAAGATGTCGTATAACCATGCTAATCTGATGTGGTTATAAGTAAGTACTATAAAAAGACATGTCGTGATTAATTAACTGCATTACCGAAAATTGCATATTACAGGGCATCAACCTCTGAAGCTAACTAGTTTATTAGGAATAGGGAGAAGAACACAGACACTGTGATTCGACCTCAAGCATGAAGCAATCAGTTACACAACGGAAGTCGTTCGTTGCGATCGCAATTGTGTTGTTGTTTGTTGCTCCACCATATCCATGTCAAGCTTACAATCCTTTCTATAGGTGCTTTTATCATTGCATGAGGCATTGTGAAGCTGGAGCATACATATGCATGGACGACTGCATTAATCGATGTCGTGATCTTGATCAACGGTTGTCTTCCTCGTATAATCCCGAAGGACGAAAATTTACGAGAAATTATCGTCCGTGATGGTTTGCAGCCAAGATTTAAAGAGAGATGGTTTAGGAGTACTTGTCTCAAGAGCTAGCTACGTACCGTTGTTGATGATGGTTGGTTTTTGCCCTTTTCGTTTCTGAATAATGATTGTGGTGTAAAATTATCATTCATTCACATAGTTCTTTGTCTTGTTATTTAGGAGTATTGGTATAACACTTGTTCTTCAAGGACATGGTGGCGTATTCATTTCAGGTTGCTGAAGAAGTGGATGCAGGAGACATCTCCGGTCATCGATCTCCTCGTGTCAACATCTCCAGCATAGTCCGTTTTTAATGGAGTGAAAAATATAAAAAATTTATTTTTTTATTTTAATTATTTTTTAGTTGCCACGTCACTAAGTTAACGGTCAACTTTGAGAGTTGACTGCCACATCAGCAAAAGTTAACGGAGTTGGACGGAGAGTGACCAAACGTGAACGGTTTCAGTAAACTGAAATACCACCAATGGATTTAAATATTTCGAGTGACCAAACTTGAACGTTTTTTGTAATCTTAGTGACCAATCATGCAATTAACCCTATTTCTAATGACTAAACATGACACTTTTTAGTAAAGTCAGTGACCCATTTTGTCATTTACCCTTAATATTTTGGAATTGTTGAATCAATGCCTATCTTTGTAAAGTCCATGAAATAGTTGGGGTTATATCTTGATGCATGTTTATTCAAATCACGACTAACTACATCCACACCATTACAGTTGCTAAAACATACAATTTATTCTACCAATTTTTTTTAGGCAAAATACATTTGTATAGCCATAACTATCCACTTTTTGTCAACAATAGCCACTTTTTGAAAAATACACAGAAATAGCCAATCCGTCCAAAACTTTAACGGATTATATGTGAATGCTGACTGGACTAACAGATTTAACTGACGTGGCATGTTTTCACCGAAAATTGTCCAGATGGAAAAAAATCCTTGTTGAATTAATTAAAAAACGAAAAATAAAATTAGACTAAAACTAAAAAAATAAAAAACAACTCCCCACCTAACATCTTCGTCTTCCTCTCTCCCCAGATCCCTTCCATCGTCAAGCAACAGAGCTACAATATCCCAAAACCTTCTTTTCTCCGGCCAAACCCCAAACCACCACCAATTGAAGATCCAGATCCCGACTCATCTCGTTCAACTACTTCCCTGGCCAATTTCGACCCCGCCCTCAAAATCCCCAATTTTGATCGACCTTATTTTTGTCGGAGAATCCCTAAGGTTCACAGAATTGAGAACTGCCCATCGAAATCCCCAACTCCGTTCAACTCTCTTCCCATGAAAATGACGTTGTTCATTCGCGCATTTCACCTCCAGGTCTTCTCCTTCATCTGCGCCAACGAGATCTAGTCATGCTCTGCCGCCTCTCTAAACCAGGGAGTCGCCGCCGTCGACAAACCCAGGTTGCTTCTCTCTAACAGAGTCTCCAACTCCAGCTTGTTTCTCTCCTGGTACCATCAATAAACCCAAGTTGCTTCTCTCTAGGGGACCATTTATGAAGGCTCGCGGTCACCGTTGCCTGATTTTGCGATGAGAAGAAAACAAGGATTGAGTAGCGGGAGTGCTCAACAGATTGGGGAAGAAGGTAAACCTCTGTCTATTTCGCTTTCTATTGTCGGAGATCTTCGATTGGAGTTCTGGGTTTCTTCTTCAAGTTCTGCGATTGGGGATGAAGGCGAAGAATCGGCATTGGAGTTATGAGTTCTTCTTCGTCAAATCGGGTTGTAGGTTTCTGTGTTTGGATTCTTCTTTATCTATGTGATTCTGGGTTTTAGATTGTTCTTCGCCTATTTGGGTTTGATGGGTAAAGGGTTTGGGCCTTGGGGTTCTTTTTTGCGTTGGTGGTGGAGTTAAGAAAAAATTGCTCAAAAACAAGTTGATATGTAGATGCAGAAAATCCCCAGTTCAGGGGAAGAAATTAATAATTCTCTAAAATATTTTTTTAGAAATAATATTTTTTTAATCTGACATGGCGAACACGTGGCATGATATGGCAAATGAGAGTTGATGTGGAAGCTGATGAAGTGCCACCCCATTTTATTATTGACAGAAGTTGACGGCATCTCTAACGCCGTCAACATTTATAACAAAAATGGCTAAATTTGTCAAATGTAGTATTAAAATTTGGCTATATCTGTGTATTTTTCAAAAATTGGCTATTATTGTCACAAAGTGCAAAGTTATGGCTATGGAGGTGTATTTTGCCTTTTTTTTAATATGAAAGAATTACTAAACGCCAAAAATGAATCCAAATTAAGTTTTAAAAATGTCAATGTTTAGTCTTGCAAATTGCTAGGAATGACAACAAGGTGTGAGATCACTTCCTATTTTGAAAAGAGAGTGATACAATTAATAAAGTTAATATAATATGAGTGGCGAAAATTCATATTTACTAATAGCTAGCAAGGAAAGTTGGCAAAAAACAAAAAGCTTATCATGAGAAGAACCATTAATTATACATACATTGAGATCAAACAAATCACTAAAGGTAAGATAGTCTAACGATAAAGTTGTCGCGTGAAGGATTGGGAGTTGCAGATCTCAGGTTCAAATCCAAGCGAGCCCCGTTGGTGTTCTCGGAGGTACACGGCTGCTAGGGGCGAAGCCCCGTTGACATCGAATTTGATTGCAAGTGGCTCCTAGGTTTAGTAGGACCCTCTGTCACAAAGTGGCACGTGGGGCTGAGTTCCTGGGTAATAAATAAAAAATTGAGATAAAACAAATCGATAATATATAAAAAAAGAACTAGATTGTATGGCTTCTCATATTGCTCATAATAGATTAATTTATATAAGAATTAAATCATAATAGACGAGACTAAGAAAATCATATTGTACCCGCCGCAAAGCGCGGGCCAATTAACTAGTTATAATAACAAGTTGAAAAAGGATAGAGAGAAGATTGGGATAAATTCCAAGCCAGTCTATTTTCTGTTTTAGTTTTTACCATTACAGTCAACAACAATATCCAAGTAATTAAATGTGTTCCTGAAACATTATTATTATTAGATTTCTACAATCTCAATATATGGTATGATCTTAATTACGACAATAAAGGCCGAATAATATCCTACCAAATACAATCCCATTGCCTGCCTTGGATTTTGATTATAAAAATCGCCAAAATGATAGTCTCTTCCTACAACCATACCATTTCCTTGTCTAACTTGTGAAAATGAAGACATTTGCTGCCATAACGGTGCTTACGTTGCTACTACTTGTCGTGTCACCTTCATGTCGTGCTGATGACGACGTCGGCGGGGATCCTTTCTGGTCGTGTTTTAACAAATGCATGAAGTTTGCTTGTAAAGGAACGGAGGAGGATTGTTCCGATCTTTGCTCCGACGGATGCATGACCGGCGATGAACCTCCCCTCTCTAAACATACACATGCCCAAAACAATGCTTTTGGGATAGGCCAACAAAATTAAGGGTGCTTGGTTGTCATCGTTACCGTGTCATTTGTTCTTGTTTAGTTTCCGCATCAATGAAATTTGTGATCCATAAGAGAAATGGGTTTTTTTAATTTTTTTACTCTTCTTTGAACTTGATTGTTAACCACTGAAAATTTGATAATTTGTGTATAGAGGTGGAAAATGGATTAATCCATGGATCAAATCAGGGGTGGACCCAAGGGCAGTGGCGGACCCATAAATTTTTCATAGGGTGTCCTATATTAAAAATAAATTAAATAGAAATAAAAATAAAATCGTAAATATGAAAATACCTTACTCGTACAGGTTAAAAAAGTCCATGATGTGTTTTCATATTCGAAAATAATTGTAGAATGCACTTAGTGTTTATAGTGTTAAAAATAATTCTCTATATACCCTACTATACAATCATTCAGGAACTTATCACATATTCAATTTGTAAACTTGTTCTTGATGTAACCCAAAGCCGAAAGACTCTTCAACACTTAAAGTACAATCATAAAATCAATACAAATTAAGGGTAGATTGAAATTAGTTTAGATTGAAATAATTAGAGATAGGGAATGACTTTTTACTATTACACATTGTTCAAAATCGAACAACAAATGAGTTGTAGCTCAACGGAAATTAAGTTTATTAATAATAATAGTGTTCTAGATTTGAATTACCCAACATACCATTTATATTTTTATACACAAATGACAGTAGGATAATCATTTTTCAAATTTCAGGGGTGTCCCTCACTATCAATTATATATATTTTTTTTGTCTATACGTAAATTACCACCGGGGGTTGGATAATCATTTTCCCAAAATTTAGGAGTGTCCGGGGACAACCCTAAAACCCCCTGTGTCCGCCCCTGCCCAAGGGGGTTTAGGAGTGTTCCGGGACACCCCTAAACTTTGGGAAACGATTATTCAACCTCCAGTTGTAATTTACATACGAACAAAAAATTATAATTGAGAGTGAAGGACACTCCTGAGATTTGAAAAAATAATTATCCTACTCTCAATTTTTTTTTTTTGTGTATGAGAATATAAGTGGTAGTTTGGATAATTCAAACCTAGGACACTACTGCTATTAATAAAGATTATTTCCATTAGGCTACAACTAATTTATTGTTCGATTTTAAACAATGTGTAATAGTAAATTGACATTTCCTATCTCTATTTATTTTCAAAACCTAACAATTAAGCTAATTTCAAGCTACTCATAATTGTATTGATTTTATGGTTGTAAGACAAGTGTTGAAAGAGTCTTTTTTTCTAAAAAGAAAAAGAGTCTTTTTGGCTTTGGGTTGCATCAATAACAAGTTTAAGAATCAAATATGCGATAAGTTCGTGAATAATTGTCTAGTAAGATATACAGAGAAATTTTTTTGAGCACTGTAGACACCAAGTGTATTCTACAATTATTTTCGAATATGAAAACACATCGTGAAATTTTTTTAACATCGTACGAGTCATGTATTTTCTTATATAAGAATTTTTTAATTTAATTTATTTTTTAAAGGAGGACACCCCTATGACAAATTTATGGGTCCGCCACTGGATCAAATGGATTGGTGGATTGAATCAAGGATCCATGTGCCATGTGACATCCAAATATTGGATCGATATGGAGATTTTGAAAAGTTTAGGTACTAAAACGTCATAATAAAAAAAAATTAGGTACCAAAACATAATTTTCCGATGATATTGTCGTATAAAAAATAAATTTTGGGCATCAAGTTGTAAAATATAAAAACATAAATACTAAATCGTAATTTGACAACGGTCCATGAATCTAATCCAGTTTGATTTGAATCAAATGGATTGAATTAGTTGGATATTTAAGTTGATGAATTGAATTGATTAGATTACAAATTGCGAACTCTATTTATCTGTGAGCAAGGCACTGGGCTCACTCTTTCTACCCTTGGTTTGATGCTCTCTAACACATTTGGCTACCTCATTTGCAGTATCCACTCCTACATGATTTTCAAGTATCTTATATCAGTAAATAGTCACATAAATCCTCAAACAGTGCTTTAATAAACAATTTATATAAACAAAAAAATTGCAGAGACCTGCACAATAGGCACCATCAGCAAATCCCAGATACTTGGTACTGGTATGCTCCCCAGTGAAGAAAATTGGACCTACTGGGTCCTGAAACAAAAATGTCAATCCTGAATTCATATACAAATGTAGCAGAAAAAGAAGAAGAAGAAGAAAACTGACCTTCAATTGCTTGTGGTTGCTCTGTTTATAACCAACGGGCCAGTTCGAGTAGCTCCCTCGAAACAATCGATTCGACAACCATCTTGGCACCAGTATTTGTTCAGGGTCAGGAATCCCATATCCAAACATCTTCCTCAGCACTTCCATGGCTTCTTCCTGGATCGTCTCGTCGGCGAGCTTGTCGATCCGTTTCGATTCGTCTCCAGTCACCGTCACGAGCAAAATGTTGGATCCGGGCATCACGTTCTCCAGGTTTTGCCATGTGGGATAGTATCCCCTGTTTTCGTGGGCGTAGAGGAAGAACTCGGATCCGGCCGTGTTCGATGGCCAGAACTTGGTTAGGAATTTCAGGAATATCTTGGTGAAATTCCCCATGTTGAATCCGCTCACCGCTCGCCTTTTCCACTTCTAATCAATTATGCAGACCAGAGGTGGGTCAATTATCAGATGCATTTTCACTCTAATCAAGTGAATGGGCAAAAAGGGAAATGGAGGAGTGTTGTATGTTAAACTCACAGGTAGATTAGGGATGAACTTGATCAAGTTGCTCTGAAGAACACCAAGGCTAACAGACACAATTGCACATTTAGCTTCATACTCACAACCATCCTCTGTTTTCACTCTTACTCTGTTTTCACAATACTTGATTTCTCTGACAACCTGCAATTGATTCATCGTTATAAAATTAAGGAATAGTAATCAAAGTTTGATCACTAAGAAACTGCATCATACCTGATTAAGCTTGATCCTGGAGTCATTGAAAGTTAGGTGATTACCATCATCACTAGTAGTGTAGTGGTGGGAGTGGGACAAGAACTGCTTAGCAATGTAATGGACAATGCTGTGAAACCCTCTTGGGTCGGCGACGAAGTAAGTTTTGCCGCCGAAGTCGAGGAATTCGTGGCGAGGGAGGGTGTGCTTCAGGCTCGTCACACTCGGCGAGTCCGCTTCCTCGTAATCGTTCTGAAAATAGTCGATCACCATCTCCAGCGCCGTCTTCGGCACCCTGCAGAACAACAATGCAGGAATTTCTGAAGATCAAGTGGACAATCCAATCCAAGAATCATGATAGTCATGGAGTCTTTACCGATCGGCGATCTGCTGGGCTTTCGAAATCGATATGTCGGAAACAATGTTGGTTGATAATAGAGTGCACAAGTCGTCCCTGGCTTCGGCGGCTGCGAGCGCCTCTTCCACCTCCTCCTTCGAGTATAGTCCACCGCTGCATGCAGCAGAGACAGGAAAAAAAAAAAAAAAAATTTGTACGAAAATGTATATGTCAATTTATACCATAACGTTAATTTGTAGTATAAATGAATTTATGTGAAAATGTATTAGTATAAATTGAATTTGTACGATAAAGTTCAAGTGCATACTCAGTTTGTGCATGTAGGAGTTAAATTAATCTAAAATAGCCTCTATTTTAATTTTAGCCCTTAAGATTAGTTTTGTCATCCAATATCCAATTGTTGAAACTACCGTTAGTATGGTGCTTATCCTCTATAAAGTTAACAACCTATCTTCTCTCCTTTTGTAGCACAACATACCTGATAAAAGCACACCGGCTCTTCATTTTAGTGAAATCGTTCTTGTTGACAGTTTTGATGTATTTAAAAGCAATCTTAATTGTATCAAATTGATGCAAAATACTCGAAAATAGGGATGAATTATTTGAAATTGCACTTTTAAGTTTTTGGAAATTTCCTTTTTTCTCATTTTGTTGCAGAATGTCTTGAACATAAATTTATTTCTACAACTCACATAATACTACTACGATAACAATGGAGAAAAATAACCCCATTTGCAAATATAGAACTAAGAGTATCCTAAGATTAATTAATGGTATTGGATCATTAATATTTGATATTAATTACGTACTCTTGTTTGTAGACGTTGGAGAGGGAACTGAAATCGGAGAAGTGCATTTTGAGATTAAGGTGGCGGTTAGCGATTTCAAAGAGGTGGCTTGACTTCGGGGCGCCGCCGCCTCCGGTGAGCCAATTAGCCCCCATTTCAACCGTGTAGCCTCCGACTTCCGCCGTACGAATCCGGCCGCCGATCTTGCAGTCGGCTTCGAGTATCAATATGTCACGAATTCCGGCCTCATGTAGCGTTTTCCCGGCTGCTAGCCCTAGCATGGAAGGTACTAATTAATGTTGTTTATTAAGTCGCCCTTTCTATTTTGTTTCAAATTTAACACCGACGTCTAATAATATTACGAACCTGAGAGCCCGGCTCCGACGATGATGACTTCGGCGGCGGGGGAAGTTGCTTTTGACGCCATGGGTTTAAGCTAAGGAAATTATTTTTGTGAAATGCGTCTCCAAGAGTGAGTCTATTTAGCTACGATATTTATAGTTCAAAAAATAAAATAAAAAGGTATAATTAGGTTGTAAGGAAGCGGTTAAATACAATAAATGCACCGTTCCCAACAACTCGAGTTATTGGAACAAGTTGATTTATGACGTGATATCAAAGGTAATTTGTCCTTGGAGGTCACGTATCGAAGTTCTCACGACCCTCAATATTACCCGTTAAGTCTTTAAATCACATGGTATGATGGGTCTGTGCAAACTTCAACCCGACTCTGAGTTTGGCTCTCGTTAGAGGTCGGGTGTGTAAAAAAATAACGAAGTACTATACATGGACATCCACTAATAACTCGAGTTATTGGGGTCAGTTGGTTTATGACATGGATAGTGGTAGATGGACGTTAAGGTTGATATAAAATCAATGAATATGGGGTTGGCAAGTGAATAACTAACTTGTGACCATTCATGTGGAACATGTTGATCCCCGTGGGTTTGGCGAGGTTTGGCAATTTCTTGGACCACAAGTTCTCCGGAATCGCTAATCTCCCCTCTCATGCTCACCACCTATACCCTCTCATATGGTGTGGCAACAAGGTGATCCCTCGGAAGATTTGCTTTTTCATGTGGATTGTCTTTGATGAAAGAATTCTTACTCATGAGTCATGATGCGCTAGAGAAAAGAGAGGGTGGATGACCCCTAGCAGGCGTGAGCTGTGTTTTCAAGCGGAAGAAAACATCAACCACATCTTTCTTAGCTGTATTTTCGCAAGAAATATGTTTGGAACTTGATCGGTAATTTCGTGAGAATGAACGACATTGTGCGATAGGACACCTCGACAACAATCTCAGGGTGGCCTCAAGAGCAACCGGACAATGCAGGGGCATGGTGTACGAGAATTCTGTTGCACGCATTTTTGTTGGTCGAGATATGGAGGGAGAGGAACTCTAGGATTTTTGAAGGAGTTGCATCATGGCTACAAATCATATGCTATACCGTTCAAAGCTTAATTGGAAGATGGTTAGTTTGCGCGCCAAGAAAGTAGACATAGAAGTTGCCGCGGGTTGGTTCACTACTCTAAAAATACGACGTCTATTAGAATATAGGACCAGAATGTAAATTCGCAAATAGTTAGATGATCATATTGTAAATAGCCATAGGTTAATTATGAATATCTTGGTGAAGTCGGATTGATCACTCGGCCAGAACTTGCGCAGGAATTTCATGAATATCTTGGTGAAGTCTCCCATGTCGAATTCGTTCACCGCTCGCCTTTTCCATTCCTGATAAAGTAATGCATAAACAGGGAAGCAATTAGATGTCATCAATACAATGGTGGGTCAATTGCACTGACGACGAACTGTAAACTCACAGGTAGGTTAGGGATGAACTTAATCAAGTTGCTCTGGAGAACTCTAAGGCTAACGGAGACTATTGCGTATTTAGCTTCGACACTCACAGCCATCCTCTGTTTTCACCCTTACTCTGTTTTCACAGTACTTGATTTCTCTGACAACCTGCAATGATTCATCATTTACAAAATTAAGGAATGATAATTATGTTTGATTAATAAAAATAAAAAATTAGTATCATACCTGGAAGCAGCAGAGGCACGTAAATTATTTAATCAGAAGATTATGAAAGGTATATGCATGAAGATGGTTACTTGCAATTCATATTCATATCCGTCTCACAACAAATTGGAAGCATGTAAAGTATTTTTGATCGAAAAATGAGTAGAACGGTTTAGTCGGGTATGCATCTCAAGAAAAAAATATTCAACAAATTAATTCTTTGGTCATTGCATGGTGCCATGGTGGAGAAAACAACTCTTTCCTTACAAAGTGGACAATACGATATATGCACAAATTAAGCTAAATTACTCAAGAGATTGAAATGTTTTTTGTAATGATATATACATTGAATAACTATAAATAAATGGAGGAAGAAAAGTTAAAAGATTATAGATATAATATACTTCCTTGTTATTATTTTTTATCAAATATTTCCATTTACTTTTTTTTTATTATCAAACCTACTTTAATATTTTCAAAAAATTCTCAAACATGAAACATGTCATTTTGTTAAAAATTTTAAATATAATTTATAATCGAAATATAAAATCACTCTAAAACTTGTTCCAAAACCACCATCAAACATAATCAATCTGTTTATGACATAAAATACCGAAAGATAGTCAGGTTTCTATCATTTCTCACTCAGTGGCGGATCTAGGGGGTGGCCACCCCGGGCCACGGCCTCAACCCTCCCCTGGATCTGGAGCTAGTGTAGCCTTTATGAGTTTATTAATTTTAGTCATTCGGCCTAATGTTATTTTATAATAAAATTGTGTGTAATTAGGAAAATGGGTAAGATGAACATATTCAAATTACAACTTGATCCCAAACAAAACACGCATGACATGTTTAAAATTTTAACGTTTTAAATATGTTAACCAAGCATGAGCACACATTGGATTAGTTTAATTTGCAAACTATTCCAAGCAACTTTTAAATCCAAAAGGGTTAATACCCTAATTTGGCCCGAAGTTTAGCGTAAGTGACAGTTTTAGCCCTACTTTTTAAATAAGACATTTGTGGCCTACTTTTGAAACTATTAGACAAATTTGGCCCAAAATTTTATTTGACCATTAGTATTGACGGTCAACACTATTCCGTCAGTTACTCAACAAACACCCACTGTTGTGGCATGCCACATCATTAAATAATATATTATTTTAATTTTATGATTCAGTTACATTTTTTTAACAAATAAAGAAAACCCCTCTTATTCTCTTCCCTTCCACACGCCAAAATCCACGTCGAACGCGCTGCGCCACCAGTTCAGCCGTCTGGGAGGCTGGCAACGGATCCAAGCTCATCGAAACATTTTGCGTTGCCACCGGGCTCGACGTTCGCGTTCTCTCTGAGGAAGAGGAGGCAAGATTCGCCTATTCTGAAATTTTGCGCCGCCACCGAGCTTGGCCTTTCGTTCAGATCTGAACTTCGATCTGGAAGGAAGCGACCTCTCCCCTGCCTTTTGTCGGCGTCGCCATTAGCTTCCTTTTCTTCAATTTTTTCACTTTGTAACTGAATCTTCCCTACCAGTTCATGTCGCCTTTTCTTCTCCAGGGGAATCGAAAGCTGGAAATCCAACGCTGATTCAAGGGAGACCGAACTCACCAGTTCTTGTTCTGCTCTAGCTATTGGCGAATCGAAAACCCAAGGTTGATTCTCTGGCAATTAATAACTTCCTTTGACGAACCAAAATCTCTCTCTTTCGCCGGCACCGAGCTTGGCCTTTCATTCAGATCTGAACTTCGATCTGGAAGGAAGCCACCTCTCACCTGCCTTTTGTCGGCGTCGCCATTCGCTTCCTTTTCTTCAATTTTATCACTTTTTAACTGAATCTTCCCTTCCAGTTCATGTCACCTTTTCTTCTCTAGGGGAGTCGAAAACTGGAAACCCAACGCTGATTCAAGGGAGACCGAACTCACCAGTTCTTGTTCTGCTCTAGCTTTCGGCGAATCGAAACCCCAAGGCTGATTCTCTGGCAATCAATACCTTCCTTTGACGATCCAAAATCTCTCTCTTTCGCCGGCCAGCCGAGCTATTGATGGAATGGAATCGGGGTCACGATTGAAATTGTAATTGGGTTTGGTCGGGCAGAGAGGAGGGAGAAGACTGAGAAGAAGGAGAGATGGAATGGAATCTCGTCGCCGGTCGCTTGGGAACGACTCGGGGAGGGGAAACGATGGATGAAATGAAAAGGGGAACTGAAACGATAAGGGAAAGAGGAAGAGGTAGTGGTCCTCGTGACCCCTCTCTCTAATGCTTTCTTTTTTTTATTATTTTGTTTGTTTGTTTTTTCTTTTGTTTATTTAATTTGTAAATGACGTGGATAAGTCTAGTCAGCGGACGAATGCTGAGTCAGTGACAGAAAAAAATGGTTGACCGTCAATTCTGACAGTCAAACCATCCCATAGGCCAAATTTGTCTAATAATTTCAAAAGTGGGCCATAAATGTCTTATTTAAAAAGTGGAGCCAAAACTGTCACTTACGCTAAACTTCGGACCAAATTAGGGTATTAACCCAATCCAAAATTACGATTACTGGTTAAACTTTAACTTGCAGCGCATGACTAAAATGACAATTATAAGGTCTCGCTAAAACACATGCATTTATTAATGAAAAGGAGGGAGATGGAGATAAGAATGACAAATTAGCTAGTAAAATAAAAAAAATTGAGTGTAAACGCAACATAAGCAATACCTACTAGTAATAATTAATTCAAACATAATATTTTGTACAAATATCACATAGCACATAACGTGTATTGTGGTATTTGATATTTGTCTGTAATTGACTATACATGACAAATGTTGATTCCAAACAACTCATTCTTGTCATGGTGAATAGCGTATAGTGATAATATTATGTCTCTATTGCACGTAAAAATGGTCGCGCCTAGTTGCCCTAATAGCAGCGGCGGATCCAGAATACAGAAGAGCACTAGGCCGAGTTTCATTAGAAAATTGAATAGTAAAAAAACATAATGATTATAGTTTTTTCCAATGTAAATTGTACACGACGGTATTTTAATTTAGTGATGCATCAATAATGGAGCCTACATCCATACCAATAGTATACACTGTTTCAAATAAAATACTTGAGCAATCGGCGAGAAATTCATCGCTCATTTTGTTGAGCAAATAAGTTCTCACATGTTTGATTGTTGAAAAGGTTCTCTTCGTAATAAATGTTGAAACGAGCAGCATCAACACTAGACAAATCAATCGACTAATCAATTGGCATTGTGTGTCAATCCCTGCATCCACCAACTGCTCTAGTAAGTTTTCAAGGGAACAAACCTCATATTTCTTTTAGTCTTTTACGTTTTAAACTTTTAGAATTTTAGGTTTCAGTGTTTTTTTTATACACATAATCTTTGGGGCTAAAATTTAAAGGCTAAATTTATAGTAGTGATTTGAATATGGTCATCTGAATCATTTTTCTAGTTATAACCAATTTTATTATAAAATCACACTAAGTCGAATACCTAAAATCAAAAAATTCATAAGGACTATACTAACTACGGATCCAGAGGAGGGCTGGGCCGGGGCCAGGGGTGGCCACCCCCTAGATCCGCCACTGCCTAATAGTTGCAATATGTAACTACAATGCGGAATATGATAATTAGTGACCATTTGATGGACGAATGGTCACTAAAGGTGTTGTCCCCTGTCGCCTATCCTGCCCACGGTTATTCTTAGGATTACTTTGTTTTTATTTATTGATAACCCAGGGAACCTCTACACCACGTGCCGCTTGAGCGACAACGGGGCCTACTAAACCATTGGGGGTACCTGCACACTAACCGGGGCTTTCTGCTACAAACATTGGGGAGGCTTCACCTCCGATACCAAGGGTGCCGCCGGGAACGCTCAAGTGGCGCCACTGGGAATCGAACTCAGGACCTCCCACATCCAGAGCTCAATTGGTCCAGTGATTTCACCACTAGGCTATGTTACCTTTTGGCATTCTTAGGATTACAATTTACAAGGCAATGTTTGTACACCTAAAAAGTGACCTTCACTATTATCATATCTTCCAGATTCCAAGATTGTCACCAACTGATATTTGGCGCGGCAAAACCAGGAAGTTGTGCTTTGAGATTATAGCAAGGCGAACAGAGAAAATGGGCTTAGATTGAGTGGCACCTAGGAAGAGCAAACAAAGTAAAGCTCAATAAATGGCCCGTTCTTGTGTATTTTCCATGGAGGAAAAGCCCAAGCGGTGTTGCGAAAGATGGCCAATTAATGTAAAATCTACTAGAAAGCGGAAGCACAACACAACGATTTACGTGGTTTCCCCGTTCTGTAAGAACGAGACTACTCCACGGAGAGCCGAAGCTCTCAGTTTTCTCTTATTATGTTTGCAGAATATGAGCTGCACTCAATGGAGTGCTCGGCTACAAAACCCTCCTAATATACCCTTTCCACAACGTCACTAGGGCAATTAGGTTAGAGAGGCAAATAACAGAAAAGGTCCTCAAAGAAGAAAAGGAGTACAAGAAGATACACGGTTCAACACTCCCCCTCAAGCTGCAGCATGTAGGTCTCGAATGCCAAGCTTGCAGAGAAGACGTTGAAACTGATCCGTGTCCAAGGCTTTGGTGAAGATGTCCGCCAACTGGAAAGAACTACCAATCTTCACCGGTGCTATCTCCTTGGAGACCACTCGCTCACGCACGAAGTAGCAATCCATTTCCACATGCTTCGTGCGTTCATGGAAAACTGGATTGGCAGCTATGTGTAAGGCTGCCTGATTATCACAGTGCAGGGGTGTTGGGCATGGCTGCGGTACACCAAGCTCAGTAAGGAGAAAACGCAACCAAACAACCTCGCTGACCGTGCTGGCCATCGCCCGATACTCCGCCTCAGCTGACGATCGAGATACCACCTT